TGTTTTCAAGTGCTACTGCTGCAGAGAAGAAGGGCATATGGCCTGTAACTGCACGGGAAAGCCCCTTGACAAGGGCAAAGGACCAGCTGTCCGCTGCCAGCAAGGTGGAAGAAGTTCCAGCTGTGAAACCACTCACACTGGAAGATATTAACCGCATCATAAATGAGAGGATCTGCCTCTCCAGCATGTACAACCCAGCGAAGAAAGAGGAGCAGAAGGGTTTTTAGGGAGATCGAAGTCGACTGTGGACTTAGATCAGAGAAATCGTTTTTCCATTCTCGGTGACTCAGCAATCATGTTTGCAGAAGTATCAGAAGTTTGTTCTGGGAATAAACGAGACCATTTCTACTTGCCAGTTACGTTGGAAGGGAAACATAAGAAAGCAGCCAGTCAAAGCTCTAGTGGACTGCGGAGCAACAAACCTCTTCATCGGAAAGAAGTTTGTAGAAAAGAATCAAGTCCAGACCAAACAATTATTTAAACCAATGTCGATCCGTAATATTGACGAAACAGACAATTCTGCTGGACCAATTACATCCTATGCAGATTTGAAGCTCATGATAGGGGACCATGAGGAAGAAGTAGCCTTTCTGGTCACAGACCTAGGATCCGATGATGTTATCATTGGAATAGATTGGCTACGATACCACAACCCTAGTATTGATTGGAACAAAGGAAGGGTGGCATTAGACCGTTGCCTGGTCAAGTGTCAAGAAGCCAAGGTCAAGGACAAAAAGACCAAGGCAAAGAAGCGAAAAGCCACGAACTTTTCGATCCCTTTGGTGTTGCCCAATTTGATACCGGCAGAAGATGACGAAGATGAGGATATCGAGGAAGCCTCTATCCATCATCAGGTTCAGTCGAACAGCCTCAGCTCTAAAATGCAAGGACATGTGGGTACTATACCTGTCAAGCTTGAGGAAGAAGAACAATCGGATCTTGCTACTACTGTTGAACACGGAGCTACCAAGAATGTACAGATGGAGGAAGTCGAGGATGAAGATTCATCACAGAACGTGTGGATCAGGTACAAGAGCTCTGTAGCATCAGAGTTAGCACAGCAGGAGGAGAAGAAGAAGAAGAAGGAAAAGAAACCCATAGAGGAAATGGTGCCAGAATGGCTCCATGACTATCTTAAGGTCTTCTCCGAAGAAGAGTCTACTCGATTCCCCTGAGTCAAAAAAGTGGGATCACAAGGTGGACCTCAAAGACCCTAACTGATCTTCCTCCCAATGCTGAAAGCATATCCCCTATCCCCCGCCGAAAATGATGCATGTGAGAAGTGGTTGAAGCAGGAATACGATTTGGGATGACTGAGAGATTCTGAATCTCCAGTAGCAGCTCCTTTCTTCTTTGTTGCTAAGAAGGATGGAAAGGCTCAGACCCGTCATGGACTATCGGAGGTTGAATGAGAAAACCATCCGAAATGCATACCCTCTCCCTCGTTCTCAAGATCTCATTGATCGTCTCTCTGGTGCAAAGCTCTTTTCGAAAATGGATGTTCGATGGGGTTACAACAATATTAGAATGAAAGAAGGAGACCAGTGGAAGGCTGCCTTCAAAACTCCTTTTGGACACCATGAACCAGTCGTAATGTACTTCGGCATGACGAACTCCCCAGCCACCTTCCAAACTATGATGGACCAAATCTTCCAAGATCTAAAGGAAGGCAAGGTCGTTGTAGTCTACATTGACGACATCTTGGTCTTCACCAACGGTGATGTAGAGAAACATCGGAAGGTGGTGTGTGAGGTACTACAGAGACTGCAGGACAATGACCTTTATCTCAAACCAGAGAAGTGTTCCTTTGAGAAGAAAGAAGTGGAATTTCTCGGTTTGATCATCAAAGATGGCCACGTCTCTATGGATCCGGTCAAGGTTAAGGGAGTTCAGGAATGGCCCACTCCTACCTGTGTCAAGAACATTCAACAATTCATGGGATTTGTGAACTTTTATCATCATTTCATTCTCGGTTTCTTGAACATTGCTAGACCCATGAATGAGCTCATCAGGAAGGATGTGCCATGGGAATGGACGGACAAACAGGAGATGGCTTTTAAAACTCTGAAGGACAATTTCACTTCCGCACCAGTGCTAGTCATGCCAGATGCGAATAAAAAAACAGAAGATAGAGAGCGACACATCTGACTATGCTACTGGTGGCGTACTTTCTCAGTTGGAAGAAGACGGACTATGGCACCCAGTGGCCTTTTTTAGCAAATCAATGCAAGATGCAGAGCGTAATTACAATATTCACGACAAAGAACTTTTAGCTATCATCTGTGCATTGGAGGAGTGGAGGCATTATGTGCAGGGCACACCTCATCCGGTAGAGATCTGGACAGACCATAAAAACCTCAAGTACTTCATGACCAGTCAGAAGTTAACTCGTAGACAGGCGAGATGGTCCTTGTTCCTTGCAGAGTACAACTTCACTCTGCAACACAAACCAGGGAAGGTTAACGACACTGCCGATGCTCTGTCCAGGAGGCCAGACCACAGAGGGGGGGTAGAAAACGACAATTCCGATCACGTGCTTTTAAAACCCAAGTTTTTCCATATTAAAGCCGCAAAAAGAGGTCAGATTCTGATAGAAGGAGAACATTTGCTGTTAAAGTGTATCAGAAACTGCACCGATTTAGATCCAGAAGTCCGAAATGCTATCGAAACTCTGAAGAAGGCCCCTGTGCAGTTGAGAAGAGGATTGGAAGAGTGGAATATGGAGGATGGACTCATTTTGTTCAGAGGATTGGTCTACGTTCCCAATAACAAGGAAATACATTGCTCAGTGCTAGAGATCTTCCACAACTCACCTGCAGCAGGACACATGGGACGTGCCAAAACTCTCGAACTTGTCTCACGGAATTATTGGTGGCCTCAAATGCAGAAGTGGGTCAATGACTACCTGGATGGATGTGATCAATGCAAGCAAATGAAGGTGCTACCATCAAAACCTCATGGACCTTTGAAGCCAAACAAGATTCCAGAAGGGCCATGGCAAACCATTAGCTGTGACCTCATCACTGATCTACCGATCTCCCAGGGCAAAGACAGTATTTTGGTAGTCATTGATCATTTCACAAAGCAAGCACATCTTGCTCCGACCACCAAAGATGTTAATTCCAAGGGAATCACGGACTTATTTCTCAACCATGTATGGAAGTTGCATGGAACACCAAAGAAGGTGATCTCGGACAGAGGAACACAATTTGTGTCCAAGTTCATGCAGGAAGTCTCGAAAAGACTAGGAACCAAGTGGTCCATGTCAACAGCATATCACCCACAGACTGACGGACAAATGGAACGAATCAATCAAGAAGTTGAACAGTACCTACGACTCTTCACGTCCTACCGTCAAAATGATTGGGTTTCTTGGCTTCCAATCACTGAATTCACACATAACAATTCCAGTAACTGTCACTGGACATTCCCCATTCAAATGTGTCTACAGTTATAATCCCGAATTCACAATTTCCCCTAATTCTTCCAACACAATTCCCCAAGCCGATCAGAGACTAGCTGAGATGAAGGAGGCGCAAGAAGAGACAAAGATGATGCTAGAAGTAGCGAATGATTGAATGAAGTGCTTTTACGATCATAAGAAAAAGACGCACCAGAATTCAAACCAGGCGACAAGGTATGGTTGGACATGACAAACATCAAACAATGCCGTCCGAGCCAAAAGTTGTCTGACCGCCATCTGGGACCATTTGAAATCGAAGAGAAGACTGGCAAGCTAAACTACAAGTTGAAACTCCCTGTTAAATATTGCATTCATCCAGTCTTCCACTGTATTGTTACTCACCCCGCATCAAACCTCTCAACTCATTGACCACCCGCCTGCAACCACGTCCACCTCCAGAGATCGTTGACCAAGTCCCAGAATATGAAGCAGAGCAAATATTGCAAAGCCGCCTATACAGACGCAAGTTGCAGTATTTAGTAAAATGGAAAGGATATGCAATAGAAGAAGCAACATGGCAGTCAGAAGAAGATGTGAAGAATGCGCCACTTGTAGTAGCCAAATTTTATGCAGAAAACCCCAATGCGGTTAAATCGGCGCAAATCTCCGCTTCAATTCTGACAACCCCTGATTTCCTTGAATGGAGACAGAAAAATATACGACCATCTTACATTCACGAGGACACTCATCCTAGAAAGGGGGTAATGTCACGAATTCCAAATACAAACCATTTTTCATTTCTCGGTTTTCCTTCGGCTACTTCCAGTACCCAAGCCTGGTCACGTGACTCCTCGTCATATATCACCAGTTGCTTCTCTGATTGGCTCCCCTACTCCACAGGCTAGAACAATCTTGCTTCCCAAAGAAGAACCTGGTCGGAGCTTGGGTTTCTATTTAGTTGCCGTATTACTCATTCGCTTATATATCATGATGTCATACTTAGTCATCCGCAGTATCATACGACTCTTTTCTCATTGGCTGATTTCTTTCAGACTCCTATTCAATGTTATGTATATAAGTAGGTTAGTTAGCATAAGTACTCCTTAGACTTAACCTCTTCGTTTCCTACGCTTGTAGTGACCTAGACGTTTATGCTCAATACCATCTTGTTCACTATCCTCTCTGACCGAGTCCTAGTGGTTGTGTGCTCGCCTTCATCATTATTGGTGAACATTGGTCATAACAAAACTCTGCCTTTGTCACCAATCAAGAAGTGTAAGAATAACACTGATGAGCTACTTCAGGCAGTTAGTGTACATAAGACCAAGAAAACAAAAAGGTATGACACACCACAAGACTGTAATGTGTTGGCACTAACCATAAAAAGATCGGAAAATGGGAAAGCAGATTCCGACCCTATGGAAATCTACCGGAATGCAGGGTGAAAAGTGTCATGTGTCCTCAATCTCTTTGGCCTACCTTCTGTTGCTTTCCACACCGGTCTTCAGCATGATCGTGGAGGTAAAGATAATGATGATCTGTGATTTGATAGTCGAATGTTTCTTGTGCTTATCATACTGATGTAGTTGAGTATAGGATGAAAGAGATCAAGAGACACCATCTTCACCTGTATGATGGCATCCTCAACATTGTACCAAGCCTCCGTGACGAACTCGATATGATCTCCAGTGACAAGCTGTCGAAGATCATCTCTGCAGTGAGTATCTACACTCACTTTTCCATTATATGCTGTGTCTTTCTGCATATATGCAGTCTTTGCACGCATATATGCACTATTTTTGAAAGTTCTGACATGATCCAATGTCATCTAGGTCACCAAGGGGATGAGTGATGCTCGATTGACAGCATTTAGCTCCATCAAACACAAAGGGCTCAAGTACGTGCCTCTGAACATGCACAGCAAAGAAGACGCCCTCGATCCACCAATACCTGAAGTCAAAGATAAGTCCATGAGAGGGATTACTCATCCCCAGCTTGCCCAGGTGGCTTTGCCCTCGAAACAAGTTAGATGTGTTTGATTGTGACCCTGACAAGTGAGATATTTCTCATTGGTAGCAAGATAGCAACTGACTTACTACATTTTGACAGAGGAATGGAGAAATTACAGTTGGGAAAGCTCAAAATGACTGCAATGAATTGGCCAACAGGATTTTATGAAGACAGCATCTACTGATCCAACAGACAAAACCAAGGGTTTGTTTAGGAATCATGTTGTTGCACGTGTGAGTTCTGCTGCTGCTGGTTCAGTTTCATGCTATATCTCCCTCATATTTTCCACAGTTCTACATGCACTTGTATATTGGCCCATCAGCTGCAATGGCCGAGTCTACTACTAGCAAGGCCTCGAAGGTGGCAAGAAATTGTGCATTTGGGTTGACGTCCATCACCAAAAATATTATCGCCATTGTTCACATCATTGTAAGTTCATAATTCTTGCTTCGAGATTAGTTCTCACTACTATTGTCTGTCAGACGTACTTCACACTTAGTCATGGGCAGAATTGGACGAATGAAATTGGGACAATGAATCTTGAGGAGTTGTTTTGGGCTATCATCAACATGCTCGATGATGATGAGGATCCATGGGTTAAAGACACCATGTCATTGTGGAACACTGTATGTTCAAATTTGTCAGAGTCATCATTGCTGATTGGGAAATTGTAGCCGCATTGGATCGGGTGCCCATCAGGCCAAATTCATCAAGAAGCCATCCAACTTGGAGGATGACTTGGATCAAGAAAACAACATCGCCGAGATCAAGGCTCAGTGTTTGGCTCGACGTGGTGCTGCGCCGCCACAGGCTAAGGCTCAGAGTGATGGTGTGTATATGCTACATTGTAAGACTCATACTTACTACACAATATAGTGAGACAGCCAGCTCCTCCCCACAAGAATGTTGCACACCAGCCACAGTGCTGTTTGATGAGGAGGAGTGTCCTCCGAGTTGTGTCAAGAAAACATCTACGGCTCCACTCCCTTGACCTGTAAAACTGAAACCTTGTCCGGAGCCCCAACCTCCAGCTGAGTCCAGTGACGAAGATCCTGTACTGGTGGTACCACCTTTGACGTGCCTGGCGTCAAAGAAGATTCGACCTGACCTACAGTGGCTCAAAAAACTGTCCACATGTTTGTGCTATTTTCACTATTTACATTATTGTATATGAATGGACAGGTAGACCAAGGATATGCCAGTGGGGTACTCTGTAGTACTCCTTTGGGGCGTGAATTTGAGCCCTTACACGTGGGAATCCATAGTAATATGGTGGCGCTATAGACCTTACAAAATGATGACTCATGTGGACAGTTTTTTGACCCAAGATTAAAATTATATAATTCATTAGTTATGACACCATAAAGTCATGCTGTCATATACCCGATTCAGCCACTCCCAACACCATTCATAGACATCCCTACTATTGGTCCGACCCCCTGTTTCCCTGTCCGCTGTGGGTACAACAAGTGCAGCGGAGAGAAATCGATCTACTACACAGTTGGGTCTTCGCTGCCTGCTGCCTCGCTTGGGAACAAGTGTGTTTGACCCTTAAGGGGATTGCTACTGGGGAATACTAGTCTCTGTCTAAAACGACCCTACAGGATGAAAGATCCACAAAAGCGGATGAAGCGGATGGCACTTGCAGATCAGACAGGATGCAAATCAAAGTTGAAGGAAGTTCATTAAAGGTTAGATGGATAGTGAGTATAAGTCAAAGCGATCTTCTGGTAGGGTGCAGGAAAAGTGGGAGAAAGTTACATGAAGTAAGTATTTTTCGAAACCCTCCATGCTTATAGGGTACAGCATTTTCAAGGAACATAGATATATAGGTAGCAAGTCTAGACCATGCCATAAGCTATCCGAAAAATACTGGAGTGTGAGAGGATATGTCTGTGTTCAGTCAGTAACAAGAAAATGCGTGTGAGTACATACCAATGAGGTAGAATGGACATGGACAGGACGGATGTGGTGGATGCATGAGCTATAGGAGGAGATCCAAAGGTATCCGCATGTCATCCGAAAAGCAGATGTGTATCGGATGGAATGGGTAGGTGTCAGATGGACGTCGGATGGATGCCTGATGCATCGGAAAAGTGATGGATACGAGCCTAGCATAGGGATACTCCCTACACCTGCTCCATCCCTCCTTCTCTGACAATGCACTGAAATGCATCTCAGCAGGACTAGCCCTGCTACCTCTGCCCGACTCCGCTCCACTTCTCCGACACTACCCCTATTTCCTCCGACACCATATCCCTACCCTCAGACCCTATCTGGAGCTCTGCTCCTCTGCTCCATTGGTCTGACCGATCCTACTCCCTCCACCATCTCCACTTTTCTGACCCACTTGGTTCCTTCAGTTCCTCTCGTGTTGTTCCATCCGACAATTGGTCCGCCTGACCGCCTGACCGGTCCACCCCTAGACTAGGAACCATTCAACTGGTCCTATCTCCTTTTAGTATCATAGTTCCTCCTTTCGGATCACCAGTAATCTCTATACCCGAGTGATTATTGATCCGTCGCGTACATACTATTCTCCGAGCCCCTTTTCTCGTATGTCTCAGTCATCTTTCTAATAATTCTGTACACTCAGCACATAGCCTTTTGCTATGCTATGCTACCCACTTAGAGTATATAAACATATGTACAATTGTCTGTAGATCTTCAGTCTGAATATTACCTTTTCTAAGCCCTGCTCTCTTGTCCTTGTTCTTGGGCAAACCCCTTGACAACTCCTGCTTGCCAGCCTAGGGGATTGACTCCCTAGGTTGGCTGCCTCCTCCGCTCGTCCGACTTCCTGCGCCTCCGCTGCCTTTCCCGTGCGTCAGACTTGTGACTAGTACTCTCGTATCTCTGTCCTCTGTGTTCTCATTCTGCTTCAGACTTCAGTCCAAGCAGTCTCCTCCGCTCCGCTCCTACTGTTAGCTCCGACTGCAGTAGCCCTCCGACTCTCCCCTGTAGGGCAGACCAATCTCCGCCCGACTGTTCCCGCACTTATCCAGTAGTCCGTCAGTCCTCCTTTGGAGGACCTCTGCTCCGATGTCCTGTCGGAGCTCGTAAAACTTGAGTTGGACTACAATCTGAAACTAGGGGCATGTACTCAGGTAAGGGGCGCAGCGCACTGAGCTGAAGCCAAGCCCCTCAGACTCTGTCCTACCCCTGAGCATGGTCTTAACACATGCCACTATTGAATAAATTATGAAATGGTGTCATTATGACATTATTAAACCTATCTCCAAGTATACAATGAAGTGCATCCCATATATCATAGTCATAATCACCATGAAAACCATCTCCTCTGCTCAAAGGGATAATATCCTCTCTCTGTCTACTGCTGGCCTCTCTACTCGTCAAATAGCCTCTAGAACTGGTGTATGCAAGTCTACTGTAGCTAAACTCATCAAAGCATGTCACCCAGACAAGGAAAACTCCAGTGGAGGTCATCCATCCAAACTCACCTCTACTGATAGGAGGGTCATTATGCCAGAGAAAAGGCTGATAATGCTGTCCAAGTCACTCATCATATCAATTCCATCATCCCTACTTCAGTTTTTTCACAAACAGTGAGGAATGTCCTCAAGGAAGCCAATCTTAGGGCTGTAACAAAGAAGAAGAAGCCTCTTCTTTCCATCACTCATAGGAAGAGAAGACTAGTCTTTGCCCTAGCCCATCAAAACTGATGAGACTAAAATCAATAGAATTGGGTCAGATGGGAAGGTATATGTATGGAAAAAGAAGGGGGGGCCTCTTACAGACAGAGAGATTAATGGAACTCTTAAGTTTGGAGGATGTTCTCTAATGGTGTGGGGATGTATGGGGTGGAATGGTGTGGGAATGCTTGCAGAAGTTGAGGGGAGGATGGATGCTGAGCAGTATGTGGACATCCTCAACCACCACTTGCTGCCTAGCATGGCAGAATCAGGAATTAATGAAGAAGAGATTATTTTCCAACAGGATAATGATCCAAAGCATACATCCAGAAGAGCCAGAGAATGGTTTAAAGAGCACAATATTTACCTCCTTGAATGGCTAGCACAATCCCCTGATGTTAATGTCATCAAAAATCTCTGGGGAGTACTCAAGAAGAGGCTTTTAGCCTATGAACACCCTCCTAAAGGAGTATGGGAGTTATGGGAGAGAGTCACAGTGGAGTGGGGAAAGATTACAGAAGAGGATTGTCAGAAGTTGATTGAAAGCATGCCTAGAAGGATAGAGGCAGTAATTAAGGCCAAGGGAGGTCACACTGAATACTAGAACACCTAATTATCTGTGTAAAATACTTGAGTCAAAAAACTGTCCACATAAGTCATCATTTTGTAAGGCCTATAGCACCACCATATTACCATGTATTCCCACGCATAAGGGCTCAGATTCACGCCCAAAAGGAGTACTACATAGTACCACACTGGCATATTCTTGGTCTACCTGTTCATTCATATACAATCATGTAAATAGTGAAAATAGCACAAACATGTGGACAGTTTTTTGAGCCACTGTACCTAGGCCTCTGATCGAGCTGCCGGATGATGACAATCAGTGCTCCCCTCCTCTGTTGCGTCCTGAGAAGAAAAAACCACCAATTGAAAAAAAAAACACACTGTCGACCCACACTCCCTGAATCTGACAAGGACAATATTGAGGAACGTGCACCATCGCCTTCTACACCCCCAGTGAAGAAGACTCCATCTCACTCTCAGACTACCAAGCACCGTCGACCCATACTCTCTGAGGATGATGAGGAACATGCATCATCGCCTTCCCCACCCCCAGCAAAGAAGATTCGATCCGACTCTCCTCTACCCCCACTTACCGAGGATGAAGACAATGAGCCCTCCCCTCCACCACCACCAAGGCCTATGAAACAGGCAAAGAAAGTAGTGCCTCGCCCTGTTGTTCCTCCCTCCCCTCAGCCTGCTGCAACAAAGGTCAGATTGAAGTTAAAATTTCCCCCTGCTAACCAGCCATTCATCGAGGATGAAGACATCACTCCCAACGCACCAGCCACACCCAAGAAAAAATGGAAGAAGACCTCTTCTACCAAAGCCACCAAATGAAACCCTCCTCGTGACAAGAAACAGACGAACAGCTTCTAGTTGCCCACCTGTCTTTCTGGATTCATTATCCAACCTGCTGTTTTCCTTTGCGCACTTATGCTTCTGGTCATACTCATTTTTGCTCACACCTTTCACTGCTGGTTGTTTATTGCACTTCATTGTATTTTAGTATCATACTGGAGCTAATAGATTGGCCTGGATGGCCTTGCAATGTACTACCTGGCTCATTAGTCCGTGCATGCACCTTAAGTCTTAATGAGCCTCTTAAGCCTTGATAACCTTCTCAAGCCTTGCATGACTACAATTGCTTCTCCTTCATACAAGCCTAGCGTTACATTTCTGGATGGGAGTATTTCTGCTCATGGTGCTGTGAGCCTTGCGCAATCCACCAGGCCTACAGCCACCTCGTATGGCCTTGTTAGGCCAGTCAAGGCCTCATAAGACCTGGGCAGTTTTGCTGATGTATTGGTACAAAAACAGACAAAAAAGTGTTCTATTCTGACCTATTATATGTACATAGCCTATACTAATACTTATCTACAGTAGATAGGTGGATATGGTATGGTGGTGGGCAGGAATATGATGGGGAGCAGTGTGGGAAATGTTGAGATCCGGGAGATGACCAGAAATGGATATGTTTTGGATGTAGTGACAAAGTTCCCATAGTCAAAAAAATGCGGTGGTGCATGAGGATGCTTAGCATGCCATGCAAGGCATGGTCATCATGCATGACCCATGCAAGTAAAATAATAGAACATGACTATATGTACATCATGCATGAGTACCACAGCATCAGGTGAACCGGCTGCTGGGTTTGAAGCCAACTGAGATAAGTTCCCAACCTGCAGGTCCAAACTGTTATGTAGAAAAGAATGAGGCCTGCATTATAAAAGGTGCTGGAGACATCATGTTGTAATCTGAGGTCTGATTTGACGCATTGTGATATATAGGTCCAGTGGAGCTCTGAGAGTCGCCAATTCAAGCGCAACAAAGTATTTCAAGATTGTTCGGAATTGTTCAAACCTCTTTGAGATTCTTCATAGGTTGAATCAACTTGCACTCCATACCAGCACTTGAAGAATGAGTTTAGGGCAGGTGGGGTCCCCCAGCTTAGTGCTCGGGGGACCTGCAATCAATTTTAGCACTGAGATATGACAGCTCAAAATAAAGTAGTATACAAGTCATCAGGATGACTGAGAATGCACTCAAAAACCAAGTAACGGGACAACTGAGACCAGGAAAAAAGAGTAAGACTTGACCAAAACCGCTATAGGGCTAGATTTTTTTTTTATCTTTTTTTTTTTTTATAGAAATGATCCCTGAAATCAACAAGCCACTGATGCACAAATACAGCAGAAAAATACAAACAGATCTGATAATCTCGGTGAGCTACAGATTTTGAGAACCATGTATGAGGAGATGAAGCAAAAATGGGTGCTTGCGAATGTACTTCTGGAATTCATCTGAGGACCAGCGTCCCACTGCCTGTATCAGCGCAGGCGCAACACCAGCCGCAGCTAGAGCAGTAGCTCCTCCAGCATGCATTGAATGCCCAGAAATAGTCGGTGGGAAAAAATGCCAAAGATAGCGCATGAACCATGCACGTGTTGGGACAATCCCAGTGGCTGCCAGCCATAACTGAGGATGGTGGGGAAAGAGATTGTCACAAGCAGCAACATACCTCCACAAGAGTTCTAAGGGATCCACCCTAGCATTCAGTTTGTCCTAGCAACAAAATCTCACATCCCACTCCCAAGGTACTTGTTTTATGATGAGGCAGAAGATAGGTTGCCAAAGTATGAGTGAGAGTAAGAGAATGCCGCAAAGGGACTTTGCGATACAATTGATGTTTTTTCATGTTAGGCCAACACAACTCGGCTAAACATTGCAAAGTTTTAAACCCAGTAATGAGTAGGGCAACAAACAATATGTCATCATAGTCCATCGACGAACCGAGTGCATCCACTATGAGGGCAAGGTCATCAATAGCGAGAGGTTGTTTGTGCTGAACAGGTCTAGACAAGCGCCACTTGCAACCTTTAAGGGGGTATGGTACCGGCACAGCGGTAGGTGTCCAAGTCAGATAATGCTATCTGTCATGATAAGCGATAAGGGTTACCAGTGTATCAGTAGAGGCAATAAGGGAGAAGCACACGGCTTCTATTGATCCTGGTCTAGGTCTAGTCTAGAGCTATCATGCTCCAACAGCTGTCATGCTGTGCTATGCAGTTTAGTCACATGCTGGTGATGTCATCTGTCATGTGTTGTGATGCAGTTGTGACGGTGACATTTGGTGGAGATGATAGGGATCTGAGGGTCCCTGTAACAGTGCATACTGACAAGTTTGAGCACTGCGGGTACACTCTCCCACATTCCACTTATGACAGGGTTCTCGCCAACTGAAGACAGATTTGGCCCATGCAGGTGCACCAGACGCGGATTGCTTGTCTTCGTCGTAGTGCCTGCCATCAGATTGGAAGTGAGACTCATAGATGTCAGTGAAGGCTGCAAAGTCGGATAGTTTGACTCTGTGCGAGTTTGCGGCTCAGTTCCTGACGGCTTTATCATAGCGAATGATTCTTTCATGGGTTCGCTCGAGTCTTCGGTCAAATTTATCATTGATACATTCTCCATACGCGGCGAGCTCATCCTCTTGATGAGGGAAAGGAAACTTAATGGCTCTAGCGGTCCTGTTCCATGCTGCAGACCATTGCACAGCAGTTGTGATTTTCTTTGACACCACTTCTGAAGTTCTGGAGAACTTAATCTCAATATCTCCAATCGTTTCAGTACATTTGTCAATAGGTGTGTGAGGAAGAGATGATGGAATGTATGGCGTCAAGGTTAACACATTTGCCAGCAACAATTTCTGCCCATCCGGATTCATGGAATTCTGGGCAGCAATGGTGATACATGAGCTGTTGTCATACTTCTTTGGGGTCTTGAGACCAGTTAAGGAGGATTTCATTAGTATGCATGAGGTTTGTGGAGAGCTGACCTCCTCTAAAGGATTGTTCGGCTCATCCAAGACAGGTGAGATCCAACTTGCATCGCTTTCAAGTGGATTCCTCCTGCTCAATGCTTTGCTCCTGTTGAAGTCCATCCTCTCTAGGAGCGATGGAGTCCCTGTCTTCAGAGTGTCATGCATCTGCTGATTCACGAGAGGCTCTCGACCTTTCAAGTTCTTTCGACCATTTGTCAAGCATATCAAAGTACAGTGTGGCGAATAAAAGATTTGGCTTGGTCCGAGGCTTGGTCGGTTCCCGACACAACAGTCTTTGTGATAGTGACAATCGCTTCTTGTTTTGAGATGATGCCCTGTTTGTAGTCAGTCAACTGTGCTGAGGCACTTCTCCACTAATTCTTGTTGGGATACAGTTGATCTTCCAGCGTTGGTTTGAGACGAAGTCCCTGATCTTCCCGGTCCCATAAGAGATGACTGAGTGTTTGAAGTGGCATTCTGAGAGTCTGACATGGAGGTACGACCAAATTAAGTTTGAGCAAAAATTCAATAAATAGCTTAAATTATGGCGCAGGAACATGCGCGAGCAGGAGTGCTCAACACTGGTGATGGTAAGGATGAAAAGACTGTCGTCTGAAGTCTGCGCCACCAGCATTTAGGAGAGTCGGTCACAAGCATGCGTCACTGTTAGTCGTGACAAGCATGTGCACAGACCAGGACTCAGCTAGAACCGAGTGCAAGCATTGATTCAACTTGTTTAAACTACAGTCGTTTGCATATTAACTTTCAGTTGCAAAACCACACAACACATATTTGTGTATATTTGTAGGGCAGAAAATACCTGTAGATAGTTGGATATACCTACATGTTGATGTGACATGTCACACCTCCATGCCAATGGCTCTGTCTCAAGAGATCAGAATGTGTGTTGTGGTCTTGTGCTATGAACAGCATAGAACTGCAGCAGATATTGCTGAAATTGTCGGATGTACTGAACGAACCGTCTATAACATCCTCTGTCTTTATTGCAACTTTGGCCAAGCTAGCAACCCATTTCATACGAGCAGCCGGCGTCCACAAACACTCGATCAAGGAGACCTCACATACATCACTTCCATTCTCGATGCCAACCCTTCAGTCTACCTTGACGAGCTTCAAGAGAAACTTCTTGTTACTCGCAATGTGGAGGTGTCAATTGCAACACTTTCTCGCACCCTTCGTCGTATGGCTATGACACACAAAAAAGTCTCAAAAACGGCTATGGAATGGAATGAGGCACTGCAGTGCAACGTGGCAAGCAGCACATGGAGATATTCCAAACTTGCTGCAAGTAGCGAAAAAGGATGCTTCCAATCTAAACCATTGCAAGACAGACTGTACTGATGGGCCAGGGTGATGCAGTCAGTTTAATGTAGGAGCCGCACAAAAAAAACTCATCTATCAATCTTCAGCGCGTCAGCGGTGTGACAATATAATTCAGCGGTGAGGTTAGGGTTTCTGTGCCATATTTTCAATTTCGTACTGTGAACAAATATATACAAACACGTGTTGCGCGGTTTCGCAACTGAAAGTTAATATGCAAACGACTGTAATTAAAACTCGAATCATGAGGGCCGTAATGATCGCTGACTAATCAACATCTTGTGCCACTGCATGCATCTCTAGTGATTCAAATCTGATGGTACCATCAACTACAATGCACCCATGTCTGCTAGTTTCAGAGATTCTAGTCAATATCTTCGCAGAGGTCAACGAACGCGACGACGAAGAAGCAGCTAGGACTTTGGCTGCTCTCTGTCGCACGTGCCGCACCTTTCGGGAGCCTGCCATGAAAGTCTTGTGGGCGCACCTGGGGACTATAGTTCCTTTAATCAGATGTATTCCTTGTGTCAAGACTATCAAGAGTAAAGGGAAATCACCGGATGAACTCCCGATTTTGGTGAGCCCTCCTTGACCTCACTGTCACTACGTCATCTGAGTATCCCACGCAGGCCCTCGAAAGAGAGCTATCCTCTGCAGACTGGGAGATATTCCTTTCGCATTCACGCCTTGTACTCACTTGTGGTTATTATGTCTCGAGAAGAGACAAACATCCTGTCCTTAACTCGCCTTCGCATGATATTGGCATAGACGTCTTGCGCGCACTATCATCTCCTCCACCTTCCTCCACCGTTTTTCCTCACTTGCGGAAGATCAGATGGACTGACTCGCGGGAAGATTCTATCCGATTCTTCCGCCTAATACTGACCCCTACTCTCGAATTCCTTGATATGTCATCTATAAATAACACAGTCTACTCTGTCATACTCCCTTCCATTGGCGATGCCTGCCCGTCCCTAAGGATTATGCATCTTCCCAAATGGTCCTTTCTTCACCTCCCTGACATGTTCGACAAGTGGTTAAATCTTGCGTACGTGACCTCCGGGCCCCTTGCAGATGCCACTATCCAATCGCTTGGCCGGCTGGAGCATCTTGCAAGTATGGATATTTGTCTCCACAAGTTGCATGACATAAAGTCACTTGTTGAGAACCCTGGGTTTTCTACCCTGCGCCGGCTCGTGCTTCGTGCATACAACATCAACCTTGTCACGGCTTTCATGCGGCAAGTCAAATCTGTTCATCTCCGTGAAGTGAAGTGCTATCTACCACACGGAACAACCGCAGCGGGTATACAGGAATGGATAACAATTCTTCTGGATCGTTGCATGCCAAGAAGGCTAGAGATTCTGGAGATCGAAGACTATGCTGATGCCGGCGCAGATTTCCCTGGTCAATTCACGCTCACCCCTGACACGCTTCGACTCTTGTCCCGCTTTCGCGGACTCACAACACTGGATCTCGCTACTGCATGTACATACTCGTTGGACGATACCACCTTAACGCAGTTGGCCAGTTGTTGGCCCAGTCTGCAAAATATTGCGCTGGGAACCCACTGGGGTTGGAGACAACAGAGTGACGTCACTCTGAAAGGTCTGCTATCTTTAGTGCGACAGTGTCCCCAGCTAGAAAGCATCGGCCTCGTGATGAACGCTGTAACTACAGATATCACATCTCAGAGGCCGGGGGGCGGAATTCGGAGGCCCAAAGTCACGATTCTAAACGTAGGAGACTCAAGAGTCGGTGACCCTCTCGCAGTCGCTGCATTCCTGTCGGACGTTTTCCCGCGTTTGCTGACAGTCGATGCATTTAATCATTTGGGGGGCAGGCGAAGACCAATACCTGCTGCGAAGGAGCACGAAGAAAAGTGGAAAGAAGTGGAAAGACTTTTACCTGCATTCTCCAAAGTTCGCGCCCAGGAGCACCTTCCTGTGGGGCCAAGAAGGAAGGCCTTCTTTCTTGATGAGCTCTATCTAGCTTGAAGAAACTTGATATTAGCAAACATTTTGGAATATCTATGAAATAGAGGTATGTAATACGTGGCGGTGGCGGCTAGAGGATATTCTGACTGGTGACCAGTGACGAGCGTCTGTTCTTTACCGTATGGCGCGTACGCACGTGTTATAAATCTCCCGCATATAATTAGTTGATAAGTTATCCTGCCAGTTGATGTACATCGATCCAATTGGACAACTCCATGCATATGCATTCATACGTCGACGTGTTGGGCTACCCGACAGTCTGGTCCTAATTATATCTGACCTTCCTAAAGCTTATTCCGGAGAGTGTGCCGGACTCAATCTATTCCTATTCAAGTTCCATCATCGTTTGAAGGGGCTCTGAGATCTGCATATACTCAAGTACTCACGCCTCAAATACTAGTGCTTTTCCACGATCCTCTCATTATTTGTACTCTTCAGACCTTGTGGCGATCATAGCTGCATGCATCGTTATCACGGCGGGTGCCAGGTAAGCAGTAATTCATTGCATTAGTCTACCAGTGATGACCGGTACCGGCTAGACTATTGACGGAATTCCACCGGGATATCATGAAGTTTACGACATCGAAGTGATACACGTTGCAAGTCAATCAATACATGTGGTTGCATCACGAGCTATGCTGTTGAACAGAGCAACCGTTAGCCTCAGTATATGGTACAGGAGCCTGGTGCTCGCGAGACTCTATTTCTGGACGGCATGCTATTTGTATATATAAGCAGAGGGAGGAATCGTGCTGGCATTCCAAGACCAGGTCAGCCTCTTCAAGTCTAGGTAAACCCGCCATGGCGTCCGTTGTTGTTGCTGTCCTCCTGGTTGCTGCCGCCGTCAATGCACTTCCACCTCTCAACTCGCGACAGAGTATCACGGCTTTGACGACGTCGCAGATCGACCACTTCACACCATATACGCATTACGCCAGCGCAGGGTACTGCACAAACACGCAGACGCTCGCATGGAACTGTGGCAGTGAGTACCCACACGCGTCTACTTGGATGTATTGCTCTCTAATGATTCTGATGCATCGAATAGCCAACTGTAACGCCAATCCGAACTTCAAACCAGTTGCCTCCGGAGGTAATGGCGACTCTGTTCAGTACTGTGAGTGTTACTGGAACAGAACTTCGTTTTGAGTTGTGGTCTCAATAACTGAAACCAGGGTTCGTCGGATATGACCCAAATTTGAATACGGTGATCGTCTCCCACCAAGGCACGAATCCCTCTGAAATGCGAGTAGCTTCTGGCTCACAGAGACTATGTACTGATGCACATTCGGCAGTCTGCCCCTCATCACCGATGCTGATTTCTTTCTGACCACCCTGGATTCGACATTGTTCCCGGGTATCAGCTCGGGTATCGAAGTTCACAACGGCTTCGGAAACGCTCAGGCTAGGTGGGTACATGATTATGCATGGTTGGCTGTGCTAGTACTGTGCTTATCATTCCAAAAGTACCGCCACTGATGTCCTTGCCGCCGTCAAATCCGCCATGTCCGCTCACGGCACCACGTCGGTCACTATGGTTGGTCACTCTCTTGGTGCGGTGCATTTCTCGTGCTGGGCTGTTAGGCCTTGCGTTTATTAGGATATTCACAGGTGCCGCGATCACCCTGCTTGATTCTGTATATCTCCCCCTCTGGCTTCCTGCGGGAACGACCTTCCAGACCATTTGTTATGGCCTTCCTCGTGTACGAAATTTTCTCACTCTTGTCGCCGCTCAGCTAAAAAAATTCTGAACAGGTTGGGAACCAAGCCTTTGCCAATTATGTCGACGCACATGTCCATCTCACACACATCAACAATGAGGAGGACCCAATCCCCATCTGCCCCGGTATGTTCCTGGGCTTCGTGCACCCCGCAGGCGAGGTGCACATTGAAGACTCTGGCGAATGGGCTGCCTGCCCTGGTTAGTACACGCATCATGTGGTCTTATGACGGCGTACTGAATTGTTGGGCATTAGGGCAAGATAACCCAAGCACTCAGTGCATCGTTGGTGATGTCCCCGAGATCTTTGATGGTACGTATTCAATGATTGCGGTGTTCACTGATCGCGTTGCTGATAGAGTCGTGCAGGTACCGAATCTAACCACGATGGGCCATATAATGGCGTCGAGATGGGCTGTTGAACTGGCGCGATTTGAGCTGAAGATACCCCTTCTGTTTTGCATGTCACTTTCATTCCCGGTGTTGTATTTTTCCGGTATTCGGACTCCTTTGGTGAAACGTATTCCCAGAAGTAGCTGTTGGGAACAGACGGCTCAAACTTATCATTGATGAGGGATACATTAAAGCGGCCACCGGCATGAACCATATTCAAATTGGATGAATGATCAGCCAGAGCGTTATTATTCTATATCATCATGGATTAGTTCACCGCCAGCACGGACTAGCTCGGAGGTCTGTCAAGCCGGTTGGCAGAACGTTCTGCCCTTCGATTCAGTGGTTTCGTCCGCATCGAAGTCGTAGTACAGAACAGCGTAATTTACATATTCAATAACTTTCACAGGACGCAACTTGGGAAGCAATGTTAAAAACTGACTGAGTAGGACATGAGCGCTTTACGAACTAGGGAGTGTGGGAAGTATTGATGTCGGACATAGGTTCATGCAAGGTAGACTCGTGACCAGTCCGTCTATGAGGCAAACGGACTGGTAAATCTAGGTTGCATTTTCATAGTGCGCGGGTTGGAGTAGTAACGTGATCTTCAGCCAATCGGAAAACTGTATTTTTTGATGTGAATGTGAAATAATTTAAATTAATGTTTCTGAGTGTCACGCATGTAAATGATCACTATTCTGTTCTACAACATCAATGGATACGAACACCCTCATCCAAGCCGTTCATCGAGCATCATTACGGTGCTAGATTTTTTTTCTTGCTTGCTGATACAAGAATAACTTCCTACCGACTACATTGAACCTCTCAGTGAAAATGATATGACTCCACCAATGGTGGGAAGGAGCCTGGTAGTACCCTGAAACTCACGCGACTGGCTTGACAACTACTGTACGCAATCTATAGCTAATTCACTCGCGAAGTCCGTAGAACCAACGTGGAGCCTTAACGTCGTCCAGCTGCAGCTACCTTCAGGCCAACTCAGGCACTCGAAAACTCCACTGTCCGATTTTCGTTTAGCTTCTTGGTCGTTGCTTCCCCGCACGAAGAGTTATCTCAGTGACGTCCTTCGATTCTCAAGAATTGCATCCGTAAAATCGAGGATAACCACCAGCATTACGGTATGGTCTCGACTTGAAGCACCTCACTTACATTGACACACAGTGGGCATGAAACACACAAGAGCCCGGCCCTGTCAGTGGTGCGCAATTTAATATTCAGAATGAAGAGAAGTTAATAGACAAGGTAGAGGTCATCTTATAGTACACGGAACATCGCAAGTCGAACACGCGCGGTCGCATCGAGGACGCTTGACGAAGCTGTAGTCCATATGCTTGAACAGACAGGTTGCTTAGGTGAGTGATCTTAAACATCTCTTGCTCTTCCACATAGAACCTTGAATGACGAGTGTTGTGTATCAACTGGCACCTCTTATATAGTCGACTTGATACACGCGAACCCATAACGCGGCGGACTTGTGTCACTGACATGAGTGACTTTCTGATCACGATTCCTTCGAGCTTTCACCATTATCAGACGAATATCAGACAGAACCCTACACGTATTTGGTTATCCACGTCACTGAAATCCGCATGACCATAATCCATCACTTTCATGCGCCCATCTGACCTTTTTCACTGCACCCACTGACCTCCAGCCCTGCTTTATCAACGCGCTTTTGGCAGCCTTATCTCTTTGTTAATATTAGTCGCGGACAGCCTTTCCGCCTTATCTCTTGAGAAGCATTCTTTAAGGTCTGAGTTTGTCGTTCCGTCGTACAATTCCATCCCCAGCACGCACCGATATGCCACATTGGACTGCTCTAGTCGCAGAAAAGAAGCAGAGGCAGCTAAATTCCATTCCTCAGGATTGGCTGGTGACCCCGCCTCCTAGACTCTACCCTGGATGTCACTAGTTTTCCAGAGACCTGTGGGCTTTTGAATGCGAGAGAAATTGAGATCACCAATACTTCTGTGGATGTTTTGTTGGAGAGACTTGCGAGTGCGGAGTGGACAGCTATAGAGGTGACAACTGCGTTCTCCAAGAGGGCTATTGTTGCCCATCAGCTTGTGAGTCGAATTCCGATGCATTGCTTGACAAGATTGTATTGACCGGCCGACGAGGTCAATTGCTTGACGGAAATTTTTGTTGATCGTGCATTGGCCCGAGCGGCTGAGCTCGATGATCATTTGAAGAAGACAGGGAAGATCGTTGGCCCACTTCATGGGCTGCCAATATCTCTAAAGGACCAAATATGTATCAAGGGACTAGAAACCATTATGGGTAAGCACTAGTCCAGCTGCAGACCTAGCGCACTGTGATTCACCAGGTCTTAGGTTATGCGTCGTGGATTGGGAAGTACGCGGATAAAAACGCAGTGCTGGTGGACGTTCTGATTGAATGCGGAGCCGTGCCATTCGTCCGCACTAACGTTCCGCAGACACTCATGGTGAGCACATCCCCAAGATGGATGCTACTGGTGTACTAGAAGCATCACCAGTGGCCAGAATCCTTCAATAGTGTTTTCGGCCGGACGCCTAACCCATACAACCGCTCTCTGACCTCGGGTGGATCATCAGGAGGAGAGGGTGCCTTGGTTGCCCTCAAAGGAAGCCCTCTGGGAGTCGGCTCGGATATCGGAGGGTATGAAAGGGATTTCCAAGTATCATTAGTAGTATACTGCTGACGACCCCCTGACAGCTCTATTCGTATTCCCTCTGCATTCTGCGGCTTATACAGCCTGAGACCGTCATACGGGCGTGTACCATACTGTGGCGCCCTCAACTCACTCGAGGGCCAAGACTCGGTCCCCTCCGTGTTCGGTCCTATGACAAACAGCCTCAGCGGGGTCAAAGTCTTCATGAAAGCTGTCGTTAACGCCAAACCATGGCTCAAAGACCCTCTTGCGGTTCGGAAGAAATGGGACGAAGACGAATATAATCTCGCAGACCATGGATATGGCAAAGATTTGTGCTTTGGGATCATGTGGGACGATGGCGTCGTTGTTCCCCACCCATCAAGAGGTCTCTGGAAATCACAAAAGCGGCACTCCAGAAGGCGGGCCACAAAGGTTTTCTCTCGCTCAACTCCTCTGCTGAATCATGCTCATTTAGTGGTAGTTGTTGACTGGAAACCCATCAAGCACAGATTGCTCCAACAAGTCACGGTCAGCACTTAGGTCTTTACTATGCCTGTCTATTCACCTACTGGGAACACCATGCAGATGGATATCTTGACCGCCGCTTCCACCGAGGACATCATGATCACGACCTCTGTCACAGGGGAGCCAATAATTGCAACAATGGAGCTGGACGATACAGGCTTCCGTCCGCAAAACAGCGGCATCACCGCATACCAGCTCTGGCAACTGCAGAAGCTGCGTCAAAATACCCGAAAAGAATACCTAGATCACTGGGAAGCAACTGCGTCAGAGACTGGGACAGGACGACCTGTCGACGCTATCATCTGTCCGGTCGCAGCATATGCGGCACCTCCCCATGGGAAGAACAGGTCAGTGTCTTTGTAATCCCGGATGTTTGAACGTCAATAAGAAACAATACGCAGCTACACCAATTACACTACCGTTTGGAATGGACTCGACTATCCCGCCACGACTTTTCCTGTGACTACTGTCGACTCCACTCTCGATGGGCAGGAGCCTCCCCATGGTTTCTATGATGATTTCGATCAATACGTGTACGAAATGTGTGAGTAGTGCTAGCACTGAACGACCTCTCAGTGATTTTCTGATGCTTAATGATTGATTCAGACGACCCGGAGAAATTCAAGAACGCCCCTGTTTGTTCTTGTTGGTCGGACTCTGGAGGAAGAGGCGGTCATAAAAATGACAGAAATTGTCGATGCGGCACTGACAGCCACAAAATAAGTTCAAGGTATACCTATCAAACACAAAGCAGCTATCAACATGTTGACAAATAAATCTACACCTCGGTCCAGTCTGAATAATTCGAAAGCTATAATTATTCAGACTTTTGGTGTTGGTTTGAAAACCTTCCGCCTTGCAGGATCACCGCGACAGCACTGACCCAATAGTATAGTTCTGTGTGCTGATCTACTCATTCGTCCATGCCACCTTCTTTATGTTCACACTGATAGAAGAGCTACGTATGCCTCATCCAGAAGTACCAGAGAATGGAGGGGGACTGCGAATGAGTGCTCCGCATAAAAGCCTTTTTAGACGAGTGTATTCCCAGCATCCACACCAGAGCCGTGGCATATAGGCAGCTCGACATGATATATGGATTGTCGATGAAAGCCAGCATAACAAGTATGTGACAAGCTGTCAACACGAGCCTCGTCTTGACAATGGATCCGATAAGGATGGGTATAGTAGGGACGCCGGTCTTCAGGTCGTCTTCGAAATCACGGACGTCAGTCATGACCTATAAACATAGTTCAAGTCCTGCCGATCACCATACGCTGCCTACGTACTGCATGACATGTACAGTTGGCGGTTGACCAGACGATCAGTTGAACACTAGTCCATGGAGACAGCATTGCGCTACTGAAACGTCCCGACCTGGACAACACGGTGTGGACAACGATGTAGGTGCCACATTTAAAGGCATTGGTTTACGCGTACAGGTCGCATCGATTCGCAGCGAACATGCAGACGTACTCTCGAATGATACCGTTAAAAATTGCTTTCATGCCAGGGATGCGTTTGATAACAAGAGTAGACGTGGATGTAAGAGGCTGATGCTCGTCTTCACCAGAGATCCCGATTAGGCGCTTCAAAATCAGCCCAAACTTCGAGAGGTTGATCGGAGTGGTCCAGAGCAAAGCAAGAACTACGAACGCTGCCGTGGCGAGGAGCGTCGAAATTGGGCATAACCATAGTGTCAGTCCAAGAAGCACAGCACTGGCAGTAAGGAAGGTTCGTGCATATGCAAACCAAGAGATAAGGTGTCGGTCTTTTGCGTCATTATGGTGATATGAAAATTCGTCCTTTTGGTCCTTGAGATGGTCAGCTTCAATGGCAAGGATATCCGACATCACATATATGATTACCTGCGAGTGAAATTCACCTCAACCTGGGGAAGTAATGCATTATACAGGGTAGTTACAAACAGTAGTGAAGTAGGGAGGGTGTGATATTGTGGAGATTCCCAAAATGGGCGATGTTTTTGGTGTTGTGGGGTAATTCCCACACTGTGGCCGGAAAATGCGGAAATATCATGTGTGGGAATATTGTGGACCAAAACACTCTAAGCTTGCTTGATGCTTCGTCTCTGACTTGATGCTTCACTCTCACAAGTTTAGAGTTATTTTTGCATCAAGGCTTGTGTCTAATCTGACATTTTGAAGCTTCAATACTACAGGTACAGGTGAGCATAGAGGCTACTCTAGTATGTAGACTACCTCCCCACGCGATGGGTAGGAGTCTGATGGTACACTAGATTTTCAGACATCCATGGCTATGTGCCGATAACATATGAGCCATATTTAGCAGGAGCAGAATTATGTCCTCCTATATATAGTTCCCACGGTTACCATGTCAAGGACTCATCAGTTCTCTGATGACTAGCGGGCGTACGTGCGCCTCCACTTACTTTCTTCAATTCCCTCATCCTCGTAATGGACGCACTCAAGAATATGCTGTCCCCACTGGGGGTGGGCAGTGCTAACGCAATACAAGACACTCTTGTACGCATGCGTCCGTTGAGGAGCAGAGAATGTACTGACGGTCAAATCTTCACTACAGAAACTTGTTGTCATTGGTGGGACTGTCGAAACAGCCAGAAGAGCCTCGGCGGGAGCATGGCATACATTCCTTGACTGTACGGAACGCTCCAGAGCTCACTGACTATCCGCAACTAATGTTTATATCTGCAGCCTTCTTCTTGACCGCACATTTCAGCCAGGAAGACTATCCGTATGACTGGTAAATTTTATTTACCCACACCGTGACCAAGTTTTTACCACTGTTTCTAGGCTTATGCACTGGCTTTCGAAGGTCGGTAGCAATTTGAACATGACCAACCATGAATGGTATTGACGCTAAGCGCAGCAACCGGCCTGGGGACGCAGTCGTGAATTTGAAATCACTACAAGGACGGTTGGCCGTAATGGTCTCACGCAGTCAACGACCGGTGACCTAGACGAGGAAGATGAAGAAGAAGATGAGGATGAAGATGCTCTCGTACACAAACGTCGCAAACGCAAGGTGACGTTCATACCAAGTATAGGTAGGGTAATTGCCACATATAGGTTCCACGTGGCTTAATCTTTTGCTAGATACGACTCACACCATTTATTACCGTGGCCATTGGCTTCGGGTATGTGATACCATGCTATTGCTGTTCGGTGATGTCCTCGGAACACTAACGTGCTTTGATAGATAACCAGGACCAAGCGCTACCCAGACTATGGTCATGGCTCGGCCCTGAAGATTAGGCCAGTTCTTTTTTCTTCTTTTTCTTTTGTCATAGTGTTCCTTCAGCATGCTCATCGCCCTGCAGTGTGATCGCTCGCAACAATGACATTTTAAAGAAACTCGTTCTTGAGGCGAAGCGCGAGTACGAAAAGGATGCCGAACATCGCGTTCATATTTTCATGGCCGATACGTGAGTCTCGGCTTGTCATTAAGGTACAGACGTATCTCATTCCGTTCTAAGGACGTATGAATGTTGGCGCTGGAATGGAGCTCGCCAGAAGCGCCCTATGAGCTCAATTGTATTGCAACCAGGCGTTAAAGATATGCTTTTGGCTGATTGCAAGGACTTCCTGTGTTCTGAGGATTGGTGAGTGAGCTTCTAGAATCGAATTGCTATCAGAACATCAATGGCTTTTTACAGGTATGCTGAAAGAGGTGCGTGAGAGATGGTTTAACGTTGAAATCAGACTGACGCCATGCAGGTATACCGTTTCGCCGTGGATATCTATTGCACGGTGTTCCTGGAAGGTCCGTACGATCATTGCGTTCTGATTATCACCGATACTCACGCTCCATTGGTCATAGCGGCAAGACTTCCTTGATACATTCATTGGCGGGTGAATTAGGTTTGGATATCTACGTTGTCAGCTTGTCGTCAAAGGGGTAAGACTCGCTTGAGCCACTGAGTAACCGACTATTAATGTTTTGCCAAAATTAGGATGAGTGATAATACGCTGACAACATTGATGGGTCATGTACCATCCAGGTATGTTTCACTGTTATCGAAGGTCATTTGCCGGTGTTCATTTTATTCTCATAACCAGATGTATTTTGCTTCTTGAAGATCTGGACGCCGCGTTCACGCGCTCCGTCAGTCGTGATGCATCATCAACCGGCGCTCCCACAGCATCTAACACCAGTAGCACTGCGAATGAGACTAACGATGGATCAACATTGAGCTTGAGTGGACTTTTAAACAGCCTCGATGGTGTCGCCGCTGCAGAAGGCCGGTGGGTCGCATAACTTCCCTCTGAAACCTCGCCACTGATGTAACTTACAGACTCCTTTTTGCTACGACCAACCATATTGAGCGCCTTGATCCAGCTCTGAGCCGTCCAGGCCGCATGGATGTCTGGGTGAACTTCACACATGCGACGAAATGGCAAGCTGAAGGCATTTTCAAATGCTTCTTCCCCTCCAAGCCCGCTGGTGGTGCTGCCAGTGCATCTCCATCTGAAGAGTTGTCCCAGAACGTTGACGCCTCCCAGAAAAACCTCCCCCTGCTAAAGCGAAAGACGCCTAGTCACACTATTCCTGTGCTTGATGAGACTGAGATTTCTGAGCTTGCTAAGCGTTTCGCAGATGCTATCCCTGAGAATGAGCTAAGCGTAAGTTTTCGGGGTCGATGATACATTCGCGACTGACACCATTCCAGGTTGCTGCGCTTCAAGGTTACTTGTTAAAGAACAAGGTCCGCCCACGCGAATGCGTTGATGAAGTTGCGCAGTGGTACGTTGACATACCTTGAGAAGTGCATCATGACCTCAACTATCTTGCAGGGTCGTTGAGGAACGCGAGACGCGTGAGAAGCTCAAGAAAGAAAAGGCGGAAGTACGTATGGCACAATATCTGCGTGACGGTTTATGCTGAATTTTTTCAAGCGCGAGGCGAAGGAGAAGGAGGAAGTAAGTTCCTGTCATTCAATTGGTCCTGTTGCAATATCTGATACCATGGGATAGGCCGAGGAGAAAGAGCGTAAGGAGGTACCGTAATTCAGTCCCGTTCCGTTGGATGATATCACTCACACAGTGTTTTAGAAAGAAGAGCAGGCTGTCAAGGAGGTAATGCCTTTCTGTACTTGATTATGCGCGTCCTGATGGTGAGACAATTCTAAAGCAAGAAGACAAGGAGGTCAAAGAGAAGCTTGGGGGGGAAGAGCGTGTTAAACCCATCATCAACAATAACCCTTCAGGACCTCCGGCTTCGATCCCTGCAAGCCAACCGCAAGTCAATCTAGCCGATCTACCACCTAATTTCATGTCTTCGGATTTCATCCAATCTATGTCAGCATTGGAGGATTTAGACCCATCCATGTTTCGGACAGACTTTGAGCAAGACTTCCGTGAATGGTTCGATCCAACCGGCGTGGACCTCAAATGAACGGAGGATGGAAGATATCATCTCGGAGCCACGTGTTTGCGTCGTTGCTCTTGCTTTTCGAACATTTTTACCTGGTGTTCATTTCAGTTCATACGTGTACATAGTTTGTGCGCTGACCCCTTGTTTTCTCTCTCTTCACGCGGAATCATGATGTCTTATTTATCGCAAAAGCTGCAGTGTGTAGTGACATCTTGGTTCTTCCGGTTTAGATAGCTTATTTTTGTCGTCGACTTGTTGTGGTAGTTCCACTTGCTGTTTGTTACTCGCTCGGTCCCCATCTCATCTTGCTGCATGTATAACTAATCTCATCATGATCTGCTTCTCGTTCATCCGTGTTTCGTACTCAGGACACCGTCGCTTATGAAGATCGGGAGAAGCAGTTAAAAGTGTACGACCGAGACGTCCGTTCTATCTATCAACAGGCTGTGTAGCGCAGTATTCGTGCTGCTGAAGTGTTGTGCTGCGACGTTCAGGCTTGCTAAAGAGCAAGTTCCTTCAACAGAGTTGGATTATCTTGTATGATATTCAACCCACCTGCTCCGATGCTGCTCTCGAATGTTGTGGGTGTCCAATACCACCACGAACGATAGCAAGAGAGGATTACTGAAGCACTCGTGACGCCGAGCCCAAGGTCTCATGATCGTTTCAAGATGCCTAGGCTTCGTACCGGCGATGACAACCCTTCATCAGGAAAAAGCCAAAATGGTGGGAGTCCTAGTGACGGCAATATAGTACTACATAGCCACGATAGTGATATGTAGGCAACCAAGTTACTATATAGCTCTATGTACTTCATGTAGCCGAAGCCTGGGCTATGTAGAGCTACAGGAGGCACCAGGAGTAACATTTAGCCCTGTAGCACCTGTAGTACACAGTAGTATAGGTAGTATTATGGAGTACCGTAGTCTAATTAACCATAACGGAAATACAAAATGTATCAAGGTCGATAAAGGTATTCAAGTAGAAATCACTTGCTATCTCATAGACATTTGCACTCGTCCACCCGGGGTCAACAGATTGACCCATCTTCGGAATAAGGTGACATGGACGAACAATTTCATCAACATGTATTACAGCTGCATTCCGGTGCAGTTGACGAGTCGAACGTGACACGGTGGTTATCTGTTTATACTCTTGTCATTGAACTATATACAGGCTTTGAAATAGGGCATCACCAGGGAAGATTAGTTCTAGTTGAATTTTTTTGCATTACAATTATCACATTATTTCGCTACATACTACTTACTTGGTTGCTTGTACTCCATGTGTCGCTTGTAGATTTTGTAATGGAGTCTTGTGTGTCTGTGATGCATGTGTGGTCTTGTATGATCTTGTTTTTGTTGTGGCGCTCTGTCGCCAAATCAGTAGTTTGCTGATGGTCATGACTGACGTCCGTGATTTCAAAGACGACCTGAAGACCGGCGTCCCTACCATACCCATCCTTATTGGATCCGTTGTCAAGACGAGACTCGTGTTGACAGCTTGTCACATACTTGTTATGCTGGCTTTCATCGACAATCCATATATTATGTCGAGCTGCCTATATGCCACGGCTCTGGTGTGGATGCTTGGGTATACACTCGTCCAAAAAGGCTTTTATGGGGTGCACTCATTTGCAGTCCCCCTCCATTCTCTGGTACTCCTGGATGAGGCATACTTAGCTCTTCTATCGGTGTGACCATAAACAGGGTGGCATGGACGAATGAGTAGATCAGCACACAGAACTACACTATTGGGTCAGTGCTGTCGCGGTGATCCTGCAAGGCGGAAGTTTTTCAAATCAACATCAAATGTTTGAATAGTTATAGCTTTCGAATTATTCAGACTGGACCGAGGTGTAGATTTATTTGTCAACATGCTCACGACTGCTTCGCGTTTGATAGGTATACTTGAACTTATTTTGTGGCTGTCAGTGCCGCATCGACAATTTCTGTCATTTTTATGACCGCCTCTTCCTCCAGAGTCCGACCAACAAGTTGCAAACAAACAGGGGCGTTCTTGAATTTCTCCGGGTCGTCTGAATCAATCGTTGAAGCATCAGAGAGTCACTGAGAGGTCGTTCAGTGTTAGCACCACTCACACATTTCGTACACGTATTTATCGAAATCATCATAGAAACCATGGGGAGGCTCCTGCCCATCGAGAGTGGAGTCGACAGTGGTCACAGGGAAAATCGCAGCGGGATAGTCGAGCGAATTCCAAACGGTGGTGTAGTTGGCGTACCTGTGCATTGTTTCTCATTGGTAATTCAAACAGTTCGCAATTACAAAGACACTGACTTGTTCTTCCCATGGGGAGTCGCCACAAACGGTGCGGCCGGACAGATGATAGCGTCGACAGGCCGTCCTGTCCCAGTCTCTGATGCAGTTGCTTCCCAGTGGTCTAGATATTCCTTCCGGATATTTTGACGCAGTTTCTGTACTTGCCAGAGCTTGTACGCTGTGATACCGCCGTTCTGCGGACGGAATCCTGATACCGCGGGATCTGCGTCATCCAGCTCCATTGTCGAAATTATTGGCTCCCCTGTGACAGAGGTAGTGATCATGAAGTCCTCGGGGGAACCGGCGTTCCAGATGTCGCTCTGCACGGTGCTGCTAGGTCAATTGGCAGTATAGTAAAAGACACAGCTGATTACCGTGACTTCTCCAAGCAGTCTGTGCTTGATGGGTTTCCAGTCAACAACTACCACTAAATGAGCATGATTCAGCAGAGGAGGTAGACGAGAAAAACCTTTGTGGCCCGCCTTCTGGAGTAGCTGCTTTTGTGATTTCCAGAGACCTCCTTATGGGTGGGTGGGGAACAACAACACCATCGTTCCACATGATCGCAAAGCACAGATCTTTGCCATATCCATGGTCCGCGAGATTATACTCGTCTTCGTCCCATTTCTTCCGAACCGCAAGAGGATCTTTGAGCCATGGTTTGGCGTTAACGACAGCTTTCATGAAGGCTTTGACCCCGCCGAGGCTGTTTGTCATAGGACCGAACACGGAGGGGACCGAGTCTTGGCCCTCGAGTGAGTTACGGGCGCCACAGTATGGTACACGCCCAGTATGACGGTCTCAGGCCGTATAAGCCGCAGAATGCAGAGGGAATACGAATAGAGCTGTCAGGGGGTCGTCAGCAGGATACTACTAATGATACTTCCAAATCCCTTTCATACCCTCCGATATCCGAACCGACTCCCAGAGGGCTTCCTTTGAGGGCAATCAAGGCACCCTCTCCTCCTGATGATCCACCCGAGGTCAGAGAGCGGTTGTATGGGTTGGTCGTCCGGCCGAAGACACTATTGAAGGATTCTGGCCACTGGTGATGCTTCTAGTACACCAGTAGCATCCATCTTGGGGATGTGCTCACCATGAGTGTCTGCGGAACGTTAGTGCGGACGAATGGCACGGCTCCGCATTCAATCAGAACGTCCACCAGCACTGCGTTTTTATCTGCGTATTGCCCAATCCACGACACATAACCTAAGACCTGGTGAATCACAGTGCGCTAGGTCTACAGCTAGATTAGTGCTTACCCATAATGGTTTCTAGTCCCTTGATACATATTTGGTCCTTGAGAGATATTGGCAGCCCATGAAGTGGACCAACGACCTTCCCTGTCTTCTTCAAGTAATCATCGAGCTCAGCCGCTCGGGCCAATGCACGATCAACAAAAATTTCCGTCAAGCAATTGACCTCGTCGGCCGGTCAATACAATCTCGTCAAGCAATGCATCGGAATTTGACTCACAAGCTGATGGGCAACAATAGCCCTCTTGGAGAACGCAGTCGTCACCTCTACAGCTGTCCACTCCGCACTCGCAAGTCTCTCCAACAAAGCATCCACAGAAGTATTGGTGATCTCAATTTCTCTCGCATTCAAAAGCCCACACGTCTCTGGAAAACTAGTGACATCCAGAGTAGAGTCTGGAGGCGGGGTCACAAGCCAATCCTGAGGAATTGACTGTAGTTGCCTCTGCTTCTTTTCTGCGACTAGAGTAGTCCAATGTGGCATGTCGGTGCGTGCTGGGGATGGAATTGTACGACGGAACGATAATGCGCAGACCTTAAAGAATATTCTTCTCAAGAGATAAGGCGAAAAGGCTGTCCGCGACTAATATTAACAAAGAGATAAGGCTGCCAAAAGCGCGTTGATAAAGCAGGGCTGGAGGTCAGATGGGCGCATGAAAGTGATGGATTATGGTCATGCGGATTTCAATGACGTGGATAACCAAATACGTGTAGGGTTCTGTCTGATATTCGTCTGATAATGGTGAAAGCTCGAAGGAATCGTGATCAGAAAGTCATTCATGTCAGTGACACAAGTCCGCCGCGTTACGGGTTCGCGTGTATCAAGTCGACTATGTAAGTGGTGCCAGTTGATATACAAAACTCGTCATTCAAGATTCTATGTGGAAGAGTTGATGAAATGTTTCAAGATCACTCACCTAAGCAACCTGTCTGTTCAAGCATATGGACCACAGCTTCGTCAAGCGTCCTAGATGCGACCGCGCGTGTTCGACTTGCGATGTTCCGTGTACTATAAGATGACCTCTACCTTGTCTATTAACTTCTCTTCATTCTGAATATTAAAATGCGCACCACTGACAGGGCCGGGCTCTTGTGTGTGTTTCATGCCCACTGTGTGTCAATGTAAGTGAGGTGCTTCAAGTCGAGACCATACCGTAATTGCTGGTGGTTATCCTCGATTTTACGGATGCAATTCTTGAGAATCGAAGGACGTCATTGAGATAACTCTTCGTGTAGGGAAGCAACGACCAAGAAGCTAAACGAAAATCGGACAGTGGAGCTTTCGAGTGCCTGAGTTGGCCCGAAGGTAGCTGCAGCTGGGCGACGTTAAGGCTCCACGTTGGTTCTACGGACTTCACGAGTGAATTAACTATAGATTGCGTACAGCAGTTGTCAAGCCGAGTCGCGTGAGTTTCAGGGTACTACCCATGTTGTGTAATTCATGCCATACTACTATAGTGAGATCTGCGAAGAGATATATAATACTACTGCGAGGCTGAAAATACTTGATATAGATTCTAGAGTATACAGGGTAGCGAAGTTCAATATCCTCATTTTGTGAAATGTGTTATAACGACCAACTAAAGTAATTCAGAACGCCGGCGATCCACTACTATTTCGAGGGAAGGAATAAAGGTAACGTATTCCACTCGCTGCTCATCTGTCGGTACTGTCGTGTTAGCGCCGAAAATCAGGCTCTCCAGTGGACAATTTGACCGTGTCAAGAGTGCCTTGAATTCCTCATGAGGCCATGTTCGTGCGTGTGCATAGCGAACTTCAAGCGCGCGTAAATTGGGGAGTGATAGAGCACTGAACAGGTCATATAGTTCGTCTCCGGCAGATCTAAATCTGAGCCCATATCGTGCGTTCAATAACGCAGTGGTATAATCATAAGGGTCAATTGCAACCGCAGAGCTAAAACTGATGCGTAACGATTGAAGTTTGGTGTGCGTGAATGGCTCTAAGAGCTGTCTTTGGTCGAATTCTGCGTCAATCGTTAACGACGAGAGTTCGGGACACAGATGGAGCAAGTGGATAAATGCATCCGGATGACGCGTAGTGATCTCGACATTCGTTAAGTGGGTCCATACGGGATTAAAAGAGAATAAAGTGTCGAGGTCGAACCTTAGCCCTATCACCTTGAGACTGCATAGAGTCAAAGGCAGTTGGGAGATGGAGACAGAGTGTGCAATATTTGATATACGATTAGAACGGTGCATTGTTATGACCAGCTCCTGAAGTGCTGGGAGGTCTGTTAGAAGTAGTTCAGGTTTGTCGACGGCGTGATGGAACACGATAGAGAGAAACGAGATTTTTTTCATGTAGGGCTGAAGAAGGTTTCGTAGCTTGATTGAGTCCTTTGCACCGCAGCTGAGCGTCAACGAGAGCGGGTGTTCTTGTGATCGCTTGAGCCATAAGTCATAGCAGAAAGCTTGTTGCTGCCAGTTCCTATGATCATCTTTCAGCTCCAGCCTGTGCCACAAACTGGGCATAGCCACAGCAACGTCCCTCCACCGTCGGCATATTCTAGTCAACAGCACAGGAGCTAGCTTTGGTGCGGGCGAAAAGTGGCTGGTTTCCGGGAGACAGTGAACAAAAATTTGGGATAGGACTTCTGTTGGAAAGCGCCAGAGAGCCGATAAAAGTTCTGTTGTGGAAATTCATGGATTGGGTGATCTTGTCCTTCTTTTCGACGAGTTGGTGGTGAAGATGTTTGATACTGTCCATGACTGTTTCCAGGTCTGAGAACTCGTGCAAAACTGCATCCAATTGCTGCTGGCGTTCGGTGATGATGGCGCTGATGGTCCGGTCTTTGAGCTCGATGACAGAGTCGTTGGTTTTTGGGAATCGAGAGTACGGAGTTTCGAGGTCTGGCATCTGGTCATCGTCAATGACGTAGCATTCGATATACCACAGGGAACTGACATACGATTACTCGTGAACGTGCGAGCTGAAGCAAATGTTTATTACTACATTCAGCGTGTAGTAAAACTGTAGTCCTTACAATGTTCTGCAGTGCACCAATGATATCCGAGGCCTGGGAGAGATTGGTCGTTGAGTTGGCTGTCTGCATATTGTTCGCTAAGGCGAGGGACACGTTAATACTAGGGGGGGTTCGAGGAAAGATGAAGATTTGAAGCACCGCTTCTGTTATGCAACGAGGTTCGAAATTTGGAAACCGCACATTATATATAGAACCATGTGGACACTGTTGATTTCAATTATGTGGTACTACCTCAATAGATTCATTTCAAACCCTTCCTTAACCTTCACCTTCAAGCATCAGGCGCGCACTGGCAATCAGCTCATCTCCTAGAAAATGTCACTCTGGGATCGGTATAACGATCCTAGTCCATGGCAAGTCGTCTTGGGGCTTGACCCTTTTCGGTCTCTCGACTTGCACATGATAAGCCATAACAAATCGTGAGTGTTGTGCGCCAAGTGCCCTGATATTGACAGGTCTAACATCAAGTCGATCTCTAGACTGTGGTACAGCACGCTCATGATTCCAGCATATGTTGCCGCTGCATCTGCCCTTCTTCTCTTGTTGCATTTAATAACGCTATCCAAGCCAGTCAAAAAGCTTTGGTCGCATTTCAGGCCCCTTAAGACCGAGGAAGAACCCAGCATTTTCTTCGACGAACCTACTATAGCTGATGGCTTTTTCTCTGAGGCTAAAGTATTTATTTCTCAACACGGTGGTTTGGTCATTTTTGCATACAAATTTGCAAGATTCATTGGTTGTCTTGTGTTTTTGGGATTGTCGTTGGCTACTTTCATATTAGATGAACGTGAGGAGCACGCAACAGAAGCTAACGAGTTGCTTGGACGAAAGCATCGCAAAGCCCGTCATCCCGATGGCTACATTCCGTTTTCTCGCACTGAGTGGTTGCAATTCGTCCTGTGCATGACTGCTGTTAGTAATTTGTGGCTCTCTGTTCGATATTCGCTCACGCTCTCTAGGCTTATGCATCCATTCTCGGGCTTGTTTCAGTCACTACCAAACCCCGATGGAGCAGGCTGGTGTCCACTCACCTGGCTACTCTTCTACCTTGCAGTCTTTGCGGTGTTTGCGTACCGGGATCTGTGGCCTCTTCTTACATTTAATAAACAACCCAAAGACATCAAGGAAGGGGGCTTGTTGTGGGCAAAAGTAGTTGTCCTTTTTTTGTCAAGCATCGTATTCCCTCTCGTGAGCCCGAGACAATATATTCCAGTAGACCCTGCAGTATGTCATAGTTTTCAAAAGATATCTTATCACCAACACTCACATCATTCTCAAGAACCCTACTGAGAACCCTCATCCCGAGCAAACTTCTTCTTGGCTGTCTATGCCGCTGTATACCTGGCTGGACCCTATTGTCTTCAAGGCATATCGAGTTCCGCACTTGTCCCATGAAGAACTTCCTCCGCTGGCCGACTATGATCATTCTAGAAATCTCAAAAAGAAGAGCTTCCCCGTAAGTTTTTGACACCACGGTTGCAGCCGACGAGTTGACAATCGTTGCAGCACATTGACCCTTTCTCTGGCAATCGGAGACGACATATCTTCTTCGGGCTTATGAGAATTTATCGTGTTGAATACACAATTCTGTCTCTTATGGTCGTTCTTCAGGTATGCAATTCTTCTTACCTGTGGGTCACTATGTTCGACAGTTTCTCATGACAGGTGCTGGCAAAACTAGCCGCCCCGGTTGGAATTAATCAAATTCTGCTGTAAGTGGCCTGTGTACCACATTTCCTGATATCTCTCATGTGACTTGCATAGTTATATCGAAACGAAAGGCGAGGGTGCCGTGGTCCGTCCATGGGTCTGGATATCTTGGCTGTTCTTTGGACCACTTGTCGGATCCATCGCATGGCAATGGTATCTTTATATTGGGGTGGGAGTGATCGTTGGATACGTAGTGATCCCACTCATTTGCTTTCCAGACACATACACTCATACGCATAGAGGCTATTCTCACACAACTGATCTTCGAGCACGCGCTCCGAATCCGAATGAAGGCTGAGCTCCCTGATGACGGCAAGACATCTGGGGAGTCTACAGCACCATCTACACCAGATACCGCATCTGTAGCTGGTTCTAGCACTGCCGCTGCGGACGAAAGCACGGATGGCAGTGTCGATGAGACGCTGCAGGCAAATTCCGAGACCATATCGACATCTTCCACGAAAAAAGGCAAGCAAAAGTCTCAGGAAGAACCGGAAAGTTCGTCCAAAACGCATTCGAGCGCTGACAACCTTGTTGGGAAAATCAACAATCTTGTTACGACTGACTTGAGCAATCTTAACGATGGACGAGATTTCCTCATAGCCGGCAAGTCACAGGGATCTCTAGCGGACATGTGCTCTCTAACGCATGTTTTCACAGTGCTGTACATGCCACTGCAAGTAGGCATGTGCATCTGGTTGTTGTACGAAATTCTTGGCTGGAGGTGAGTGTCTTCAAACTGCTGTCTGCCTTGACTGATGGCCATCAATTAAGTGCCTTTGTCGGCCTGGGTGTTATGCTCATCTTGTTCCCTCTGCCTGGGTACGTTTCCCGGAAGATTCAAAACGTGCAGACGGAGAAAATGAAGAAGGTCGGTCCTGGATTTTTCGTGTATCGGTCGATGCTTATTGCGACCCCAGACGGATGCCCGGGTCCAAACCGTTACCGAAAGTAAGTCGATCACAACAAGGGTAAAACTGGCGCTTATGGTTCGTTAGCTATGAATGTTCTGCGCATGATCAAGCTTTTCGGATGGGAAGAGAAAATAGACAAGAGGATCAGCGAGAAACGAGAAGTAGAACTTGTCTGGACATGGAAGACGAAGATATTAGAACTGCTAAACAACATCTTGAAGTACCTCTTCTATATTGACTGTGACAACAAAAACTGACACGTCCATAGCTTCGTGATTCCCCTGTTTACTATGATGGCTTGTTACTCGACCTTCGTATGTTGCATTCGACTACAGGCGAACCTAGTTTCTTACCCTCTCTCCTAGACTCTCATTATGGGACAAAACCTAACTGGTCAGTGCTATGGATTCTGTTGCGACTTATTGACATAACAGTTATTCCAGCTTCAAAGGTTTTTTCGTCGATGTCAAGTAAGCTTCATACTATCATCCACTTGTTTAGGGATGCCTGATATCGCTCCTCTGGCAGTCTTTGACATCCTAAGAGACCAGCTCAGCACTGTATTCTTCACCATTCCAAGAATTACCCAAGGTAATTATTTCGATTGCTTCGTGAATCACTGATAAACAACGCTCTCCAGGCAAAGTTTCGATGGACCGTATCAACAGTTTCCTGAATGAGACAGAATTATTGGATGCCTACGCACAGCAGGATGAGGACAGAGCCCAGCTCTTTGTCCAGCCAGAGGATGAATCTGACCTCATTGGCTTCAGAGATGCTGTCTTTGCCTGGTCCAATGAATCCGGCGGGTCGCTGACACCGTCGAAGCGCAAGTTCAGGCTTCGCATCGATGGCGAGGTGTACTTCCAACGCGGTGGTATCAACCTTGTCGTCGGACCGACAGGTTCTGGGAAGACGTCAGTGCTTATGGCTTTGCTTGGTAGGTGGTTGTTGGACCTTCTTTCTGGATGGTATACTAATTCATTACGCAGGCGAGATGCACTTCATGCCCTCTGGTCCAACGTCTTGGTTCAACCTTCCTCGCAAAGGCGGTGTAGCCTATGCCGCGCAAGAGTCCTGGGTTCAGAATGAGACCATTCGGGTACGTGTCATAGCATAATCAGGCGCTCGATTGCTGAAGTGGTGCTCAGGACAACATTCTTTTCGGCGCACCCTACGACGAGATTCGATACAAGAATGGTGAGTATCGAGTTGCGCTGCTTATGAACATCATTGACGCGTACGGGTACAGTCTTACATCAGTGTGCTCTGGAGCGTGACCTTACTCTGTTCGAAGCGGGTGACAAAACAGAAGTCGGAGAAAAGGGTCTTACGCTAAGGTAAGCTCAACGAGCCGAACCTTGGTTTGTCGCAAGTCTGACTTCGCATGGAAAGTGGCGGTCAGAAGGTAATCACATTCCTCCCAAGAGCGCACGCGGCCGCTGAAACATGTTAGGCACGAATTACCCTGGCAAGAGCTATATATTCTTCGGCACAAACGCTGCTGCTCGACGATGTCAGTAATTCCATCTCTGCTTTGAACTACCAGTGAGTAGACGCGAACAGGTTTTGGCCGCTCTAGATGTCCACACGTCCAAGTGGATTGTAGACAAGTGTTTTGCTGGAGATCTTGTCAGAGATCGAACAGTCATCCTTGTGGTATGTGTATATAGGATCAAATGTGACGACGCGGATTCTGACTGCAGTATAGACTCATAATGTTGCTATGGCGAGCTCTGTGGCGCACTTCGTTGTGTCTCTGGGTTCCAACGGACGCATTGTCAGCCAGGGATCGATATCCGAAGCCATTGCGAAGGACCACAATGTTTGCAGCGGAAATGGCAAAAGAGCAAGAAGTCCTTGCTAAAGAGGCCGAGGTCGTCGACAACCCAGAAGAACCAAAAGCCGATGCAAAGAAGTCCGACGGCAAGTTGGTGATGTCTGAGGAAATTGCAGAGGGTCATGTTTCCTGGCCAGCTTGTTGGTTCCGTTCCAGATCCTCGGTGCCTCGCTGACATTGCGTTACAGTCAAGCTCTACCTGGCCGGCTTGGGGGGGAACTATCCGATGACGTTCTGGATCGTGTTCTTGGTTTTGGTGTCGTTGTCGGACTTGGCCAACGTTGTGCAAACTTGGTATCTTGGGTACTGGGCTTCTCAATACGAAGATTGTCTACCCTCAAAGGTCAATGTTGTATTGTAAGATCAGTTCTCGTTCGTGGAGTTCTCGCTCACCTTTATCATAAGCTATCTCTCTGAATACGCCTTGATAATGGTCGCTGGCTGTATCGTGTATGCGATTGCGTATTACATGTACTATTGGGGTTCAATGCGGGCGTCACGAACCATCCACAAGAAACTTGTCCAATCTGTACTCGGCACAACGCTAAGGTATGTACTTTGAATTTCAACATTCACACCTCCATTCATCATCGGGGCAGATGGCTAGACACGACACCTACATCTCGAGTCATCACCCGGTGCACACAGGACATAAGAGCCAGTCAGTCACTTGCTTCTAGATAGTAAACATTTACTGATAAATTATCTAGTTGATGGTCCGTTTGCACAAGGAATTGGTTGGGTCGTTGAACTTTCAATAGCAATGGTCGTGAAACTCGGAGCCATCGTGTTCATGACTCCTGTCTTCTTGGCGCCTGGTCTCTTTATTGGCTTGCTAGGCGGATGGGTCGGTCGCATCTACATGAAAGCTCAATTATCAGTCAAGCGAGAGATGAGCAACGCGAAAGCACCGGTCCTTGGTCACTTCGGAGCTGCCATCGCCGGACTTAGTGAGCGATCCACGGAATTGTATGATATGCGAGATGTCTCATTCATTCCACCTCCAGCATCGATTCGTGCGTATGGCGCAGAGGATGCATTCAAACAAGAATCTCTCGACCGCATCGACCGTTACAGCAAATCAGGGCGCATATTCTATAACTTGAATCGGTTCGTTTGCGTTGGTTGCGAGGAGATTGGTCGCTAACAGACGTTCTCAGTTGGGTTTGTATCCGTATTGATGCTATCGGCGCTGCATTCTCGGCTGGCCTTGCCGCTTATCTTGTCTATGGCCATGGAATACAGGAGGCGTCGAATATTGGGTTCTCTCTGAACATGGCAGGTAAATTCTATCTACATGGTGTGACTATTGTGTGTTGTTGCTCACATTTTGAAGTCGGTTTCAGTTCAATGATCCTTTGGTGGGTTCGTATTCTCAACGATGTGGAAGTCAGCGGTGAGCTAGTTCCTCGTGTTATTCCTTATGCGTCTGACCGGTTTGTGTAGGCAACAGGTGAGTACAGACATAGAATGTCTCCGACCGCTGCTCATGTAGAATAGTTTGGAGCGGATCGATAGTTATATCAAGATTGAACAAGAGCCTAAGCCTACCACAAACGGCCACCCGCCTGCGTACTGGCCTGCAAGCGGTGATCTCCGCGTAGAAAACCTGTCGGCCCGCTACTCATCGGTGAGTCTTGATTCATGTCTTCGCGTCCTGCCTAACCGCTGCTTGCAGGATGGGCCAAAAGTTTTGCAGGAGCTGTCTTTCCACATCAAATCAGGCGAACGCGTGGGTGTCGGTATGTCGCGTGCTTGTATCCACCTTTAAGCAAATAGCTAATCTGAATTCAGTTGGGCGAACTGGAAGCGGAAAGGTGATACTTGTTTGTGTTATCTTCCTTGACTGAGACTGACTATCCTGAAGAGTTCCTTGACGCTTTCGCTCCTTCGCTGCATTTTCACAGAAGGCAATGTTTACTATGATGGTATTCCGACAAGCGCGATCAATTTGGACGCCCTGCGGTCCAATGTGACCATCATACCTCAGATCGTACGCTCTTCGTGCCGTTGTCCGACCAATTTGCTGACACGTTCCACCCTTACAGCCCGAGCTCCTGAGCGGAACCCTCCGTCAGAACCTGGATCTCTTCGATCAGCACGATGATGCGGTGCTTTACGATGCTTTGCGAGCTGCCGGACTTTTCTCCGTCCAAGACGAGTCCGAGGAAGCGAGGCTGACGCTAGACAGTGCCATCGCAAGTGGAGGAGGCAATCTATCAGTTGGTCAACGCCAGATTTTAGCTCTGGCTAGAGCTATGGTCAGAGGAAGCAAACTGCTTATACTGGATGAGGCAACTTCCGCTATTGGTGTGTACCTCACGTCGTGGATTTTTATGATGCTGAAATCCTTTGCAGATTATAAAACCGATTCAGCCATCCAATCTTCTCTCCGCAATGAGCTGCGCGACGTGACCCAGATTATCGTTGCACATCGGCTGCAGACGATCATTGATGCCTGACAAAATTGTGCGTATTCGAAATTGGGTTATTGTGTACTGAGGACTGATATGTTCGATAGATGGTCCTTGACGCCGGTAAACTTGTGAGTATCTTATCTTGTATGGTGTTCCCATGCTGATCAGGTTTGTGCAGGTTGAATTCGGCAGCCCATGGGAGCTGTTGCAGAATGAAAAGGGTATGTTGCGTGCTCTCGTGGATGAGTCTGGGGACAAAAAAGCATTATATGCGTCGGCTCACGGTCAGCCACTGACAGAAGGGGAGAGTTCGTAGTTGAGGGTGGTTTGCGATATATTATACCTACTGCAAAGGAAACACCATGGGTCAAATATCATATCTATATTTTTTGTAAAGTGTTGATCTATCAGGTTATTTGCATGGAGTACCCTGACGAATAACCTTGTCTAACAAATCCACAAATGGGACGATTTCTTATACTCTGACATTGACGAGGGTTGCTAGAAGAGGACAAGTCTAAGCTAAACTATGAAAGACACTCTGCTGGTATATGACGGGATGTATGTCAGCTGGTTCCAGACATCTTAAGATAGTGCTGAGAATTCGTGGAAAGCGAACTTGAAGCTCGATGAACGGACCGTCCGAGTTGTCGGGCTGGCACGCAAGAAATTCTTAGAAGGAACCCCAGAAGGCGCGTATAAAGTCGGGAGCGAACGGGACATACCAGCAGGAGGGGCAAACCCTGCAAGACGCATATATGCCAGGACGGAGGGGAGGCACGCTAGAACAGCCCATAAGGGCACACAAAAAGGTGAGAGGTGAGGAGAAGGACGGAAGGAGACTGCGAACGATAGAAACGTACTACACAAAGAAGACAAGGGATACAAAGCCCGGGGAGGTACAGAAAGAGGGGAGGAGGGAGAACAACAGGGGGGGGCATCTTTATGTTAGTTGAAATTTCAAATATTTTCTTCGCATTTTGTACAACATATAAACCTCTCCTAAATGTCGATAACCCCGATGTGATTGTACGCCTGTAGGATATACTCACGTACCAATCTGCAGCTGGTCATGTGGTTTTCGAGGTGCGGAAAAATACTATTACAGTAATATTGCAAGGCAGAAAGTAGCAGGATATCGATATCAATACAGAGTACGTAGCGAAGCTCAATATCATTATCGAAGTATTAGAGCAAATTAAAGCATTGATAACGCTTGGGATTCACTACTACTTCGAGGGAAGGAATAAGGGCAATGTATTCCGTTCGCTGCTTATCTGTCGTTATTACTCCAGTGCTGAATATCAGGCTCTCCAGTGGACAGTTTGACCGTGTCAAGAGTGCCTTGAATTCTTCATGAGGCCAAGCTCGTGCAAAGCCAGCTTCAAGCACGCGCAAATTGGGGAGTGTTAGAGCATTGAACAAGTCATGTAGACGGTTCGTGGGCGCTGAGCTAAAACTGATACGTAGGGATTGAAGTTTGCTGTGCGTGAATGGCTCTACGGCCTGTTTTTGGTCGAAATGTGCGTGAATCGTCAACGAGGAGAGATCAGGACATAGGTGGAGCAACTGGATGAATGCATCCGCGTGACGCGTGGCGATCTCGACATTTTTCAGGTGGGTCCATATGGGATTGAAAGAGGATAAGGTTTCGAGCCCGAGCATTGACCCTATCACCTTGAGACTGCGCAGAGTGAACCGAAGTTGGGAGGTAGAGATAGAGTGTGCAATATTTGTTATACGATCATGACTGTGTATGGTTATAGCCAGCTCCTGAAGTGCTGGGAGGTTTATTAGAAGAGGTTCAGGTATGGCGACGCCGCAATAAGACCGGATAGAGAGAGACGAGATTTGGTTCCTATAAGGTTGAAGAAGCCTTCGTAACTTGGTCGATTGACCTATGTAGCACTTGAATGCAAACGAGAGGGGGCGTCCTTGGGATCGCTTGAGCCATGAGTCATAGCAGAAAGCTTGTTGTTGCCAGTCACTGTGATCGACTTCCAGCTCCAGCCTGCACCATAAACTGGGCATAGCCACAGCAACGTCCCTCCACCGTCGGCATATTCTGGTCAACAGCACAGGAGCTAGCTTTGGTGCGGGCGAAAAGTGACTGGTTTCCGGGAGACAGTGAACAAAAATTTGTGATAGGACTTCGGTTGGCAAGCGCCAGTGAGTCGATACAAGTTCCTTGGGTAGATTCATGGACTGGGTGATCTTGTCCTTCTTTTCGACAAGTTGGTGGTGAAGTTTGAAGTCCATGACTGTTTCCAGGTCTAAGAACTCGTGTAAAACTGCATCCAACTGCTGCTGGCGTTCGGTGATGGCGCTGACAGTCCGATCTTTGGACTCGATGATAGGGTCGTTGGTAAATCTAGGGTATGTGGTTTCGAGGTCTGGCGTCTGGGCATCGTATATACTATCAATTAACGGCATCTGATGTATCATACGGAATTGACATACGATCGCTTGTGAACGTGTGAGCTGAAGCGACTGTTTATTATTATTATATTCAGACGCGAGTGCCTAATATAAAACTGGGCACTTACACTGTTCTGCAGTGCATCAATGATATCCGAGGCCGGTGAGAGTCTGACTGTTGAACTGGCTGTCTGCATGTTTGTTGACGTGAAGAACAATGTTGAAACGCTCCTGGATGAGGAAAGATTTGAAGCAGAAAATAATTCTACCGCTTCCGTAATAATGCAGGTGACCGTGTTGCATAACGAAGCGCCTCTGGTCTCCACAACCGCCATTACACCTACCGACGTTGCAAAGTGGCTCAGTGGCGAGTGCGGCGCGCCTGTGGAAGGGTATCATGTTTTAGCGAATTTGATGTACTAGTCCACCTGAGGCCTTTCGTGTAAGCGATGATTGAAGGTCGCAGAAAAGTCTTATCGAGCTGTGATTTTTCTTTTCTTTTTCCAGACAGTGGGACATAGTGGAGGTGCGAAGCCCGATTTTCGTGAACGGTGCGTTTCCTTCCCCCCAAACTTAAAGTGTCCTTCCGAATCCGCCTCTCTCACTAATTCCTCAAGAGGCGCGGTTTCTGTGATGGTCTCCCCAACACCTTTCCCTGACGCAATGGACGTGAAGGGAAAGCCAAATTTTCTGAGCCTTCTCCCTCAATGGGTCAGGTTTTTGACGATATCCATTTGAGCTCTCCCCTGGTGCCCATTACGAGCGCATCTGGGTCAGAATTCGTACACGACATGACAAACTCATTCGTATAACATCCTGCATAATAAGCTCCGCTCTCGAAAGGCTTGCAGGATCCCGTCAACAGGAAAACCGTGGTGTTGTTGGTTCCTTCACGAGATCCCTCGGTAATGGAATATTTTCATGCCCCATCACGATTGCCTGCTTAACAGACTTTGATTTAAAGATATCCGCTCTGTCGTGTATATCGGTTGCGTTCCCGGTGTTGGAGTTTTCATTGGGACTCAGTTGATGTGTGGAGGTGAGATCTAAGATGCGGACGTGCTATTCGCAACTCGATCAGAATAAAAGGGTCGATCACATCCAATTGGACACACAACCTATCATGATCTGCGCCCTAACACTATTGGATCTACCTACAACGCTTTCTACTGCCAGCCCGATATCCTCATTTATCAACTACTGTCGTCTCCACTACGACTTCAAGGAAAGGAATAAGGGCAATGTATTCCGCTCGCTGTTGGTTGGATCTCGAGGCTGGCGTCACTTCATCTCCGAAAATCAGGGACTTCAGGGGACAATCCGACCGTACCAAAAATGCCTTCAACTTCTCGTGAGGCCACTCCATCTTTGTAGAGCAAGACTTAAGCTTGCGTAAATTGGGGAGCCTAAGGGCATTGAACAGGCCGAACGTGTCGGGTGGGTAGGACACAAAGGCGCAAGGATTGAAGATTCGTGTGCGTCAATGGCTTTAGTGAGGTCGGTCTGAGACATCCGAGTTGTACGTCAATTGTTGCCGATGAGAGGTTGGGAGCAAGCTGGAGCAAATGGAGCAATATATATGGTTGACTTATAGTGATCTCGACATTCGTCAGGTGGGCCCATCCGGGGTTCGAGTGTTCGAAGTCTGACAAGCAGAATATGAACTGTCGTCCGCTTACACTGCGCAGGGGGAATGACAGTCTCAAGATGGATTGTGCAGCAGCTTCCTTCGCAAGGCCGCTGGTCATCCTGACTCCGAGTATCATATTAAGTTCCTGAGGTGCTGGGAGGTCGTTGAACCTATATTCAGGTATGACGATAGGGTAATGATTGATGCGAAGAGATGAGATTTGATTCTTGTAAGGTTGAAGGAGGCATCGTAAATTGGTCACGTCGATTGGGTAGCACTAGAGTTCCAACGAGAGCGGACGACCTTGCGATCGCTTGAGTCGTGAGTCATAGAAGAAAGCTTTCTGCTGTCAGTCTCTGCGGTGGACACTCACATGTACGAATAGTCTTCACCACGAACTAGCCATGTCCACAGCAACCACCTTCCATCATCTGCATATCCTTGTCAATAGCATGGGAGGCTGTAGCTTTCAAGTTGATGGGCGCAATAAGTTGTTGGATGGTGGAAGAGTGTGTATAAAAATGTGGGATAAGAGTTCAGTCGGCAAGCGCCAGAGAGCCAGCCCAAGTCCTTCGTGTAAGGTCATCGAGTAGATATTAGTCTCAGGCCTGTCCTGCTTCAAGTTGTCCACGAGGCACAGGCCACCAGTGACTATTGCGCTAACACTGTGGTCTGTGCCCACAACGGAGTAATCTAGAACATCCGGAGCATTATATGAACTCTGATCATCGTCAATACATCAACTTATTATTTTGTATGCCTTGAGGCGAGGGATGTGAACTCGTCAGGGGCTCTGGCAAGCAATGTCACGACCACGTGCCTTGTGATGTGACTTATGTCGATCTTACCTGTGCACCGCCACCTTTAACTTGATCCAAAATGTCGTCCATCGTAAAACTATTCATCGTATCCCCAGACACCCGCTCCGAGCGTCGTTTCGACCCCCACACGACCATCGAGCAGCTCAAGGTTGCGTAGTTCATCTACCATACACATCTTATCAGGACACTAAAAAAGCTACCCGTATTTTATAATTTCTGTGATTCGTGCACCCAATCGGATAATCACTGCCGCAGGCAAAACTAGAGCTCATTACAGGCATCCCTGTTCAGAACCAGAAAATATCGCTGCATAATGGCGATGACGATTCACAGATCGTTGCGCAGTTGGATGATGATGCTAAGCCACTGGGGTACTACAGCGTTCGGGATTTTCAGACGATCAAGGTATTTTCTGTTTCTACCGCTGAGTTTTGATGGGTCGGTCGTTTACCTAAGGTCATCGTTTGTCGTGTGTAGATCGTAGATACGAACCCTTCGACATCGTTTACGGGTCAGCTCACTGATGTATCACAAGTAGAGAAGTTCGAGCTCAGCGACGACGCATACGCACAACGAACCGGTGATTTATTCGTCCTTCATCTTTCTGTACCACTATCCTGACTCTCTTATTCAAAAGACTCTGTTTTGGCTTACAAGCAAAGACATAAAGTAGGGCGCTTCGCGGCCCCTTCAACCGAACCCACTCCTGAACCCACGGTGAACATCCCCATCGGATCGCGCTGCGAAGTGGAATCAACAGAACCGGGCCTGCATAAGCGCGGTACAGTTCGGTTTGTTGGTCCGGCCGAGTTTTCTGCCGGGCTTTGGGTCGGAGTCGAGTATGACGAGCCAATGGGTAAAAATGATGGGTCGTGAGTTTGAACCCTCGCATTATCTGCCGACGCTCACTTCGATCTTTAGCGTTAAAGGAGTGCAGTATTTTACATGTCGTCCGAACTACGGGGTATTCGTCCGCCCTGCAAAAGTCACAGTCGGCGACTTCCCTGTGGAAGAGATCAATTTTGATGACGAAGAGATTTGATGGGGCTATTTGTCTTGACTATCCATCAACAATTCACAGTTGTTAGAGACCCAGGACTAGGATCTCGGGGTGTGTCGATGCCTTCACCTTACCTTGATGTCTCCTCAGCGCTCAGCCCTGGCAGCACAATACACTTGTTCGTGAAACTCTATGTTTATTGTAACAGTACAATCAGCGTAGTCCTCATATCGAGTAGAACCAAATTATGTCCGTCCACTTTAATCAACGATACTGAGCTCCCTCAAGCGTGTCTTTGCAAATTCATCCTTGTAAGCGTTCCATATCCTGCATCGTCCATGAGTAAGTTCGAAACGCACGATCAAAAGGGCGTGGAACACCACACCCACCTCGTCAATTCCTCGATATACATCCTTTGCACTCTCTCCACCTCTTCCAATGGCGGTTTTTCGCAGCGTTGGACATGAATCGGTCGTCCGACTATTTAACGATGAACATACGACAAGATATCGAGTTGACAGCACTCACTGACTGAGACAATCCGTCGCCGGTACGGCATTAGGCCCAAGTTATCTGCAACAGGGTAAAGGAAAGAACACCATTCGAGCAAGCTCCCGACTCACAGTTCAGTAGACCACGTCCATGAAAGAGCGGAAGGGTGAATCCAAACATGCTCTGGAATTTCTTCTGTAGTGCATATATCGTAGTGCCCTTCTCATTCGGCATTTGATTGTATATCTGGCGAATAGACGCTGTCAACAATATGCGGGTCCAGAACAATGCCGTCACTTACATCATTCTCGCCAAACGAAAACACAGGCACAAGGTCGGCTCTGGAGAAATGAATCGATGACGTCTTTTATCAGATCTTATCAACTCACCCATGCTGGATCGCGACCTTGATAAATCCCAATCTATAGTTCACGTGTCAGGCGCCATTTCGTAATTAATATACGAGGCAATCGCGACGTACCTCCGCTTCAATGTTAGATCCGCCGTGCCAGGTCTTGCACTCAAGCTCTCAGCAGCGCCTCCAACCACGATAGTAATTGCTTGACCCGCGCCTCTGGAGAGAATGTTAGAGCAAGACTCTCTTGAGACGCTGCTGATCCCGAGAGCCATGATTATTTCGCGATATAAAGGAACGTTGAAGTTATTAGTGAGCGTGAGTAAGTGCGGTTTAATCTCGGGAAAAGCTTTGGAGAAGCCGGTGGCTGATAGGGGATATTTGAGATGTTTGTGTTGGCAGAAAACCAAAATACTCGCCTTCGGTGGCAAATGTGGCGAGCGCACCCCTGGTGAATGGTAAGAAGTATGCTGGGATACGGAAGAGAGAATGCCGTCTTACATCCCGATTATGCCTGTTTGTCAAATCGGAAATTGAGTGATTTGGCACTGAACTGAAGGGAAACGAGACTACCATGAGGGTGGTACCCAAACACGTATGGACGGTCAGCGGGTAGATCGCACTCCTGCATTAAGTACATAGTTGAACATTATATGGCGCGAAGTAGCTCAAATCATCCGCCGTACCTTCAGGAGTCTTTGGAGCGCATATAGTCACGTAAACGGTTGTATGCACAAAATACGAAGGATCACACTCACGACGCAGGGTAATAGTCTGCAAAATACCTCCAAATCTTCAGTGACCGGAACCATGGACTGAGTCTGTTTCCGTATACTGGGCTCTTGTCTATGCAGGAGATCCAAATGAGGTACATGATCAAGAACGGCCACAGCGCTGGTATGGAGCTTTGGTGCGTCGAAAACACGGTGTGATGGAGAATCGCAGCACGTACCAAAGCATTAGGAACACAAAGCAGCATATCACTATCATCACCGACCACACGGCAACGACCATCATCTGCAGTCTCCTTTTCCGCGGTATCTTGGTAGGCACAAAGCTGGATAGCACAAAAGCGCGATTCAAGTGGTATAATACGGTCAGCCAAAGAAAGAAACAAGCTGTTTGATACGCACTCGATATTGGCATGGAGGGCAGCTACAGGACGCAACGGTGCACCAGTTAACTTGGTCAATCGCCCTCTGAGAGAAGATGCGGAAAGAGATCTTGAGAAAGCACTCAAATTGTGGCCTTCGTCCATCCCAGCTCGTTCAATATTTATTGGGCTTGTTTTTGCAGACGGCGGCTGAATCTGCGTCTCGTTCTGCCGTAGACTCGTTGGGGTGAAATGAGAATCAGATGCGCGCAATAACGGTTACGTTAGTCTTCCATGTTCACGTGACTAGATAATCCATTTGAATGCTTCCACCTCCCTTGCCGAGTTATTTGTCGTTGTAGTACTCGAGCATCCTGTGAAATCTGTAGATGGTCAACTTATCACAACCGGATGTAATGACAATCTCGTTCGCACGTGGACAGTTCCTCACTGGAATTTTGCCTACAATAATCTGACATTCAGATCGGATGGGATAAAAATTCCAGCAGACGGCTCACGAGCAGTTTCCCCCGTCATACTGACGATCATACAGCTCGCGCAGAAGGTTCGTTTATTCCTAACATATATACTGACTTCTAGTGACCTAGAGGGTGGCTATCGTGCTGGCTGGGCGTTTCCACACGGCGAAGGGGGAGGAAAACTAAGGTATAAGTATTCTCCACTCTAACGCGAATTCCTGGCCCGGCGCTTGCCAACTAGATACTTAGCCCACATTTTTATATACACACTCCCGCCATTCGACAACATATTACGCACTTCAACCTTACAATCATATTGTTGACCAGAGTGTGCCGAAGATGGAGGGAGGTTTCCGTGGACATCCCCAGTTTGTGATGCAGACTGTCTGTGTCTACCGCAGAGACTGGAACCAGGAAGCTTTCTTCTATTACTCATGGCTTAAGCGATCACGGGCTCTCGCTGGAACTCAGGTGCTGCCCCATCGACGTGACCGATTTACGATGCCTTCTTCAGCCTTACAAGAGTCAACTTTCATCACTTCATATCAACCATTACTGTGTCATCATTCCTGAACATCGGTTTTAAGACCTTCCAGCACTCGAGGGGCTTTATTTCCAGTCGAAATGACCAGCGACCGTACGAGGGAAGCTGTTGCACAATCCATCTTGAGACTGTCATTCTCCCTGCGCAGTATCGAGGTAAGCGGACGACAGTTCATATTCTGCTTGTCAAACTTCGAATACTTGAACCCCGGATGGGCCCACCTGACAAATGTTGAGATCACTATAAGTCATACATATACTCCTCCATTTGCTCCAGCTTACTCCGAGCCTCTCATCGGCAACAATTGACGAACAATTCGAATGCCTCGAACAGACCTCACTAAAGCCATTGACGCACACGAATCTTCAATTCTTGCGCCTCTCTTGGTCTTACCCACCAGAAACGCTCGGGTTGTTCAATGCCCTTAGGCTCCCAAATTTACGCAAGCTTAAGTCTTTCTCTGCCGAGATGGAGGAGTTGAAGGGATTTTAGTACGGTCGGATTGTCCCCCGGAGTCCCTGATTTTTGGAGATGAAGTGACGCCAGCCTCGAGATTAAATGAGCAGCGAGCAGAATAAGTACATTGTCCTTATTCCTCCCCTTGAAGTAGTAGTGGAAACGACTGGTAGCCGCTATTTACAAATGAGGATATCGGGCTATCAGTAGAAAACGTTGTAGGTAAATCCAATAGTGTTCATGCGCAGATCATGATAATGGAGTCAATTGCTTGTCGCCCATGCATGTTTGTATACGAGAGGCCCTACGTGACCTAGGCTGGAGTGGGCAAGGAGCCGACCCGTTTTATTTGATCAGCTCTCCACGGCTGCATGCGGTCAAACAGCAGTTTTTGAGCGCTTTATCAACTTGAACCTTCAAGTAACTGAACCAGGTTTTTAGATGGACTTCGATTGTCGTAATCTCAGGGCACCCAGAAGTTCGGGCATGATTATGTTGGTGTTGAACCTTCGTTTCCTGATGGCGCTCGCGGTCTTGCTGCACGATTAGACAAATTCGCTTGCTGCATCAGAAACAAAGGTTGTTTACAGCGTCATAAACTAGGCTGTATCGAACTGCCCAAAGTGAAGCAGACTTGGCTCAAACTGGATTCTGTTCACCAGCAACACGAGTTCACACCAACACGAAGGTCCAGGATTGAACTTTATGTCCGTCGTCACCACGGATTACGATCTGCACTAGATTCAAGAACTTCACGGAAAAGGGCAACGTGCACACCCACCGAATCTTGCTGGACATTCCAAACATAGTTGATCTCCGAATCGACCTGGCCGATACTATGATCCGTGAGCACGAATAATTAAAACAACCCTCATCTCTCACCTGAAAGAACCCTCGTCATCTCTTTTCTCGAGGATCCAGGTCTGCGGTGGGTCAGCTTTCTTGGCCTGGACTGCAGCATTCTACGGACCCTGTCTGAGCAGCAATTTCAATCTTAGAGCAGACCACCTACCTGCTCGATCTCATCCACACCCAGTGGCAATTTGGCATGCAAGGCCGCAGTGATAGTGTATCTTCCATTGTTCTCATCAGTAGCATGTTTCAGGGTCCACTACTCCCGGAGTGAGCGCTCAGGTGAGGTCTCAAAATCCTTCGGCCTACCTCCTGATCGTAGTCCGCGACAATGCTGCCATATACCTCAAGGGCGCCAACGCCACCGCTGCGGACAGTAGCGTAGCCGCCATTGTATGTAGACTGGATATAGTAAATACCTGGGGGAGGAAAATCAGAAGGAGTCATGGTGTGGTGTGGATGATTGGCAGAGATGGAAGACTTTGTGAATTGGCCAACTAACTGGAAGTCCTGCCTTTATACCTGTGATTGAGACCCAGCAATTTAATCACTCCCGGAGAGAAGCCATTGCCATAACTGACTCAGTTTATTGTGATTCAGCCTATCAGTGCTTAGCAGGCTTGTTGAGTAGTATCATGAACAATACTTACCGTAATCACTCTGACCTGCTCGGCTCCTGCGACATGAAACTCAAGTTAATAAGTTACGCGATGTCTGGGAACCAGAAAACTTCGAATCCGGCAATTCGGACGCGCGAACTTCGAAGTGAGAGTGAGGTCGGTTCATAGATGCGTCTCAGAGAAGCCTTCTTGAGCGAGCCTTCAATGCGACCGGCGGTCCAACTATGGATGTACGGCCATTAGGTTGTACATTGGCTCAATTAGACTGGTCACCAGTCTGTGACTCAATGAGTCAAGCTTAAGCCTCAGGCCTCAGGGATTGCAGGAACCGAGTAACGTCCGAGTCCCCCTGATAACAGGGTACCCTGCAGTAACGTTACTCGAAACCAGACTAATAAATTTATGGAGATCTCTATTATCAACGACTCACCTCGTTCCAGAAACCCTCCGGGATCTGTAGATGTTGTGATGTGCCATACTCGGCTTATACATACCCGTTTATCCGCTGAGGCAGGCTATCATGATCATCCCGCACCCGTGAGTTCATTATGCAACTTACAATTGTAGTCCATTCACTTTTCAACTTCGTCCCCGGTAAGTGCATGCCTCCGCTTGCCCGAAATACCTTCCTTTGTCCTCCCAAGTACAGTAGACTTTTTCATACAGCAAAACACTTTGCACTGTGGAACTCTGTGAGACTCTGTGGGTTCTGTACAGTACAGAACCCACAGAAGCAAAGTGATTTGCTGATGTAACGCATAATTTTAAAAAATCAAAACAATTTCCTAACAAATCATTTTCGGACACAAAAAGCTATCCAATATTACCAGCGATATCTTTATGTACCAAAATATCTTGTTTTTAATTTGTTATGAGTTATGCGTTATGAGAAAGTCTACTGTCTCCGACTCCCTACTTCGTCGCATACTAGTACTGCACGAAGCTGTTTTGCTCGGTCGCGTTCGCCGCTCTGCTTTTCCTTCACCTTGCCCCTTCTGCGATCACGATCAGGCTTCTCGTTGACCGGAAGACCCCTCAGCCCACACCAAAGTTGCACCCCTCCGTCATATTTGCCGCTCTTGTTCACCTCCTGCATCTGAAGGTGAGCTTCCCAATCACTTTTTCTGTGTCTAATACCACTACCTAACAGTGCAGCAGCCTGCCTTTCATCCCGCCCTACTACCCTCTTGAAAATGTCACGTAGCTAATGACGCCAGAGGACCTCCCCTCTCGGCCACAACCCATCCAGCCCTAGACCCGTATTCCATGGCTGTTCCACCAGCGCAACTAGCGCATGCAATAACTAGATGAGCATCCTCCCATCCTACCTCACCAATCCAACAGCCTTCAATTTTGACACCATTTTCTCTTGTATATTAACTTCATTCATGCTTTCATTCACCCCACCACATCCCTTTTCTAGTGTCATGGTTTTTGGGTATTGTCGTGCTCTCGTAACGCCGACCAACCTCACACTCGAGGATTTCGGTTGATTTAAGGTCACTTCAGTCTCTAGCTGATGTGTGATCGAAACCTTTCCAGCACGTGTTGTTAGACTCGACCATCATTCCACAGCACGACGTTTGATCAAAATTTCCTTCCGGAGGCTTGCTGTCTGAGTGTTTCGATCGCTCGTCTAACACCGATGCCAATGCAACTGAAACACGAAGGATCACACTCACGAGGCCTAGAGTAATATTCTGCAAAACACTTCCAAAACTTCAATGACCGGAACCATGGACTGAGTCTGTCTCCGTATGCTGGGTTCTTGTCCACTCGATGCTGGCATGGATGGCAGCTACAAGATACAACGGTACACCCATTAACTTGGTCAATCACCCTCTGAGAAAAGATACGGAAAGAGTTTTTGAGAAGGCAGTTAGATCATGACCTTTGTCCATCCCTGCTAGTCCAATATTTATTGGACTTGGTGTTGCAGACGGCGGCTTAATTTGCGCCTCGTTCTGCCTTCGACTCGTTGGGGTGCAATGAGATAGTATCGTTGTGTAACTCTTCCAGTGGCTAAATAGGGTGAATTGCCTTGTTTGAAACTTGTTACTACTTTCCACCTGACGTGGGCCGCAGATGGAAAAATTATCGCGGCCGGCTTTTGACCAACTCGATCTGACGTTCAGATCTTACGTTGAAAAAATTCCAGCAGACGACTCACTAGCGTCTTACTTTATGATAATCATCAATGCATACAGCCCATGCAAGCTTTCTTTATTCCTCACATGCACATCAACTTCTAGAGACCTATAGGATGGCTATCGCAATTCGCGCTGGCTGTACGTTTCCACACGGCGACGAGAGAAGCAAACCAAGGTGGAAATATTTTCGACTTCAACGCGAATTTCATTTATAATTCATATAACGATCTGTCCATTGCAGTAACATCATTACAGTCTAATCTACTTGTCTAAGTACGCCCCCGATATGAAATACCCACCTATTTTCCGGTGGTCGTCGGCGCAACAGTTACAGTTGAACTAGAAGAACTGCTCATGCTAGTGCCGTTCGCGGTAGAAGCACTAGAACGGGAGTTGGCGATTGCTGAAGCGATCGCAGCAGCGTTCATCTGGCTGGGCGTTGTAGATGACGATGAGGAGGGAGAGGACGAGGACGATGGGGAAGATGAGGTGGTGGACACAGAAGACGGGGAAGCTGTCACCGGGACGAACTCAATTTCTAGTGAACCCTTCATATCCTGCGACGTCGATGTCGCTTGGGTAGGAGTCGCCGAGCCCGTGGAGGTTGTTTGAGAAGACGAGGAGCCTGGGCTTGAAGCGACAACAGCATCATGGACAGAAGGAGAGGGTGGCATCGATGACGATGTCAGTGGGGTGGTGGCGGAGGCCGTGGACATTGCTTGAGAAGACGACGAGCCTAGGCTTGAAGCGACAACAGCAGCGGCTTGGACAGAAGGAGAAGGCAGCATCGATGATGACGCCATTTGGATAGTAGCAGAGCCCGCGGAAGTTGCTTGAGAAGATGACGATCCCGAGCTTGAGGCGACAATAGCAGCCTGGACAGAAGGGGAGGGCGGCATTGATGTCGATGTCGCTTGGGTGGTGGCAGAGCCCGTGGAGGTTGCTTGCGAAGAGGATGACCCCGCGCTTGAAGCAGCAACAGCAGCGTGGACAGCAGGAGGGAGTGTCGATGTCGAACTGCATGCTGCTGGCGTTGACGAGCTTGATGAAGATGTAATGGCGACAGCGGCCAGAGGGCTTCCAGCAGTAGACGACGAAGATGAAGACGCAGTGGCAGTAGCAGTGTAGACAACCGTTGTGGTGATAGTTGTCGTCACAATCTCATCATCCGCGCTGGAGTCAGCAGCATTGCCAGAAGGTGGAGGGGCAGAGGCTGCAAGATCAGAAGGCCGGAAGACAAGAGTTACGTCCTGTGCTTGTGGTGCAGACGAGGAAGTGGTGGGTTGAGGCGCAGACGTGGAGCTCGTGGTACTAGACCCGGTGGATGCTATCGTGTTGGAGCCAGTGGTGGTAGAAGTCGAACCGTCCCGCTCAACAAACATCGCACGCGAGGAAGTGCTGCCGCCGCTGTTCGTCCACACAGGCTTGATAACACCACTGGAGGGATTATACTCGAATATCTGGCTCTTGTGGGGATCTGCAGGCAAAAATTGTGTAGTCGACGATAGGCGCCATGCCGTTGGGAAACGGGGAAACCAGGTTTTCGACGTCATTTCTGGATTGCGACGGGGGGCACATCGTCATCTTCAATGGTTCAGGTCCAGACGGGTTCGGGTCGAAAGTAGCGCAGAAGGTGGAATTGAGGATATCAGTTTGAATCAGGACGTGCTTGGTCGCGTTTGCTATCAAGATATGTCAGCTTGGTAATAAAACAGACAGTGCGAGAGATTAAATACTAGGGTTGTTATATGAGTCGTTGTCATCGGCGTCGACCAAGTAGAACTGTGTCCCTTTCATGCTTGACGCATTGAGAAGGAAGGAACCATTACTAGCACGACCGGCGGTCGAGTTGCTCGACGTGGTATTGGTGGAGTTATACGGCGGAGAATCGAGGGCAAGAGATGCGAGGTGGCTGCCTTGCGCTCCGCTCTAAAAATGCAATTATAAGGATAGAGAAGCGCAAAAAAAAATATGCTATATACCATAATGTCAATAGTCCCGGGAATACGACCAGTAGAAGTACCACGACGACCCAGCCTTCTTTTTGAAGAGCGCGGGGAGGCTGCTCCTCTGGAGACTAGATAGTCATTTCCGCCTGCACCATGAACGAGAGCAGAGGAGCGACGAGAGAGAGGAGTAGGACGACGTGAGGAGGCATCGCGCGGCGAGAAAGGTGGTTGAACATCGCCATAGACACGAGAAAAGCCAAAATCCTGAATGCCGGCCAGCGGGTTCGAGGGGTCGGAATCGGTAAACCTGAAGAACCTCTGTAATGCAGGCAAGTGTCAAAAGGCGATGGCAATCATCAAAAGACGAGCTGACTTACCGAGCTAGGAGTATCGACACGCGCCTTTCCTTTGCCCTCAGAGGATTTGTCGGGAACATGTCCAGCAGTTAACCTCGGAAGTGAAAAGACAGTACGGGGCTCATCAGCCTGATTCGCAGCGGCAATCCGGTTGCCACTGGGATGGTTTGCGATATATGCAGCATCGGCATGGGGTGGAAGCACGAGAGCGATGATAACACAGATGCTTGTGAAAGCGAGAAACTGAGAATTGAAGCGCATGATAGAAATCGCGTACAATGAGGGGATGCGGCCTTGCGCAGCGTTTGGAAGAACAAGGAAAGTAGATACAGCTGAGGAGTACGATGCCTGTCGTGCAACAAATCACCAGGATCTGTGCGGTAGGAGAATGAGATGGGGAACAGAAATCTTTCGAAAACGTCGAGACTTTATACCTTGAATGAAGAGGATAAATGTAAGACATTCAACGTCACTCTCCACACAGGAGGCGTGCATGCTAAACCAGTCTGGATTGAGATGGACCGTGAGCTTTACGTGACGACTCGCAATGGGAACCGATGGTCCAGTTTACTATGACATGCCGGGCACATGTCTGGAGCCATTTCAACGATCAGAGGTTTCATAGAATGCATATGCCTGTCATTCACCTTAGCTAGTCCTCGACGTACATGCCATGGACTTATTTTTGCCTGATTCAGGTTCAGATTGCATTGATGGCTGAGCGCTGAGCTCTGCGAGTCCGGCAAGCCAATTACTTTCATGAGTACTTGGCCTGTATGACTCACAGGTTGCAGCAGTACTTCTGTGATTGCGATTGCTTATAGTACTTTTCTGCAGGTAAGCCTGGTAAGTAGACAGTAAGTGGTGGCAGGTGGTCGGCGGTTGAACCCATTTACGTATTATGAGGGTCATCGGCTTCTCCCTTGTTTAATGAGCCTGCTATCACCGAAGGTTTTAATCGACGAGAAACCACTAGGGGAAAGTCTAGAACGACTATCTGCTTCTTTCGCGCCTTCTACCGTAGGTGCGCGGCGTCCACTACCTTTTGTGCAGTCACCCGTCGTACGTTAGCCTATCACAACATTCAAATTTCAGCCCATATGCATAACCCCCTCAGGCTGCTACGACAGGTTGTGGGCCTTACTCGTGTTGATCACAATTTTTGACTGGACGAAGACTCACATGCGTACTCGAGGATTGCCAAAAATTGTCTCCCTGTATCGAGGCTGGTACTTTCCAAATCGCCAGCAGAAAGCCTTCCTGCCCTAAACTTAACAACCATCGGTTCTTCTTTCTCATCGAATTCTCAATCCACTTGGGAACTAGAAAGCGTTTCTATATGCAGTACGTTTGTCCGAATTTTGAATATCTGAAATTCTGAATATTCGAGACGGGCGGCCTCGAGGCAGAACCTTTTCAGACTTTGGTCATGTGAGTCATCTTCGAATTTGTAAATAACAGTTTGTCCCTCTAGATCTGTCATGCGCTTTACCACCTCCAAGGCCAACTTAAGACCATCATATCACAACAGAGCAGCTCATTGCATTCAGTCCTGAATCATTCGATGGTGTCGTCTGGATAAATTCCACACCCCAAATCGCGAGAGCCACGATCGAGACAGTCCAGTCACCAGTGGCGAGTTGCAATTAAGTACTATATCCAGTATGGTTCAAATCAGCTACATGCTTCAGGGGTGCGTGCACTAGTAGAATGCCGAGCCTGTGCAGGACGAGACTGAATGAATCATTGGTTCTCAACTTCCTTTGCAATGGAAATGCCAGAGAGCAATACCCACTTTCGTCACGATGGCTCAATCGCGAGGTGGTGAGTTGCGATTACAGTATGGTTCAAATCAATTGCATGCTTCAGGGGTGGGTGTAATGCTCGAGACGGCAGAATGCTAAGAGGACGCCACTGACATTGGTCCGTATCTTCTGGAATGGAAGTGCCAGGGCGCAACACCTACTTTCGTTGCGATGATTTAATCGCGAGGTGGCGAGTTGCAAATTACAGTATACACGACCCAGGGGTGCGTATGATGCTCGGGACAGCAGAATACCGAGCCCGAACAGGACGACCGTCACATTATTTTTGGTTCTTCTCTTGATTCTTCTCTGTCAGTCTAGAGTTCCTGTGGGGTCGAGAGTCGAAATGCGCCTCCGATCAGATCGACGTAGACTGGTGCTTGCCTCATAGAGGGGCTGATCACCAGTCTAAGATCGACGGCGACCTCAGTATCATGTGATGGTAATATTGAGGTACATAATAGTATGGACCTCGTGCGCGCAGTTGATGAAGGCATATTCATATTTGTGACATATTTTTAGGTACAAACTTTGAACTTACTGAAGTATGGAACGTTATCTGATGTTAGAAGACAGGGGGTCAAGTTAATCTCCTGCCTATGTCACAGCACTATGTAGATGATGATCAACGTTGCTTTAACGCCACCGTTATCTGACCGCAAATACGGCCTATGCACAGGCTGAATGGAGACAGAGATGAGATCAAACCTCCCTGTTACGCGTCCGACATTGTTCGGTTCCCTGGTATTGTGTCACTTTTGAGGTAAGCAAGTACGAGCAATCGCCGTTCAAAGTGCACGCACAGCCATGCTGATCAATGACCCCCGTCACCATCATGCACAAGACCAGAGTCCAACCAAACAACGATTGACATAATAATATCGACACTTCCGAACGAGTCGCTCAAACGTGTACACGGCTGGCAGGAAATTCGACACTTGGGATGTTCATGGATTCGTATGAGTGTGGGGTTCTAGGCTAGTTCGCTATAGCTGTTGTTGATTCAAGTGCTCGAGCATTCACGATATATCAACGTTCAACGTTCAACCAGTGCAAGTCCATTTCATCATCTGCAGACTCCCATTCGAGATTATCAACGCTCGTAGTCGAGGTACTACATCATGAATTCAACAGGCCTAAGTGTGTGTAGTATATCATCGTGTCAAACTGAGCATTCGGCTTATAATCCGGGCCTTTTGCTATCACACTATAGAAGCAATATTCGTAGTCGTCCACACTATTTGTCAGAACCTCGTCCCGCGAGCATCGAAGAAGATCAAACGCGTGGCAGGTCGAGTCGTTCCGCAGCTCTAACAAAGATTACAGCGTGAAGACACCAAGTTTGCGTTTCGGGCACGTTCTATCGACCCAAGTCTCACTCCACTCGGGATAGCCTTCCCCTTCTACTCCAGGTAGCAATGCGCAATCACATCGGAACTCATCGGAAATCGTGACACAATCGTGACACCATGCGATATTTGGCGACTTTGCGCAGCAACGGCGGGGGCGTTTCCCTCATGTAGTGAGCAGGTTCGGGCAGACGCAGAGAGGAAGCTGATAGAAGATATACTATCTCAGTCTGTGGTAAGGGACTCGTAGAACAAGACACCTCATTCGTAGACATCAGCGTCTCGCAGAACAACGCAAGATGCACGTGCCTATTCTAAGCCCATCTCGCTTCTCTGTCTGTCGAAACCCAACAGGATCCCATCCTAACCGGTTAACACCGTGTTAAGGACGCAGATAGGCTCCTCAGGGTCTTGCACAAGCTTGAAGGAGCAACTTACATAGGAGCGGATTATCTGATTATGATAGGCTCGGGCTTCAGAGTTACCGATGTCTGGGAATCGAGAAAGTTCGGTCACTTCCCCATGGGCAAGTAAGTAGTTCGGCTGCGTTCCCTAATTTCCGTAAGTGGCTGATAAATGACATTGCCAAATAGATTGAATTGGGGACGGTAAGATTAGGACGGCGTAGTTTTGACTGATCATGGGTCATGCATAGGATGTTTTGATAATCCCCGTCCAACGAAGCTACCTCATATCGGATCTTCAAGCGCCACTAAAACGCCTGACCACATTCACACTAAGTTCTTGGGGCCCGTCTTGGAACTCATTTACAGCACCTTTGTCGTACTTCGTGGTATGGAAGGACCTTCTGGCCAATGGGACAAGATTTTATCAAAGATTCTAACGCTATTAGGACCATCGAATTCTAGAGTTCGCTGGAGAAGCGATGTGTAAGTGTTCTTGTCTAAATGTTCCTTGCGTTATGAAGTTACAGAATGGCGTTTATTTTCTCCGACGAAAAGCACAATATATAAGGGTGATTATCGGTCTGTCCATACAAGACGAGTCATATTCAACACATTCAATCTTCAATACCACCTGCGCTTACCATGGATTTCGAAGGAGACATATTAGGCTACTTTGGTCGAAACATCGTTGAAGATTATCACGGTGTTCTCATCAAAAAGCTTCCCCATAAACTTACATTCCCGCTGATATCTGAAGGGCCCGTGGGTCGCCATCATCAGACGTCGCAGCTACCCTGAGCTCCCAAGGGATGGTCATGGCAAGACGGGTACAGTCGGAATTTTAGGCGCAGGAGTTGGAGGTCTATATACCGCCATCATGTTAGACTCACTGGGCATCAAGTACGAGATTTTGGAGGCTTCAGACCGCACCGGCGGCCGCCTCTTCACCTACCATTTCCCGAATGGCAAAGAATACGATTACTACGTATGTCACTCATTTGATGTTGCTTTGCCAAAGATGCTCACTGGCTTTCCCGCCAATTAGGATGTTGGCGCCATGAGGTACCCCCTGCCGAAGAAGGACGCTCAAGGCAAATACAAGGCTGGCGTTATGAAGCGCCTGGGCGAGTTAATCGACTACTCGAAGCTCAACGACAGTAATTTCCAGGAACCTCTAAAATCCAAACTTATCGAATACTACTACACGGCGAAGGCAGGAGGCACTTTCATGTACTTCAACAATCAACGTTACCAAGTCTCTGGTACGTCGCACCCTCCTGAGTTCCACGCCCGGGAAATGGGTGTGGAGGCTGAATACGTCAATGTGGGCGTTGACAATATCATCGCCGACGTCGTTACGCCATTTGCCAACATGCTCATGAAGGACTTGGAGCAGCATACCGAAAAGGGCTGGGAGGTTATGAAGAAGAACGATGTATACTCGCTTCGCGCATACATGTCGTTCAAGTATGTCCCTAGCGTCAGCCTCGACCTCCCGCCCATGCACCTTACCACTAACACCATCAATTGGTGCGAGACATTCGACAAGAGCACCGGTTGGTATGACCGCGGTATAACTGAAACGGTTCTTGAGGCGCTGGCATTCGCCAAGGTCGGGTCGCAGACCTTTGGAGACGTAGATTGGAAGTGTTTCAGGTAAGTCCACGTGCTGTCGCCGAACTCATCCTCATATTTCTCGTACCCAGAGGCGGTTCTCAAGTGCTCACCAACTACATGACGGAATATATTACTGCTAAGGGCACCAATTCTCTAATCCAGTTCAACAAGAGTGTTGCGAGCATCTCTCAAGTCGGTACCACTGGCATGACAGTTTCTGTAAGGGGCGAACCTACCCCGCGCACATATTCACACGTTATATCAACTCTCCCTCTGCCGCGCCTACGGACGATTGATCTCTCCGGTGCTGGTTTAAACGTGATGCAGAGAAATGCCTTGCATAAGCTGCAGTACGGTCCTTCAATCAAGGTTGGTATCCGCTTCCAATCAGCGTGGTGGACAGACCGGTTCGGTATTGTAGGAGGCCAATCATTCACCGACCTTCCAATTCGAACCATTGTCTACCCCTCTTATGGAGTTGATTCTAGCTCGCCCTCCACAGTGCTGATCGCGAGCTACTGTTGGACAAATGATGCAGAGCGCTTGGGATCACTCATCGGCACCGGTAAAACAGAGTACGACGAGCAACTGAAGGAACTCGTGTTGCGCAATCTTGCAGAAGTACACAACCTCCCTTATAGTTTCATGTTGGATCAGTGCGAGGACGTATTTGCATGGGACTGGAACCACGACCCGCTCACAATGGGTGAGTCTGAATACTGATGTAAGCGAATCGTTGCTTACACTCTCCGCTACAGGTGCCTTTGCTTTCTTTGGGCCTGGAGATTTCCAGGATTTGTACACGTCTCTCACTGTACCAAATGCCAACAAGAGGTTGCATATCGCTGGCGAGGCCATCAGCACCCGTCATGCGTAAGTACAAAGCAGTTCTGTCTTTTCGATGATTACAATTTAACGGCGATGTAACCTGCAGGTGGGTCGTCGGTGCGTTGGACAGCGCATGGCGTGCGGTATACGAATACCTGCTCGCTTCCGGACAGCCTCAGTCTACCATTGATAAGTTTTTCGAGCTGTGGGGCTCGAACATTGAATGGGCATCCTCATCAGTCAACTATACCGATGGAGAGCATAACACCCTGTTACGGGCCCACATGGGATACACATATGCTGGCGAAACATGTGGGGAGGTGAAGTTCTGAACAAGAAGTAGTACCTAGCTCGGTAACATTGACTAAATTTGTAACATCACTCGCTTTGTATGATCATTGATGATTAGTCGTTTGCTCCTACGAGACTTCCTCTCTATTTGTCCGTTACTTCAAATGCTAGTTGAAGTGAAGCGCTGAAACTTCGGGGCTTAATAATCGATCGTATACTCATGCATCGCTGGAGATGAATCGGAAATGCAGAGGGCTCCTCACCGGTACATACGACTGTAGAGGGCTTTAGGATATATGATTTTCCGTGCTCGAGGGTTAAGGAATCGGTCTCGGGTACTGATTGTACCGTCAATTTGAAATGCACGCCCTAGGCCTGTGCGGGACCATCACTTTACGGGTGATCAGTTCTTTTTCGTATAAAAAATCGACAGTCTTCGGTGGCTGGCATGGTAGGTTATCAGTCACGGTTTTCACCGACTCGGATAGATACGTCGGTATTACACGACGAATTGTTTGGTGTGATAGGTATAGCTCATAGTAGAGTCGCAATATTGCAAGGATCGGAAACCTTAAGTAATGAGACAAATATCGGTACGAGACAATAAATACCAGGGTTGTTGAATGAGTTGTCATTGGCGTCGACTAAATGAAACTATGCCCCATTCCGTCCTTGACGCATTGAGAGGGGAGGAGTCATTAATCATTACTCGTTGTCATGCTGCAGTTGCATGACATGACGTTTCGAGCTGTTCAGATGGGTTTTCAACCCTTCGACATCATTTTCCTGTGCAGCTAAGGGATTGGTTGTTTTCGCCCGTGTCTGAAGCTGCCGTTCATTGTCATTCTGCAACTGCAGCACATGCTGCTTCGAGTCATTCAGCCGCGTCTTCATCCGTTCGAGTTTATTCTCCAGGACAGCTAATTGAGTGGTTACTGTTGCGAATTTATCTTGATACTAGTCCTGTTCCTTGATGAGGTCCAGGTTCTCTTGTTGAAGGTTCATTGTGTGGATCAAGGCGGAAAGAGAGAGAGAGAGAATTTCTATATTTATATACCGCAACAAACAAGGTAAACTGTTAAGACGCGGTGCCCTGTTAGGGCTGTACTGGGGGATGTTGTAACAGGGTAAGGGGTGTAAGTATAGTACGAATAGCCAAGCGGTCCGCGTTTGAGAAGTTTCGGTGCGCGTATAAGTTCGTCCGGTGTCCAGGCTGAGTATAATATGGTACAGTTTCTCTCCTTCCTCCTCCTTCTGTGCTCTTCTCGTCTCCTCCCTCCTTCGTCACCTCCTTTCCCGCCCTCACTCAGGCTTCTATCCCTCTCCTTTCTTCCCAGTCCCCTTCTCGTTCCAGTGCGGCCTTCTTGAATGCGCTGGATTCTTCGATAAATTTCGCTAATAGGCGGAAAGAGTTGCAGACGCTCGACCGATTACTATTACCGTTTTGGGACACATCGACCACCTAATAGCTCCCGATTTTTTTTGGGTTGTGATTCACTTGTGAATGTTATGAAGGATCGACATATGCCAAAAATGCCCAAGGTTACAAGCAGCAAACCCACTGAAAGGTCAGTCAAAAGGGCGCGGATTGTGAGTTCGCCACAAGACAAGAAGGGGCTCAAACCGGCTCCCCAAAACGATCTCAATCTCGTTTCCTCCAGCAAAGGCAAGGAAAAGGCCTCCACGAAACCCGCCTCAGAGGACACCACCCTCCCCACCTCCTTCAAGATCATCGCTGGTTCCTACGAAAAACTGCTGTACGGCCTTGACGGATCTGTCTCGCCCGATGAGGCCGACAATGGCTACAAATTCGAGCTGCAACCCATCTTCATATTCCCCGCACATGTATCGTGTATCAAGGCTGTTACTGCATCTCCGAATGGCGGGAAATGGCTTGCTACTGGGAGCGCGGATGAGGTCATAAAGGTCTGGGATCTGCGGAGGAAAAAAGAGATTGGCGGGCTGATGCATCACGAAGGTGTGTCCTTGTGCTCTACATATCTGCCTCATTTATAAATCGTTATTATGACAGGGTCCATAACCCAGCTTCAATTCCCATCCCGCTCGCATCTCCTCTCTGCGTCTGAAGACGGTTCATTGTGCCTGTTCCGTGCTCGTGACTGGGTCGTGCTTCGCACCCTCAAAGGTCACAAAGGACGCGTCAATTCTACGGCGGTTCACCCGTCGAATAAGGTCGCACTAAGCGTGGGCAAAGACAATACGCTGCGCATGTGGGATCTCATGCGGGGAAAGGGATCTGCTAGCACGAAGCTGGGGAAAGGTGAGTATCTCGTTAGTAATTGGATCCGTTTCTGACCTTATACGATGGTTTAGAGGGAGAAGTCGTGCGGTGGTCCACGACAGGCTCGTCGTTTGTCGTGCAATCTCACAATACGATCGACGTATTCACGATCGTAAGTCATCCGACCTGTCCCTTCCGTTCGGATATTCAGTTCGATCACCTAGGACATGGTTCTTCGCCATACCATCACGCATCCATCCCGAATACATACACTTCGGTTTAGCAAACGAGTAAATGGCGCTGGTGAATTATTACTTGTCGGCGCAGAAGATAAAAAATTGTCGATCTACGACATTCCAGACGACCCAGACAAAATGCCCACCATCATTGCCGAAATGACCGGGCACTCCAATCGGTACGTGGTACCATACACTCATCCGAACTTCGTGTTTATCTCGTCTCTTCAGTGTAAAAGCAGTCGAAATTCTTCCTCTCGCACTGCCCCCATCGACGAAGACAAACGCGCGCCTCTCAACTATCATCGTGTGCACCGTCTCATCTGATGGTAAAATCCATGTATACGACCTAGCCTCACTGCCCGGCGACCTAAAATCTGGAAGTGAAACGCTTCAGATATCACCTGTAGCTGAATACGATACAAAAGGTACGCGGCTGACGTGCGTGACGATCGCGGATGGCGGAGTTCTCAAGGATACTACGAGTGTGAATGGGAAGCGGAAGCGGGAAGACGAAGACAGCGAACAGGACGATAGGGATGAAGAATTGGGAGCTCATGAACCAGAAGCAGAGCACGAAGATACTGAGTGAGTGAGGTCAGGGTTTGACACGTTCATTGTTTACCGTAACCTTCGTTGCTATAAACCCCTCTATTTCGGCTTGTTTCGCATGTGTGTTGTTCAGTTCTTACTGATGTTGATCAGCTATCTAACTATTCGAGAAACTGACAAGGACTACGACGTGATGCCCGTATAAGCTATTATCAGTCCTATACACGCAAACACTTGTGACCAGTCGCCTTACACAACGATGGCGGGAGATGGGTGGAATATCACAGCTGGTGTAAGGCGACTGGTATGTTTCCACCATCCATTACGCGCGACAAGGCCGCCGGCTGGGAGTCTCGCATATTTTCAACTGACTGTGTCACCGTCTAGGTCAAGTCTAGTCTATCAGGCGCCGCCTTCGGAAGGAACCCTAGCGCCCACCTTCCTCCTTATGGAGATGCCGGGCATACTTTTATCCTGACGCTTATCTACTCTCCCTCGACTGATCTACCTTAATACCCTCGTTTGATCCCCATCCACTGTGCCAAGGTCACATGAAGCCATCCCCAGCCCCAATCAGATCACTCAAAGGACACTGATTTGATCAAGGAAGTGGTATTCTCGACAAACGAGAATGAACTCACCGTCATAAGCACGTCCAACGACAAGACTATTCGCATTTGGGACGTAAAAACAGGGGATCAAGTAGGAAACCCATTCGAGGGAGGTTGTGGGACTGTGGGACTCGCTGTATCAACGAATGGACGAAGAATCGCAAGCGGAGGGTTTGATTGCAAGATTGTGATATGGGATGCAGAGACGATGGAGATCATCAGATGTCTGTCGCATCACCCAGATTGTCCGTTTCATACAGTTCTCACCTAATGAGAAAAGGCTCGCTACCGCATCAAACGACGGCACACTCAAGATCTGGGACACGGAAACAGGAGATCTCATGTTCAACATCGATGATCACCGAGACATCGTATGGACAGTGGCCTATTCCCCCGACGGAACCAAGTTTGCAAGTGGGTCAGAGGATCGCACAGTTCGCATCTGGAGTTCAGCGACCGGCAAGCAGCAAACTCAACCACTCATCCACAAACGTGGAGTGTCCTCGATAGTCTGGCATCCCAACAATGGCCATCTCATTTCTGCATCTTTCGATGGCTAGATCTACTTCTGGAGTGCACTGACTGGGGGCCAGCTCTGATCCCCATTGCGTGCACATTCAAACATTATTAACTTGTTGGTCATCACACCTAACGGTGAACTGCTAGCCAGCGCATGCAATGATGCCACCACCCGGTTGTGGAGTACCGCAACTCGCAAACCTTTCGGTCGTGTGCTCCAGCATATTGATAGGGTATATGCGGTAACCTTCTCACCAGACGGCCAACTTGTCCCATATTCCATGCATGCATCAACCGCCATACCCTCAAAGAGCTCGATCTCCACTCTGTCCTTCGTAATCCCCAACTTCGTCAGTATTTTTTCCCCCTTTCTTCTAATGTCTTATAGTGTCGCTAGGACATGATCTGCTCTCCGACGTTGGTCTACAGTTTTGTCTCACCTCTGTTGACGAAAACGCGATCTCGTTTTGCAGATCGCCATGCGCGCAAAAGAGGCTCGAACGTTGTCCACACGGCTTGATCCTCAACCTGCGTCCCTCGCTTTCCCACCAGACGAGCGCATGCTAAAGCTAGCCGAACGCTGGCCAGATTCAAACATGCGTCCAAACTTGCCGTTAATAGGATCCGCGACGTCATTCTCAATCAAATCGTGGCACTCACTTTCCCGTCTCGTGACTCGGTCATGAGCGCTGAGCCTCGGCAAGTCTTTCGATACGCTTGCGTCGGGTATGGAGCCTCTTGCTGATGAGATCCGCTTGTCGTCAGAGCGATTGTCTAGATCGGCGCATATCCAGCGCTGTATCTTCCCTTGTACGAGCAGGAAAACTTTTCGTATTCCATCTTCTCGAATAGCTGATTCAATTTGTTGTACCTATACCACCCCATCATCGACCTCTTTTTCGCATGTTTGATCTCCAGACATTCCGTCTTTTCTGACCTCCATACACGACCCCGATGAAGCTGACGAAAACAAGCAGTGTCATGTTACCTTACAATACCATACCCCCGTTCGCGTTCGTGCAGGGTAATTGAGGATTGATAATGTCATGTACTTTTTAATTTGATTAGATGTTAGACAATTTTCCTGCGTTTTGAGGGATTGGGATTGCTTCCTTTTCCTTCTTCGTTCGGAGCAAATCGCGCGGGTCGCTTCTGCCCCCAACCATTGTCCGCACTCGCAGGAAACGGACGCGATCGTTTCTCTTTTTGACTTGTTTTCTTTTGCTTCTTTTCTATCGCTTTCTTTACAGCGCGTTTTCCCCCGCTTGATGCGATATCCTCGTAACGAGCTTTCATCAGCAACTCCTTCTTCTCGGCTGAATCGAGATGAGACGAGATCACAACGAATGAGGAGAAAGAGAAGAAAAGGGTTCTTACACGTTTTCATCCACCACTCCGATTTCCCCCCTCCCCCTCTTCTCCTTCTCCTCCCTCGCCACCTTGCCAAGCGCCTCCATCTCCACTTTTTCCCTCTTATCCCTATTTACAGCGCTTTCTCCCCTCTTTACAGCAAGCTCCAATCTCCCCACTTCACGTTCGCGTTCGAGGCGTTGGTCGGCGGGAGAGTTGAGCAGAAGCTTGCGCGCGCGTTTGAGGTTGGAGCGGAGGGTCGAGAGTTCATCTTTGTGCAGGGTTGAGAGGAAGGTGTATTGGGTACGGAATTTTTGGGGGTCGAATGTTCCTGTTATGTGGAGGAAGCGAGGGTCGCGGGGTTGCTGCAATACAAGTGAGTGCGTGCGTGCGTGCGTGGTGGGAGGGGTGGAACGTACGGGTGTTTTGGAGTCGATCACTATTCTCCGCCTGCTAACGGGTCGTTTGGAGGTTATTTCAGTGGGTCTGGGGTAGAATTGTTGATGAGTGAGTGGGTGAGGGATTGGGTTGGGGATACTTACGCGTGTTTGCTAGATCTTTTGGCGAGGTCTTTGCGTGCTCTAGAGTGTTTTTCAGTTTCTGGGATTTCTTTTGACTTGCCTTTGGAGGTGGTTAATATAGGGCATTCGTCCTCGTCGTTGCTTGAATATGAGTCTTCTAATGCGTCAGACTCGGATTCTGAATCGGTGAGAGCGCGAGTTTGAGAGAGGGTATGTTGGGCTTTGCGGAGCATTCCTAGAGGTAAGGAGGATAGATCTAGACACAGGGATAAGTCAACGAACGCAGATGTGAGAATTGAACACATACTGTCCTCAAGAGACCACTTGCAGAAAGCACATAAGTCAGTATACCTGCACCAGCAACCAAGAAAACGAGCGAACCAATTCTCTGGAAGATTTTGCAGATGGGATGACATTGATATTATCTTCGTCGTCATCTAGATCCGTTTCTTCTTCTACTAGGGCTTCACTATCTTCATCTTCATCTTCTGCATCCACCCACTGCACCACCCGAGGCGCGTCCGCATCGTTATCGTCATCGTGGGCATCACCGAAGCTCTCGTCAGAAACGCTCTCCGAGCCAGATTCCGCTTCAGACTCGGTTTCTGCATTGACATTGACAGCTTTTGGTTGGGTGCGTCGGAAGGCTGATTTTGGTGGTGCTGGGCGGGTGCGGTGTTGGGGGCGGTGGTGATGGTGATGGCGGTTTTGGGGTTTTGTGGGTGGATGAGTGGTATGAGGCATGTTTGGACGTTGGGTTGGAACTTTTGGGGAGGCCGATGTTGCAGTCACGAGCTGTCGAGGCGAGTTAAACTCGATGTGAACTCGGCTCGCTTTGAAAATGACCAAATTCGTTTCAACTCGAAACTCAGAACTGTGTCGAGTTATAACTCGTTGAGTTCGAGATTTACAAATCGATTTCGTGTACTTCATATCTATACATCGTAATCCCCTGTGAATGGCCCCAGGCCCAGGCCCCACATGAATATCTCATTACAATGAGCTGCAGTGGACTCGACGTAGCTGCCACTCCAACATTGAAGGATTTTCACTCGGCCATTCTTTGAATTGAGACCCTGGCTAGAGCCTCAGTAAAAAACTTAAATACCGGCCTTGATAGCTTAAAACTTGTAAGCACGCTGGCCTACCTGAGTTCCCATACTCAGTATATATACTGTCGCTGATACTGAAAGCTAAGCTTTCAGTATTCTACCTTTTGGTGTAACGGTTATGCGCGTGCGGCAGTCTGACCAACTTACAAAACTGCTGCGGGCAACATTTTTGACCCCATGTCATCGCAGCAGAATGCTGGCCTGTGGACATTTTCTCATCTCAGTCCTTACACTCGAATTCTCGCCAAAGCAGGCTATCTCCACTTCAAACTCCAAGTGGATCCTTTGAATTACTTCGGAACATTTCACCAGGTTCACCAACTCCTGCCCCCAGTGTGAATGGTGATGAAGGCTTCTCACATTACTATCCAGTGCCGCAGGTTCTGTCTGCTCTGCAATTTCATTGGATTAACAGGTATTGTTAGCAAAAAGAACGTACATTTCCGCTTCTATTCCGCATCGCTATGGATGTCCTGCCTGCTCAAGCTTCATCTGTGCCTTCCGAGTGCATATTTTCATCCAGCAAAGAGACCTGCACTCTACGGCGCAGCAACTTACAAGTACTGAAGTTTATTTACAAGCAAGATCGCCTCAATTTTACAGAGGACCTGGTAGCTGACGAGCGGGACTACACATTATCTGGACCTGTAACTCCCAGAGCAGTTGACGAGCTGATGGCTGCTGGGAATCTTCGCGAGCTTAACGGGTTGCTCCAGAATGCAAGGGACATTGATTGTAATTAGTATATCTGCTCGTCGTGTACTAGTCACTTGCAAATAAACGTCGGCGGCGGCATGCAGAATCCCTAGCTTCTCATTGGCTGAACTACTGGTCCGTATCAACTCTTTTCCACATTGCGAGGCGAAGGAGGTACACTTCGTTTCAACTCGTTAGTGCCGAACTGTATCGATTTACCAGAATTTTCCATCTCGATTCGATTCGCATCGCGGCAACACTAGCTAAGGCGCCTGCAGAACGCTGTGGGAATTTCGGAACAGTGCTGAGGCCTGAGGCTCCAACAACTTCTCGCTGTGTGCATTCACGGCAACACTTGCGCCCACCAGACGAACCCTGTGTCTACCACCAAGATCCTCGCTGCTGCCGCACTCGATATCATATGGCACGTATGTACGGTGGTCCAGACACGCAAGTTGGAACAGTTCACGTCAAACATATACAGCTAAATTCTAATTATCACTGGAACGTCGAAACTGGTTCAACTCTGCATCGAGGTTTCATGCCAGTGATAATTAGAATTTGTTGCCAGCTCGGGCCCACGTTCACGGGTAACCTTGTTAAAGCCTGTCGTCCCCAACCTGCAAGTATGTACCAATTTCCAAGCGTTCGAAGTTCCAACGTCCTCACTAGGTCTGGTTCACTTCGACTCTGATCCGGATTTTTATAGGTCAACCATGTCAGACACCTTTCCGGGGCCCCGTGGATCTCCTCAGACGACCACTCATCATCACGACTTCTAAGTCCCGGATTCCTAGACCGCCAGGTCTTCCTTTTCTGCGCGCGAACATTCTTTGGACTTCGGAGGAGATAGTTGTGCGAAGGGAACAAACATGTACCGAGTTGGTGAGACGGTCCGTTCCCTACTTCCGTACTCTGGGCCCACTAATTACCTCCACTATAGCCTTTCTCCTACCAGATGGGCCGCCACCTGCCAATCAGGGTCTGATTAAGGGCCCTCAATTCGTCCATGAGGACCTATTGCATACAAGCACCATTGACAACAAGGCAGGTCATCTTGCAATCGGGTCCTTCTCCACGCCAGAAGGGCTGCAATAATTACAGCAAGGGAAGGGGACTGGAGTTCGTACCGATCCTCGGACACGGACCCGAAATATTATAACATGGAGGCTGTGACAAGCCATGACGTCGTTTAAGCTTACGATATGTCGGCAAGTGAGTCGTATGTTCAAATCTCTCAATTCAACTGTACTGATCGAAGCTAGGATATCATTGTCCAACTGGTTTCAACCTCTCGTTTTCTGAAATGGCCAAAACCTGAAACAACTATCTGACGAGGTCCGACAACAACCTTACTTCACTTTGCGTTCAGTATTTCTTTTTTCACTGATATCCACCATATCGTTCATTCATCTTTGGGAGGGGCCCTCCCGCTGAATATGGAATTTGAAACGAACCGATCGCAAACTTCAATGATTAGACAAGCTTATCTGCAGAGGCAGGTCGCACCTGTAATACTAATTTTGCCATACCGCCGCTCCATCGGGTAAAGTTCACATTTGCCCTTCGTGTATATGGTGGTCACCAACGGCTGATTACACTGGTAGTCAATGAAGTACGTCGCGTTTCCATATTGACCTCAATGCTATCTTACGCTTCTCACTAGCTAGCGTCAACCTATAGCGAATGAGCACCCCGACGATCTCAACGCGAGGTGCTTCTCTTCATTCCACACGCATAATTTCATCCTCTCCAGTTGTCGCAGCCAATTGGTGACCCACTACTTCTCGCAGAAGGCCATGGACGGCTACAACAGTCACCTCGCCCAGTTTTTTTCGCCTGGCAAAATTGGTATCGGCACCCCCAGGAAGAGGTCTGACATCAGCAAACATTATCTCGCACTCATGCACCCAGCACTCAGCACCATATCCCACAGTTCTGCCGACGTTCCTGGATCCAGAGAACAGAGTCCTAAATATCTTTCACAAAGCGCAGTAAGTCTTGGCGTGCACCGCGAGTCCTTACACTCACTGTATCCTTGCTAAAGCATGTTATTTCGCACAGACTACGCTCGTACGTGGAGCCGTGGATTTGTTCGTTTGCAATATCAGCCCCAGGCCATGCACTTCATCACTTACATTACGATCGTCAACGGGATATAGTCTCCGTGCATCCGTCGCAAGCTACAAGTTCCTCGCTATGCCACAGGACATCCTCCTAGCGTACGAGGAGCAGTCAGCCTGAACGACATCATTCATCATAGTGGGTACCAGGGCGGAAATAATTGGAGGCAAGCAGTGGTGCACATATCCGTGATTTGATCCTACGTCAGGCCGCAAGAAGCCTTGTGCATCCTGCTCAGGAAGCGGTTTCCGAGGATTCTGGTTTTGTCAAGTGCCAGCTCTTTGAACTAAGCATGAGGTTACTGGTACGTGTTCCCCGATGCTCAATAACAACATATTTATATGGACTGTTTCTGCAGCACGATGAGCAGTTGACTCATCGGGTCGTCCGGGTGCGTGTACCAAACCTTTACGAGTCCCACAAGCTGCTGCGACCTGTCTATCGGCCTTTCTATTACCAACTAGCGTGACCGATGTCCGAGGTCAAACAACACGCGCAACACCCACTGCTCCATCACGCCTGTACAGCCTCTATGTCTATACCATCACCACCATTTCGCAGGGAGAGAACTTCAGACATGCAGAACCAGTCGAGCACCATGGGATCTCTCCCGTTCCAGAGGGGGACGGATACCCTGAGATACGCTTGCGCTGCCAGGCGCCTCAAGGAGCTATGATCTGAAAGAGCCTGAACGCCTGCACCTTTACAGAGATTGATATTTTGGTCCAGACAGGTGGGGAAAACGGAAGTTCTGTCATTTCTATCATAATCTGATGATATATTATAGCTTATCTCTCTATCAGCGATCTTATAACTCAGTCGTTTGTCCTGTACTTAAAATTTCGTGCTTTATTGCACGAATAATTGAACTATTGATAAATGGTGCATTTACGGAGAACTTCGTCTCGGCGCAGTAGATTCGAGTGTCCAGAGAAATAGACGCCGTTTGTACCTGTTATGTCGCGAGTCATAGGAGCCCTTGCTTCGTGTTCGTTCGCTGTTATACCTGGCTGCGATCTCGTTCCGCGTCACTCCCCACTGCTTGCACGACCACCTCCGCTCTCAGGACGTACATCAAGCTCTCCCGATGGAAACTGAAATGAACCCCGAGAACCTCAGAAAGACAATCGGGCGCTTCCGAGTTCTGATCTTGGGCAGAGCGAATGCAGGTAAAACAACCATTCTTCAGAAAGTCTGCAACACCACGGAACAGCCAGAGATTTACAATGCCAAAGGAGAGAAGGTACGGTATGTTCTATAGCATGCGTGCATCAAGCGCTGATCACTTGTGAGTAGATCGATGCCGCCGTCGTAGAAGGCTCGAGATTGGTGTGTGCACTATCTGCCCTATGAGCATGCATGCGCTGATAGATGCTCAGCGTGGAGATCATGAGATCACAAACGAAATGGTGTTCAAAAGCAATCCCGGTTTTGTCTTTCACGACTCGTGCGGTTTCGAAGCGGGCTCTGTAGAAGAATTCGAGGAGATGAAGAAATTTATCTCAGAACGTGCAAATGCGACGAAATTGGAGGAGCGACTGCATGCTATTTGGTAAGTGACCCCCTCCTGCATTCTGTGCTTGTTCATCGCTGTCATACAGGTATTGTATACCAATGGACGACCATTGGCGAACATTCCAGCGGTCGGAGGAGGAATTCTTCTCCGAGTGCAATACTGGGAATGGTGAGCTTGCAACTTCAGTGTTTCTCGTCGTGCTCGGACTATATAACAATTCTTCAGTTCCCGTAATTGCAGTATTCACCAAATTTGAAGCTCTCCGTCCGGTGGCATTCGGAGAACTGAAGAAACAACTAGTCGGGCTATCGAAAGAAGAGCGCTCAGAGAGGATTGCCCAACGTGTCGAAGAACTGTTCAACGACACGTGTGTCTGGGATCGGTTATGCGACCCTAAAAACCGCACTCATCCCAAGTGCTATGTACGCTTACAAAGTGAGTAGTTCTGATTGATTTGTCCAGTAAACATTCACATGAGTCACTGACCCAGATATGAATGAACCAAACACAAACTGCAACATCCTGGTGGAACGCACTACTTTTGCATTGGATGACGAAGAATTGCGGTTGTGCCTAGCATTGACACAACAGTCCAATCTGGAACTTTGTATCAAGTGTGCTGTTGGGTGAGTTGCAAACTTGCAAGTCCACCTGCTTGTATTACAACATCATGTAGAACACTCGTGGATCATGCTCATGAACAAGTCTTGCAACTTTCAAGGGATCTTGAAGCCTACCAGTGTGACCTTGCTAAGTGGTTTCCATATCTCACTGTAAGATAACAATATCATGATGACTTTGTGATTGGTGCTAACCAATGGTAAATATTAAACTGCTAAGACTTGAAACATACTCATATCTTCCACCATAGCTCTCTTGTGATGATAGCTAGTAAGATGCTGGTTTTTGCACCTGAACTCATGCTGATGGTCCTGATCACTTGCTGCTCCTGGCCTGTTGACAGCGGGTAAGTGCCTTGATGGTTTCTGGTCCTGAATCAATCCTGATGGTCCTGATCACTTGCTGCTCCTGGCCTGTTGACAGCGGGTAAGTGCCTTGATGGTTTCTGGTCCTGAATCAATCCTGATGGTCCTGATCCCTTGCTGCTCCTGGCCTGTTGACAGTGGGTGAGTGCCTTGATGGTTTCTTGTCCTGAACCAATCCTGATGGTCCTGATCCCTTGCTGCTCCTGGCCTGTTGACAGCAAGTAAGTGCCTTGATGGTTTCTTGTCCTGAACCAGTCCTGATGGTCCTGATCCCTTGCTGCTCCTGGCCTGTTGACAGTGGGTGAGTGCCTTGATGGTTTCTTGTCCTGAACCAATCCTGATGGTCCTGATCCCTTGCTGCTCCTGGCCTGTTGACAGCATGTAAGTGCCTTGATGGTTTCTTGTCCTGAACCAATCCTGATGGTCCTGATCCCTTGCTGCTCCTGGCCTGTTGACAGCGTGTAAGTGCCTTGATGGTTTCTTGTCCTGAACCAATCCTGATGGTCCTGATCCCTTGCTGCTCCTGGCCTGTTGACAGGAAGTAAGTGCCTTGATGGTTTCTTGTCCTGAACCAATCCTGATGGTCCTGATCCCTTGCTGCTCCTGGCCTGTTGACAGCAAGTAAGTGCCTTGATGGTTTCTTGTCCTGAACCAATCCTGATGGTCCTGACCCCTTGCTGCTCCTGGCCTGTTGACAGCGGGTAAGTGCCTTGATGGTTTCTTGTCCTGAACCAATCCTGATGGTCCTGACCCCTTGCTGCTCCTGGCCTGTTGACAGCGGGTAAGTGCCTTGATGGTTTCTTGTCCTGAACCAATCCTGATGGTCCTGATCTCTTGCTGCTCCTGGCCTGTTGACAGGAAGTAAGTGCCTTGATGGTTTCTTGTCCTGAGCCAATCCTGATGGTCCTGATACCTTGCTACTCCTGGTTCTTCAATAGATGGTAGGTGTCTTTAATGATCATGTCTTGTGTTGACACATGATACTGAAGATCATATTTTCACTGACTGCAATAGCCTAATGTAAGTCTCTTCTATTCTATCAGACATTCTGATCACTCACATCATGTATAGCTTGTTGAGTATCCCTCTGTCATAACTTGTTTTCCATGTTCACTCATCTTGGTTGTGCACTGTATAGAATGTGAGTGCTGTGTCACAGCTCCTCCTGATTGGTTGTTGATTTTTTCTGACTGACTCTTCCTTAGCATGTCAGTCCTTTTCATATACCCATGTAATTCCATCCCTGTACTTATTGTATGTTGACAGGGTGTATGTTATCCCCCATCTTGTTATGCATCAGTGGTGTGCTGACACACCCAATTTCATTGATTTTACATAGCTTGTGAGTTCAATCCATCAGCTAATCATCTGATTTTGACTCCTTGATAGTTTGTAAGTCATTTGGACATTGTCTTGTTATCCCATGGTTGATCTTGTTGACCAAACAGCATGTAAGTCTTTGCATTAACAATTCCAAGAATGACACCTGATGATTCTTGCATAACAGAGGGTAATGGTTCTGTTTGCAATGGTTCTAATGCTAACTTTGCCATATCAATCACTAGAACACTGTCTGGAGATCAGACATTTCGTCTGTTCTTCGGCCTTTGGTGGGTTAATTTCTCCACAATGATCCTTACAGTTGTTGAGGGTGTGCAATAGGCTGGCGAGGGAACACAGTTCACCACTGTGAATGGAATCATTCAGACTGGCATTGGTGAGTTTCTGACCGCATGGCCAGCTGTACTTTTAATAACACATCACAGCTACCATTATGGTCCTCGAATACTCCGCCTTCCTCGAGTATGACAATAAACTGGAGTTCATCAAGTCTGCTGTGGACTATTACATGAAATCTCCTATGGCTGTCGCTGTGGAGAAAGTCGTGACGGAAATTAGTGATCGGGGCTTCAAGAAAGTGCCCGAGGAGCACAAGAAAGAGCCTGAGGAGCACAAGAAAGAGCCTGAGAAGTGGAAGAAGATTTTCAAGTGGAATCGGAAAGCCGCGCCGGAAATTAAAGTCACCCCGGAAATCAAAGTCGCGACGGAAGTTACTGATCGAGGCTACGAGAAAGAGGAGTTGAAGGAGAAGATTCTCGAGTTCATCCTTCAAAATCGCATGTGTACGTCCCTTGCTTCTTTGAACCTAGAACTCGAAGTTTACCAGCAGTGCAGCAAAGGACTTGATTGCAAACTTGAAGAAATAAACCGTGACAATCGGGCCAAGTTTTCTGCTTTCGATGCTTCTGTTGTGTACGATATCGAGCACGCCCTTGACTGCTGAGAGGTGTAGACTGCTTTTTTTTGCTTTCAGAGTTTCGATGCTCCTTCCCATGCTATCATGATGTACTACTATACCGAGCACTTCGGCTTCAACTGCTGAGTGTTGCAGACTGTGTAGGGTTTCAACACCATTTTCTCGAATCGCATTCTATCGCGTTTTGTTTTGTACAATGTAGACTCGCGCTCGTCAAGTGATCACGGTTCATTCTTCCTTCTAAGAGTGACAAGATTAAACTTGAGCATAGGTTCAGTATTCTTCAGCGCTAGATCGGACCGGCATGACGACGGACACGACTGACAACACTGTCAATGTTTGAGATCAAGTCATATACATGAAAATACGGTGAACTTAGAACAGACGAATCATTCGAGAGAGAATCACTGGATCGATAAGAAGAAACGAACGAGGAGGTATTGGGCAGCAAGCCAAAACGACAAGACATAAAGCGGACATATGTAACAGTAGCGTGTGGCGCAGTCACAACAGAGGTAGCGTCTGAACGAGTTGATAGCCCGAGAAGTTGGACGAGGAAAACGCAAGCAATAGAGGCGAAATGAGCATGACGATCGATTGTGCTCATGACGAGAGACGTACCATAGATATACTCACTGCGTTCAGCTCCCTCGCTATCGAATCCATTCTTCCGTGCACCATAGAGGGTGAATGGCTCTTAAATGATAGCTACGACCCCGGGTAACTTGAGGTGATCTGAGTTCAAGCTCGGGTGGCCGTGTCAGGGCAGACGGCGGTATCGCCAGTGGAAGACCCTATAGATGAATATTCAACGTGCTGAGATGCAGGTAGGTGCCTCGGCGGTTGGAGTTGCACCGCAAGTGTGGTTGGCCTTCGATATGTTGATTAGCAATGCTCAGTAGAGTACAGACCAGTGCTGGTGCAGTCGCTGCTCCAGTGCTCATAGGTGGTCAAGTAACAGACATTCGTGAGCAACTTTGTGGACCTACATAGCCCAATTAGCAGTGGGAGAACGGCGAGAGCTAACAATGGACTTACAAACAGTCGTGGCTTTGCTGAACGCTATGTAGACCGCGTAGCATGTCTTAGAGTAACAAGGGACAACCCGGACAAGTAGTTGAGATTGACGAGGATTAAGTCTGATATAGTAATACAGTCGATCCCTTCCGTCTGCACCCATAGAAGCAGCTTACATAAATTTACAGCAAGACAGGCAGTTCATACCACAATCATTGAAACCGAGTCATCATGACTTGACTCTCCCTCCGAACAAAACATCACACCGACCATCCATATTCATTCACTCGACTGCAGTGACTTCGATGATGAGTGCCAGAGGATGATGATGATAAAGATGAGGCATCCGCCTCGCTCAGTACCGAGTGTGACATATACTCATTTGGCAGTATTGCCTTGCAGGTTAGTTGCTTGAATTATCGAACGAATGATCTTGTTCAATCTGCGTATGCTTCATTAGGTATTGACTGGCAAAGAACCCTACTGCAATGTGAAGAAAGGATAATGTAGTGTTGGGGCAGGTCATCAGAGGGAAGAAACCGGAGCCTCCCAGGGAGTCGCAAATAGAGCCGGCGCACTGGGAGTTCATACAACGATGCTGGTTGCCTCGTGCCAGTCAACCATCGGTGGAAGAAGTCGTAGCATTTGTGGCATATGAACGACAAGTTCAGTCATCCTAGTCTTCTGAACAGACTATAAGATCTACAGTCCTACGATTATCACGCCCCCCAATATGTTGAGGCGACTGAGCGGCTGCGATGAGTTTACGAAATGTAAATAACCAATCTGCAACCTTCTGTAAGTGGCGCCGGGCACTTGAACTAGGCACATATCATCCATGCCTGCGAAGACAGTCCACTACGGTGGTAATTTGATAAAAACTCGTGAGCAGAATTGATGATGGAAGAACTCATCAAAAGACCGGATGGCTTGGTCTACGAGAATTGCTTCGCACGATCCGATTCCTTTGTGCATGGAAGCAAGGCGTGCAACGCCTTCCACACCAACTTTATTTTGTAAATGATAGAGTCTAAACGTATACATAGTATAGAAGGAACGACTATCTTTATTCGTCTATGGTCTGTCTAGGGGAGACTAATTAGCCTAAGAGCCTGGACAGCAGCGTTTATTTCCCAGTTTGTTTTGCAGTTAGTTTCTGTATGTGGCGTGGCAACAAGTGACGGTCTGTGTGACGACCAGTGACAGTCTGTGTGACATCTGCGTCGGCTCTGATCTCCAGTTAATTATTATTCATGGCGCCGAGGAAGAAGCCTACAGCTTCTGCGAACAATGCCGCAACTTCAAGTTCTGGCTCGTCTGCTCACTGGACCGTTGAAGAGACCTCCCGCCTCATCGAATATCTCATAATTCATCGTGCAGAAGGTGGAGATGGCGTCAATTTCAAGCAGACAACATTTACAGGTGCAGCAGATCATCTACTGGAGCCACCAGACGGCATCGCGAAGGAGAAATATGTAGCAAATAATAGGGATGGGCTGTCTTGTAAAAACAAGTGGAACTCGGTATGTGTGACCACTCTACCCAAATTGCGCCAGCTGATTACATGCCGCCAGTGCAAGAAAAAGCATGCTGCTATTGTCGACATCAAATCGCAGTCAGGCTTTTCGTGGGATGACGAGTCGGGTGCGAATATTGGTCCAGCTGATGCTGCACGATGGACAGCATTTGCAAAGGTGTGTTTGCAGTGCGGCGATATGACTATCATCTGCCAGCGGTCTAACTATTTTTCCAGACACGTCCTGATACAAAGCCATTTCGCAACAAAGGCTGGAAACACTTTCATGAGGTGGACGAGCTCATGCATTCGCAACTCTCACGTGGCACCAACTCCTTTCATGCTGGTCAAGAAACCTTCGAATCTGGACAGGCGACTCACGGCGATAATCCAACTCACGGCGATAATCTGACTCACGGCGATAATCTGGTGGATGAAGAAATACCTGAGGATGTTGCTTTGAAGGATGATGGACCTGTTGACTTGGTGCACGGTGACTTGGTGGAGCAGGTCGCAGGTGTTGATGGTGGGGTGGCGGTTGACAGAGAACCATTGGTGGTGGAGGGTGACGATGACGATGAAGATGATATCATTCCCTGGGAAGCAACTCCTCCACCAGTTCCTGTCAAGCGCAAGTTCATAGCTGCGTCTTCGATGACTCCATCGCTCACGGCTTCTGGGTCTGGCACCTCTGCTCCATCATCAAAACGCCAGCGCGTCAGTGGACCGTCAGCAGCGCTCTATGCGATCAACGATCAATTTGCTGAGTTCACCGACGTCTTTCGCACAACTTCACAATCACAATCCTCATCTACCGTCACACAGGCACTGGTAGTATTGTCACCTCAGCGCAAGCAGGCAGCCATGCGGCGTGCACAGGAGCTAGAGAAGCACCTCGACGATGATAGTATGGCGGCGCTTATTGAAGCGTTTCAGATGGATGTCAGTGCCGCTGATGCCTATATGGTCATGCTTGATGACGGACCAAGGAAGTCTTTTGTCAACCGAAAAATCAAACATATTAACCGGCAGGTTCTATAGTAGCTAGTGTAGACTTTGCAGCATCATCTACTGTCCCACTGCATTCTGACGAGCACGGCAAATTCTAGTGTAGTCCCCCCACATAGCGGCTGCAATATTATCTCTGTTCTCGGTTGCCTGTTGCCTCTCTGCACGGTCGGCTGGCCCTTCAGCAAGATCACCTCTTGGCTCACCCAGATCAAGGTCAACAACATCTTCATCGGCAAATTCTTCTATTTCTATTGGATCGTGAATCCGGATGAAGTTGTGGACAGCACAAAGTGCTGGGGGGATTCGGGCTTGTGTCGACATGCTATATTCTGGTGGGTGCACGAGTATGACGAACCGTCTCTTGAGAACCCCAAAAATTCGCTCAATGACATTTCGAGCTTGTGCATGCCGAAGGTTGTAGATTTCTTGGGATGTTTTGGGCCTGTCTTGCATGAGAAGATTCATTTGTCCGGTCATAGTGAATGTTGCTCACCGAACGGCAGCTCGGCCCCATTCAGCCAAGTGGTATCGAACACTGCGATATGGAACGAGAAGTGTGCTGCATATCCCAAACCCTGCATCTGCAAGATAGTACCGTCCACGTGGAATGTATAGATCAGTGAGTCGGGCGTTATTGTAGAGAGTCGAGTCTGAGGTCGATCCGTCCCAACCACTGAGAATGTACTGGAACTGGAGATCAAAGGAACAGCAGGCGAGACAATTTTGGCTGATGCCGCCTTTGCGATTCCGTGACAGTTGACGTTCTTCCGTAGACGGACAACATGCGATGTGGGTACCATCCATGGCTCCGAGTGCACCTGAAAAGTATGGGAAGAGTTTGGAATTCTCCAATATTTCCTTTGGTATAGGCGCATCCTCCAGTGGAAGAAACACAAATTTGTTGTAGAACGGGGCTGAAGACAATGCGAGCAGGACTCTCTTGAAATATCTTGCGACATGTGTGAGGCTACGACAAATATCCCGCACCGTGAACATACTTTTGAATGGTGGTGTGGGAGTGCTGGAAGCGTTCCGCAACATGACGGCTTGATAGCCCTGTCACACAGGTGTAGAGAAATATAGCGACTTGTTCATCGAGCAGTATATACTTTGAATCACATAGCCCACACGCCTTAAGTTCTTGTACAAGTGCACAGAATACATTCTTCCTCATGCCAAGCTCATGTTTGATCCGGTTGGGATGCCCATTGACGAGCTCTTGCACCCATGCACGCCCAGTGAGGATTGAGGTGTGGTAGGGCTCTTTATCGAGAAACGGAGTCATATAGGCAACTACAATGCCCACAATGACTTGAGCAACCATTGCCGCTGCCATTCGCAGAAGATGGAAATGCTGGATGTGCTCTTTGGCTGGAGGCATGGTTGCCGTACGATGTTATGTATGATGTCATGCATGTGCGTGATGCAGCCACTTGTCACATTTATTTGTACATGTCGTGGTAAATAAAATAAACTGCGAAACAAACTGGGAAATAAACGCTGCTGTCCAGGCTCTAACAGAGTGATTCTGACAAGGACTTGTGGTTAGCGTTTATTATAATTAGGAATACCTAGGGTTACTAATCCGGACAAGTCTAACAGTGACGAAGGACCACGATGAGCACAGCGAGGCTGAAGCGCAAGCTCGGCGACCTAGGCATCGATACATCCAGCAGAAAGGCAAACGAGAACTTCTGCCTTGTGCGTAGACCCTGTCCCGTCCAAATAACTTGTTAACCCTCCCTGACCACCACAGATCGGCACCCCGCTGCCCCCACTCGAAAAGTCGAAAGACACGGGCGAGTTCGTGCCGTTATGGAAGCAGGAGGTAAGTTCTTTTGCGTGTAGTTTTGATCCAGATTCGAGATATCTTTCAGGTGCGCGATGAGAAGGGTCGGAGAAGGTTGCATGGTGCCTTTACCGGCGGTTTCTCTGCTGGGTACTTTAATACAGTGGGTTCTAAGGAAGGTATGCCCTCCGCCAGAAAATTCTACGCAGCACTCCTCTTAGCACTCTACTCCAGGATGGACACCGTCAACATTCGTCTCCTCCCGGTCAGAAAGGGCCAATCACAAGAACCGTGCTTCCCGCCCAGAAGACTTCATGGACGAAGAAGACCTCACAGATATGCGTGCTGACCAAAAGCTTGTCGATGAGCACGAGCAGATGGATTTACTGGGAGGTACACAAGCCGAGATGAGCAAGCGTGGTGACGGTGCCGACGACGGCGAAAAAGAGTGCGCACCAATTTGTCCCCTCATATATGATACATCACTCATTGGCCGCCCAGCGCAATCACCCTTGCACTCGAGCAGTCTCTCCTCCCAGCACCAAAAGACTCTGTAGGCGCTCGCATTCTCAAGAAGATGGGCTGGCGCATCGGGCAGGGTATCGGCCCGCGAATAACATGGCGTCAGCGTGAAATAGCGTTTGGCCGCGACCCAGACGCGCCCTCCGACGAGGTAGACGAAGAAGCGAAGAAGCACATGTACGCCCCTCGAGATACACCGCTCATCATCATCGAGAGGAAGGGTAACTTTCATGGCATGGGTTACGACCCTGGGCTAGGGCTGCATGCGGGCTTGGGTGTTACACCCGAGACTTCAAAACAGCCCACTGGCCCACGTTTAGCTGGCGCGTGTTCTCGCTGCTGTATGCGAACTTTTGACCCTGACTCGTGGCGACAGGCGGGTTTGGCCTCGGCGCACTTAACGATGCGGATGAAGATGACGTAGATGTCTATGAGCACTCCCAGATGCACGGTAGGAATCGTCACGCATACGATGCGAATGATGCGCACGATGAGGAGCGTGTTTTTATGAGTTCCCGCACGCAAGGTGCACGGAATTTAGGGAAGGCAGCGCAACCTCAAGTAGGTCCTTATCCAAGGGAGTTGGGACATTACGGTTCAGCTTATGAATTCTAGAGACCTTCTACCGGACAAACAACGTTTCGAGATGGAAGACCGCCTTTGAATGGATTCGTCATATCTGATAAACCCGTGGCAGAAGACCTTTGGTTAGTAGCTCTCATTATGCAGGTGGCCATGGTGTGATATTCATGACTGCCAGCTTCCCATTACCAGATATACCTAAAGATTGGACGCCAAATCCCAAACGCGTTTGGGAGGAGAAAGTACCTTCAAACGATAAAGAGAATGCCGCTATTCCTCCTGCGTCACAACCTCAGACCCACGCCAAATGGAAAGCAGGTATCTCTGCGAACCAGGTATGATAAAAATCATCTCCTACGGATCTTATATGCTCACATGCTATGGTGGACAGCGAGGAGCAGCGCTCGGTGAAACTCCCCTCCCTTCCGCACCCAGGTCCATCTTCGAGTACATCTCCAAGAAAGACCAAGAACGCCTCAAGAATATCGCTGCAAACCGCTTTGCCCCCACTTCCACGCCCGACGCACCCACTCCAGGACCACTGCTCCCTACGCCCTCCATCATCTCACACACCGAGCCACACATCGCCCAAGCCGCCCTCCAGGGCTTCCAGCCCTTCACGACTGACCCCCCCAAGCAGGCAAGGTATACCGCCTATCTCCGCGCGCACGCCAACCCTGGCTCAGACGCCGCTCCGCTCACGCAGAAGCCAGGGCAGACACCCCAGGAGTTCGCAAGAGAGAAAAGCGATTATGCAAAGTCGGCGGCGCTGTTTCGCCCCGTCTCTGGCGTCATGGCCGGGCGGTTTACAAGTGCCGCTGTACTGGATCTCGGGCCCAAGATCATTGAGGGCCTGCACACGCCTGCTACACAGCTGGAAGAGGGGGCGGACGGTATGGATGTGGAGGAGGAGAAGCCGAAGGAGGAAGTGAAGGAGGAAGATCCAAAGGTGCATGCTGCTCGATTGGGTATGTATGGTACTATGACGCGCGAGGTGCGTCCGTGGCAACCTGCGCGGCTGCTGTGTAAGCGCTTTGGCGTCAAGGATCCGAATCTGGAGATGCCTGCCGATACACCTGGACCGTCAGCGCCAGCTGCGACGTCTGAGTTCACAGGCACCACGCCAGCAGAGGAGTTAGCGGGTTCTGCTAGCGGGACGACGCAGGTAGAGAGGGGGGGCTCTGGGAATTCCAAGCGCGACTTTGCGAATATTGGCTTGGGGGAAGATGATGGGCAGGGGGATGACGTGCTCACGTACGAGCGTCCTGGGATGGATATCTTTAAAGCGATCTTTGCGAGCGATGATGAGGATAGTGACGAGGAGAAGGACCGCATGGATGATGTTGACGAGGCGGACGAACCCCCAGCAGCAGCTATTTCTGTACCAGTCGGTCCGTCTGAACCGGTCCCGGAGGTCAAGCCAGCACCACCAGCGAATGCTATTGTGGAAGACGTTGACTTGACCACATTCAAACCTACCTTCATACCCAGGGGTTCCAAGACGAAAGACACGGAGAAGAAGGAAAAGAAAAGCAAGAAACAGAAGAGCTCCAAGGGCGGCGCGCTTGTCTCCTTTGATGTAGACGAGGATGGCGGGGAGTCGCTATCCCTCACTGCTGCACGTCCAAAACACCGGGATTGGGATAGCGAGAGGCCGAGGAAGAAGAAACGGAAGGAGCGAGAGGGAGGTGAAGGTGAAGATATGTGGGTTGAGAAGCCTCCGCCGGATATCGTGAAGGTTTTGTCTGTTGATTTGTCCCCTGACAACAAGGGTGGTCACGTTGGTGGACAGGAAAGCGGACCTCCGCGTGCTCGTAAGAGGGCGATTGATTTCATGTAAATCCATGCTACTACTTAGTAGGTTATTTGCGCTATGTACAGGCTTTGAAAGTTTTATGAAGGTTAACATCCATTAGGCGCGTAGCTGTGTATCTCGAAATGCTGGACCTCGACAGGCACTCGGCATGATACCGCGTACTCACTCGATTTTGTAAGGCTCCAGTGTCACGTTGGTTTCATGTTTATCACTTCTGATCACACATATCGGGGGTTTCAAGCATTTTGCCTCTTGCAAGATTTCAATCAAAAGCAGATCTAGACCTGGCTAGAGCATTCTAGACCTAGCCTAGAGCATTCCAGAGCACTCTAGATTACCTTTCGATTGTAATTTCACTGGCGGCAAAAGGTGGTAAAATGTCTGTTTCCCCACTGTGTCATGGTCAGGTTTTGCCCACCTGTGACGTGAGCAGACTCGTGACCATTCTCCCTACGCTCGAACCTACCTGCGACATTCCAGAAAAGGTGTGCACTGCCAGTATGTATGTTTTATTACTCACAAGTTCTGAGTACTGAGTACTGACCACCGTGGGTCAGATAGCCTAGCTCCTATCTCCTTAGCTGTTAATACCCTACCACAGTTGTATCGCAGTGCTACGGACCTCGGCCGCCCCATAGCAAACAACATGCAGATAGCAAACTCAAAGGTCCATCTTTCCTCGATCCCAGATACCATCAGTGCGCTGCAAACCATCGTAAGTGGAACTTTTTATACGTACTCGTATCTGAGAATAATATCCATTCGCCTCAGCTCGCGCGTTCACAAGCGATCGTATGTCTACCATTCCGATATATCTGATGCCTCGGCCGCCTAATTGACGATGACAAGATTCCTGAAAACCTCGATACCCCATATTCCAACATTCCCAATACCGATCACTCTGCCATTGAGCTCAAAGACCAGAGCATCAGTGCCATCGTCACCGAACGCCAGCAGCAGTTGAATACAATTCTGCACGAAATTTCAGACCTGCAAACCATCATGGATAGTATAAAAAATCTTCGCCACCAACTTGTTAAGGAGAAGGACAAGATCACTCGGTCCATGAATTTGCACAAGGGACTCACATCGGCTCTCTGGCGCTTGCCAACTGAAGTCATGTCCCACATTTTCGTTTCCTGCCTCCCAGACACGAAGCACTTGTCGCTCGCACCGAAGATAGCTCCTATGCTGTTGACCCGAATATGCCGACGATGGAGGGAGATTGCTGTCGGCATACCCAGTTTGTGGTGCAGACTGTCTTTGAGCGGAGACTTGCAGCGGGCGGCTTTTTACTATGACTCGTGGCTCAAGCGATCACGAGGGCGTCCGCTCTCGTTAGAACTCAAATACTTCGATCATCACTTGACCAAGCTTCGAAGCCTTCTTCAGCCCTACAACAATCAAATCTCGTCTCTCTCTATCCATTTTTTCCGACACCCTGAACTTCTGTTAACAGACCTCCCTGCACTAGAGGATCTGACCATAAGCATCTGTGAACCTTATGCTATACCAGCTATTGCACAATCTATCTCGGGACAGGGGTTGACTCTACACGGTCTCAAGGTAATGGGAATGGTGTTCGACCTCCAGCGCTTATCGTATTTCAATCCCGTATGGCCGCAGCTGAAAAATGTCGAAATTGCGATATATCAACCCAATGCAGTCCTCCACTTGCTCCATCTGTGTCCCAACCTCTCCTCGTTAACGATTCGCACAGCATTCGACGATATACAGGCATTGGAGCCATTCACGCACACTAAACTTCAATCCTTACGCATCGATCATAACTACGCCCCCACAAACCGTTTATCCGGCCTGTTCAATTCTCTATCACTCCCCAATTTACGCATGCTAGAAGCTCGGCGTATACGAACATGCCCTCATCAGGAGTTCAAGGCACTCTTGGTACGGTCAAATTGTCCCCTGGAGAGCCTGATTTTCGGCGCTGGAGTGATGACGACAGATGACCAGCGAGCAGAATATGTTGCCCTTATATCTTCTCTCAAAGTAGTAGTGGATCCGAAGTGTTGTTATGCCTTTGCATAGTAAGACCACACATTTCGCAGAATGATGATATTGGGCTTCACGGACTTCCGCTATAATAGTTACTTTATACTCTATGCCACACATCAGCCTCATAGTATATCTCTCTTCGCAGCTCTAACTTAGGAATTTATGCTTCGTCTATGTCAATGATACTTAGGAGCAACCTTTATAACCAACAAGTGATTTAAAGTCAGCGTCTAACCTGATCGGTATCAATGTGATTCCGACTCTCCTCCAGCGATAGCTCCGTATGACATACCCAACGAAATAACTTGCTCCATGCCAGCGACATATCTTGTGCTGGGTTTGAATTTTTCTTATAGCACGTGATGTCTCAAATGTCTATATGTCTAAGTCCCTCGGAATCCGGACTGAGCATTTTTTGACCTTTAACCGCCACCATCTGCTTTTTTCCCACGGTTCAACAGAACATGGGCGACGAGCCAGGAGGCAGTATAAGCATAGCTAGAAACCTTGACAAACGTATATCAGCAAGAACATATTCACAAGCAGCATCCCTTAGTAACACCAGACAACATATGAAGGAGTTCCAGCAACGTCGGGCGTGGGATGAATCAGAGCCCAACGATCCCCTCCCACCCCCAGAATTCCCATACAGACCAACCAATGCCAGCTACATGCCAATCACACCCACACGTAGAGGGTTAGGATACAAACGTAGACTGGAAACAACCACTTCTCCATCGGCCTCACCAAACACCGCGAGACAGACCAAACGCCGTCCTACAGAACACGTGGCTATGGTAAACAATGTAGCCCAACGCGAATACGACTCGGAAATGGAGACGGACATCTACAGTGAAACCCGTTCGGAGCAAGGATGGATCACTGACTTAAACCATCATCTTATCAAAGCCGCAGAGGCATTAGACAACATATCAATCCACGCTAAGTTCCCAGATAACATACTTACCGCTGCTCAAAGAATTACACAGGCCATCCTACCCCCTAAACCGGTTGAAACACCAAGAAACAATCCTGACGACATAATTCCGATCCTCAACCAACTCGTCAAAGATGTCCAGGAACTACGACAAGGCAATAAACCGGAAACCAGTCAAAACCCCCGTACTCAAATCGCAAATGGCCCCACCATAACTCCTACTCCGAAGACCAAGACAAACTCAACTAAGATAACAGAACAAGAGAACCGACGCCGAAACAACCCGTTAACCCGACACCACCCCTCTAGACTCATTCTCCACATCGAAACTCCTCCGGACCCTACACAACGCCAAAAAGACCGAGGATTAGTAGAAGCGATCAATGAAAGACTCAAGGAGGTCACGAAAGTTACGGTCAACGGCATAAAATGGAACACCAAAGGTAACTGTATCGTTATTACACATCCGGATTACACAGCAGATGACTTGCTTCCATTCAAAGACGCCTTCGCAGACTTAATTGTCGGAAACTCCAACTACGCAGCCACACCAGACAAGGAATGGTTCCGTGTTCTTCTCAACAGTGTAGACACAGGGAAGTCCGATGCCGAAGACATGATGGAATTCGAACCACGATCCGGAGCAGAAGTAATCTATGAGATGAAAACTAACAACCCCAGTATACGCAACATCAACTTCACGGCAGAACCCTCGTGGATGGCGAAGCCGGAGACCCTTGAACACAAATACCACTCAACCATGCTGTTAACGGTCTCATCACAGGAAGAAATCGACTACCTTCTCAAACACGTCGGTGGAGTCTTCTTATATGGACGGTACGCCTCTTTCTCGCGCTTCCAAGATTTGAAACCTGTTCGTCAGTGCAACCGATGCTGGTCCTTCGACCATCATACGTCCAAATGTATTAACCCCCCCAAGTGTCGAGTATGTGCAGGCGACCACACTGAACCATTCCATACCTGCGATTTGTGCCCTAACACGGCCAAAGCACAAAAAGGATGTGATCACTCACCGATTAAATGCGCAAACTGTGGAGAAGCGCACACGGCAGACTCAACCAAATGCCCCATTCATATACTAACCAAAGGATCTGCAAGAGACCCACGACCAAGTATCCAAGGGGGACGACGCGCACGTCGACCTCAAACTGCTAACAATCCAATAGCACCTCCAGAGACCCGGACTCCAACCCCACCATCAACATCCCAGAACCATATCGTAACGCCACAACCAATGAACGACAACAATATGGATGGATGGCAATGATAGTCCATACTAAACCCATAAAAATGATTCAACTCAACACTAACCGTTCAAATATAGTCTGCCACGCATTACTCAACAACGCCGTCCGTGATTATGACATCCTGCTCATAACGGAACCATGGTATGGTGACATCGGAAATAACACAAAGGGCCCAGCGTCGTTAACCGGATGGCAACCAATCCTACCATTACCGTCTGTTCCCCCGAATGTCATTCCTCGAGTCATGGCATACATCAAAAACAGACCTGACTTCATGGTTACCCTTCGTTCTGATCTCGCAATGGATGCTGACATACAAATTTTACAGATCAACCAAGGAACACATCCGCCTACAATACTTGTAAATATGTACAACCAGAAAGCAGGCGAGGATCCATTGAACTGGTCAGCAGACCGTCTTTTCAACATCGAACTACCAAACGGAATACCGGTCATCATCTCGGGAGATATGAACCTACACCACCCAATGTGGTCAAACACAGCTGAGAACCCCAATCCTCGTGCAGAAGCTTTCGTTGACTGGCTAACTGACCAGGGATTCATCATGCTAAACGAACGTGGAGCAACAACATACTTCGCACACGACGGTGAATCCTCGTCGGTCTTGGACCTAACATTCATCAACGACAGAGCATACGAACTCGACACGATCAAGGACTGGTCAATCGACTACGGTAAAGCCTACGGATCAGACCACGCAGCGCTCACATGGACACTAGACCATGAACGTGTCCCCATCGAGAATATCACGGCTCAACGATTCAATTGGAAAGATATCGATGAAGACACGATCAAAGCATGGAAAGGAGCGTTCATGAGAGAACTGACGGATAGAGAAGACTAGGGTACGGACGATAAGTCATCCGACTGTTATTAACCTATGTTAAAAATCAAGTAGGATGCGTAGGGTTATTAACAAGCATGTTATTAACATGTTATTGACAGTCACGTGACCTAAAATTTGAAAATTTCGCTACAGCTACTACCAAAATTCGTCCCACTCGTTGTCCATGCCTTCTAGGTCAGCATCATCCTCCGTAGCATCACCTTGAGTGCTACACAGGCCGTTCATAGGACTTTCCTCATGTTCATCAGACAAGGCCTTGGTGACAATTAGTGCGTGAAGGTTTGCATCTGCTTCAATGTCGAAGGCTGAATCCTCCGCCGGTTTAGCCGCTAGTGTCTCATCGAGCCAAGTGCCTTCTTCGTCTTCAAGGATTTCTTCCTGCTCATCTGTGCCCACAGATAGATAGCTGCCAGTGGTTTCGTGGCTTCGACGAGCAGCTGATTGTTTGGGTGAGGAAATGATGGAGTCAAGATCGCAGAATGAAATGTCTGGATGCCGTCGTTCAACCATTTTCTAAGGGGCATGAGTTATCAATACAGGCCACTGAATAAGACACTGACCTTTGGATCATACATATGCCATTGTCGAATCTGAGTCATGTCCACCAACGTCCGGACATGTTAACGGTTCCTGGCTGGTGTATTCATCCTCGTGAATACCGACATTGTTCGTTCCTCGGGCACAGATGAGGGCTTGATTGAATAAATTTTTTCTGCGATACACTGGAGATAAAGCTTGAGTTATGAGTAGTCAGGACTGGCTGAAACTCACAGCAAGTATGGAGCCTTCAGGTATCTTCGTCAAGTGAGTCCAGTATGAGAGGACGTCCTGACCAGCATCCATCATTGTGTCAAAAGGGTATTGTCCTTTCACATAGCGCTCAAACTGGCGAACGAAAGCTTCATGAACATCAGCAGCTGTTTGTCCTTTGAGTGTGGGGTTGTGCTGGGACTCATTAGGTTGATGTTTGGTGAGGAAGGCTTCCGCCTGTCGCCAGTTGCTTTGGACGTCCAAGAGAGTATAGGCTTGGCGCCAAAACATCAGAATCCAGAATGGAAAAGGTTGTTCGATGTCGGCATGGGCATAGATAATAGACCGGCTACCACCCGATATTGCATGTTGCACCCCTTCTAGGAGCTTGTGCAGAACCGCAAGCTGGGGAAGTGGCTGCGTGCGGAGATAATCGAGATATAAGCTGTCCTCAGGTGGGGAGTCAGTGCTAAAGTATTTGCGCAGTGGCGGAGCAGTGGTAATTGAAGCTGACGGGAGTGAGAATTGAAGGAATGACGAGACAGACAGATTCTTGTCTGGGAGAATAATAGATTGCACTGATACAGGAATAATGAGAATATCATCTGAGGCTTTTGTGTCGACGATGTCAGCCATTTCGAGTGCTCGACTGGTGCAAGAGGGAGGGAAAACAAGTTGAAAACTTCGTTGCGAGACACTCGAGTCCCATGTCAGACAACAGCTTGCTTCTCTGCAAGATTTGTGTTGCAAACTTCTAAGTCAATGATCTGCGAGGAACAGCAGAAGGTCGGAAGGCGACTCACAAAGACTATGGGGGTCAATAGACTTATTAGCACCATGTCACCCCCCCCACGGCCGTGTGCCTGTTATTAACATGTTAATAACATGTTAATAACACACCTTTCTTAGCAGTGTTATTAACAACCCACTTTTCGTCCGTACCCTAGAGAAGACGCATGGATACCGCTACGTGTTTCAACTCTTCCTAATATTGATGATATTGAAAGAGCTACCACAGCACTACAAGATGCACTGGTGCAAGCAACAGAAAGCTCGGTCCCCATCCGCAAATCTATAGGGTACGGACGAAAAGTGGGTTGTTAATAACACTGCTAAGAAAGGTGTGTTATTAACATGTTAATAACAGGCACACGGCCGTGGGGGGGTGACATGGTGCTAATAAGTCTATTGACCCCCATAGTCTTTGTGAGTCGCCTTCCGACCTTCTGCTGTTCCTCGCAGATCATTGACTTAGAAGTTTGCAACGCAAATCTTGCAGAGAAGCAAGCTGTTGTCTGACATGGGACTCGAGTGTCTCGCAATGAAGTTTTCAACTTGTTTTCCCTCCCTCTTGCACCAGTCGAGCACTCGAAATGGCTGACATCATCGACACAAAAGCCTCAGATGATATTCTCATTATTCCTGTATCAGTGCAATCTATTATTCTCCCAGACAAGAATCTGTCTGTCTCGTCATTCCTTCAATTCTCACTCCCGTCAGCTTCAATTACCACTGCTCCGCCATTGTGCAAATACTTTAGCACTGACTCCCCACCTGAGGACAGCTTATATCTCGATTATCTCCGCACGCAGCCGCTTCCCCAGCTTGCGGTTCTGCACAAGCTCCTAGAAGGGGTGCAACATGCAATATCGGGTGGTAGCCGGTCTATTATCTATGCCCATGCCGACATCGAACAACCTTTTCCATTCTGGATTCTGACGTTTTGGCACCAAGCCTATACTCTCTTGGACGTCCAAAGCAACTGGCGACAGGCAGAAGCCTTCCTCACCAAACATCAACCTAATGAGTCCCAGCACAACCCCACACTCAAAGGACAAACAGCTGCTGATGTTCGTGAAGCTTTCGTTCGCCAGTTTGAGCGCTATGTGAAAGGACAATACCCTTTTGACACAATGATGGATGCTGGTCAGGACGTCCTCTCATACTGGACTCACTTGACGAAGATACCTGAAGGCTCCATACTTGCTGTGAGTTTCAGCCAGTCCTGACTACTCATAACTCAAGCTTTATCTCCAGTGTATCGCAGAAAAATTTATTCAATAAAGCCCTCATCTGTGCCCGAGGAATGAACAATGTCGGTATTCACGAGGATGAATACACCAGCCAGGAACTGTCAACATGTCCAGACGTTGGTGGACATGACTCAGATTCGACAATGGCATATGTATGATCCAAAGGTCAGTGTCTTATTCAGTGGCCTGTATTGATAACTCATGCCCCTTAGAAAATGGTTGAACGACAGCATCCAGACATTTCATTCTGTGATCTTGACTCCATCATTTCCTCACCCAAACAATCAGCTGCTCGTCGAAGCCATGAAACCACTGGCAGCTATCTATCTGTGGGCACAGATGAGCAGGAAGAAATCCTTGAAGACGAAGAAGGCACTTGGCTCGATGAGACACTAGCGGCTAAACCGGCGGAGGATTCAGCCTTCGACATTGAAGCAGATGCAAACCTTCACGCACTAATTGTCACCAAGGCCTTGTCTGATGAACACGAGGAAAGTCCTATCAACGGCCTGTGTAGCACTCAAGGTGATGCTACGGAGGATGATGCTGACCTAGAAGGCATGGACAACGAGTGGGACGAATTTTGGTAGTAGCTGTAGCGAAATTTTCAAATTTTAGGTCACGTGACTGTTAATAACATGTTAATAACATGCTTGTTAATAACCCTACGCATCCTACTTGATTTTTAACATAGGTTAATAACAGTTGGATGACTTATCGTCCGTACCCTACAAATCTAGTGCACATGCGAAACCATGGTGGACTCCCGACCTCACGCAATCACTCAACCGCATTGCAGAAACTCGTGAAAGGGCTAGACAACATCTCATCGATACAGGTTTTGCTGACCACGACCTTATCCAACAGATCCGCCAACTACGCAATCAGTTCAAACGGAAGACACGCCTTGCTAAACGACAGTGGGCAAACGAGACTCTGGGAAAAGCCACTCCCGATGACGTCTGGAATTTCACTCGATGGCCCAAAGGGATAAGAAACTACCCCACGCCACCACTCAGACGAAACAACGGTCAAAACATGGCAATAACACATGAGGAAAAGTGTGCTACACTACGAGGTGAACTGTTCCAACCGCCCCCGAATCTAGACTTAGCTGCACCAGATTTAGAACAGGACCTCCCGGATGACATCCCATGGGAACCCATAACATATGCCGAAGTGAAGAATGGTATATACCGACCAAATCGCAAAAAAGCTCCTGGACCCAGCCAAATCAACTACATGGCTCTCCGATGGGCCTGGGAGGTTGCATCGGAATATATCTACTTACTAATCTCACGCTGCGCAAATGTAGGCTACCATCCCATCGCCTGGCGACGCACAATCGCAGTAGCCCTGCGCAAGCCCCGAAAACCAGACTATTCGAACCCGAGAGCCTATAGACTAATCCAGCTAGAGGAATGTCTTGGAAAAGTCCTCGAAAGCGTACAGGCAAGTAGATTAGCATATCTCACAGCAAAATATCTGCTGGTACCTTCTTCACAGTTCGGAGGTCGCCCAGGAAGCTCCACAGTCGACGCAGCCCTATCATTCGTTCATGATATCGAAGCAGCCCGTAATCACGGACTTGTCACGTCGTGCATCACATTCGACATCAAAGGATACTTCGACTTCGTCAATCATACACGGCTACTCCGAATACTTCGGGACAAGCACCTACCGCTCCCTATGGTAAAGTGGGTGAAATCCTTCCTCAGCGAACGACAAGCAGCAATCTGCCTGGACGGAGTACTGTCACCATCGGAACCAGTTGAAAACGGTATACCTCAAGGATCCCCAATATCACCGGCCCTTTCGATTATCTGCACAAGCCCACTAAACGAAGCCTACAATGCGAAAACTCGAGCTCGTGAATTACGCCCGGACAAAGCCACACCGACCACATTAGCATGCTACATCGATGATGGAAACTTATATGTCTCCTCTCCATCCTTGGAGAACAATGTCGCAATACTCCGGGAGGAGTTCATTTTTGTGAACAATTGGCTTCGCGAAGCTGGACTGATGGCGGAAATTGACAAATCTGAGCTCATCCATTTCACATGGCGTCGTGCACCGGATCGACCACCTATCCTGCTGCCTAGTGACGAAGGACAGGTGACAATTAACCCCCGTGACTGTATCAAATGGCTTGGTATATATTTCGACTCTAAACTCTCTTTTCGCAGGAATGTATGTGAACTGGCAGGCAAAGCGGAAAATATCGCCCAAGGACTACAAATGCTTGCAAATACGGTAAGAGGTCTCTCGCAATCACTATTGAGAACTGTATACTCGGCTTGTGTCCGCAGTGTAATGACATACGCAAGCCCCGTTTGGTGGACGGGCGTGAAAACCCATGCAAACATGCTTACCCGCGTCCAAAACAAATCCCTTAGACATATCTGTGCCGCTTTCCGAACCACCCCAATAAAGGCCCTAGAAATAGAGACATCAATCCCCCCCATCAACCTCTTCCTCGAACACGCAAACGATAACGCCGCCACTCGACTACTCAAACTCCCCTCGTTCAACCCAATCCTACAGAGACTTGATCAACCCTGGCGACAATTTAACCTCGCTGACCCCCCACCCGCTCTTCCCACCGACAAATACCGTCCTCGCAGCCGCAAACCACCAAAATCGACCAGACTCACCCGTCTGTCAAAACGAGCATCCCCGAACGCGGAACGCATCAACATATTTGCGCTGCCACCTTGGGCAAACACGAAGGAAACGTACCGCGGCCGCCTAACGATCTCGGACAAGCAAAGAGGAGGCAAGAAAGAAGCCGCCAAAGCGCACATACAAACCGCTCGTAATCTACGAACGGAGGACACGCACCTTCTCGTTTACTCAGACGGATCGAAACAATCAGTCAGAGAGGAGGAAAGAGCTGGAGCAGGATGGGCCGGCTATCACAGAGGAAGAGAAGTCTTCTGGGGTCAGGAAGGAATGGGTCCCAAAGCAGAGGTGTATGATGCAGAGATGGTAGCGCTCCTTCGAGCAATATCGCGAGCTATCAGCTTCGCGCAAAATTCCCAGGTGACCCATTTACATTTCTACGTCGATAACAACTCTGTGGTGCAGGCTGCATATGCAGCTGCACCCGGACCCTCACAATACATTGCATTACAGATCAGACGCTCGATCGAAGACTACCTAACCACATCCCCCCTCCATCATGTCCAAATTGCATGGATCCCAGGACATCACAACATCATCGGCAACGAACGTGCCGACGAGCTTGCAAAAGAAGCCACTGGACGTAACGACTCGTACCACTCGACCTATGCAAATGCGCGCCGAAGAAACAAGGAAGGGATCTTGCAGAAATGGACAGAGAGTTGGAATAGAGACGTGGCAGCACAGACTGGACGCTTCGCCCTCGCAAATCGACTCCCACCAACGCTCAAACCCCGCCAACATTTCACTCACACTCCTCGAGAAGTATACGGCCGTCTTATACAATGCCGCACAGGACACGGATTCATGGGAGAATACTACGCTGCATTCGTTCCAACCGAACCCACCCTCTGCCCATGTGGAGAACCACGTCAAACACGAGAACATATCATACGTGACTGCCCACTATTTGCGCGACAACGCATCCATCTGCGTGAGGTATCACACAACATCATACTCAACGAAATTTTGGGTACGGAGAAGGGCATAAAGGCACTAGCGAAGTTTATTCAAGAATCCAGCGCATTAAAGAAGGTCGCACTGGAACGAGAAGGAGACTGGGAAGAAAGGAGAGGGACAGAAGCCTGAGTAAGGGCAAAGAAGGAAGTGACGAGGGAAGGAGGAGACGAGGAGAGATCAGAAGGAGGAGGAAGGAGAGAAAGTGTATCATATTATACTAAGCCTGGACACCAAACGAGCCCACACGCACACCAAAACTCATCAAACGCGGACCGCTTGGCTATTCGTACTATACCTACATCCCTCACCCTGTTACAACACTCCCCAGCACAGCCCTAACAGGGCACCGCGTCTTAACAGCTCACTTTGTTTGTTGCGGTATATAAATATAGAATTTCTCTCTCTCTCTCTCCCTCGGAATCCGGATATTGCCCCTCTACACTCAAAGCGGAGGTGGGAAGGAGCCTGGTACGAAATGCGTTTTTAGGTGAATTTTACTTGCGAAGTCCTTTTGACTAGAACCAATACGCAGCCTCAACGTCGTCCAGCAGCAACTGCCTTCAGGCCAACTCGGGCACTTGAAAATCCCACTTGTGACTTCGTATGATTCCTGTTTAGCTTCTTGGTCGTTGTTTCCCCACGCGAAGAGTTTCCTCAATAACCTTCTTCACGAATTTATCCGTATAATCAAGGATGGCGCACTAGCGCTATGTGTGCTTGAACACCTCACCTACACTGACAAATAGTGGGCACGAAACACATACAATTGGAGCCCGGCGATGGTGCGCATTTTTAATGTTCTGAATCGAAGAGAAGTTAATACTATGTAAACAAGGCAGGTCATCTTACACTTAATATCACGGCTCGGGTCGCACAGTCGAGGATGGGTAAGGAAGTTGTGGTCCATATACTTGGACAGACAGATTGCTTGGGTGAGTGATCTTGAAACATGTCTTGCTCTTTCGCATGGAACCTCGAATGGCGAGTGTTGTATATCAACTACCGCTTGCACCTCTTAGTCGACTCGACACACGTGAGCCCGTAATGCAACGGACCTGTGTCACTGACATGGATGACTTTTGGATCACGATTCCTGTGTTTCAGTCTCGTTGATTTGAGCTTTCAGCTGACACTTTTCCCGTAAGCCCAGACGGAATTATACACGTATTTTACGTGTAGTCATACCGGCACGACCAGAATCCATTCCTTTCGTGCACCCATCTGACCTTCAGCCCTGCATTATCAGCGCGCTTTTGGCGGCCTTATCTCGTCTTAATATTAGTTGTCGACGCCCTTTATCTGCCTGTCCGCCTTATCTCATGCGAAGCATTCTTTAAGGTCTGAGCATCATTATTCCCTCGACCAATTCCATCCCCAGCGCACACCAACATGCCACATTGGACTGCTCTAGTCGCAGAAAAGAAGCAGAGGCAGCTGAAGTCCATCCCTCAGGAGTGGCTTGTGCTTCCGCCTCCAGAATCTACTCTAGATGTGACTACTTTTCCAGAGACGTGTGGCCTTTTGAATACGAAAGAAATCGAGATCACCAATACTTCGGTGGATGTTTTGTTGGAGAGACTTGCAAGTGCGAAATGGACAGCTACGGAGGTGACCACCGCGTTCTGCAAGAGGGCTGTTGTTGGCCATCAACTTGTGAGTCGAATTGCGATGCATTTGCTTGACGAGATTGTATTAATCAGCCGACGAGGTCAATTGCTTGACAGAAATTTTTGTTGATCGTGCATTGATTCGAGCAGCTGAACTCGACGATTACTTGAAGAAGACAGGGAAGGTAGTTGGTCCCCTCCATGGGCTGCCAATCTCTCTAAAGGACCAGCTATGTATCGAGGGACTAGAAACTACTATTGGTGAGCGATGATCCCGACTTAGGCCTAACGCATTGTGATTCACTAGGTCTTAGGTTATGTCTCGTGGATTGGGCAGTATGCAGATAAAAACGCAGTACTAGTCGACATTCTGATCGAGTGCGGAGCCGTGCCATTCGTCCGCACTAACGTTCCGCAGGCGGTCATGGTGAGCGCATCTCCAAGATGGATGCTACTGGTGTGCTAGAAGTATCTTCAGTGGCCAGAAACCTTCAATAATATCTTCGGCCGGACGACTAACCCATGCAATCGCTCTCTGACACCGGGTGGGTCATCCGGAGGAGAAGGTGCATTGATTTCTATCAGAGGAAGTCCTTTGGGAGTCGGTTCTGATACTGGAGGGTATGAAACGGATTTGGAAATATCGTTGGTAGTAGCCTTCTGACGGCTTCTTAACAGCTCTATTCGTGTTCCCGCTGCATTCTGCGGCTTATACAGCCTGAGGCCGTCATACGGGCGTGTACCGTACTGTGGTGCCCGCAACTCACTTGAGGGCCAAGACTCGGTTCTCTCCGTGTTCGGTCCAATGACGACCAGCATTGGCGGGGTCAAAGTCTTCATGAAAGCTGTCATTAATACCAAACCATGGCTGAAAGACCCTCTTGTGGTTCGGAAGAAATGGGACGAAGACGAGTATAATCTCGCGGACCATGGATCTGGCAAAGATTTGTGCTTTGCGATCATATGGGACGATGGCGTCGTTGTTCCCCACCCACCCATCAGGAGGTCTCTGGAAATCACAAAAGCGGCACTCCAGAAGGCGGGCCACAAAGGTTTTCTCTCGCTCAACTCCTCTGCTGAATCATGCTCATTTAGTGGTAGTTGTTGACTGGAAACCCATCAAGCACAGATTGCTCCTACAAGTCACGGTGAGCAGTTAGGTCTTTACTATGCCTGTCTATTCACCTACTGGGAACACCATGCAGATGGATATCTTGACCGCCGCTGCCACCGAGGACATCATGATCACGACCTCTGTCACAGGGGAGCCAATAATTGCAACAATGGAGCTGGACGGTACAGGCTTCCGTCCGCAAAACAGCGGCATCACCGCATACCAGCTCTGGCAAGTGCAGAAGCAGCGTCAAAATATCCGAAAAGAATACCTAGATCACTGGGAAGCAACTGCGTCAGAGACTGGGACAGGACGACCTGTTGACGCCATCATCTGTCCGGTCGCAGCGCATGCGGCACCTCCCCATGGGAAGAATAAGTCAGTGTCTTTGTAATCCCGGATGTTTGAACGTCAATAAGAAATAATAATACGCAGCTACACCAATTACACTACCGTTTGGAATGCACTCGACTATCCCGCCACGACTTTTCCTGTGACTACTGTCGACCCCACTCTCGATGGGAAGGAGCCTCCGCATGGTTTCTATGACGACTTCGATAAGGGCATCTACGAAATGTGTTAGTAATGCCGCTGAACCTCTTAGTGATTTTTTGATGCCCAACAATTGATACAGACGACCCGGAGAAATTCAAGAACGCTCCTGTTTGTTTGCAACTTGTCGGTCGGACTCTGGAGGAAGAGGCGGTGATAAAAATGACAGAAATTGTCGATGCAGCGCTGGCAGCCTGCCAAATAAATTTAAGGTATTCCTGTCGATGCAGGAGGATTTACTTATATAAATCGACAACTTGGTCGGGCATTCGAAATCCATAACTATTGAAAATTTTGGTGCCTGCTGCAAGCTGGACTTAGGTTACTGCACCGAGGTCCGATATATAAGTATTAAATCAGTCAGACCTCATCGAAAGGAGTTAGGCCATCACAGGAGCTCTTCTTCCTCGACATTTCAACATGCAGTCCTGAGACAACCAGCTCAAAAGTCAAATTTTCTCCGGTTCCACATATTATTGGTGCGCTGCAAACCATCGTACTGAGTAGCCAGTTGTATAAGCACTCGTGTCTGGCGGTAATGACCATTTACAGCTTGAAGTAATCATATGTCAATTCCTGGGCCGTATGATATATTGAACCTTTGTATGATAGCGTTAAGGTGGAGCGAAAGATATACCGAGAGGACTGATATTCACTGAGTAGTGATAGCGAAAGTCTGTGATCGCGGTGAGTGAGAGTTCTGATAAGCAGATCTTCGTGGCGCTCAATCAATAAGCTAGAAGATTTGGTTATTTGTGTGGGAAGGGCTGGTGTTGTTTGACCGAGACATCTTTTTGTTCGGTGTCTATAAAGCTCGGAAATATCCGCAGGCGCGTATCGAGACCAAAGTCAACATGGATCGAGGCCTGGTCAATTCTAAAATGTCGTTGTCAATATTAATGTCGACTTGACCTCTCGTAAATTACTTGCGCGGACCCTAAACCTTTCCTGATTTGGCCACCACCGCATCGGCTAAACCTTTGCATGGGAGACGTTCCACACAGTATTCTCGTCCTAATCCTCGCTGTATAGAGCCTTTGAAAGTTAGCTACCTAAACCTTGCCATATAGTATTCCTAAACCTTTTCATGTAGTATTCCTAAACCTTTTCCTAAATCAAAGTCTTTTAATATTCCAGCTTAATATGTCTCATTATATTAGTACTGGAAGTACTGCATGCAAAATCGCTTAAACTACTCAAAACTTGCCCGAGCAAAACAGATGCCCTAGTAGACTACAAGTATCACGAACAAAAGGTTTAGGAGGACATTTAGCAATAAAACATGAAAAGGTTTAGGAATACTATTATACTACTATGCCTGACAAGGTTTAGCAATACTATATGGCAAGGTTTAGGTAGCTAACTTTCAAAGGCTCTATACAGCGAGGATTAGGACGAGAATACTGTGTGGAACGTCTCCCATGCAAAGGTTTAGCCGATGCGGTGGTGGCCAAATCAGGAAAGGTTTAGGGTCCGCGCAAGTAATTTACGAGAGGTCAAGTCGACACTGACAACGACATTTTAGAATTGACCAGGCCTTCGGAGGAGAAGAACAGCCCTTCTGAGCGCTAACTGATTTAGTATACGTTGGGTCTGAAGGAGAAGCAATACCAAACCAAAAAAAAAAAGCGCTAGAATTAGAGAATGGGAGGTGTGGACTAAAACTGTAGGGCGCCGATGACAGATTGGGGAGAGCGAAGAAACACGAGCGGCGAATCTTCGAAGCAGAGCACTATTCGAGTAGGGGCGTACAGACCAGTGCCATTCTCGTTCCGAAGCACGAGAATGCGAATCTCCACAAGGTCGCTTACAAAGGCCCTTTTCACATGCGTCAACGTTCGCAAGCTGACGATCCGCTCGAGCCTCGGAACGTACATCCTGTTTACGTTTATTGACGATGACCAGATGCCCAGACCTCGAAACCTCAAGCCGGTTTCCCAAATAGTACTAACTGCTCTGTCATCGAGCTCAAAGACCAACCTATCGGCGCCATCATCACCGAACGCCAGTAGCAGTTGGATGCAGCTTTGCACAGGACATGGAAGCAGTCATCGATAGAATCAAAAATATTCACGAGCAACTCGTCGAAAAGAAGGACAAGATCATCCAGTCCTTGAATTTGCACACGAGACTCGTACTATCTCTGGCCCAGAGTTGCAACACTTTTCGATGTTCGCGTGATAGCTCAACAACAACACAACATTTAAAAACAGCGACAACAGGGGGACGTAGCATTCAGTTCAGGCTTCAGCGCTATGTAAAACACATTTGCAAATTTTGTTGAGGCTACGTTGCCAGAGAGAAGCCGGCGTGAACGGTGTTTGGGCACAGAGTTGCAAAATTTCTCACCTGCACAGAATTGATCAGGTCACACTGTGTCACACTGCCGTTTTTACTCTCCGACGCCGTCAAGTGTTGATCGAATGAAGTAGGGCGTTGGATGCCGAGCGGAGCTTGATGACTCCGACCACCAAATCACTCCTCCTGTCACGCCCTGTGTCTCGACAGTACAACATTTGTGTCGCACAACACAGCTCGTTTTTGTGTCGGAAAAAATTAGAGCAGTGTTAGAAGGTAATGAGGAATCATGCGTAAAATTCCTGATTTTTTTTGATCGATGCGATGGCTTCCCTGTGATGGATTGGCGTGGAAAGTACACTTTCTGAGCAGTGTTTTACTCCCGCAAGCACTTCTCGTCCATTTTTTGTGAAATAAAAAATACAGACAGTGAGCTATGCATTGATCATCCTTCAGAATCATTGTGCAAAGAAAATGAGCGAAAGATGAGTGTGCTACATCGCATTTTGCAACTCTGGGCCAAAGATAGTATCGCCTCTCTGACACTTGCCAACTGAAGTCCTATCCCACATTTTCGTTTATTTTCTCCCGCCGGAAACCGAGCTCTTTCCCCATCGAGGCTAACAGCTCCTGTGCTGTTGACCAGAATATGCCAACGATGGAGGAAGGTTGCTGTGGGCATGCCCAGTTGATGGTGCAGGCTGCGACTGGATTTCGACTGCAGAGACTTGTAGTGGCGAGCTGTCTGCTATGACTTATGGCTCAAGCGATCACGAGGATGTCCGCTGTCATTGACAGTCGTGCTACTCAGATCACCATTCCGAGTTACGAAGCTTTCTTCAGCCTTACATCGATCAAATATCGTCTCTCTCTATCGATTTCTTCTTCGACATCCACACACTATTCACAGAGCTCACAGCAATTCAGGAGCTGACTGTAAAGGGGTACAGTTGCATTCGTCCTGTGCAGCCTGTTGCACAATTTATGTCGCAACTGCCGCCCACTATGCACAGTCTCAAGGTAACAGGGTCGCCGTTCCATGTCGCGGACTTTCCTGCTTTCAATCCCGTATTGGCCCGTCTGACGAACGTCGAGGTCACTATCCATGAGCTTAATGTTATCTGCTACTTGCTCTGTGTCCCAACCTCTCACACCAGACTTCAATCCTTACGCATCGTTTATGACTCAATGGACACAAATCATGTACCTGATCTATTCAATGCTCTACCACTCCCCGAACTACGCTTGCTTGAAATTCGCTATGATGTAACACTCCCCGATTTACGCTTGCTTGAAGTTCGCCGTGCAGTGACATGGCCTCATAAGGCATTCTTGCCACGGTCAAACTGTCCCCTGGAGAGCCTTACTTTCGGTGCCTCGGAGATGACGACAGATGAACAGCGAGCGGAATACGTTGCCCTTATTCCTTCCCTCGAAATAGTAGTAGATCCCACAAAGATCCCATGGTTCATGATTGCTTTGCTTTAACAGACTTGGTCGTTACACGTTTCGCAAATGATTAATGATGATTGCCAAGGGCTATACTCTGTATTTATGCTACTAGTGCCGCGTGCGCCAGTCATGGTATGTCTTTCTTCATGGCTCTAATTAAGTACTTTATTCTTCGTCTATGACAGGACCAGCCTTATATCCGAGTATCCAATTGAACAAGCTATCTAGAATCAATCGAAGCCCCTATCGACACCCAACATGAAGGCGCGGCCACCTTATCTCCTGCGATCATTCTGTCTGACATACAGGTAACGTAACCCAGGTCCCATGGCTGGGGGAAACAAATGATATTACATGATGAATCCCGACGGGAGAAAGTGGCAGTGTCTAGAGACGGAACGGGTACCTGGGCAACAGCCCGCAGGGCTTTTCGGCCTGGTGCATGAGCCTGAACCTGAGAGATGATCAGGCTCCCCGTGAAACTTGAAAACAAAGAAGCGAATGCAGTGCGTCGGAAAAACAAATTGACATAATTGAGGGTCAGGAATGTAATAAATGCGGATTTATGATGGTGAAGTGAAATAGAATTACGGGGCACGGAACAGCTGGTCTTGAAACTCAAACCTGTTCCAAGTTCCTCCAGGACCACGTCACGGTTGCAATCATCGATGTGGGTGATGATACGGGCGGCGGGCAGGTCTGACAGGACTAACTCAGACATGGTTGCTACAACGAATACAATCAATCATGGATGTACTGCCAACTGAGACTCACTTTGGTAGAAGGTCGTTGACGCGATGGCTGTTAAGCAGGCAACTAGTCCTGTCAGGTAACCGATGGCTGTTACTTTGAGCGCCGGCAATGAGTCGTCAGGCACAGTCTAGTGATCATGATACAGAGATGCGGGGCCCCAGATGTGGCCACCATGCGCCCTCGGAAAACAAATATCACTTAATGCGCACCCATGCCTGCGTCGTGAATCGTGATACAGGAGCCACGACTACAAGGTCAGATGATGGTCAGCCGATTCGCTCACAAGGCAGTGTGTGACACCTTTGGGCCAGAAGTGCGGAACGAACCGAAATTAACAAACTGAGGTCGGGAGTCAACTGTCGAGAATCATTAGATAGGGATGACAGTTACGTAGTTGATAGCCGACCCATGTTACTTACGAACAAATTGTCTGAGCATATACTTCCGCTGTAGGTGTCGGTAGCCAAGTAAGGAGCCACAGGGCAAGGGCGACCGCGCCTAGCACAGCATTATTCTCAACAGCGCTCCCATCGCTCTCGGTCATCTTCTATATGCTCGAAAATTTCGCTGGAGAGAAGCAAGGTTCATTGCCGGAGAGGCACATGTCGAGGCCGTGTCTTAAGTGCCTAGAAGAGAGCAGTAAGCGGACTTCTGTCCCAGCGAAAACAGTGTTATCGACATTGTTGCAAATCGGTAAGGGGGTTAGACATCTGGGGGTCGGGCGAGAATTCAATCGCGTATTAGATTGGTCGATTGGAGATCTCCCACCGAATAAGACTCAAGAAGGGCTATCGGGGAGGCGCCGTAACGCATTAATGTCTTGTGGTAAAATGCTGAAGTGTAGGCTGATGCCAACTTGTAGTATTGTTGGGACTTCTGTAGTTCATGACACATTCTATTGATGTGTTTTATATCCACGGACTCAGCTTTCCGCAGCTGGTAAGGTTTTCAATCACATGTGAACTAAAAGAGGGACTAGAATAAACACGTCGAACACTACGATGATCGCGAGACAGAAACTGCGCATACGTAACCAGCAAATCAGGCCGGGATGCAGCAGAGGTGGAGGTCAATGACCGAGCTTAATACTCACGTGACACGCGTAGCTAGCCGACACTAGGGCAGAAACCCAAACACGTCTACTTGGAAGTTTGCACTACATAGTACATAGCGATATTTACTTAAGTGGTAATCACTCACGATTCCTTCGTTTAGCCTCGTTGATTCGAGCTTTCAGAGGCTGACACTTTCTGGTACCGGAAGTCAACTACCAGACAGAACCATACGCGTATTCGGTTATCCGTGTGTAGTTAAATCTGTATGACCATCACCCAACCCTTTCAAGCACTTATCTGACCTTCAGCCCTGCATTATCAGCGCGTTTTTGGCTACCTTGCCTTATTTTTTAATATTAGTCGCGGAAACCCTTTTTTCGCCTATCCGCCCTATCTTATGTGAAGCATGGTTTCAGGTCTGGGTATCGTTGTTCCCTCGTCCAATTCCACCAACATTAGACTACTCTAGTCGCAGGAAAGAGGCAGAGGTAGCTAAAGTCCATTCCTTAGGATTGGCTTGTGACCCCGCCTCCGGATTCTACTCCGGATGTGACCAGTTTTCTAGAGACGGGTGGACTTTTGAATGTGAGAGAAATTGAGATCACCAATACGTCTGTGGATGTTTTGTTGGAGAGACTTGCAAGTGCGGAGTGGACAACTGTAGAGGTGACAACTGTAGAGGTGACAACTGCGTTCTCCAGGAGGGCTATTGTTGGCCATCAGCTTGTGGGTTGTATTGCGATGCATTTTCTGGACGAGATTGTATTGACCGGCCGACGAGGTCAATTGCTTGACGGAAAAATTTGTTGATCGTGCATTTGCCCGAGCGGCTGAGCTCGATGGTCACTTGAAGACAGGGAAGGTCGTCGGTCCACTTCACGGGCTGCCAATCTTTCTAAAGGACCAACTATGCATCGAGGGAGTAGAAATCATTATGGGCAAGCAATGATCCAGGAGTAGGCCCAATGTACTGTAATTAGAATTTAATCTCGCGGACCATGGATCTGGCAAAGATTTGTGCTTGCGATCATGTGGGACTATGGGGTCGTTGTCCCCTACCCATCTATCAGAAAATGACGCAAGCGGCACTCCAGAAGATGGGCCACAGAGGTTCTCTCTCGTCTAACTGCTCTGCTGAAAGATGCTGAATCAGTGGTAGTTGTTGACTGGAAATCCATCCAGCGCAGATTGCTCAAAGAAGTGACGGTAAGCTGTCGAGTCATTTACTATGCCTGCCTATTCACCATACAGATGGACATCTTGAGCGCCACTTCTGCCGAAGACATCATGGTCACGACTTCTGTCACAGAGGAGCTAATAATTGCAACAACGGAGCTAAACCTGTAGTCCGCCCGCAGAACTATGGTATCGCCGCATACCAGCTGTGGCAAGTGCAGAAGCTACGTCAACATATCCGAAAAGAATATCTAGATTACTGGGAAGCAACTGCATCAGATGGTGGGATAGGACGGCCTGTCGATGCTATCATCTGTCCGGTCGCACCATATGCGGCACCTCCCCACGGGAAGAAAAGGTCAGTGTCTTTGTAATTGCGGAATGTTTGAACTGTCAACGAGAAACGACACGCAGCTACACCAACTACAGCACCGTTTGGAATGCACTCGACTATCCCGCTGCGACTTTCCGTGTGACCACTGTGAACTCCACTCTTGATGGGAAGGAGCTTCCTCATGGTTTCTATGATGATTTCGAGAAGACATTTATGAAATGTGTGAGTAGCGCCAGCACTGAACGACCTCTCAGTGATCTTCTGATGCCCAATAATTGATCTAGACGGCCCCGGAAATTTTCAAGGACGCTCCTGTCTCTTTGCAACTTGCCGGTCGGACTCAGAAGAAAGAGGCAGTGATAAAAATGACAGAAATTGTCGATGTGGCGCTGGCAGCGGCTAAATAAGTCCAAGGTATACCTTGACAGTCGACCGGACTATCAGTTGAACACTTTTCCATTGGGACGGCAGTGCGTTATTCAGACTTCCTGATCTGGTTAACACGGTGTGGACAACATGCAGGTACCACATCTAAAAAAGCATTGGTTTATACGTACAGGTCGCCAATCTGTTCATAGAAAACATGCAGACGTACCTCGAATGATACCATTCACAAATAGCTTTCATGCCAGGGAATGGAATGCGTTTGATAACAATAGTAGATGCGGATGCAGGGGGCCGAAACGTTTTCAACAGAGATATTTCGATCGGGCGCTTCAAATTCAGCCTAAACTTCTTGAGGTTGATCGGAGTAGTCCAGATGAAACTTGAAGCAGTAACAACCAACGCCGCTGTGACCAAGCTTGGCATAGCAATAGTGCCAGCCCACTGAGAACTACAGTACTGACCGTGACGGTGCGATGATACAAAAAAAGGTCGGGATCGAACACATCATACCATTCCGACTCGGCTATCGGCCATGACGGGATGCTGTGCGATATGCATCACGCCGGCGGCCAAAGGCTAGAAGATGATGCAATATTGAGATGTTTCAAATGCATGCTATGCCGCAGACGAAATACACGTGCTGATTCAGCGGCCGAGAGAAGATAAAATGTGATGGCGAGAGGCCCAGAGTGCGTGGACCCTGACTTAAACAGACATAACTTAAAGTCAGCGTCTTTATATTTAAAGCCCCGATCCAAATTGAGGGGGGTATCTCAGAATGAAATTGTGTTCATTGAATGGTTTAGACGTTCTGGGACTAGACTACCTCGACAGAAAATAACATTGTAGGTACCTATCCGTCCTGAGCGCCAGAATACCCGCTGACATAATCTGACTTCTATACTCGTTCACACAACTAGAACAACATACTAGATCCTTGCCTGACGGCCTTTCCGCGTGGCGACAGTCGCTGTGGTGGCCCCAAGCTCTCCCTATACATACGAGCAATGACCGCCATACAAATTGCTGAGACTGTAATGTCCTCCAAATGTCGAACCAAAATTATAATACTGAATGTACGGTTTGCAATCGAGCCATTAACTTATCAAGTGACCATCATTCTTCGTACCAGATTATGGCCCGCTCTTTTCCAATTCGCTTTCATGAGACCTGATTAGGCCCTATCGTCCCATGAGGACCTATAAGTAACTTTTGCTTGCAGAAAGACGGGGAACATCGAGTTTGAGCCCGGGCGGTGTTTCTTACTTGCTTGAGTTAGTTAGCAATTTACTCAAACTTAGTGCAAGATGTTAACATCAATTTCTCACAGCGAGGTGTCTGCAAGTGCTCGTGTCACCAGTCCCCAACTCTATCTCATATACCCGTTCAGTAGCGACATGAGTTGATGTCGGTACGTTCCCTGCTTCCGTGCCCGCTGATTAGCTCCGATCCTACCCTCTTCGCATTCGCACGAGATCTGATTCGGTTTGAGTTAGCCCACCGGGCCCTGTAAGCAGTGTTGAAATCATTAACGGCAGGTTTACCACGGGTCTACGGACAGCAGTGTAAGCCACTTGAGACTGTGCCTAATATTGTCCCTGGTAATGTCGTTACATAGATTGAGGTACTAAGTTTGGGACTTGACGGTACGTATTAAGGCTGGTACAGAATGACACATGTTATTGATGTGTTAGATGTATAGCGTAATTCAGAGCAGGGCTCCAGACAACCGAGCGACATAAAATGCCGAGCAGGATTCAGGTAAACTTGTGTGCCCATTCTGCCCGCTAAGATGTCACTCTCTGCTAGGATATCCATCATGCTTCTTGCAGGCATTGGGGGGCTTGCAGCTTCTTCAGATTTGCTCGGTACCGGGAACGTACTTCGTGACACTCCTGCTTGTGCGCAGATCGCCGCTTCCATCTCTTCGGAATCAGCAGTTTATTACAATGGTATGTGCTAGTACTAGGGCTAAGTGTGAACGAGGCTAACACACCAACAGGATCGACGCTCTATACAAAGGATAATTATCATTGGGCATCTTCGAGTAGTCAAGTCTCCGCTTGCACCTTCGAACCTGGCACCACCGAGGACCTCTCTAAAGCGGTTCGTGTTGCTGAAATAAAGACCTCATGCCATATTAATCTCATACCATAGCTTCAAATATTGGGAGCCACCAGGACACAGTTTGCAGTGAGCAATGACTTCTTCAGCTTGTGCTTTCATCTTACACAGGTACCAATTAGGTCAAAAGCGGTGGTCACGCGACCAACCCAGGCTTTTCGTCGACCACAGGCGTTCAGATCGCGATGTATCTATTCTCAGACATCACGTATGACTCGGCTTCCCAGACAGCAAAAGTTGGCACTGGTGCGATATGGGATGACGTCTATTTAACACTGGAAGCATTGGGCGTGATGGTTCTAGGGGGGAAAGTCACTGGCGTCGGAGTTGGCGGCGTCGTACTTGGTGGAGGTATGAACGTCTCCAGATGATTCAAACGTGATTTAACATTCGTCCCTTGATCAGGATTTTCGTATCTGACAAACCAGCATGGGCTTGCAATCGACAACGTGGTATCATACGAGCTTATTTTGCCTAATGGCACGGTGACTACAGTCACCAGCTCCAGCAACCCAGATTTGTACTTCGGCTTGCGGGTACGTTTTTCGTCATCTAGATCGTCAATATTTCAAATTCTCATGCCACTGTGAAGGGAGGTTTTAATAACTTTGTGCGTGCTCCTCTAAAGAAGCACCGTATGAAACCACGGGCTAACTCCCTTATAGGGAATTGTTACCTATTTCACTCTCAAGACATATCCACAATCACAAATTTGGGTGAGACATCATATCACAGCTTATCGTACGGCACTGACGGCTATAAATAGGGTGGAAGTCTCGTATACACTGAAGATCAAGTTGGAGCAATAAACGCAGCCGTCGCCAACTTCACTGTGAACGTTTTAGACCCCAAGGCATCAATATATTCCACATATAACTATGTCAATGGATCGGTAAGCATATTCCAAAGGCAATCTACGTAAGGTCGTGGGCTAACACCCTGTTGCGTAGTCAATCCTGTCGAGCGCGTTGTTCTATGATGCACCCACTCCCCCAGATGGTATGTTCGATGACTTCTCGGCGATTCCAAACATCGAGGAAACCCTTTCTACCCGGACCTTTGCATCCATGGTCGATGTTGAGCCGGTGAATGACACAATTGGCCTTAGGTAAAAAAAAAATTGGTTTTATGTCTGGCGTATACTCACTGCGAAACAGAGCGGTGTTCAATTCCATAGCCGTCGAGGAGTGGACAGTACCCTTGTTGGACGCCGTTGCTAATGAGACCCTCGTGAGCATCGCCTGTTTGATTTACGCCGTCTACTGACATGAGCGACTAGTTCTACGGCAGCAAGCTGACAAATACCAGTAGTTTGGCTCAGGTCACTTACAACGTGAGGCCCTACCTTGAATCGATCTTCAGCCACTCCGATATACCATCTGCGTATCCGGTTTCACGTAAACGAGGCTACTCATACTTGGAGTTCTTCTATGCATGGGTAGATCCAAACGACGACGACCTCTTCTATGGCATCGTCACTACCAGTTCCAACTATATGACGTCACTAGCGGTCGCTGCAGGGCAGAACATTGAAAATGTGGTTTCGTATCCCAATAATGCAGATCCTTCCACAAGCTTGGAGAAAATGTACGGGTCGAATCTCCCGCGTTTACGGCGTATCAAGAAGGCTGTTGATCCAGAAAATGTGATGGGACTCTGTGGAGGGTGGAAGTTCTAGGTGGGACATGAAATCCATGGTACCTACTATGGGACATACCTATCAACTATTTATCGTCGCGATGCATGTCGATATTTAATTTTAATGGATACTTATACGGACAGAGAGTATATACTACTATTCAGAGGCGTCCTCTAAATGGGTAGCATGTAGCAAGCACAAGGCAATGTTGACAAGCAATGTGGCCACCTGATTATGTTGAGTTAAGTGTTAGATATGAGATCTGAGCTTCTGAATGAATGTTTTTGAAAGGTCCTGATCTGTACGTCGATCTTTGTGCGCCGTTCATCGGTAACGCGTGCGTACCTACCACTCGCTGTGTGCGACAGCACTTGAGCAGTCGTTCGTGCTCTGTGATATCTTCGGAATTTTGTGGTGCACTTTTGTAATGAAGAACGCAGCTGATAGGGTCATGAAATGTGAACTGGGCTCTGTGCGAGAGTAGTAAGGAAATGCGGTTCCGTGCTGAGTGATTATTATTAGCCATACTGCAAAGTCATGTGTAATAAATATAGTAAGAAAAATACAGTGCGGGCGGTAGACACGGCTCGATAATTACTCACTGGCAAAAAAGCAGAGGCAGGAGGAGTAAGTGAGGCGAAAGCTATTTTGCAATCACGTAAAGGTCCTGGAGGCCGTCTGCAGATATTTTGAGGTGGCGCTAGGTGTGAGACGACGCATAGGAAGTTATGGAGCTGGCGATAAATCGGGAGCGCGGAGGAAGCAACAGGGTGGAGCTGGAAGCCGTTGATATTACGGCTCCGCACGGACGGGCGCCGCGAGTGCGCACCGAGTGTATCAGAGTCCGCATTTGCAACTACGGAAGGATTGCGGGGCGGTGTGCCGGGGCTTAAAGGTGCGCCCATCCAACGCTTTCAGATTAGTGTACCGTAGATAAACTTCTGGGGGGTTATCCACCGTAGATATCTACCCTGGAGAAATTGGGGGTCAATTATCCACCAGTGAGTAGGGTGGATATCCACTGGCGGCAAAACCGGCCCAGCAGATCCAGGCGCTGCAAAAAAATTCAATCCATAGCACGTTTTACAAAATTTGCATTCAGTCACCAATACTAAGTAAAGATATATTATATAGCATCTTGCTGGTGGAAGCATGACAGTGTTTCTTGGTGTTGCGGATACCAAATCCTTATCAGCAAGCACATCGGTTCGTTTCCCGGAGTCGAGATTGATGATACTGGCAGCATCGAAACCTTTGCCGTTAAAAGAATCCACTTTACTTGAACCATCTTTGGCTGTATCCTCAAGGTCAGCGACATCCGAGTCTGAGTCATTATCCTCATCAGGTGCTTCAAGCTCATCTACGAAATCATCGTCCACGTCAGAAGTTTCATTGTCATCATCACCTTCCTTCCCTCGCTTGCGCTTGCCACCAAAAATGGTTGATGACATATCTCGCCATTTGACAGTTGGTTTCTTTTTTGGAGGTAGTGCCTAGTATCGATGTCCATGAGTTGCAGATAGTAAATGGAAATTTTGATGTACACTCACATCGGGATCATGTTTGTACCAACTACGAATTTGGACTGTCCTAACAAGTGTTTTTACCTGCTGCTGGGGGCGAGTTGAGCCAAGTGAATGTCGAGCCAGTCCACTCATCAGCCATTGAATTGAGTACAAGCACGAAAATTCGAACAGTGAGCCTCTGGTTAGATTATGATCAGCTTCGGGACTGTTTCTAGACCTCGCTCTATGATTTTCAGGCCGTCAACATGATTTCCAAACCTAACTTCTAACTCTTGGTTGACAGCACCAACCTCGCCAATGTCTGAAGTCCATTCAGCATCCGGGCTGAAGTCGGAGAATTTGTACTTGGATTCTGTTGCTAGTGGAACAGGAATGTCTGACATAGTCACAGCTCGACTAGTTGATCTTTGAGGGGTTGCTGCATGTAAGTTTTGTGGATCACGGATCACAAAGGCTGGGGGGGATGAATAACTTGAAGCTCACAATATTCCATTCATTTTTCGCGTTGATGTTCAACCAAACAAGCTGGTAGACTTGCAATGTTCAATGATTAAGCTTTTTAAGTGTATTTGATGTTATTTAATGTAACCCCATGCACGTACACTGTTTTTTTGAGTTATTCACATAATCCACCCTATCAATTTTGGCCTCGGGTTATCCACCTACGTGGATAACTAGGTGGATATGCACGTGGGTGGATAACACGCGACGCGACGGAGAGCATAAACGGTGTCTTCATCTGTTGGGTGTAGTCACAAGAGGATATTTACTGGTCGGTGACCTGTCAGCGATTCACGTAGTATACTAGACTGGTAAATTTGGGTTTGAATTTGGATAGTGCGCGCTTTGGAGTAGTCACATGACGGAAAAGTCGGAGTTAGATAAGTCTTTGCGCGCAGAGTCCCTCTATCGACGGCTTGCCTCATAGAGGGGCTGGTCACCAGTCTAGAGTGATTAATGCAAATACGCGAGTCCCTGCAAGGAAAAGTCAGTCACAGCGAGTCATTACAAGGTTATATTCGATCGAGCTGAGCCTTAGTCACCAAAAGTGCTATCGACTAGATTCCTACGTTGACTGCATGATACCTGATGACGTGGCATAGATATTCTCTTCTGCGATAGGATCAACTAAATATCCCCTGGGTTGCGTATTAAAGCCGTACTAGTAGAGTTACCCTCACCTTCCTCGAACGTTTCAACCTCCCTCGCGTTACTAGTATATACATAACAAATAACATGCAGACAGTCAACTCAAAAGTTAATTTCTCACCGGCGTCGGATATCATTGGTGCACTGCAGAACATTGTAAGTGCCAAGTTTTATATTAGGCACTCGCGTCTAAATATAATTTGAACGAATCCTCGCTACAGCTCGCACGTTCACAAGTGATCGTAAGTCAATTTTGTGCGATATATTGAATGTCGTTTATTGATGATGACCAGATGCCAGACCTCGAAACTCCGTACTCCCGAGCCAGTCTTCCCAATACTAACCACTGCGCAGTGGAGCTCAAAGACAGGCTCATTAGCGCCATCATCACCGAACGGGAGCTGCAGTTGGATGCAGTTTCGCATGAGTTCTCAGACCTGGAAACAGTCATGGACAATATCAAAAATCTTCACCAGCACCTCGTCGAAAAGAAGGAAAAGATCACCCAGTCTATGAATTTACACAAGGGATTCGTATCGGCTTTCTGGCGCTTGCCAACCGAAGTCCTATCCCAAATTTTTATCCACTGTCTCCCAGACACTAGTCACTTGTCACCCGCGTCGGGGCTAGCCCCCATGCTGTTGACCAGAGTATGCCGACGATGGAGGGAGATTGCTGTGTGCATGCCCAGTTTATGGTGCAAGCTGCAGTTGGAAGTCGACTCCCGTAGCAGAGACTGGAAGGGGAAACCTTTCTGTTATGACTTATGGCTCAAGCGGTCCCGAGGATGTCCGCTCTCGTTGGCACTCCAGGGCTACACAGAGGGATCGACCCAGTTACGAAGCCTTCTTCAACCTTACATCAATCAAATCTCGTCTCTCTCTACCGATCTCTCCGTTGATGTCCCAAAACTGTTAACAGAACTCCCAGCACTTCAGGAGCTGACCGTAAACGCGTACAGGGACAATTATTCTATCATGACGGCTATTGCACAATCTATCTCGCGACCGCCGTTCACTATGCGCAGTCTTAGGGTAATAGGGCCGCTATTCTACATCGCAGAGTTTTCTGCTCTCAATCTCGTATTCGCCCACCTGACAAATTTGGAGGTCGCCATCCGTGAACCCATTGCTGTCCCCCACTTGCTCCGTCTATGTCCCAACCTCTCCTCGTTAACGATTCGCGTACACATCAGCCCACGAAAACAAGCCATCGAGCCATTCACTCACACCACACTTCAATCATTGTGCATCGTTTATGGCTCTTTGCACACAAACTATGTACCTGACCTATTCAATGCGCTATCACTCCCCAATTTACGCCTGCTTGAAACTCGCTGCGCTTGGCCACTCGTCAATTCACCCTTGTTAACATGGCCTCATGAGGAGGTGAGGGCATTCTTGGCACGGTCAAATTGTCCCCTGAAGAGCCTGATTTTCGGCTCTGGAGTGATGATGACAGATGAGCAGCAAGCGAAATACGTTGCCCTTATTCCTTCCTTCGAAGTACTTAGTAGCAGTTCCCATGTTTCATGATACCTTGGTCGTTACGCATTTCGCAACATGATAATACGGACTCATGCTAAGGGCTATATACTTTATGCTATCAGCCTCGTAGTATATCTTTCTTTGTATGCCCAAGTTACAAAGAAATGATCGCGAGCAGTGATTCGGGTGTCGCGGTCGCGTTGCATCCGATGGCTGACAATGGCAAAAGACTCGAGGATATGATAATATCATGATGCATCATTGTGTCCTGGCTGCGGAGAAGCGTGTCGCGAAGATCGAGCGATTCCGCGAGGAGACGGTGGATGAAATCGAGAAGGCGAAGCAGGAGGAGAAGATGCAGGAAGAATTGGATGTGAAGCTGACGAAAAATCTCACACTGTTCAATCATCCACTGGCAGCAGTGTGCGCAGGGAGTGAAATCGGTATGTCCGGTCTAACCTCCACTGTCAGCGGTCTGTATGTTTACTCCGTGCATGTTATTGCTATGTAACATTATATTCCAATCACTCATTCGACAAAAAACCGTGACCCGCTGTATGAAAATTTGACGACTGGCAGCATGGCTCAATTTTACTTCAGCGCAAAGAGCATCTATAGAACTTCAGTGAAAGTTGATTAGGATTTCAACGATGTTCCAGCCATTTTTTCACTCGCATGTCAGCGTTATTCTCGTCGTACTTCAGTTGAGAGTCTCCATTGAAATTTTCGTAGAGCAGCTTGGCTGCTTCAGTGATTCTAGCGATTAATCACACACTGAATTTTCAGTAGAAGGCCTCTAGGGAAATCAAGTGAGTTCAGTCACTGGGATTAATTGATTCTACTCCCCAATGTTGGGTAGAGGGATATTGGACATATCCCATTCATCCAACGTCTGTAGAATGTCCGTAAGGGTCACCAAACTGATTACCGAAAACCGAATGAAAAGATGATCTACCGAAAGACTGAATGAGCACTGGTACAGATTATGTGGGTTCCTAAAACAAGATAGAAAAGACGAAGGAATCAACAAGAATATACATGTGTAGAAAATGACTGCGCGACGAGCATCAAGGAGTGCCAACGTGTGGTGTGATCATCTCCGGGATGTCATTGGGAGGAGGTTCGGAGACTGCGGTGGGGAAACGGGTTGCTGTTGGAAGTATGTCGAATTGTTGGGTGACACTGGCGCGCCAGGTGCACCGGGCGCACCAGGAGGACAGAGCAGCATGGTTGGTGTCAGCTCAAATACGTGCTGGGCCACTGTGCGAGGACGCCCTATCAGGCCGAGTTGAACGGGCTCTGGCGCAGCCATGACGCAGTGTATCCGAGGGTCAAGGTTCATAGGTTGATGGAAGCCTTCCGAACCAGTGGATGGAGGGGCGCAGGTGCCACGACCGTCCCAAATACAGCGTATTTCGTTCCCGGGAATGATCTGTGCGAGCAGGCCTGTCGATATGTGCCTGACTTCAATGAAGCGGGAGTCGAAGAGAAGGATATAAGGCCAGTGCATCGCCACACGCTCAGCCGTGCCCTCCCACTCAATGGTGCCTGTGTTGCGACTAGGTGCGCCATGTTTGTTGACGTAGATACCGAATTCTAGGATCTTTCATCAGCATCGACTGCAGATTAAATCAAAACGACCGACCGTCGTAGCACAAAAGGAATTCATTTTCCACTCGGAACATCCCCATTGGCCGGCAAGATTCACAGCGTTTTGCCAACCTTTCATAACCGTCGTCACGCTGTGGAATAGTGACGCTCTTGAAACTAGGGTGATGATTAAAATGGAGGAACTGAAGGTGAGATGGCGAAGGTGACGTACTCGGTTAGATCCATGATTTCGAAGCCTTTGGTGCAAAGAATCGCGATCTTTGCTTTGAGGAAGACCAGGTCGAAAGATTCCGAGGGCAAGAAGAACTCCTAGAAAAACATGTCAACATGGAAGACGTGGCCCACTGATGGTCACATACCCTGTACAATCGGAACCACTCTGAACGTGCAGGTCGTATACCAAAACGAGAAGTGAATGACGCGGGCGCCTTGCTCCTCTCATTGATTTTTTCCACTACTGGTTCCAAGACACGGAAGACGCTGTCGAGCTATTTACATTTTCAGTGATCCTTTCTTAGATGCGATGTTGTGGAACTGACCCCTTTCTTCTTCATGTAAACAACCAGTGTTCGTCCACCTTGGTTGCCGACACTAAAGAAGTGAACATCTCTGGTCCCGTTTACCCTCTGTGGTGTCTGAGATGTATGAGCACTCTGCGGCGACGATGGAACGAGAGCTTCGATGTGGTATGCAAAGAGAGCCTGCATATAGGTTAGCATTTAACGAAGGTGATCGCTCGTGGACAATACCTTGTCTGCAAGCACGAGGAACATCCCGAAATCTTCGAGCATCGCACACTGCGTCACCATCTTCAGATGCAATACGCGGCGCATCGCTAAAGCGGCATTCGTCAGTTTGCAAAAATAACAAACAACTTCACGAACATCTTGAATCATGCCTAAAGCCTATCCAAACACCCTCGGCACAACCGATAGCCACCAATGCTCGTCCATCAGCAGTAGCTTGAAAAACATATGAGCGAACGAACGGAAACAGAGAATGACGCGAGCTCACTAAAGGGAACAGAGCAGGTAACCTTGCCAGTGAGGGAATTTTCGTGGTTCCAAGATGGTACAGCGGCTGAAGCTATGGATGGCACGAGGAAGGTGTCTGTGCTGAGCGGCTCCAGCTCGAAGACTTTGTTCGACTCTTGAACAACCTTTCGCAAACCGATGGCCTCGTCCAGCTTCTGCTTCCACTCCGCTCGCGCCTGCTGAGACTCTGTAAATACGGTGTACAAGCCACCAAGCCTGCCGTTATAGTGAATGGTACAAGGATATACAAGGCGTGAATCGCCAGCGGCATCGGGAGCGCCGCTTCCTGGAGAGGGTCCACCTTCCACGTGCTTGTTCCCTCCGCCGAGGCCGAGACGCAGAATGCTTGTGCTGCGTTGCGTCGGGGGATCTGTGAAGTTGGCCAGAGTAAGAAGATCAAGGGGTATGGGCTAAGTCACCAGTAAGATATTTATGCAAGGCCGTGTCTGCGACCACTTACTCTCCGGTTAACGTTATATTTTGTCAGGCCGTCTTTCTCTTTTGTTTTGGTCATGACCACTGAAATTGTGCATGAACTTTGTGACACAGCACAAAGGCGTGACAAGACTTACAGTAATTATCAAACAGCAAGACGAAAAGCTCAGTCCATCCGTTCCATTCAAAACCAGTGTCGGGCTGTCTCAACAGCTTGCCAGCATGAATAAGAGAGCGATTTTCATTCAACAGGTCCATGTCCTGCGAGGATCATTCAGTATGTGATGCACTAAAAATGCGATTGGATGCTTACAACAAACTCGTTGGGTTTGAACTGCAAATTCGAGTTATAGCACCAGAGCTGAACTTTCTGTTTCGCTGATTGAACTCCTGGCTCCGTCTCCTTGCCCAAAGCTTTTATGATTTCCAAGACCTGAGGGATCGCTTCACGATCCTCATGGCCAGCGGGTGTCTCGTCCATTATGCCCTTCAAGAGCAGTTCGTACCGCAACAATCGAGGGATAGGACGATTAATGAAACTCTTCATGTCCAGTCGGTGAGCATCTGGATGCCGTATACATTGCTACATACTGTTAATATAATAAAGTCAAGCAAAGAAACGAGCCTCACGTCAACAAACGCCTTGAACTCCGTGTTGTTCGCCATCTCATCGTCAATACGATAGGCAGCGATAGGGTAGTTCGGGATGTACTCCATATATGCATCCCTGAAGTTCAGAGCAGCATCAAACATAGGTGCTGTGATACTCCTGATCGTTGGATGTTCCTCGCGCTGTATCTCATGCAGCTGGTCCAGCAGCTTCCGATGATGCGAGTGGAGCTCAGCAAAGTTGTGGAAGACATCGCTGATGAAACTGTTCAGCCTGTCACGAGCAATGACCGGAGGATCTATTTCTCGCAGGGCCTGGATGTAAATCTACAGTCTCGAGAATGAGATATGCTGTTATCGAGTACTTGTAAAGGACAACACACCGTCTCGATATTTTCTAGGTCCCTTACGTACGCCATTTCACCTTTGATCAGTTCAAAGATAATGCTGCAAAATGTTCAGCATTCAAAACCACTAGAAGAACAAAAAAAACATACGACTGGCGCTTGGCCTCAGCCTTGCTGAGGCTCTCTCGAATGTCCTTGGATACAATATCGTGCCATTCCCATTTCCCAGTCGGACCTTTGCACATCGCAGTCTGGAATGTCCGGAGCTGTGCAACGTTCTGAAGATTCCTGATGGCCTCGATGGCTTCTGCAAGGTAGTACGCGTCCGGGTTGCCTTCAGTCGTCTCCTTCATTATCGCCTCCAGCGCGATGGGGTACTTCTGCAGATGTTCAGATGGTCGCGACAGGAAGTGTTTCAAGTCCAGCCGACGAGCCTCCTGCTGCTTGGATTGTCGCGAGCACTCCTGCAAACCTGTTTAGGAATGGCTCATTCGAATAAAGGATTATCATACCTCAAGGAACAACCGAAGGTCTGCGTTTGACTCGATCTCGTCCTTGAAGCGCTTTTCTGCAAGAGGCAGATGTCCAACGTATGTTGGATATGCGAACCGGAATTCTCTCGCGGCCTCCAAGAAGACATCACCGATCCTTTGGATGATTGGCGCTTGCTCACGCTGCCGAACATACATGGCTTCCACCAGTCGCCTGTTGCATTCCCGAAGATCCAGTATGTTTCCGAAAACCTCCTCAATAAACTCATCTAGCTTGTTGAGCGGCATGACAGGAGGATGTGCTTTCAGCAGTGGCCGGATGAACAGCTACAAGAAGGAAATGAGCTGTTTCAACGCTGTCGAATTACGTGATGCACTGACCGCCTCCACCGTGTCCAGGTCTTGGACATATTGCTCCTCCTGAGTGATGGTTTTATAGATGATGCTAGCGTGGTCCTCAGTACAGCGCCATGCGAAAATAAGCAAGATGCTCACGTTTGACGGTGAACTTCACTCTCGGGCAGAGTATGAAGGATGGCGGGATCAACCGTGCTCAACCAGTCTTCCGTTTGCTATTGTAAATCAATGTTCAATGTTCAATTCAATCAATCAAAAAGGGAGGGGGACTAACATGGTGTACATCTGGCTCGGATACGGGACCCAAATCAACGATTCGACTAGCTTGCTACAGAAACATCAAGTCAAACTCACGACTGTGCGATCGCAAAAAACTCACTCGACGAGGACAAGCAAACGAATAACATGGGTCGTCCTCACTGCAACTCGACGCATAGCACCGAGTGAGTGAAGTGATTACGGCTGTTGGCAGTTCTTCCCTCTCTCGCTGAGCCTCAGAATTACCCTCGAGATCGTCCAGGAACATATACACGTCCTCGACGCCATCTTGCAGCAGCTTCTGACCCCACTCAACCTCGTAAAAAAATAATTGCTGCTGTAGACTCCGAGCGACCTGAAGGGCAGCACGACGGTCGGTGGTGGAAACACCATGATTGATCAGTAGTTCCCGTTGGATTTGGCTCTGAATGGTGGACTAAAATAGCGGTGTTACGTCAAATGACGTCACACAAATCTACCCAGGGACTTACGACGATGTCCTTGCCCGTAAATGCACGAGGGTAAGGGATGCTGCTTTTTACGTGTGTACCGCGAGGCACCTTGTCACGCAAGCGGACGGCCAAGTGCGATAGTAAGCTGAAGTTGACAAACCTATCTGGATCTGGATCATCGCTCTCCGAGTCAAAGTAATCGTCTTCTTCTTCTTCTTCCTGGTCAACATGGGTTCCAGGTGTGCCACTGTATAGGCTCGGACGGGGACGCGCTAATGAGTCCGCGCTTCCACCTTGGAAACCGCCACTGCCAGATTCTGAGTGACCATGGCTGTATTTAAGTGTCGAAGGGCCTGACACTGGGAACCCGTAGGACGTTTCCCTGCTGAGCATCGATGGCCCAGCTTTAGTAGTTGAAGCGTCAGTATCAGCGTAGCTTGTGGCCGTTGTGGTCAGCGAGCCATTGCGACCCAGGGAGTCTGTTACGAATGAAGACGCAGTCGAGCCTGTAGAAACTGCACGGCCGAGCTTGGGGTCGGTATCTTGATGATCTGCAGACAGAGTTAGATCAAGGCTACACATTCTGGTGTGACTTGCAATTGGGGATATAGTCGGATGATGATGAAGGGCGATGACGCAAATCATTCACCCGAGCGGACGGTGCAGGACCATTGATGCCATCGTTTGGATGCAAACGGGCATGAGGCTGGGAGTATACATCCACAGGACGAAATTGTTCCGAAGATTGTTGAGGGCGATGAGACGGACGGTGACGAAGATCATCTGTACCATGTAGGTCGATTGGAAAGTCATCATACACATTACTGTGACCCGGTATGTTCGGGGCTAAAGCACCAGGAGGTCGAGGGGATGGCTTTGGTGCGATATGGTCAGCGGTGACACTGTACCCTCGCACATCAAGGCTACTCTCTGATTGCTGCAAACGGTACACATCCGCTCCATTAGCAGGTGCACCGTTAGTGTGCGAGGGGATAGCAGGGACGGGTTTATTATACACATTTGGCGGCCTGTCGGTGTGAGGGCTGGTGACAACTGGTTTACTTGCGGCTGAGGTTGGTGATGTTGCAGAAGCTGTGGAAGGGCGACTACCATTAGAACCACTAGGTTGCACAGTAGGTGCCTGGGGAAGCTGACGACGCCTGTGTGTGTAATGAATGATTTCCGAATGAACCTAAATAGGTGATGACATACCCGTCAACTCCAGCAGTCCCCGGGCGTGAAGGATTTGCAACCGCAGGTGCTTGTTCATGAGGCTGAGGACTTAAAGAAGCACCTGGAGGCAACGGAAGTGGTCTCAATCTCCTTTGGGTAGGAGAGGTCGCAGAATCGAGCTGTGGGCGTATCTCAGGCGAATGCGGCCGCTGAGGTGCAGGCACTGCACATCAGAGTCAGATAATATACTCTATCACAATGCGAGTGAATAACGAACTAGGAGGGCGAGGAAGGGCGCTGCGGATTGAAGAGGATGGAGATATTGTCGCACCAACGTCGTGGAATGAACCATTAGGGTAGGGCTCGCGTGCATGGGCAGAGACTGCACTTGTTGGCGAGCGCTCGGTAGGGGAAGCTGTTTCACCGTCAAAGATCCGCCAAACTTCATCATAGAGATGTTGGAGATCCTCGTCACCGGGCGGGGGAGGACGAATATGAGTAGACATGATTCCGGTCAGTTATCGAATTGGGAACTGGCCAACTTGATCAGGACCTAGTACGACTGCGCAGCCTGGTGCCGTCCAACTTTGCCTAGAGACCAACCAGATTCAATTTTGATGGAAAGCGAAGCCAGAAATAAAGGCGAAACACGATTTTCTGTCTAATCAGAAAACTTCGATGCCAGCGTTGAACAAGTAGAGGGACGAGACTAGCTGTTGCTGCTAGAGGCGCTCACGAGAGCCAAGCCAATACAATTCAGCATCGGATTTCGGCTGCATCCGGTCCTAATCTCATCCGCTGCAGTGACTAGTCCACGTTATAACACTGACTTTTTTTGATCACATCTAGGTATAACCCACGCCAGAACGCGCTGCCGTGTCGCGACCAAAAAAACATTCCATTCGCCATCATAATCCTGTGTACTCCATATGACAAATTCTACACCGGAAGCCAAACCTGCACGCATACCAAAGCTAAGCTCGTCGGTGCACGACATCAACGCTGAGAAACCACCCTTTGGATCAGGGTAACCACGAGAAAGATCGATCCAGAATATCCCTGATCATCAAACATGATACAGATTTCTTACTCAAGACTCTGATGTCTGGGCCCAGAATGCTTGGGACCATGTTCCACCCCCTGAAGATCAAACTGAAACGATCACTGCATCACTAGCGAGGCAACGTCTTGTTCCAGTACCAGACAATGATAAGAAGACTTATAATGAGAAGCCCGCAAAGTTCTGGTTCGTCTTTCGTCTGTCATCGCTCCATTCACTCTGACGCTTTCGATTGATAGGGATAATTTTTACAAGACGAATGCCGACAACTTCTTCAGAAATAGAAAATGGTCGGTGTCACTCCTTCTGTTTCCTGTAATACCCTCACCTTTGTAGCTGAAGGCTGCATCTTGAATTTCCAGAACTCCTAGCAGCAGCAGAACCAGATGTAAGACTTTGCATCTTGACAACGATTTCTCTTATGTAGTCAGGCAGGGAACATAACCATTTGCGAAATAGGATGCGGTGAGTCTTAGGATCACGTTTCATGAAAATTAACTGAGCCCGGTCTAGGCGCCGGAAACGCAGCATTTCCACTTCTAATGGCAAACAAAAATCCAAATCTTATCATCCGTGCCTACGATTACTCAATTCATGCAGTCAAATTAGTACAGGTATGCACACACTGTGGGAAGTAAAAACACTGGAAATCGGTGTCTAGAATACTGAAAATCAGGGTTCAAAATACTGACTTTCAGGCTTTTGTATCTTTCAACCGCAGTTAACGTCGGAGCCAGAAGATAGGATGGGCTAGATTTCAGTGTCTAGAACTTTGAAAGTGATATTTTTCAGTGTCATAAATCCTGAACTGAGATTGACGGCACACTGAAAAGCACTTGATAGAACACTGACATTGTGATGTTTGTGGTACTGAAAAACAGTGTTTGAGATGTTGCAAATTAAGAGTCTGTAGTACTGAAGATTCTCTACTCCAGACACTTCTCAGGACACTGAAAATTCACTGTGCGCACAATGTCGATAATGATTGCAATAATAGTACATTGATATCAGACTCGGAGTGGGCAAGCGTTACATGATGCGGTCCAAAAAAAAGAAATAACGATAACGAAGCATCAAGGGTCCAGCAAGAACACGAGTCCAGAGCGTATCGAATAGGAGGCTGCCAGCAGTCCAAGGTGCATGTGGCCTCCATTCGTAAGACAAGACAAGTCGAAGAAAAAAGGTCAGTACTGTCAGTGCCGGGCGCGTTTTCTTCTGATGGGGCCTTCCAGTTCATCCCCAGCAGACACAGCCACTGCCTTGGCTTTGCTCCGGGTCTCCCTGTGTGTACGAGGTCTTGCAGCAGGCGACTGGAAAAGTTTCAAACATGCAGACCTGAAACTACTCTGCGAATACAAAAGGACTTACTGGTGGCATCGAGGAGAGAGCAGACAGTGATGAGGGGTTCCCCTGGCTCACACAGTCGGAGAGCTTGAGGGCATTGGCATGTTGTGAAGGTCTGGGCTGTGGAGGTGGTGTGATCTGAATAAATATATGGTCAGTATATGCTTGTTGAATTAAACAAAAGCACCTCTGCGCGCCAAGTCCGGCTGCGAAACCTTGGCGGACCACCCTGAGCTTCATTGTGACGGATGACAATCATGTTTGACTTGGATCGCTGAATGTTTGACCTGCAGATCTGGTCCAGTTCTTCATCCGAGTCCAGTGCAGGATGTAGTTGAATCCCAGCCTGTCTGCTTTCCAACAGCATCATGTGAGCCTCCGTGATACTGACATCGAGTTGATGGGCAATTGCACGAGTAGCAACGTATGGAACCAGGAAAGAGTGAGTGAACTTCTTGATGTCGAGCGGCCGAATAGCATCAAGAGGAATGGTGGATGTGCGAAACATGGCTTCTAGGGCGTGCACAATGACATGCTCGCCCTTTGAACCAAAACTACTTGGAAGAAAGTTATCAGTAGCCAATCAATAGAAACATGATACTTACAAGCCAGCACTCGATAACTCGTTGATGAAAGCCGTCGTAGGTCCCTTGTCTCTTGCAAAAGCAAGAAGGTACTCCTCCTCTGTAACTCCCTTGTTGTGGTAATGGTGGGTTATGCGATCCAACAAGGTTGTCCAGATGATGTGGCTAGCTCGGGCGCTGTGATCTGAGAGGATCTTAGCAACATCAGCTGTCAATGACCACGTGAAATCATTAAGTTCAACAAAATTAATAGATACTGGCCAACCGCGCTTTGCCACATGCTGACGTATTTTTGACAACTTGTTTTCAGATGCGATATCTGAGCAGATGTGAAGCATAAGGTGAAGAACCGTGCGACCATATTCTCCTTCCTTGTGGATGCATTCTGCAAGACTGTGGAACATATGGATCAGCTGTGGCGAAGGTGGAGAGGGAACAAGATCCTCGCAGTCCTCATTTGGACAGGTGTCTGGGATATCCTGCAGTGAGAAGCTGAATGAGGATGGTGGGGGCGATCTAGAGTCATGGCGAGTCAAAGGGGTAACTTTGGCCTTCTCTCTCTCCAAGTTCTTCCGTGGCACTGGTCGTGGCCAAGGTTTCTGAGTGCATTCAGTAGGCAGGTGACACTAGTAAATTTGCGTACACACCACGGAAGCCATCACTACAACATCGTTGCTAGCTGAGTTCTGTGAGGGGGGGGGGCTTGCTCCTGCAAGAGCCATACAAAGGTTACATATCAAGATTTTGATGCCGCACTCACCTTTTCCAGTTGTTGTGTCATAACTATTGGTGGTTTGGCCCTCTTGCTACGCACTTGTGCGATGGCAGCGGTGGTGATCTTCTTGCTGGAAGTTGTTGCTGTCTGTGACTTCAGCATAGTACTCTTCTTAGATACTCTGGCGGTCTGGTTAGGGTCAGTAGGTGCTGAGGTTTGCGTGAGACGTCCTTTGGATTCTGGAAGTGAATATTTAGTGCAGGTAATGAGTATTGGAGTGCAAACTCACTCAAATAATCCTCAAATCGCTTCTTGAAGAGCTCTGCGATATCAGCAGGCAGCCCTCCTTCGCTCCCTGGCCCAATCTCCTCCGAGTCTGAGTCTTCATCTGACCTGGGGTCCATTTCACTACTATAATCTGAGTCAGAGTGAGCTGCGGGAGCTGGCAACTTAGCACGGCTAGTGGATATATGCGCCTGGGTCGACTTTGAGAGTGTGATCTACAAATCAGATAGTCAATGGTCAAATGATGGGACATCATCACGTACCTTGTTTGAGCTCTGAGTTGGCTTGTCGTATCCCATCCTTCTCCTATAGTTGGCGTGATTTCTCAAGAATTGTTGCAAAAAATCTTTGACAGGCCACCCATCCTTAAAGTGTGCTAGGTATGGGATTTTGAGCATGGCCTAGCTATTATTAGCGCATATATGCATGTACAATGCACAAAAAACACGTACCAATGTAATTATGGTGCCCAGTAGTGTCGGTGGCTGGTATCTGATGGTGGTCTCAAGTCATAAACCATTGTCCTTGGCAATTTCAATTATCTTGTACTTCAGAATGTCTGTGAGATTCCATATAGATAGGAAAAAATGTGCTTACCCGAATTTTCTTATACACGGTATCCTTATCATCCAAATTCATAGCGTGCTGCAAATTAAAATGTCGTCCGGCAGTACCATCGGGACGCGTAATTGCGCCCTTCTTCTGACAGGCCTTGAGTTTCTTGTGGGCCTCTTTCTCACCTGGATTTTTTGCAGTTAGGACGCTTGACTAGTAATGCTAACATGACTTATGCATCACGTGTTGTACCTCCCACTGTGGGTGAGGAAAATAGACTCTGTGTGGATCAGAAGTCTAACAAGGGTGCGAGACTTATACTTGTCCCAAGGGGATTGCTACTGGGTAGCGAGTCCTCAAATAAGTGCGAGGAAACAAAGACTAGACTCTGTATAGTGACCCAAAGGGTTCCGGTCCTTACTAGGACTGGGAACACAAAGATGCGGAGGGTTCCCGACGAGTGGAACTCAGCGCACGACGAGCAGAACTAACGGAACTAATGCGGAACAAACAGAACAAACAGGGAACAAACGGAACTAATGGGGAACAAACGGAGGGAAAAGAAACTATGAGCCTGCGGGAGGATGATTGGGCAAAGTCGGACCAGGCTTGTGTCTGGTACTTGCTCCAAGTCATTGGATCCGATGTCAGGCATTTTGAGCGGAAGTTCTAGTGCTGCCGAAGTCCGGTTCGGTCCAGTTCATGGGCCTCTAAATGCGAACCCTGAACCGGACCATCGGTCAGGTTCAGGCAATGAGGGCGAACGTCGAACTGGACCCTTGCGAACGCATTCAGAAGTGTTTGGTTCGAGTTCAGAACGCGTTCGAACGTCCGAACGCTATGTATAAATTCAAAAAAAATGCAGGAAATACATGAAAAAATTCGACGTAAATGAGTACAGTAGCTACACGATATCCATGTCAGGGTATTCACAAGCAGTGGCGAACGCAGCTTGAGCCGTTGCAGATATGTGGCCTTGACGATATCCACTCTTCAACAACTGAAGTGCCTCAAACATTGTTGGCAACAAACAGTTGCGCCGTGTGGTCCCAGTGATGCCGCCGCTCGAAAATGCTCATTCAGATGCCACGGCAGAGCCTTGAATAGCAAGGTAGTCCTTTGCAATGTGTGAGATGGTGGGATATTGAATTGAATGATGCTAAGGAACATTTATGTTAACTTGTAAGGAATAGGGATTCGAAAAAAAAACACTCATGCCCCACCAAGCTACTACATTCTCGATATCCTCTAGCGGGGAAGCCAGGTAGTCCTTGAGCTCTTGACGAGGCCTTCGGCTTGCAGTGTCACTCGCAACGCGGGATTTGACAGCGTCGCGCATCCAGCTGTGGCCATACGAGCCTTGGCGTGCAAGACAGGAAGGAGCCACGACAGCAGGCTCTGCGTCCGGCAAGGAATTGTGATGATGGTATCTGTCGAAAATGATCTGCAGGCGTCTCATGCCCTTCTCGAAGTCGCGGGGCTCCCATTTACTCTTGGCATACGCAATCTTATAGTTGGGGTCAAGCGCTAGATACAACGCATTAGATAGGGCTTTACGTTAATCAAAACACGTACCGAGACAAATGAAATAGACGTCGGTTTCATCGATCTTATGGTACCACTTACGAAGATTGTCAATGCCAGACTCAATGGCGGTTGAAAAGTCGGCAAACTTTGAAGACCTGGCCATATTTTGCCAGGTTTGTTGGAGGAATTCAGGCACCGGGATCGCGAGTCGCAGAGAACGATTGCTGAGCATTTGCAGGCTCCTGGTAATGCAATAAGTTAATAAAAATTAAACTCATCAATGAACAAGCACGCACCTGAAGCATGTCATGCATCAACTCTAACTTCTTCCATTCCTCGGCCGAGAGCTTGAATGCGCCATAGGACTTGCCCTGCAGGTTCTGAACTTCGTCACTATCATCTGCGAGCTGTATAAACCTATTCACACCCTGCCGATAGAGTTAGTAATTGTTTGTAGGGACAGTAGTGGTAAATATACCTTATGCAACTTGAGGGTGCGCTCCAACATGCCAAACAGTGAGGCCCACCGAGTGCGGATCCATTTCAAAAGCTTGAGGTTGGGTTCATTGACCTCAGCGCAACACTTGTGGAAGAAAGTACGGGCTTGAGGAGATTTCCATACCTAAATAAACAGTTAGTCAAAGCAAGGCTAATCAGACGAGGCACAAACTTACCTGCCCAACAAGTGCAAGGGCTTTGCCCACAGTATCGGCAACATCGAAGTCAGTCACTTCATCGTTGTCATCGTCGTTGGTCTCGTTCCTGATGAGAACACTTGCAGGGGTAGGCGCAACCTCTTCAACGAAGTGTTTAGTGGCCAGATGTAGGGCGTGCTCCATACAACTGAAAAGACATTAGCATATAATAGAATGTGATATAAATATAAGCCTTACCGTACACGGTGCTCTCCTGCAACCCATTCCTTACCAGAAGGGTCAATAGCGAGTGCAACAGTCTGAATTGCCGTATCATTATTGGTGGCGTTGTCAGCCGTGAACCATCCAACCTTGGTGCGAAAGTTGTAGTTATTGATAGTTTCAATTAAAATCCTTCCAATATTGCTACCACTATGGTTGCCATTGATGATCGTGAATGTGAGCTGCTCGCTCTTCAGCTCCCACTCCTGAGGCTTACCGTCTTGGGAGTCAATATAATGTGCAGTGACAGAGAGGAAAGGCACGCCAGGTTCAGACGTCCAGGAGTCGAAAGTGACGGAAATTTTGCTGTCGATGTTCTTAAGCTTCTCTTTGACGCATTGCACGGCAAGCTTGGCACGTTCGAGTATTTCATCGCGAGTCTTCGTGCGATGGGGGATATCCTTATCTGACAGGGAGGGCTGAAGGTATTGAAGGAGGCGATGAAACGGACCCTTATCGACGAGTTGGAACGCCTAGTATAAGTATCTTAAGTCACAATCACACGAAACAAAAGATCACAACCACGCACCTCATCTTCAGAGACAATGAGCTCAACAATATAGTCCATCAGGCCGGACTTCGTGAACTCAGGAACCTTAGGTGCAAGCAAGGCGTGTAATGTGTGTTGAACTCCGTCGGTTGATTTCGAGTTAAGAGGGATGGCACGATTGTGCATTGTGATTCCGCATTCCTTGCAGCAGTCTCGGTAAAGGGGGAAGTGACATTTTGGATTGTGTGTGATGTGGGTGCGGCGGGTTGAGATACTGCCTTTAAAAAAACACTGCCCGGATGGTACATCATTGCCTCTGGACTTGATGTTAGTTCAGTGCGGAGATTATTTTAACATTGAGACTTACCTGCATACCTCACACCACCAACCGTCCTCGCGTTCTTGGGTGTGAGGGTTCATACGGCCCCTCTCTTGTGTGAAGATTGTCTTTAAGTCCGCGCTGCGTTCATCTTTCTTCGTCAGCTTGTGATGCTCGCGGTCCTCATCCCCCAATGCCTTTGTCCTTTCGTAAGCTTCCTCTCTGTCTTCTTCCTCCTCCTCGTCTGAAAGTCCCTCTGTGGCAGGGGGTTCTTCTCGAATTCGTTTGGGTGCAGGCCGACCCTCAGGAGTTGCTGGTGCTGGTCGCTTTGCTGGAGCGCCGTTGACAGCGTCACGAATCTTCTCCATTGGTTTAATGGCTCGTCCCGAGTGACGGGACACGAATGCAGTGATCTTACCATTGGATGTGGCAGGAGGTGGCGAAGGGGGCATGGGGGAATCGTCATCAGGGTCGTTGTACCACTCGATGTCCTTAGCATCTTTCAATTGGCCGTCAGGTCTAAGTGCGCACGACATAGGAAGGGTGGATATTGGACCTAACGTAGATATTTAGACCGCAAACCGTAACATATAATTATACTAGCGCACCTTGAATATACCACTTCCACACATGGATTTGTGCAGCAAGGAGGGTGGAGATTGAACCTGTAGTTAGTAGCTCGTTTATACCAAAACTTGTGATAAGAGATCAAAAAAACGACGCACCTTGAACATATTGTTGCCATGCAATGACTGCGACAGTTGATCGATCATTGGATGCAGGAAGCGGAGGTGGTGCACACATGGGGGTGTCATCATCCGGGTCATTGTACCAATCAATGGCACTAGCGTCTTTGAGTTGGCGATCACATCCAAGTGCGCACGACATTCTCGCAGCCAGAAGGGTGAATATTGTACCTGTAGTAGGCCATTTATACCAAGATTTGTGGTAAGAGATCAGAAAAAGGTGATGCACCTTGAACATATTTTGATCGATGTTGAAGCAAGTACCGGAACGAGCATCCCAAAAATATGTTCTGAACATAAATTAAATTATAATCCTAATAACGATTAACATTGGGCTTACCGAAATGTCGAGTAGATCACCGAGGAAGTCAGACGTCACTAATAGAAATGCATTCAGTGTTTTGGTCGTGAAGTAAGAGCCGTTCTGGAGATCAATGTTCCCAGGACTGACAATGGCCATATGAGTTTGTTGCCAGGTGATCAGAGAAAATATTAGTATAGATGGATAGCAATAAGCCTGAGGACCTCAAGCGGTTCATAGACAGAAGCAAGGACAGTTCGAACGCGTTCGGACGGGTCTGGACAGGTTCACTAATTTGAGGCATCAGCCGAATGCCAAACCTAATAATAGGTTTGGTCCCTACAGTAGGTCGAACCTCGGACCGAACGGACGGTCCGGTTCGGAAGGGTTCACGTTCAAACCGAAGTTCTGAACCGGACTCCGGCAGCACTAAGCGGAACTCACAGGGGCGGGAATGATGCAATGTGATCAGGAATAGATTCGGGAAGATATTTTAGACAGTGAGTGGAGTACTGGGAAGTACTCTGTAAGTGGAAGTGGAGTCGAGTCTATCAGAAGGTAAAACACTAAGATCCCATCTATTGCTACCTATATAGGAAGGGGTTCCGAAATGCGCTATGCTACAACCAGGTGAGGCTGTGAGATAAGGAATCGGTCCCGAGTAGTGGAAGGATCCATATAAGTACCGTAACACATAGGAAATGAGATAGGAACATGTTAGTAACACAGGGAACGCAGCTAGTACTCACCAGTGAGGATGGAAGGACAAGGACAGGATGGAGGAGGACGTTCCAAAGGCTAAAGGATATGATGTGTGTGGTACGCGATTGTTCTGCTGGGTTCTGCTTGGTTCTGTGTAGCGGACGGCTTGGGGAAGATGCAGATGGGTAGCGGGATGGTAGTGGAATGCATGGAAAAATGGTGGGAAGGCATGGGAATTATACGGGATACGGGCCTACAGTGGGGACGTTCCCCACACCGCTCATTGGCATCAACTCGCCTCTGTAGTGCTTGGAACTTCTTCTTGGTTCCTGGAGTAGGCTTCTTGTTAGTGCGTGTGCGAGGCATGGTTAGTGGTGAGCGGTAGGGGTTATTTATGTGTTGTTTGCATCAACTGAAGCCAATATTTGGTTGTGTTAATGGTCACGTGATCATTGCAACTGAAATTTTGAACTTGTCAAGACTCCAGGTCAAGTACACATAGCCTCAAGGAAGTTGCGAAGAAAGAAATGTAGTCACCGGTGGTCCGATGCTTTTGAAGAGTAGATCTATTGCGTGGTAAGGAGTATACATATCGTACCAGGTAAATAGGTAGTAATATACCAGAGGGGAATAAGGAAGCCGAAAGGATAGCAAACCGATAGTCAAAATGAGTACAACATCAGACGAATTCAAAGTGTACTCACCTGATGAAAATCCTTCAAGCGATAGCTGCCAAAATGGCGACATGTATATGTGGAATGCCCCGAGTGTGCATAATCGGTGGGAGACAGAGGTTGAGTTAGCTGTATTGCCCATTGAAGACGTTAGAGCGATGCCAGCAGCCTGTCAAACGTTCAACTCATGATTGCAAAACCATAAATGCTTACTACCATCTGATCCTCAATGAACTTGTAGGGTATGGCAGCCATATCCTCGCGAGTCTTGGACCAAAGTACCCACCAGTGGACCAAATCAACAGCATCGCCTTTGAAGAGATCATACGTCAACTTGAACACCAGCCACATATTCGGAGATATAGCATGAAGACGGAAGGTAAGGGCGTCTACGAGGTCGTACATATTATCAAACAAATCTACAAACACTCTGGTATCAGCACTGCTCACGGGAAGATAAGAGCAAACACACTGATCAACTTATTCTCAAAGGTGAACTGGATGATGGGTATGATCACCTCTTGCACTTGTGAAAGAATTTCAGGCAAGGAGTTGATGCACGAAACAACCTGTGCAGCTCGTGAGATGCATGGACATGAACTTTCTGACAGGAAAGTACGTACAATCCCAATAGTCTTAGCGATGCCCATAGCGCCGTATACTTTGTCATCTTTGCCGTCTGACACGAGCGAGTCTACATCGAGGTGGTCCAGAACCGCTTCGTTTTGCTGCGCCAGGCCTTCTCTTGCAAGGCGTAAGTAAGACTCACACTAAACACATGCCATCAGCATATCATAGAGACTAAGGGATAAGGCGCTCACCAGACGTGTGGTGAGTTGAGAGGCCACAGGAAGAAGCTCGTTTTGGAAGCGGTTGATCATAGCTTCCATGCTGTGATTGAGGATATTGAGGTTTGTCTCATCGGAGAGCTTAAGAAGATCTGCAAACACCGCCATCAGAAATAGCGACTTTGTCAGCGTGAATTGGAATGAAATGCACCTTGCACGACCTTGCCAACTTGCGGAGAAACAGCATTCCTGACTTTGGAATGAAACTTAGTTAGACACGGGACAAGGGGAGGCGATTTGCAATATACCAGCGTCGTGAACCACAACCAGCTCGGTGATAGCCAGTGCGGCTTGCACACGTACTGGGAGTTTTCAGTCTTCCAAAGCTACTGCAACAGCTGGAGAGTGGTTGTTCAAGTCAGGGGGATCAGAAGAGCTTGACAATGTGAAGACATGATGGTGTTAAGGGTTAAGGGGTAAATATGTCTTATTGACATGTTGTTTGTTGTGCGGCATTTGCCAGCTGACTTTGAAAAGTCACATGATCACCACAACACACCTTTCTACAACTGTTCAGTTTGCCTACCTTCACCCTGCCTAATGATGGCCCTGGTGTATTTCTAGATCGGTGAGCATCCTTTCTTTTTGGTTTGCTTAAACTCCCCTCCCTATGAAGCCCAGTATGGCATGACCCTGCCCCGAGGCTGAGTAGTGGAGCACCACTTCCCCTTCCACCACATCCACATATTTTGACCATTTTTTTTGCTCACTTTCTATCTATCTAGATTACATCCTGACCAGCAACTGCTGCTACCTGAGGTCACGAGGTGAGATTGTCCCTTCAAGTCATCCGCATCATTCACACTAACATTGTCTTCTCTCAGTGTCATTTCCGTCCACGACCTCCTACGCACTGTTGCTCTTGCCCGTCTCTCCAGAGCATTTTCTGCACACTCTTTGTGTGGCATCTGGATGCGATATCAACTGGACGGCTGTTCAGACTGTGTCTGGCTGTGGGATTCAGGCATGAGGCAGCCAATTGGTGAGCCCTTGTGGGGGCACACTGGTTCGGTCACATCAGTCTCGTTCTTGCCGGATGGGACTCGCATGTCAAGTAATATCTGCACTTAACATCCCCCTCAGCATTATGATGGCGCCATTGTTGGCATGTCATTTGGTACGCTGAATTGCCCATGGCTGCTGGTGTTGAGGCCCATGGAGTAGAACGTGTTCCAGAACACCAGTCCCAGCGTGTATCTATGTTATCTTTCATTCGTCATGTACATATCCATTCTTCTCCTACCTGCAGTGTTTATGATTACATCTACTCCACCTCACTTTCATCTGTATTATACCCAGCACCATTGAAGGCCGGTTTTGCGAAATTGCTTCTTTGGTCAATGATAGCCCATTCCCCACGACTTTCAACCCTTCCTACAACTCCTTTGACGTTTTGCAGGTCTGTGATGATGCTAGCAAGGTTTCTGGAATAACATGTTTCCTCCTTGGTAGCATCTCTACCTCCAGTCTGGCATGGCCGAATGAGGGCGAGCAGAAGAGTCTTGCCAGTGAGCCCTAGCCACTGAGTGTTATTTGATAACAAGCAAACCAGTATCTTCTCGAGACGACCATACTGCACCAGCTGAACCACTCGAAGAGCCCCATTTATGTGGTTTTCATATTCAAGTTCGTACTAAGTAACCTTGTCAATTTTAGATCCAATGTATGATATAGTAGACTCACTCGAACATAGGATGAGTTCCTTCGCTTTGTGGATGTCCTGGTAGCACTGTGTGTTGAAATACTATCTCTGCCGTTTTTGATGCGAACTTTTTTCCAGAGCGGCATCAGAGTTGGGAGATGTGCAAGGATTACTGTTTGCCTTCCACCAATGAGTTGCTTGATATATAATGCAACTTTAACCTGCTCATTGTGGTCAGGTTCATATGTCATCACTTGAGGGGGCTGAAGAACATAGTCGTTATTTGGTAGGACTGTTTTTGTTGTTATCTTGAGTTATTGGACGAAGACTTACAGTCTTCAAAGACAGTCTCGTATGTTGTGAGCTGGGACCAATCTTGTTGGATGCTTAGAGACACTTCCTCTTGGACGTCATACCAAAGGACCACTTGTTGAAGGTATGCTGTATATATAACTTCTTTGTTGAGGTTTCCCCAAGGCTGAACTCTTGACTTCAGCGCTATTTTGAATTTTGACAATAGCACTCCAGGAAAAATGTCCATGTGGTCCACATGGGTCCACATTGACGAATATCATCGGCAATATGAAGCATCCCGTGAACTGGAAGGGTGCAGGCTGGTAATCTTGACTCATCATACTGATAGTAGTACCTTGTGGTAATGTCGGTCATGTATTACCTGGTCTTGCAATAGATAACTTACTTTTCATACTTGGCCACCCAGTTGGCAATTTGCTGTTCCAATTCATCAATATCTGCGTGCCTGATGGTGAACTGTAGTGTTTTTTTCATGATCCACACCAACTCGCAAAGGTGCTTGTGGTATTTTGCATTTGGAAAGCGACCACGCAGGAGTGTTGGGGCAAGGTAAATAATCCAGAATGACCATGATTCGGCTGTGAAGTTTGAATGATCATCTGTGATATTACCAAGGACTCGGACAAATGCAGCAGGAATGTTTGCGATTGCAGCAGTAGTTTCTTCTCCGATTTCGGCCCATATATGATCAGCTATCTGATAGTCTTCTTTTCCAGTATCCATATCCTTGAATTTGCCAGTCCAGTGTTTGACAAGCATTGGGACGATATTCTCAGGGAAGATGTGCATCCATTCCCATGGAAATGACTTGGCAAAGTCAATTGACCCTACACGCTGCCTGTCAGAGAGGTGAAGATGGCCTGTGCAGAGACCATTTTTCTTGCCAATCCTCTCCTTCTCCACAGCAGTCTCTGCTTCATCTATCTCCTGCAGCACCTCTTCAAAATGTGCATGACTGCGAAGGGGGAGATGAAGGGGGTCCCAATGTGCGTTCGGAGCATTAGGTTGAGTGGGGGGAGTTAATGGGACGTAGTAATTAGTCTTATTTGCAGACTTATTTCAAACACCTGTGATCAGACACGACCGACATGGTGCGAAGCCGTTATGGCCACAAATCTCCAGTAGTTTTTCTATTGCAAGGATATCACCCAGTTTGAAAATATCGTAGGCATGGAGCCAGAACATCTGCTTCCCAAGGCTATCAAAGGTGAGTGCGCCATTGGCAAGCTTGGCACACTCATTCTCAAACGGGACAAGAAAAGATGCAATATCTTTCGGCGATTTTGGTCCTGGAATGACTCCAAGGCAAATAAGATGTTCGTAGTGAGTGCGTATAGTGGGGGGAAAGTTGTAGATCTGGATAAGGATCGGCATTGCAGATGGGCCCTTGCAATATCGTCCAAACAGTAGATATCCGTCAGTCGCCAAAGAAAATGCAATATCGTTTTGTCCAGAGAAGTACTTATAGTCTTTCTGAACACCATTGACCAGCACAAACTTGTCCTGGAGAGACCGGTAGATCTCACCATCAAAGACATTGTTGACAGTACTGGGGCTGTGGTCATATTGATGGTGGTATAAGAGTTTTTCGACTGTATCTTCCTGGGCAAACAGACCCTGCAATTGAGGGACCAGGGGAATGTAGGAAAATTGTCGTCTTGGCTCCCCTTGAGCATCAAAATGTCTTTCTCCGCAGAAGTCACACAGATCACTGTGACTGTACCTTGCAGTATATGCAATGCAGGAGTTGATGCAGCAATCTGTTTTCATGGGCGTGATGGTAGTGAGTCCTTCGAAACGCTTGAGCATCTTATACTCAGAGTCAATGTCCATTTTGTGACTGAACTTCTCGCACAGTTTGTTGAACATTGCACGTGGCATATGACTCTTGATGCGGAGACTGTGAGCACGGAGATTATCTCTATCCTGCTCTGTCAACAAGGTATTGCCTATATTATTTTGATTATTTAAATACTTGCCAGGAGTGAGTGAACTTATGAAGCGAGTGATGCAGTGCCTCAACCTCAGCATCTACCTGGCCACCTATCACATCTAACTCGTCTACATCATTATTTTCTTCTTCTTCATCATATAGAATAATTTTGTCTGCGTGATTGCTTGCAGTGTCTTCATCAGACTCACTCTGCTCCGAATGATTTGGACTTGGGCCTTCATCAGGATCACTAATGCCTGCATCACCAGATACTCCAATCTCATGCTCTAGATCCATTGCGTGCGGATCTACTGATGATTCTGTTGGTGAAACAGAAGGTGATATATTGGCCAGCTTTGCCTTTTTGTAATGACGGAGTCACTGGCGATAGCTGAGAAGGCGTCCACATTTTTTGCATTCAGGAGAGCAATGGCAATATTTCGACTTCTTTTTGGGCATGGTGAAAACTAGAACCAAAATATTATGTAGGTTTCAAGCAGTAATTGAGGAGGAGTGACACAAGTAACACAGACTCACCTCTCATATATATACCGCAATGAGTGAGCAGTATCATCTCATATCAATCTACCCAAATCTAGGCCGGGCCAGATGGAATCGTCTATTGAGAAGAAGGAAAAGGAGTTCGGCACGCACTTGCAATCAGTGGTAAGATATTTTCACATCTAGGAATGGTGCATTTTAAACAAAACAATCTATTGAATCAGGATGTTCATATGACACATGCCAATCGAGTTACTTATGAAGTAAACCATACGAGTCACATGAGGGTTCTATTTCACATAAGTAAGTAAGTAAGAAAGAGAATGACCAAGTAGTAAGCATTGAGCTAAGAATTGATAATATCAACCTGATTCAAGGCAGTATCATTCTGGGAACATCTAGCGAGGGATTGGGGAATATACACACCTCAGTGAACTTCGTGTGTTGGGCGCTGATCATCTTTGTTTCCTGAGTTTCATTTGCATTGCTCGAACAGTGCGCATGTAATGACACCCAAGCAATTCCTAAAAAGCGATATAATCAGAGGGCATGTGCATAGCATTGCAGACTAACCAAATGGGCAGTACTGGCAGTGGATGAGCGTGCGAGCCACCCGATCAAGCGAAAAGATTGCCACAATGGGTGAAGAGGGCTGAGTTATAAAGATATATTTGAAGGAAATTAACATACACTATGACTAGTAGACCAGAACATGTGGTATAGAGAAATGCAGTGCATTGGACACTGATCATTAAGTGTCCTGTGGGCTTCATAGTGATGTACCACTGTGAATGCCTTCAATGTAGGTTCAAAGGGCATTCAGTGAGAGGACACATCAGTTATACTAGGCGTGATATTGTTCAGTTGATCGATGGCTTCGCTGTACTGCCCGTCATCAAAAGCAATTATGGCAAGCTGCAGGCGTAGATATGACTGGAGAGTGTGTTCGAAAGTAAGAAAATCCATCAGGTATGGCGTAAAGCTCACATTGATAACACTGCACAGAAGTGTATCCAAGTGATGACAAGTGGTGGCGAGGTCTTGAACTCGCTGCATCGCCTCATCATGGCGACCGGCATTGAAAAGTACAACAGCCTGGACAAGATGACATTGAAGTATTAATATGACAGACTGACTATGAAAGCAGTTAGGAGAGTACCTCGATCAATAATAAAAGATGGATGGTCATTGGATCACGATCAGAAAATATGAAAGCAAGATTGAAAGCTTCTGTCGCATCCCAGAGCTGCTCGTTGGTGCAGGGTGTGATGGCCTTGGAAATGTGGCCCAATAACAAGGGCTGGATGGCAATGGACTATGTCACCAAACAGAGTCAACGTCAACAGCATGATGGTAGGTCTATATCCTACGATATTCAGATGCTGGGAGAGTCAGTGATACGGAGAGGTGGTTGACAGGTGTGAGACGCCAGAAGAGAGAGCTTCGGCTGCATGCATGTTGCAATTTGGCCTGAGTCAAGTGTGTTAGTGCGATGAGTAAATATAACTAAAAAAAATTCAGTGATGGGTGAGGGAATGACAGCATGATACTCCACCATTCGGCTTGGGGCAAAACAGGCCATACCAGCCTCATGGTAAGGAGGGGAGGCAAAGGAGCAAATACTAGATTGAGACTTACTGATTCAACAGAATAGAATAAAAACATGAAAAATTCAAGTCTGTAATGATGCAATGGAACATGCAGTATAGAGAAATGCAGTGCATTGGACATTAAGAAATTATTCAGTACTTGCAGCACTGGCCAAGGGAATGCTGAAAAATATTCAGTACTTGTGGCACTGGCCAAGTGAACACTGAAAAATCAATTCGATTAGTCAGTGTCACAAGTACTGATGGATGTGACTCTCACATGAACACTGAAAATAACAGGTTTTTTTTTCAGTGACGTAGTCACTGGAATTTGTCATTCAGGGTTTCTCACGTTTACTTTCAGGGTATTTACTTCCCACAGTGCACAGGTTAAGTCTCCTCGTATTTTCTGCTCAGTCCATGAGTAGACAAATACCCTCTATAGCTCCCCGCCTGTTGGCAAAATAGAGGCAGCTGTATGGGATCTGTCATCACTGGACAAACTCCCACTGGGTGTAGAGCCCGGCACTGTGGACATCATTGTTCTCATGTTCATGCTTAGTGCACTGCATCCAGATGAATGGGGTAAGGCTATCACTAACATTCACAAGGTACGATGACTGTGTTCACTGCACCAAGATTGCTGCTTCAGTGCCTGCTATTAGATACTCAAGCCTGGCGGGCTCATATTGTTCCGCGACTATGGTAGACATGATCTCACTCAACTGCGGTTCAAATCCGGTCATCTGCTCAAAGACAATTTTTACATCCAGGGTGGTAAGACACGAGTTTATTTTTTGAGCTGGGTATGTTGCCAATAACACTCATGGATGGTGCGAGAAGAAGTGGGTGCATAAGCAAACTGTTTGCTGTCTCATCATTACACCCAACTTCACCCCAAAGTCGTAAGTTCGTCTCTTGCATGTTCGGGGGTTCACATCTGTCAACAAGAAGGCAAATGTTGATGAAGTCTCGAATATCCTTCATGGCAAACATTTCGTTACTGGCAACTTGTTTCTCACCCTCATCTGTACTCAAGGCAGGGTCCTTTCGCTTGCACTCTCTTGTGCAACATCAATATCAGAAAATGGTTTGTCTTGTTGAAGAATCAATACCACAACATTAGTGTTTCCACAGAGTAATGTGAAAGTAGTTGGAGAGATGATGGTCCTCCTTCCTTCAATCAATTCCACTCCCAAATCATCTGCCTTATGGGTCTGGAATGGCAGGTACCTCGAAACTGCTTTGCCTGTTCCAGGAATGAATGCTGTCACCCAAAGGGCTGTCACATTAAGCATTCCAGGCCACCTTCTTGAACTTGCCAACCCCTGTGTCATCAATGTGCTTGAACATCTCACACTGGACCAAGCATCTGAAGTCAACTTGAGGGATCAAGTTGGGTGCTGAGTAATGATGGGCTGGAAGCTGCATCAGCAAACTACAATTTTTCTCCCAGCAGTCCACAGTATGAACACCTAAAGTCACAGCTCACCCCAGCACCAGTGTTATGACCCACATTCACCAATAATGATGAAGGAGAGTTCACGACCACTAGGACTCGGTCAAAGATGATGAGAAACAGGATAGATTGAGCGTAAATGTCTAGGTCACTACAATAGTAGGAAACGAAGAGGTTAAGTCTAAGGAGCTCTTACGCTAACTACCCTACTTTTATACATAACATTGAGTAGGAGTCTGAAAGAAATCAGCCAATGAGAAAAGAGTCGTACGATACTGCGGATGAGTAAGTATGACATCATGATATATAAGCGACTGAGTAAGACGGTTACTAAATAGAAACCCAAGATCCGACCAGTTCTTCTTTAGGAAGCGAGATTGTTCTAGCCCGTGGAATAGGGGAGCCAATCGGAGAAGCAACGGGTGACATATGATGAGGAGTCACATGACCAGCTCGGGTACTTGAAGTAGCCGAAGGAAAACCGAGAAATGAAAAATGGTTTGTATTAGGAATTTGTGACATTACCCCCTTTCTAGGATGAGCGTCCTCGCGAATGTAAGATGGTTGTATATTTTTCTGTCTCCATTCAAGGAAGTCAGGGGTCGTCAGAATTGAAGCGGAGATTCGCGCCGATTTAACCGCATTTGGGTTTTCTGCATAAAAGTCGGCTACAATGAGCGGCGCGTTCTTCACATCTTCCTCTGACTGCCATGTTGCTTCTTCTACTGCATATCCTTTCCATTTTACTAAATACTGCAACTTGCGCCTGTATAGGCGGCTTTGCAATATTTGCTCTGCTTCATATTCTGGGACTTGGTCAACAATCTCTGGCGGCGGACGCGTTAGAGGTGGGTGATCAACGAGTTGAGAGGTTTGATGTGGGGTGAGTAACGATACATGGAAAAATGGGTGGATGCGATATTTAACCGGGAGCTTCAACTTGTAGTTTAGCTCGCCAGTCTTCTCTTCGATTTCGAATGGTCCAAGACGGCGGTCAGACAATTTTTGGCTCGGACAGCGTTGTTTGATGTTTGTCGTGTCTAACCATACCTTGTCGCCTGGTTTGAATTCTGGTGCGTTTTTTACCTTATGATCATAAAAGCGCTTCATTCGATCATTTGCTATTTCCAGCATTGCTTTTGTCTCTTCTTGTGCCTCCTTCATCTCAGCTACTCTCTGGTCGGCATGGGGAATTGTGTGGGAAGAATTAGGGGAAATCGTAAACTCGGGATTATAGCCATAGACACATTTGAATGGGGAGTGTCCAGTGACGGTTACTGAGTTGTTATGTGTGAATTCAGCGATTGGAAGCCAAGAAACCCAATCATTCTGACGGTAGGATGTGAAGAGTCGTAGGTACTGTTCGACTTCTTGATTGACTCATTCTGTTTGTCCGTCAGTCTGTGGGTGATATGCTGTTGACATGGACCACTTGGTTCCTAGTCGTTTCGAGACTTCCTGCATGAACTTGGACACAAACTGTGTCCCCCTATCCGAGATCACCTTCTTTGGTGTACCATGTAACTTCCATACGTGATTGAGAAATAAGTCCGCAACTCCCTTAGAATCAACATCCTTGGTGGTCGGAGCAAGATGCGCTTGCTTCGTGAAATGATCAACGACTACCAAGATACTGTCTTTTCCCTGAGAGATGGGTAGATCGGTGATGAGGTCACAGCTAATGGTCTGCCATGGCCCTTCTGGAACCTTGTTCGGCTTCAAAGGTCCGTGGGGTTTTGATGGTAGCACCTTCGTTTGCTTGCATTGATCACATCCATCTATGTAGTCATTGACCCACTTCTGCATCTGAGGCCACCAATAGTTCCGCAAGACAAGTTCAAGAGTCTTGGCACATCCCATATGTCCTGCTGCAGGCGAGTCATGGAAGATCTCTAGCACTGAGCGATGTATTTCCTTGTTTTTGGGCACGTAAACCAATCCTCGGAACAAAATGAGTCCATCCTCCGTATTCCACTCTTCCAATCCTCTTCTCAACTGCACAGGGGCCTTCTTCAGAGTTTCGATAGCATTTTGGACTTCCGGATCTAAATCGGTGCAGTTTCTGATATGCTTCAACAGCAAATGCTCTCCTTCTATCAGAATCTGACCTCTTTTTGCGGCTTTGATATGAAAAAACTCGGGTTTCAGAAGCACGCGATCGGAATTGTCGTTTTCTACCCCCCCTCTGTGGTCTGGCCTCCTGGACAGAGCGTCGGCAGTGTCATTAACCTTTCCCGGTTTGTGTTGCAGAGTGAAGTTGTACTCTGCAAGGAACAAGGACCATCTTGCCTGTCTACGAGTTAACTTCTGGCTTGTCATGAAGTACTCGAGGTTTTAATCGTCCGTCCAGATCTCTACCGGATGAGGTGTGCCCTGCACATAATGCCTCCACTCCTCCAATGCACGGATGATGGCTAAAAGTTCTTTGTCGTGAATGTCATAATTACGCTCTGCATCTTGCATTGATTTGCTAAAAAAGGCCACTGGGTGCCATAGTCCGTCTTCTTCCAACTGAGAAAGTACACCACCAGTAGCGTAGTCAGATGCGTCGCTCTCTATCTTTTGTTTTTTATTCGCATCTGGCATGACTAGCACTGGTGCGGAAGTGAAACTGTCCTTCAGAGTTTTGAAAGCCTTCTCTTGTTTGTCCGTCCATTCCCATGGCACATCCTTTCTGATAAGCTCATTCATGGGTCTGGCAATGTTCGAGAAACCGAGAATGAATCGACGATAAAAGTTCACAAATCCCATGAATCGCTGAATGTCTTTGACACAGGTAGGGGTGGGCCATTCCTGAACTCCCTTAACCTTGACCGGATCCATAGAGACGTGTCCATCCTTGACGATCAAACCGAGAAACTCCACTTCCTTCTTCTCAAAAGAACACTTTTCCGGTTTGAGATAGAGATCATTGTCCTGCAACCTTTGTAATACTTCGCGCACCACCTTCCGATGTTTCTCAACATCACCGTTGGTGAAGACCAAGATGTCATTGATGTAGACTACAACGACCTTGCCTTCCTTTAGATCTTGGAAGATTTAGTCCATCATGGTTTGGAAGGTAGCTGGGGAGTTCATCATGCCGAAGTACATTACGACTGGTTCATGGTGTCTGAAGGGAGTTTTGAAGGCGGCCTTCCACTGGTCTCCTTCTCTCATTCTGATATTATTATAGCCCCATCGAACATCCATTTTTGAAAAAAGCTTCGCACCGGAGAGGCGATCAATAAGGTCCTGAGAGCGAGGGAGAGGGTATGCATTTCGGATGGTTTTTTCATTCAACCTCCGATAGTCCATGACGGGTCTGAGCTTTCCATCCTTCTTAGCAACAAAGAAGAAAGGAGCTGCTACTGGGGATTCGCTATCCCTCAGTCGTCCCAAATCATATTCCTGCTTCAACCACTTCTCACATGCGTCATTTTCGGCAGGGGACAGGGGATATGCTTTCGCATTGGGGGGAAGGTCAGTAGGATCTTTGAGATCTACTTTATGATCCCACTTCTTAGACTCGGGGAATCAAGTAGACTCTTCCTCGGAGAAGACCTTAAGATAATCATGAAGCCAGTCTGGCACCATTTCCTCTACGGGCTTCTTTTCCTTCTTCTTTTCCTCCTGCTGTGCTAACTCTGATGCTACAGAGCTCTTGTACCTGATCCACACGTTCCGTGATGAATCTTCATCCTCGACTTCCTCAATCTGCACCTTCTGACCAACAGTAGTAGTAAGGTCCGATTGTTCTTCACCCTCAAGCCTGGCAGGTATAGTACCCACATGTCCTTGCATTTTAGAGCTGAGGCTGTTTGACTGAAACCGATGATGGATAGAGGCTTCCTCGATATCCTCATCTTCATCATCTTCTGCCGGTATCAAATCGGGCAACACCGGAAGGATCAAACAGTTCATGGCTGTTCGCTTCTTCACCTTGGTCTTCTTGTCCTTGACCTTGGCTTCCTGACATTTAACCGGGCAACGGTCTAATGCCACCTTCCCTGCATTCCAATCGATACTGGGATTGTGGAATTGTAACCAATCTATTCCAATGATAACATCATCGGATCCTAGGTCTGTGACCAGAAAGGCTACTTCTTCCTCATGATCCCCTATGGTAAGCTTCAAGTCTGTGTAATGCGTAATTGGTCCAGCAGAATTGTCTGTTTCGTCAATGTTACGGATCGACATTGGTCGCAACAACTGCTTAATCTGAACTTGATTTTTTTCTACGAATTTTTTGCTGAGGAAAAGGTTCGTTGCTCCACAATCCACTAGAGCATTGACAGCTGCTTTCTTGTTTTTTTCCTTCCAACGTAACTGGCAAGTAGAAATGGTCTCGTTTATTCCCAGAACAAACTTCTGATACTTCTGCAAACATAATTGCCGAGTCACCGAGAATGGAAAAACGATTTCTTTGATCTAAGTCCGCTGTAGGACGCGGATCAGCACCGACATGGTACTCCCTTGATGTATCGATCCACTGCAATATTCACCCGACCCCGCGTGCTCTATCCGACTCCTTGCTGATCGAACTCCCGCCCATGCGCGTTCAAGCCGCTCACACAAGCAGATCGGCCAACAACGAATCAACACGCATCGTCGGTCGGTCGCGCGTGTGTTTTGCCTTTCTAGCTCACAGATACTCAGTCGAACCCCATATCCATAAAATCCTTGTCCATTGGTGCATAGTATATTCTTCTTTGGTTTATTTGACAGATACAGTACTTTTACCTCTCAAACTCCCTATTATGTCGCCTTAAGCGGCTCGGACCGATTTACTCTCACATATTCCCGTACATATCACGGACGATCGACCGCATGTCCCACGTACATTTCTAGCAAACCACGAGGTAGCCCAGACATCCCAAGCGATGATTATCTCCATTATTTACCTAGTAGCCGATTTTGTACTTAAGGAGCGCTCGCCCGTTATTGCAATTCAGTTAATTCTCACTCAGAAGCCGTGTCTTTTGTGTTCCGTTCTCTTCTGATCCTATTCTCATGTCCGTCCGCACGTTCGTCTTAAAAAAACTTCCATTCCTCATCATCTATCTAAGTTGGCCGCACTCGCTCACGCACCGCATAGCGATCAGTAGAAATTATAGTCGGTCGGCTTTACAGGTAACTGTTTACACTGAACACATATTGGATCGGCCACCCTTCGACTCGTTGTTGTGCCCCTCGTATTATATACTGAGGCAGCAATTCGGTTTGCTTTGTTCTGCTTCCCTCGGGTCGAACTGAACATTTTAGGCTCACTACTCGAATCGGCCGTTATCGCGCTGAGGTCGTAGTGGAATCTGCTCCTTACACCGCAGTCGACTTCGATCTCCCTAAAAACCCTTCTGCTCCTCTTTCTTTGCTGGGTTGTACATACTGGAGAGGCAGATCCTCTCGTTGACGATGCGGTTAATATCTTCCAGGGTGAGTGCTTTCACCGCTGGAACTTCTTCGGTCTTGCCGGCGCGGACAGCTGGTCCTTTGCCCTTTGTGTCAAGAGGCTTCCCCATACAGTTACGGGCCATATGCCCTTCTTCTCCGCAGCGATAGCATATGAATTTTTCTCCCTGTTGTCCTTGAGGCCGGGGTCTGCCTCCTGCTCTGTTTGCATCTGCCGATCATTGGGTGGAGCCCCACTCTGATGACTTCATCATTCCGACGGCAGCTCCTGTGGCCGGAGATGTTTCCCTCCCTTCAGCATCTCTCCCACCGACCATCAGCACCATCCACGAATGTGTGGTTTCCCTGGCTGCTAAGGTCGCTGCCATGGAAGTCGCCGACCAGAATACCCTTGCCAGGGTCGATGCGGTGCAGCAGGACTGCGAAACCCGGATTTCCTCGATGCGTGCGGAGCTTTCCTCCATGCAGTTCGATCTCGGCACCACTGTCAGCCTCGTCAATGGCCTGACCAGCCTGGTGGAGAAGCTTCAGGAGGCACAGACCATTGCCAACCCATCCTTCCCACCACTGATGATGAGCAACTTCGGTGCTACCTCGGCCACCCCACAGATGCAAGCAATGGGCATCAGGTACTTGAACGGTGTGTACGGCCCTTCGGTTGCTACCTCGGCATCTGCTGCAGGCCCTTCAGCGTCTCACCCTTTCAGTCGCCTTGACATGCACGGCGACACATTCACATCTGGCCAAGCATCCTCGGTGTCAGCACATGCCAGTCCTTCATCCACTCCTGCTGTAGTTGGACCCCGTTCTGCTGGAACATCACCTGCTTCGGCCGCAAAGTCTCTCCCCTGATCATTCGGCTCAATACATAGTTGTACATAGAGCATGCGTCCGTCGGCAGAATTACCCCGGTATATCACGGACTTGTATCATTTACTTTCAAATGCAATTGTTTGGCCGTTGATTCCATGTATATTCACTCTCTTTCCTGTGATATAAGTACTGACAGCAAGTTGGCAGAGTGTATCTCGGTCATGTGTTGCAGTTGGCACGGTATCCTTCAGTTTCTTGTCTTTTCAGAATTGACCGATTTATACTCCATATGACCGATCACCCGATCTCGGTCACCGCATCACGCATGCCAATGAGATTCCACGCAACTGAAACTTCACCAACTCGTACAATTCACCGATATCTTCTTGCCATCGTCTTCAGCTCAGCAGTCCTCCCCTCATCGCACCGCCGCTTCCACGAACGGAGCCAACAGCAACCATTCTGGCACTCCTACGCCAGATGGCAACTTGGTCAGGCTGATCGCCCCACCCAATGGCATCGCTGCCACGACTCTCAATGGCACAGCACATCAACTGACAGACGTGCAGATGTCACCTCCTGTGGAACCTCCCCAGTCCAATCAGACTGGCTCACCAGTGTCTCAAGGCTGAGTCTCAGCACATTCCGGTATCTGTCCCACTCAGTAGTTACCACATCCCTATGAACGGCTATGCCACCCTGCCTAATGGCACCGTCATGCAGGTGCCGTGACCGCCGAATGGCTTCATGCAGCAATGTCTTCTGACCAAGTCATATTTGACCGAGTTGTATTTACCCGAGTGTCTTTTGACCGAGTTGTATTTACCCGAGTGTCTCTTGACCAAGTGTCTTTTGACCAAGTCATATTTGACTGAGTCGTATTTACCCAAATGTCTCTTGACCGAGTGTCTTTTGACTGAGTCATATTTGACCGAGTCGTATTTACCTGAGTGTCTTTTGACCATGTCATATTTAACCGAGGTGCTCTTAGCGTATTTACCCGTGTCTTTTGACCCAGTCATATTTGACCGAGTCATATTTACCCAAGTGTCTTTTGACCGAGTCATATTTGACCGAGTCGTATTTACCCGAGTGTCTTTTGACCGAGTCATATTTGACCGAGTCATATTTACCCGAGTGTCTCTTGACCAAGTGTCTTTTGACCAAGTGTCTTTTGACCAAGTCCTATTTGACCAAGTCGTATTTACCCAAGTGTCTTTTGACCGAGTCATATTTAACCGAGGTGCTCTTAGCATGTATCTTATGCATCAGATCCTGGTAGATCCCTCATCCATCATATTTGACCGAATGTCTGTTGACCGAGTTGTATTTGACTGAGTGTATTTGACCGGGGTGGTCTTGGCATTTATATTATGGATCGATTCCTGGTAATCCCTCATCCATCACATTTGACCGAATGTCCTTTGACCGAGGTGGTCTTGGCATGTATATTATGGAAGCTAGTCTATGAACACTTTCGGCCCATCTGTATATATCAGTACCACTGCCCACTCGGCCCACTTGTTTCCATCATACATATATATATAGCTCTTGTATATTGCCTATCAAATGCAATAGCAAACTCCACACTTTGGACTATCAGCCCACCTGTTGGTATCAGGTACATACTTCATACACTACCTACCAAAATCAATAGAAAAGTCTACACTTATCTACACTACATACTATGGGCCCACTGTTTGTATCAGATACACACTTGAGACCGGCCCACCTGTCGGTATCAGGTACATACTTCATACACTACCTACCAAAGTCAATAGAAAAGTCTACACTTATCTACTACACCACATACTATGGGCCCCCTGTTTGTATCAGATACACACTTGAGACTGGCCCACCTGTATTTAACACAAAGATACATTGATGGGCCCATGTCGGGTGGCCTGTGTAGAACAGGGATATTTCAACCTCGGCTGTATGTTTTATATGAGGGTAAAGTGACTGCAGTATGTGATTATATGTATATAACCTATAATACTACTTACTTACTAGCTGTACCTAACTGTGGTGTGATGGTGAGCTAGGGATGGACTGGGGAGGGTGTGGGAAAGGTTCATATTGTGGAGATACCCACAATGGGCTATTTTTTGGGTGTTGTGGGGAAGTTCCCATGGCAGATGTGACTAAAAATGCGAACATGTGACACTGTAAATGACTGTCCTAGGGCACAAAATGAGGATCCACACTGATTAGTATCAGCCAGTGCTGGTATCTGCTGGGAGGATCTGTACTGATATGTCACTCCCAGAGACTGACTGACTAGAGTATTTATGTATCACCATTCCAATGATAGGGTCAGTGTTAATACATCAGAATGACACCAGCAGGTGTTAGTGCTGCAATGTGCTTCAAGCCTTGTAAAAAATGCAATGGCTCTGGAGGTCAAATCAAACCGTGGCAACACTACGGGTTAAGGGGCTTCAAGGTGTTCTTCCTTCCGAAATTTCATTGCGAACTAAGTTTTATTGAACAATGCTGGGGGCATGCATTATCCGTCCATCCGATAGGACAGGAAACGAGTCTAATCCGCAAGGCAAAATGGATAGACATGCGAGAAGGGATATAGACGCGTGCATGTCATAAACGGCCTCGAGTCTCTTTAGATCTACGATAAATGTGAGTTAGGGGCCCGGGTGAAGTCGCGAAAATGAATCAAGGATAGTGACGCTGGGCCAGCACCACCACTTGCTGCAAGATTATAGTCCAATACCTATGTGATTGTTTTGAAATGTGGACTTTTAGATGGATTGGGACTGATTGCAGGATGTGCAGCAGTCGAACTGGGCGTCTTATGGCCATCAAAAGAAATTGGGTGTAATTTAGCTCGAACGTGTTGGATGAATTCCAAGGCGGTGTCAGCTGAGGGCCGTTCACTTGGTGATAATGACCAGCGCCGACGGATAAAGAGGGGGGACGGACAACGCGGAGTATTTCGTCGTTGGTTATGGCATTTCGACTATCGCAAACCAGACTGTCTGACATTGCTTGTATTACTTACATAGGTGCGTTCAAAAGTGTAACAAACGCTACGGCTTCTTCAACCGATGGACGATTGATACGAGGCGACCAGCATCGCTTTATGAACTCCCAGTGCGCTGGCTCTATCCGTGACTCCTTGGGAGGCTCTGGTTTCTTACCTCTGATGACTTGTCCCAACACTACATTGTCCTTCTTCACATTGTAGTAGGGTACCTTGCCAGTCAGTACCTAATAATAAAGCATGTACAAAGTGAATAAGATCTTTGGGTCGAAATTTCAAGCTACTAACCTGTAATGTGATACTGCCAAATGAGTAAATGTCGCACTCCGTGCTGAGCGACACTGGGGACGCCTCGTCTTCTTCTTCATCGTCTTCTGGTACTTCAAACAGCTCTGCAGCTGCCCATCGGATGTTCCCCTTGATGGAACTCGTGAAATACGAGGTGCCAATGAACTCCAAAATAATAGTCGAAAGGCCAAAATCAGCAAGGCATGCTCGTCCGTTGCCATAAATCAAAACATTTGACTGAAAAATCAATGGGACGTGAGTGAGGAGGGATATACCTTCTGTGTGTGGCCGTACGCACCCCTGTCAGGTCGCCATGAACAATTGATTTGCTGTGCACTGAACCGGTATCAGAGTGTTCAAACTCCAATGGTGAAAGACGACTAACGGTATTGCAATCCGAGGACGATGTCGTTCAGCTAGCGTGCGTCATCAGGCCAGCAAGCGGCTGGGAAATACTGGCGAAATGGCTTACAAGGGAGAACCGATCTTGACACGACATGTCCTGTTGGCGCTCAAGAAAGCCGGTGAGCATTCCATTATCAGCCCATGGGCAAATCATTGCGGGATAGGGCCCAAAGTCGTTTGCCACTCCCCAAAGTGGAAGAATGCAATCATGTTTAAGACGGCTCCAAACTTTCAGCTCACGACGCACTCTCTAAGCCGAGTCATCACTCGATAAACTGACGTGCCATGGAAGAGAATATTACCTTCGTGTTTTTCCGTACTAAGGCCTTGTTATCGGACTCGAAAGCGCGAATGGTCTTCACTGCTACCTACGTCTTGGTCAGGATGATACGACAGGAAGTGTCACAAGAACAGCATACCTGGACGGTCTCAGTGTGCTTCACTAAAAGACACTTCCAGATGTCCCCAAAACCTCCGGAAGTAACCGGATAGGGCGATCTTTCTCGGAGTTCGTTGGTAAGATCATTCAGCGGATCTGACGGAGAAACTGGCGATTCTTGGCTGGTGGGTTTCTCTATTGTCGTTGTGTTTGAAGAAGCGGAAGTCTAGGTAGCCAGGTGAGTACGGTGTGTATTTCAATCAAGCACACCAGAGACTGAACCTGGGGTTGCGGTGAAGCACCTGGAGGCAACGGAAGTGGTCTCAATCTCCATGGGGTAGGAGAGGTCGCAGAATCGGGCAGTGGGCGTATCTTACGTGAATGGGGCCGCTGAGGTGCAGGCACTGCACATCAGAGTCAGATAATATACTCTATCACAATGCGAGTGAATATAGAACGAACTAGGAGGGCGAGGAAGGGCGCTGCGGATTGAGGAGGATGGAGATATTGTCGCACCAACGTCGTGGAATGAACCATTAGGGTAGGGCTCGTGTGCATGGGCAGAGACTGCACTTGTTGGCGAGCGCTCGGTAGGGGAAGCTGTTTCACCGTCAAAGATCCGCCAAACTTCATCATAGAGATGTTGGAGATCCTCTTCACCGGGCGGGGGAGGGCGAATATGAGTAGACATGATTCCGGTCAGTTATCGAATTGGGAACTGGCCAACTTGATCAGGACCTAGTACGACTGCGCAGCCTGGTGCCGTCCAACTTTGCCTGGAGACCAACCAGATTCAATTTTGATGGAAAGCGAAGCCAGAAATAAAGGCGGAACACGATTTTCTGTTTAATCAGAAAACTTCGATGCCAGCGTTGAACAAGTAGAGGGACGAGACTAGCTGTTGCTGCTAGAGGCGCTCACGAGAGCCAAGCCAATACAATTCAGCATCGGATTTCGGCTGCATCCGGTCCTAATCTCATCCGCTGCAGTGACTAGTCCACGTTATAACACTGACTTTTTTTGATCACATCTAGGTATAACCCACGCCAGAACGCGCTGCCGTGTCGCGACCAAAAAAACATTCCATTCGCCATCATAATCCTGTGTACTCCACATGACAAATTCTACACCGGAAGCCAAACCTGCACGCATACCAAAGTTAAGCTCGTCGGTGCACGACATCAACGCTGATAAACCACCCTTTGGATCAAGGTAACCACGAGAAAGATCGATCCAGAATATCCTTGATCATCAAACATGATACAGGTTTCTTACTCAAGACTCTGATGTCTGGGCCCAAAATGCTTGGGACCATGTTCCACCCCCTGAGGATCAAACTGAAACGATCACTGCATCACTAGCTAGGCAACGTCTTGTTCCAGTACCAGACAATGATAAGAAGACTTATAATGAAAAGCCCGCAAAGTTCTGGTTCGTCTTTCGTCTGTTATCGCTCCATTCACTCTGACGCTTTCCATTGATAGGGATAATTTTTACAAGACGAACGCCGATAACTTCTTCAGAAATAGAAAATGGTCGGTGTCACTCCTTCTGTTTCCTGTAATACCCTCACCTTTGTAGCTGAAGGCTGCATCTTGAGTTTCCAGAACTCCTAGCAGCAGCAGAACCAGATGTAAGACTTTGCATCTTAACAACGATTTCTCTTATGTAGTCAGGCAGGGAACATAACCATTTGCGAAATAGGATGCGGTGAGTCTTGGGATCACGTTTCATGAAAATTAACTGAGCCCGGTCTAGGCGCCGGAAACGCAGCATTTCCACTTCTAATGGCAAACAAAAATCCAAATCTTATCATCCGTGCCTACGATTACTCAACTCATGCAGTCAAATTAGTACAGGTATGCACAGGTTAAGTCTCCTCGTATTTTCTGCTCAGTCCATGAGTAGACAAATACCCTCTATAGCTCCCCGCCTGTTGGCAAAATAGAGGCAGCTGTATGGGATCTGTCATCACTGGACAAACTCCCACCGGGTGTAGAGCCCGGCACTGTGGACATCATTGTTCTCGTGTTCGTGCTTAGTGCACTGCATCCAGATGAATGGGGTAAGGCTATCGCTAACATTCACAAGGTACGATGACTGTGTTTACTGCACCGAGATTGCTGCTTCAGCGCCTGCTATTAGATGCTCAAGCCTGGCGGGCTCGTATTGTTCCGCGACTATGGTAGACATGATCTCACTCAACTGCGGTTCAAATCCGGTCGTCTGCTCGAAGACAATTTTTACATCCGGGGTGACAAGACACGAGTTTATTTTTTCGAGCTGGGTACGTTGCCAATGACCCTCATGGACACATTTCTGAATTTCGTTACTGCGTACAGACGAGCTGGCACTGATCTTCACCGGATCCCGTGCCTCGCCCACTCAGAAAACGTCAACGATGACAGAAGTCGTGGACGAAGATGAGGATAGCGAGCCACCATCACTACCCGCACCATCGCAAATCGCCAGTCCTGCATCACACATGTCGACGGAAATTCCCGACTCAGGATCTGACGTTCTCCCCGACTTACCCTCGTCAGGTCCATCCTTACAGCCATCCTCTGACGTCCACCGCAATCTCCTTCATCCTCTGGCCCATTGTCCCCCACACCCTCTGTTTAAAATTGAACAACTCGGCGTCGATCGACGGCTTCTGGTCAACCGGAAGCGCCAGTTGAAGATGTATCGCATCTGGATGCAAGGGAAGTTCCGTAAGCCGAGTGATGCAGACGTGGTATAAATAAAGTGATGGAGCCTGTTGACTGCGTACGTACTGACTTATACACGATAAGCCCGCTCCTCTTGAGGGTCGGGTCATCATTCAAGTATGAATCTGGGGACCAAGCATTGGCAACATATTTTCTTAGAGCAACGAGCCTCTAATCCAAGAGGTCCTATAGGATCTCTATCTATAACGATCACGCGGGCCCCATTCTATTTCAGCGTTCGTGATGGAGATAGTGCTGGTGTCGTGCAATGTATGGGTGCTTATAAGCCAGGCAGATACCATCCGGTACACCTAGGCGACACATTTCCTAAGGGCGATAACCCAAGGTACCGCGTTATGTTGATCTGGGATGCAGCGGACCGTCCTACAGCGGTTGATTTGCTTAATCCCTGACTTGATGATGATCGAGCTCAACTTATTTCCACCGAGCACTTTGTAAGTGTGGGATCCAACTGGGATCTATAAATATCTATTAACTCTGTAACGCTTCGCGTGCAGAAACGGAGCCCGACTGCCACATTCCACACAGCGTTTCTGGCGATACCAGATTCCGCGGGATCCTAGTATTCATCAACGCTCCCCCAACTAAACTATCTGAGTAGTGCTCATTTATCAACTTTGCGCAAGGTATAATTTCGGTATGATCTCACTCGACTCTTCTATTCCATGTCAGATAACGCTGTGGAAGCCAATCAGGCTCCTTCCACTCTTTATCAGAAATCTCGGCCAGAATCATTTGCGCGATGACTTCAGCACTGGAAAATCATATCATATGAATCAAGCGACACATGGTGGAGTCTCACAACAAACTTACCAGCCGAATGCGCGCGGCATTCCATGACCAGTATATCCCGCGGCGATGTACTGTTTCTTGTACAGATCTCTCTCTGGATTGGTTGCGAGTAAGCCCGCTATGGGACCGACCTGGCGCAGAACACATCAAACGACAGCACCCGTAAGAGTTGTGATACGCGTACAAATGGGTCCCCCATCTTGGTATAACCCATGATGCCTGTCTAAACCGATCGTCAGGGGTAAATCCCCGAACACGAACAAGGAGTGCCTACCCATTCCATCTCAGGCTCCGACTCCGGGTCATATTTACCTTCAAACACAGACGGCAAGAACTCGCGAAGCACTTCCCCAACGAGAGGGTGTATTTCGGAATCGTCGTCCACATATAACTCATAACGCGGTTCTGCAGCTTCCCGACCACCACCAATGATGATCAGCGGTTTTTCGGTGTCGTTTTTTACTGGTCGGGGGAACCAGTACGCAAACCCCTGATAGAGGGTTGGTCACGATGGACGGGCTAGGATGGAGTGGCTTACTTCGTTTCCACCCCAGCCGGATGTCTTGATTTGATCTGTACCAACGGAAGCACGCGTGGCCATGACTTGGCCTCGAGTGGGTATGATTCCGTTTGGACCTGTGAGGAAGGGAAGGAGATGAGAAGCATATGCATTCGTAGCATGGACGACTCTGGAGCATGATATGCTGCCCCGGTTCGTGACGACTGTATACGTGGAACAGTTGTTCGCTGTTTCATGCGTAACTGCAGTCACCGGTGTCCGAGTGTGCAAGCTGAGAGAGGCATATTGCCCAACGTGTGCTCGGGCATGTTGGTACAGCTTCGTGACGAGTTTCAGCGGCCAGACATTATGTCCTGGTGCGCGAAATGCTGCATAGGTGGCACCATACTCCTGGTTATGAGCCCGTTTGCATCAGACTACAAAGATGATTAGCAAGAATACGCACCTCTTCGACTATCTCCTTCGGAAGCCATTCTATACCATCTAGATTGAGCTGCGCTTGACGTGCCATCTCATAGTCCTTGTTCGCTTCTTTTTCTTCCTTCTCCGTAAACAAGAGATTGATGTGACCGCCTTCTACGAGGTCGATGTCGCTCGTCCAGCCATTCTCCTCTATGATTTTAACGAGCAGAGAAGTAGTGTGTTGTTCGAGTTCATAAGACTTTGTTGCCTCCACCATACCGAATAATGCCTGACGTTGAGCAAACCCGAGGAAAGCAGCCGGCGTAAGATGTCCACCGTTCCTTCCTGCGAACAGCATTCTCCGCACAATGAACTCAAGAAAGAAGTGGTGCTCCACGCACCTGTCGCTCCTGAGCCTGAAACGCGTCAGTGATACGAAGCATACCATGATCGGCACGAAACAAACTGACAGAAATCTCTCGCCTCGAGTATCACGACCTTGAGTGGGTGTTCGAGAGAAAGTGAGGCGTTATTCAAGAGTTCGATAAGGTGATACGCGACACCAACGCCAGTGATACCAGCCCCGATGATGCAGATGTCTGCCTCGCTGGGCAGAGGATCTTGGCTGCCTTCGCCTGCGAGTGGATTTGCGTCCGGAGAGGAATCGATCCAGAATGAGGGGGTTGGGTTGCGGGATGGGAGTTTCGCAGGATGAAGTGGATGTTCCGAGGGCGGTGTCTCGAGTACCCTCTGCGCATGTTCAAACTTACCAAGTATCTGAGGGTTAACAGGCATCGCCGACCAACTGAGAATGAAACAGAGAACGAGGATGGCCCAATGTCTCATCTCCGTATACTCAAGTCGAAAGATAAGATAAGATGTCCTCGTGCACAAATTGGACTTAGGACCGCACTGGGCCCAACTTCGGAACCTCGGAAGGCAATCGGAATGTGTTGAATTAGGTTGAATTTCAGAAAGTAAGTACCGCAACTATGTGCAGAGTGCATGCACAGAAAAGTAACCCATTTCAAACTTCATGTCAAGGAGCGCTCGCGGTCTTGATCTACTCCTTCTAAACCACTTACAGTCACTAATAGTGCTGCCACAGCTTTAAGCCGGCTTTTTTTAAAAATGGCTGTAGCATGCTGAGGAAAATTGGTAAAATCATGAAAATATTTGAGGGAATAGATGAGGTCTACATATTTATAGTGAGCTATCGGCTTTTCTCAATTTCATGGTAGTTCTTATGCTATTGAAGAAAAGCTGAAATCAGTTTGAATTTAAGCTAGGCAAATTCATTTCAGCTTTTCTTCAATAGCATAAGAACTACCATGAAATTGAGAAAAGCCGATAGCTCACTATAAATATGTAGACCCCATCTATTCCCTCAAATATTTTCATGATTTTACCAATTTTCCTCAGCATGCTACGGCCATTTTAAAAAAAGCCAGCTTAAAGCTGTGGCAGCACTAGTCACTAATTTAAACTGCACCGGACCAATATCAATGTCCTGGCTGACAGATACTGCTATAGGTGATTCAGTAATATCAACTCAGCGCTAGGAATAAAAGAATCACATCACGGTCATGCATACGGTAGCGGCATGGATGCGACCTTACCAGATGGCTCGGGTTAGAAGCTGGATGCCCCCCTCTAGTCACATCAATTCGAGATCTTACCCCTCTTGGCTCATAGACGGGCTTTGGGTACACCATACGAGCTATATAGTGCTGCCCAGAACCCTGAAGACCATCTGCTACGACCATCTCCGGACGCCTCCAGACCCCCATTCTACTACAACGGCGAAGATAACATAGAACCTGTGGGCGGATATTACCGGTGCTCTGTTTTTTAAATCCAGTTTATTGACACTGAGCGAGACAACGCTATGTTAGACATCTACGCAGGATTCGCCACATCCGTAAGACCCCCAACCTAGTATTACAACCACTGTCCTACGGCTCCGATAACTTTAAACACCCGCGCAGGTAATGTTGTACACCCTCCACTCTCACTGCCCACACTAGTTAATGCAACCCCTCCGATTGGTGAAACGAGTCCCTCGTAATCTTCCAATACTCCGATGTTACTCCTCTTCCCTTTCTTGACGTGACCCTTTTCTCCTCTTACATAATTAAGGCGCCAAGTGTGACTTGTCGCAGCGTGGTTGTCGATATTTGATGAAGAAACAGAATCGAGCGGTTAATATAGGTGACACATTTCCTACGCGCGATAATCCAAATCGTGTTCTCCATAACCTCGGGTTCGGATCATTTCACCGATTTAGCCAGCCAAGGACACTGCAACAAAGTAAGCCCTTAAGCTTCTCTTGTGACATTCACACTCTGATTTTCTTTCTCACAGCCGCTGCGTGGCGATGAAATAGTCGTTGCCGGGAAACCTTCTGTCTTGCTGGGCACTGGGACTTACATTTTTTTGCAGTGCACTCATGATTCCGAGACCAGCAACAAGTCGGCTGTCATCCCTAGGCTCGTAACTAGCTTGGTGTATATCAAAGACGTTAGACGTAGTACAGACTGGTTACGAGTCTACGTCAGCTCATCGACTGCCTGTATGTACTAACGCGAAGAACGATAGATTTCTGTATAAGTAATAACGAAGAAGGGCGGATGATGATATCTGCGATTTACACGGTGGCCGTAGTAGTTGAGACTTCGAAGCAAGTGTTGGCTGATATCTATAGAGTGTTGTCGCGGATGTGAAAAATGGTAATACTTGGAGCCGCGAAGAGAAATATTCTAGTACGAGGCTAGTAATAAAAGTCCGTGAAGCCCAAAACAGTGTGTAACAACTAGGTTAGAATCTTTTGCAAACTATCCAGACGCTTGGGATCATGGCACTAGTACTATTTCGAGGGAAGGAATAAAGGCAGTGTATTCCGCCCGCTGCGCATCCGTAATCACCTCGGCGCTGAAAATTAAGCTCTCCAGGGGACAATTTGACCGTGACAAAAATGCCTTGAACGCCTCATGAGGCCACATTTCTACTTTGCTAGCTTCAAGCACGTGTAGATTGGGGAGTGATAGAGCATCGAACAGGTGAGATAAATCGTCTGTGTCCGCATGGTCACAATTGATGCGTAAGGATTGAAGTTTGGGGTGCGTGAATGGCTCTAAGGCCTTTACGCTGCTGAATCCCGCGCGGATCATCAACGAGGCGAGGTTAGGACATAGTTGGAGCAAGCGGAGGAATCCATCCGATTGAATTATTGCGATCTCAAGATTTGTCAAGTAGGTCCATACAGGGCCGAGAGAAGATAGGTGCTCGTGGTCAAACCACAGCCCCATTATCTTGAGACTGTGCAGAGTGGACAGTGGCGAGATCGATTGTGCAAGAGCTGGCCAGGTATCACCATTTGATATGTTTATGGTCAGCTCCCGAAGTGCCGGGAGGTCTGTTAACAGATGTGCAGGTTGGTAGGTGTGGGAACGACGGATGGAGAGAGACGAGATTTGATTGATGTAAGGCTGAAGAAAGTGTCGTAGCTGGTCCGAGCAGCACCGAAGTGTTAACGAGAGCGGAAGTCCTCGTGATCGCTTGATCCATGAGTCACACCAGAAAGCTTCTCGCCGCCAGTCTTCCGAGTCGTACTGGGATTCCACAGTGAGCCAGCACCATAAACCGGGTGTGCCCACAGCAACCTCCCTCCATCGTCGGCATATTCCGGTCAATAGCATGGGGGCTTCTAGCGGCGATGGCGATGGCGATGGTGGGAGACAGTAGTGAAAAATTATGGATAGGATTTCAGTTGGCAAGCGCCAGAGAGCCGATCCGAGTCTCTTGTGTAAATTCTTGGACTGAGTGATCTTGTCCTTCTTTTCGACAAGTTGCCGGTGAAGATCGTAGATACTATGCATGACTGTTTCCAGGCTTGAGATATGGTGCGAAACTGCATCCAACTGCTGCTGGCGTTCGGCGATGATGGCTCTGATGCTCCGATCTTCAAGTTCGACGACAGAGCAGTTGGTACTGGGGAATTGGGCTCGGGAGTACGGGGTTTCTAGGTCTGGCATCTGCTAATGGTCAATGTAGCATCGGATATATGATCACCCGCTAGACATACATTGATTGCTTGTGAAGGCGCGAGCTGAAGCAATCGATTATTATTCGAAGACACGACTGTTTGCACAAACTTGGCACTTACGATGTTTTGCAATGCACCAATGATATCTGAGACTGGGAAGACATTGACTTGTGAGTTAGCTGTCTGCATGTTAACGGTTGAAACGTTCGAGGAAGATGTCGATGTCGATGTGAAGAAAGAAAGGATTTAAGCTTTAAGTATAATAGTCTAAGAACGCGGCTGCCGAATGCAATGTTAAGAACCATGATAGCATACTGTCCCACATTTGAGACTTCAAAGCTGAATAATGCAAGTGTTGGCTACTGGAGATGATAAGATAGTGCTCGCAAGTGTGAAGAATAGCGATACTTAGAGCTGCAAAGAGAGATTTCCTACGAGGCTGGTAATAAAACCCAGTCAGAAGACTCAGAACCCACAAGTGTTGACGCGTGACGCGAGGCTGAGATCTGTGTGAGATAAACGTAAATAGAGGTAGATCAGGGTGCCGAGTGTTTTTGGCTAAAAGACAAACGTTGCCAAGGCTTATTTCGCAGTGTGCGTAAATTCCCACAGTGTGAATTTATTTTGGATTATCACAAAGTTGTGATTGCATTATAATGATTACAGACACTTACAATCACTATAATCATGTTACTTTCGCGATACACCTCATTGCTCTTTGATTATAAGCTCACGACATACAACAATAAATGTGATAACAACTGCCAACATTCGAAAAGTTTGTGTCAATTGACTAGTCCGATCTGGTCAGGTATTTTACTCAATTTGGAAGGTAACCGGACCAAGGACCGGTCTTTTTATTCCCACGACATTCAATGGATCGGACCGAACCATCAAAAACCGGTCTTTCGGTCTTTGACGCTTCAGCAACCAGTTCTGGACCGGTCCTGAACCGGCCAGGACCGTGTGGCACCGATCGGGGGCCTTAATATTGTGGTCCTACTATCTCTGACCCGGTGTTGCAAAATGGCCCGGAGTTGCAAATCACGATGTAGCACGCTCATATCTCACTCATTTCCTTCGCACAATGATTCTAGAGGATGGGTAATCCATAGCTTACTGTGTGTATTTTTTATTCCACGAAAAATGCACTAGAAGTGCTTGCGGCAGTGAAACACTGCTCAGAACGTGCACTTTCCACGCCAATCCATCGGAGGGAAGCCATCACATGCACTAAAAAATTCAGGAATTTTACCAGTGATTTCCCATTGCCTTCTAATACCACACTAATTTTTTCCGACATGATAACTGAGTGGTGTTGAGAGACACAAATGTTGTACTATCGAGATGCAGGACGTGACAGGAGGAGTGAGATTGTGTTCGGAGTCATAAATCGCTGCTCGGCAACTCGGCTAAAACAATTCTTGAATAACACTCTCAATTGCCCCAGATTCGTTCAACGCTTGATGGTCTGTCTTCTGTGCGGGTGAGAATTTTTGCAACTCTGTACTCAAACACTGTTTCGCACCGGCTTCTCTCTGGCAACGTAGCCTCGACATATTTTTGCATAGCCTTACAGTATGTACTGAATCCTACCTGCCCATGTTGTTGCCTTATTTTTAATGTTGTGTAGTTGTTGTGTTATAAAAAAACAGGTCGAAAAGTTTTGCAACACCGGGCCAGAGATAGTATCTTGTCAAACAGTTAATATTTATATGTAAGTTGGTCAGACTGCCGCACGCGCATAACCGTTACACCAAAAGGTAGAATACTGAAAGCTTAGCTTTCAGTATCAGCGACAGTATATATACTGAGTATGGGAACTCAGGTAAGCCAGCGTGCTTACATTATACCCCAAAAACCAAATAGCAGATATGCACGCTAGACTCGGAGGATAAAGCTTAAGCATTATCGATGTATCGAACATCAGCACACCGTTTGTTGTGCATGACCTTGGCATGACCAACTGGACAGCCTGGACTTATGTGGTGGGGTTTTTCCGGCAACAAGCTAATGTAGCAAATAAACACTGTCATGTAAGTAGTACACAACAGGTTCCTGACGAGCAAAAATACTTGAACAGAGTGAGATTCGAACTCACGCCCCCGAAGAGACCAGATGACATGCTCATCTGATGAGCTGGTACTCCTTAGTCTGGCGCCTTAGACCGCTCGGCCATCTGTCCCGGTGGCGTCAAGCTAGAGGAGCGAGAGTCGACATCCTGGGGTGGTGATCCGGGGAGCGAGCGTCAATGTCAACTCAAAAAACAGCAGCATCGATAACGAAAACCGCATGACAACTGAAGTTGTCATGGCGGCTGATCAGCAAAAACGTTTGAACAGAGTGAGATTCGAACTCACGCCCCCGAAGAGACCAGATGACGTGCTCATCTGATGAGCTGGTTCTCCTTAGTCTGGCGCCTTGGACCGCTCGGCCATCTGTCCATGTTGTCATGATCACCGTAAGCGTATTGATCTGCGTCTATCTATATGTGGCGACGTTAGGGTAAAGTTGTTTGGCAACATTTATTTCTGAAGGTATAGAACAACAAACACAAATAAGTCCTTGCGATAACTTCCGTAATGAGAGTTCTTTTAACAGAGTCATGCACCTGAGTGTCGGTGGATTAGCACGTATATATCCATCCAGGTCCTTTCGCGCCCGTTCCTTTACAACATCACATGCAAGCCGCTCTACTACCTTCCATGCCGAACATGTCCGAACGCTAAATGAAAGCACAAAAGCGCTAGTCAGCTTCTCAGCAGAAAATCACAATCCTAATCCTTATGGACCATTGAATAGTATTACAATTGCAATCAAGGATAACATATGCACTACCAACTTACCAACAACATGCTCGTCAGGCATGCTTCGCCGTACGTCGAATACCGTGTCACGCTCTCGTTCTAACTCCATTGCAGACTTCACTTCGCCATTTGACGCGACGGCGGTGGAACTTCTAAAGGCGGGGGGTGCAAATATCATTGGGAAGGCTAACTGCGATGAATTCGGAATGGGGCAAGTTTTTACCTTTGGCTTTTGCGGCTTTCTGCTAACATCGTCTATGCAGGTCTCTGAATGTGAACAGTATCCACGGTCCCGTGGTAAATCCGTATCAGTCTCCAAATGAGAAATCTATACCTTGGGTCGAGCGTGAACGAAGATCAGCGGGTGGAAGCTCCGGTGGAAGCGCGGCAGCTGTTGCAGCCGGTATGTGTGACGCGTGAGTTGCCAACTAATCGAAGTGACGTAGCACTCACTGAGAATCAGTGCACTAGGTACAGATACAGGTGGTTCTGTTCGTCTTCCCGCATCGTACTGCGGTATCACGGGTTTGAAACCCTCATATGGCCTCATCAGCAGGTATGTCCTTGTGCAGCTCATATTTTCAGAATCTCATGGATGTCAGATGGGGCGTGGTTTCTTTTGCTGATAGCCTTGACTGCGTTGGTGTGCTTGGCAAGTCCGTCAACACAGTAAAGACCGTATTCGGTGAACTGGACAGCTATGCGTGAGAGTACTGAGCTGATATTTCCAACAGACTCGATATCGTCATATGATCCAAAAGATCCAACGGCAGCGACACCTCACATTAGAGAGAGGGCCCGATCTTCAGGCGAAGCGTTGTTGTCGACTCTGGATGCGGACTCGTCTGATCCTGACCTCTCGGGACTTCGGATTGGAATTCCACAAGTCCGTCTCATCTCTCAATTCGTTTAACATGCTTACGTCTGAGATAGGAATACTTCCCTGCTGAGCTCGACACTACCATTTCGACTGCGGTTCGCAAAGTTCTCGAGCGATTGTCGTCCCTTGGGGCTCAATTGATCCCTGTATCTCTTCCTTCGACACCGTATGCATTGAGTGCATACTACGTCATAGCAAGCGCGGAAGCATCCAGCAATTTAGCGCGATATGACGGGGTTCAATATGGTTAGCGATGACATCATATCCTCAAGATTGCTCACCAATTGACCAATTGATCCTATCCAGGTACCCGTTCACCTCTGCTCCCTGGCGCGGATAAATCCAAACCAGGCAATGTGTATGCACATACACGCTCAGCAGGTTTTGGAACGGAAGTGCAGAAACGCATACTCCTTGGCACTTATGCACTCACAGCTGAGTATGTGCATCCTGCCTTGGCTGTAAAACCTTAAACCAAGTTATCGGCTACAGCGCCTTTGACAACTACTTTCTTCAAGCCCAGCGCATCCGCCAGCGAATCAAGACAGACTTCGATTCTGCTTTCCGCGTCCCCAATGCTCAACTATCCAAATCCTCGCCAAATCCCGATGGTGTAGACATTTTCTTGCATCCGTCTGCGATTAGAACTGCACCTCGACTAGACTCGGACGCGGCCTCCGGTTTGGGCCCATATTTGCAGGACGTCATGACTGTTCCCGCTTCTCTGGCCGGCTTGCCAGCGTTGAGTGTCCCTGCTGGGTTAGCTGCCGACGGTTGGCCTGTCGGTGTCAGCGTCGTTGGACAGTGGGGTTCTGACGAACTCGTGATGCGCGTTGGGAAGGTGATCGAGCGGATACCAGACGAAGATGATGATTTTGGGCCAATGACTGATTTACTTTACGTGCTTGATGTTGTGTAGATGATCATGAATGATCCAAGCCACATTTCCACACCTCAATCACAACAAAGTTAAGGAACGGTTATCGCTGCTCATGAGGTTCATGACTGAGATTCATACACGCGCAAGGCGAGCAATAGAGTGGTGAATTAATACGGGTAACATATGGTACTATACAGATGTGCGCGAAAACAATGTACGATTGAATGATGTAAGATACGATGCGGGGATTGTGAAAGTGCGGGGAGGTCGGAAAGGTGACTAGCAATGATAAGTGGCATAAATCTAGGTTAAAAGGTAACATTTAAACATAGCTTACTGAGGGGTCCCAACAGGCTCAATTGGAATCCTTGCCCCATCGCAGGACACCCTCATATATTGAGTACATCACCGCTGCATTCGGGACGACACGCATTAAATGTGCACTCAGTCCGCCATAAAGGGAACGGGCCCCCTCTTCAGCAATGACGGTCCGCAGCGTCTGCCAGAGACCAGTGTACTTCATGACACCGTTAACAGACGGTTGTCGCAGTCGTGTCCGTAGAACCTGAACAATATGAGGCGCGACAAGATTCGTGTTGACCTAAAAACGCACCTCGTGGGGATATGTGATCAGACTGGCGACGCACTTCGCAGTTCCTGCACTACCAAGCATCCCGAACCACTCGACCATACCTCCACGGCCTTCAGCGTCCGCAGACAACTGCTTCAGACGCTCGTAAAGCACCCATTGAATAGTTCCCTCTGTAACACCCAAGTAGCTGGCGCTCAAACCCTTGTAAAAGCCCCTAATACCTTCCTCACGGAAGATCTGCGTTATCATCTTGAAGCTACCTCCGAAGACGCGTGAAGGTCCGGCTGTTGTACCCGTATTCGTGCTTAGGAGGGAGGAAGAGTGTCGACGTTCCGATGCAGTGAGCTGGAGACGTGTCTTGACGACCCAGATAGGATTCGTTGCCGTCCCTGTTACGACACCAGCAATTGCAGCTGCAGCAAGATGGACATAGGAGTTTTCTTGTCCGTGGTTGAAGTGATGGGCGATGATTTGCTTGCCATTACCGTATGTGTAGAAATTGATCGAACGGGCGGGTATGACTCCGACTAGAGTTGGTCCAAGGCCTTTAAACAGCGCCCCTGGCGACTCATCGCGGTATATGTCACTGGATCACGAAACCCCTCAACAGTTGATCGCGGTGTATTAGGAACGTCAATTATACATACCGTAGAATGTGCCCGGTCTCGACGAAATTCCACAGCAGACCACTCGAGCGCTGCGGGAGCGTCGCAACACCACCTCCTACAATCCCGACTGAAGTATGTTTTTCCCTGAAAAGACTGGACTGTAACCGCGTCTTGACAACATCAAATGGACTTGTCACGATTGCACCACACATTCCACCCAAACTGACACATAAACAAAGCGCGTCAGGAAAACATACTATGGAGATGCGAAGTCTGAGCTTACCCTCCTGCTACGAAATGCTGCCATGATTTTGCTGGCAGGAGGCTACTGGATGCAGTTGGGTTTGTCGTAGTTGGGGGTGCACCAGCCATCGTATCGATCTAGCGTATATCTTTCCAAAGAACCAAGTCCGCCAACTTCTAGGAGTCCAAAAGACAGTTACTAACGGGAAACAAGCAAGAAGGAAAACGGTGAGGGGCAACGTAAAGGACGCTATTTTTTTCAGTACAAGTCACGTGGTAAGTAAAAATAATGATTTGTACATAACCGCGTTTTCATAAACACGATCAAAACACGATCGAGTCTGGACTCTGGCTTGGAAATACATACACCCCGAATACAATAGGACTGACATTGACTGTATTCCCTCCATTCGGTCAGCATAGGGGAGATTACCACCCCTCCTATCTCTCGAGGCAAGCTGCAGCTTCTGTCCTAGTTTATTTCTTCGAGCCTTGCAGATCACCCTCAAGTTGCCTGGTAAGCCTGCAGTAGCCCGCGCGCCGTACTACTACCTCGAATCGTTAACCAACTGAATGAACTGCGGTTGCTAGTAGTGCTTGCGTCTGTGCTTATTCTTCGCTCCAAATCATTCCGGTCTAACCAAACTGACTCGAGCACTAGACCAATATCGACTCACAGCTAATTTGAACTCGCCATCATTTGGGTTTTCTCACCTATCTTGCAAGACGTCCAACTTTTGACCTATTCCTATCATGATCAATGCCCCTCCGTGTCCTCCATTCTATTAAACTCCTCTTCGACGGTCTTGATCTCCCCTCTTGTTCTCCAAAACACTACTTCCCATTACAAATACCCTCATCCTCCCGGACCTCCCCTCTCCCTTCAACATTTCACCCATTCTCATTCTTTTCCCAAACCTCCAACTAACCCCATCTGCATCACATACAAATGGACAGAAGACTTTATGATCAAGTACCGCTGGTCTGCAGCTGCATACGGGCTAATAGCTGTGCCGCTGAGGGAGATGGAGAGGGTAGGAGTGAGGGTGGCGAAGGACGAAAGCAAAAGGATGCGGATCGTGTCGTTGCTGCTAGGACTCCAGAAAGTAAGTGTTTTGATCCTTGTGCTTTTGTGGGTTCGGATTCGGATTCGGATTTCTTTCGTGTGCACTGGGACCGCGTTCTGTTGTAGGATTCGGTCCTGGTTCCATCTGGACTCGCTAGAGAACCTTGGACTACTGAACCGCACAGTATGCATCTGCAACCGCAGCCTTCTCCTCTCACTCGCAGACGCAGGCGGGAGACTTATGTATGCATATAAGGACTTGCAAGAGGTTACTGGATTGACTGGGCGGTGAGTAGTTTGTCTATGTTTTGTGTACATCGATGTATCTAATTTTACTCAGCCATGCTCATCTTCAGCGTCTGAACAAAACACTCACGGGTTTCATTAAAATAGGACAATCGTTCTGCTACGCCATGCTTCAATGAATGAAAACACGGAGGCACTCATTCATAATTTCATCCTCCACTCAACTACACCTATCATCACTTATCATTCGCTACCGTAGCTTTTCAACTAAGGCTACTCAGTGCCACCAGAGACTTATAGTGCCATCAAAGCCCCCAAAGGAGAGATGGCTGTCTACTTCGTCTCGTACGTGGCGCTCCTGATTTTAGTATCGTTGATCACATAATACGTAAGGATGGAACCAGTCGCCCATACTGATACAAAATCCGTGCTCCCGGCTTCGCCCTCCTTACAGGTCCAGAATTCACGATGAGACGTACATTGTTTATCACCTTATTCAAGACATTTACTGAGATACAACTTGTCTTCTAGATATAATATCGACAAATTCTGAGTGCTGACTGGTTCCTCTCTCTATAGCACATACTTGCCGACGCTGTGGCCATCGTGGGTACCATAGTATGTACCTTATGCCTTCATTCTTCATGTCGCTTATCGCTGTTTTCGAGGATCTTGTTTGGGTGCGTTGCTGATATTTCGTTCCACACGAGCTTCCGAAGTACGCTAAGGCATATTAATTTAGTGAGGTCCACTGTCGACAAAACCTTGATGTACTTATATCGTGGTTCTGCTAACACGTCGTGAGATCATGCGTCCACACTGATGATTACCGAAATAATAATATTGCATCTTGTCACAGAGTGTTTGACCCACGGTTTTAAGGACGCACTTGATTCTCATTCCCCAGCATTGCATGTAAGGGTGTGCTTCGCGTTCAGTATAAATCTATCTCTGAGGACTTTGCAGATACTCTTCACCCTCACAGCCTGATTTCTGCCCATCTGGTACTCAACCCGTAAGGAGTCTCTTATCTTCTCGAGCGCATAGGACATACTTGAGATCTTAAAGGATGGACACGTCAAACAAGAAAGGAAAATATGTTCATACAAAAGACGCAGCACCGCAGGCAGGAGATACATAAGGACAACGAAGCACCTGTAACGAAGAGTAACCTAATTTGATCACCCACAATACACCGGGGCGTCTCAGTGACAGCTTTTAGCGGCTGAGATCGGCAAAAAACGAACTCGTTGATATGCTTCACGTATGTCGATCTAACATCTATACGAACGAACTACTATAATAAAGTAGGGCTAGACGTATTGATTTAGCAAATGCGAGGGACAGTAGAGCAGCTAGATACTCACGGATCGTAGCAATTAGACCAGCGACTCCCATGTGCCATGCGGGACAAATCAAGCTCTATACCTCCTCGCGGGATCACCAATGAAGTTCCAGGACTATAAAACAGTCGTCGGGAAGCGGGAGGTACCCAGAAAAGGAGCCGACAATCTGGCCCTTCCATCCATCCATCATAATCTTTCAGCACGAAAGGGGTTGAGTAGGAATGATGATGAGAGATGCCCTCGAGTATCTCAGCAGGGTTGTGAAGTGCATGGTTCAAGGTGGATGAGAAGCAAATGGGGTGATTTTCCCGAGTATTAGTTGACCTGATAGAGCTCTGTTGTGTGCGAGGCGGGGTGCAAATTCTATCTAGAGGGAATGAGGAGGTCTTAGGAGCTACGATATGCCACAGCCGAACAGTGCGATCCTGTGAACCAGACACGACGCGAGTGCCATCCGGCGAGAACGAGACTGAATTAACCAAACCCGTGTGCCCCCGCAAGGGCTCGGCCAATGGCTGCCCTGTGGCTGCATCCCACAGCCAGACAGTGTCATCCCAAGAACTAGACACAATGCGAGTGCCATCCGGCGAGAACGAGACTGAATGGACCGAAAAGGTGTGCCCCCGCAAGGGCTCGGCCAATGGCTGCCCTGTTGCTGCATCCCACAGCCGGACAGTGCCATCACTCGAACCAGACACAATGCGAGTGCCATCCGGCGAGAACAAGACTGAATTAACCGAATCTGTGTGCCCCCGCAAGGGTTCGCCCAATGGCTGCCCTGTTGCTGCATCCCACAGCCGGACAGTGTCATCCCACGAACCAGACACAATGCGAGTGCCATCCGGCGAGAACGAGACTGAATGAACCGAATCTGTGTGCCCCCGCAAGGGTTCACCCAATGGCTGCCCTGTTGCTGCATCCCACAGCCGGACAGTGTGATCCCTCGAACCAGACACAATGCGAGTGCCATCCGGCGAGAACGAGACTGAATGAACCGAATCTGTGTGCCCCCGCAAGGGCTCGGCCAATGGCTGCCCTGTTGCTGCATCCCACAGCCGGACAGTGTCATCCCAAGAACCAGACACAATGCGAGTACCATCCGGCGAGAACAAGACTGAATGAACCGAATCTGTGTGCCCCCGCAAGGGCTCGGCCAATGGCTGCCCTGTTGCTGCATCCCACAGCCGGACAGTGTGATCCCTCGAACCAGACACAATGCGAGTGCCATCCGGCGAGAACGAGACTGAATCAACCGAATCTGTGTGCCCCCGCAAGGGCTCGGCCAATGGCTGCCCTGTTGCTGCATCCCACAGCCGGACAGTGCCATCACTCGAACCAGACACAATGCGAGTGCCATCCGGCGAGAACAAGACTGAATTAACCAAATCTGTGTGCCCCCGCAAGGGCTCGGCCAATGGCTGCCCTGTGGCTGCATCCCACAGCCGGACAGTGTGATCCCAAGAACCAGACACAATGCGAGTGCCATCCGGCGAGAACGAGACTGAATCAACCGAATCTGTGTGCCCCCGCAAGGGCTCGGCCAATGGCTGCCCTGTTGCTGCATCCCACAGCCGGACAGTGCCATCACTCGAACCAGACACAATGCGAGTGCCATCCGGCGAGAACAAGACTGAATTAACCGAATCTGTGTGCCCCCGCAAGGGCTCGGCCAATGGCTGCCCTGTGGCTGCATCCCACAGCCGGACAGTGTGATCCCAAGAACCAGACACAATGCGAGTGCCATCCGGCGAGAACGAGACTGAATGGACCGAAAATGTGTGCCCCCGCAAGGGCTCGGCCAATGGCTGCCCTGTTGCTGCATCCCACAGCCGGACAGTGCCATCACTCGAACCAGACACAATGCGAGTGCCATCCGGCGAGAACAAGACTGAATTAACCGAATCTGTGTGCCCCCGCAAGGGTTCGCCCAATGGCTGCCCTGTTGCTGCATCCCACAGCCGGACAGTGTGATCCCAAGAACCAGACACAATGCGAGTGCTATCCGGCGAGAATGAGACTGAATTAACCACAGAAGTGTGACCACTGATCACGGTCTGAACCGCCGTCCAGTTCAAATCGTAACCACATGTTGGACGAAGATTATTTGGAAACCTTGCCGTAAATTTGGTGGCCATGGTGGAGTTGACTGGCGAGAATGGCAGCGCTGATACATACAGATGCGGTGTGCTGTGCAAAATCATGCCGCCAAAGACTTGAATAAATCTCTGCACGTCCAGTTGCAGCGGACAACACATCTTCATATCCAGAGTGGCCCTGTGGCTGTGCGTAAGCGCTTCATCCGACACCGCTCGAGAACTTTGTACTCACCTTCAGCCACTGGGCAATCAGCGACCGTGCGGAAACTGCACAGTTCAGTGTGTTCAGAAGGGCGAGTGTTTCGATCCAGAAGAGCAATCGCTCATGGATTGAAGAATGATTTTATTCCCTTTCCAATCTCCGTGTCGAAATCTGTCGCTTGTACGTGTGTAGCCCAAAATCGACAGGAATAGGACAGATGTGGGAGGATGCATGATTCGACTCGTTGGGGCAGCCCAGTGTCTTCGTGATTAGGGAGGTATGAAGTCTTTAAATCACATATATTGAAGCGAAGACCATGCTCCATCGCTTGAAGTGACGCAAAGGCCAGGTCCCGATGTTGCATCTTCGACACCTCGACGAAAAATTCTTCGCTGGATGATCTGTCTGTTAGAAATTCTTGAAAGGATGCGTGAAGGGGTCGGATTGGAGCACGCGAATTGGTGGTGCCGCTGAGAAGGGATCCGAGATGTTCGACCACGATTTTCACCTTATAGTGTTCCCTTTGGTCTGGAAAATGGATTCGCATGGCATTGAGGGCATCTAAGGGCAAGGGTTCGGCTGAGGCAAGTATTTGTCCCATCACAGAACGGAACCTCGCCAGTGCTGTCTCATACTCGTCATCTTCATATTGATTCCTTGGCATGATGTCGGTCAAAATGAGGAGATACATGTCGTACAACAAGTTTTTTCGCTTCCTACTAGGGTCGCGGTTCACGACGGCCTCGAAGCGAGGAATTCGGTCCACAGCGGCAGGGCAATCCTTGATGTATCTGCAGGCAAGACGCGCCCACTCGAACAGACCATCAGCATTTGCCGCGAGCATTGTGAACTCTCTGTCCTGAAAACCCTCCAATCCCTTAGCTCATTCGATATGTAAGCGCGGATGTCGCGCTCCGCAACTTGTGGTGGAATATCGTCCATGGACAACCGTATAATATGCTCAGAACCGTCAAACTCTTTACTGATATCATAAAGTGGGCGAGACGTGACGAGAATCCGGAAGTGTGGTGGGAGTTCGGTGATGTTTGGAACACCTTGCTCCTGAAGTTTACCGGCGAGTATGCGGAGAAGGTTACGGCGCGTTTCGACTCCACCGCTCTCATCCAGTGCTTCAATCACAATCAAGACAGGTCCCACACTTGACCCGGAGAGTTTTCCCAGTGGTTCCATGAGAAGTTTGCGCCACTGTTGGATGATATCCGTTGTATTCTTGAGCGAATTAGCATTCTCGACTGCATTCGCCAATGCTCGTCTCATCTCTGGATCATGGTCCGCCAGGTCGCGAGCGATGGTGGAGAAAATCTTCTCATGACGCTTGTCGGCTGCATGGTTCCGGTCGAAGCAGAAACATGAACCAAGCCCTCCCATCTCGTTGAACCAGTGAGCGATAGTCTGAGCGATGGCTGATTTGCCCTTGCCGGCAGGACCAGATAGCCACAGCACACGTTGAGCATTGTCTCCACTATCATTGATCCAGTCAGTGATCTGGGAGAGAATTTCGGTGCGCGTCCCTGGTAGGCATTGTTTCGTGGTATCTAGTCCCGCGCCCGCTGCGTAAGTTATACCGCTGAGATCCAGTGTTTCGCCTGAAGGAGTGTGAGTGAATGTGAAGTTTGAAGCACGTGCGAATCCTTACCCCTACATTGGACGAAGATGCCTCCATCCCGAAGAGCTTGGTCCCGAAATTGTTTCATAAGCTCATCCAGAGCGTTGCTGTACCGTGTAATCATATCGTCCGTCTCCAAGACATCATTTTTCCCAAGTCTCTTCCCTATGATAATGGTATAAGATTCACCATGTGCGAAGTGCAATAGCTTGATGACCCACAGTAGCTCTTGATCTCCGAGTAGTCCCTGAGGAAACGTGCGCACTCTTGAGTCTGCCGAGCGATCCGTCCGACGATACTGTGCATGGATGAGATCTGCTTAAGAGTGTCGTCTTGGGTCATGAAGCTGTAAACTTCATCTAATTTCTTGAGAAGACGATGTACCGGTTGGTCGCGATCCGCTTGAGCAAGAATAATCTGCAAATAATCAATAACTGCTGACCAGGAGATAAAACTGAGGGCGAAATCACACAAACCTTGGCGGCAGCAGACAGCACGCCCAGCGCCATCTTTGCGTATGGATGTACCTATGCGACTTGATTAGTTCGCTTCCAATCAATGAGGAAGGCACACACGTTCGTGATCTTTTGATTAGATAAAGCACCTTCACGAACGACATTCTGGATAGCAGGGACGCGGTCGCGAGACCGCTTGACGCGTTTCTGTACGATAATGAGACATTTCCAGAACAAAAAAAAACAGCATTCACGTCTACGCACAGATATTTTTTTAGTGAAGCCTTTGGTGGCTTTCCGCACGGACTGCCAGACTCCGCTATGGGGTTGTCTCTGCATGAGGAACGCATCGGAGGCAGCAATGAATTCCATGAGCGCTCAGTGGAAGTGATGCCATCAGGCCACGTACCGAGCTCTCACCAGCGGTCGCTTCGCCGGATCTGCAGGCTTCCGATGAAGGATCTGGCCTATAGTCTTCACTCATCATGAGTCGTTGGAGATTTGTATCAGTGTAAGCGAAGTGGGATGCAAGACTAATAAAAGGGATTGGACCTATCAGAACTAAATACCCTTGACCTTGGAGGTATTGCCAACACGTTGACTAAGGCGCTAATCATCCTGGGTATATTTAGTCTCCCAATCGAGAGAAGACGCCGTTCCTTCGCATCACAGGGTACTTTGAAAGCTTGTATTCAAAATTTTGAATGGGCATAAGGTATTGGCACGCGCAACCGTGTACTTGGAACATGCATAGGACAAAACGAAAGCAAAAGGCAAGAAAGAATGCGGCAAGAGTCGGGTACATCATCCCCAGTAATAAAACATCTATATAACTCCCTTCATGTTAGATCCGCCCGACGTCATCTGGCGGCTCATGGAAGTGAAGAAAGTATCTTGATTTCGCATACTTGGTGTTCAGTGTTCAGTGTTTGGAGAAGACTTTTTGAGTTGGTGCCAAGAAGACCAGTCTATTTGGCTGTGTAAATAATACCTGGAGAGAAAGACCGTGGGTAGCTTGCTCGCCGTGTGTTACAGCGAGCATGGCTATATTTTCGAAACCAATGTCGCCTGTTGACTAAATAAATGAACTGGTTCGATCGCGTGAGTCGTCCATCTTTGTCTCTCCTCCTTATCTTTGCATGCCTGTTCCTTCAATGCTGAAACAGCTTATACTGACGCCAACATAGGTTCTACGGCGGCGGCGCACGCGAGCAAGGTATCCTCACAAGAGCATACTTCGGGTTGATCAATCATGTCAATTCGATATACAAGCTTGAGGTGGGTTTTGAGTTTTTACTCTGGCGTTCTGCTTTGTTTCCCTCCGTGTGCTTCATTTAACGACGTCCAAATTCTCTTCGACTGTTCGGATCTCCATATCGTTCTCCCAAACATCACTTCCCCACTTCCATCACAAATACACCTCATCCTCCCCTCCCTTCCTCTTTCCCAATATTCCACGAACCCATTATCCTTCCCAAGCCTTCAGCTAACCCCCTCCACCCAGATCCGCATCGCATACGAATGGACAGAAGACTCTGTCATCAAGTACCTCTGGTCCGCAGCTGGATACGGGCTGATAGCTGTGCCGCTCATTATAACAAGGAAACATCATCGTTCTCGTGTCGCGGATGGAGAAGATAAAGGTGGTGAAATTGGTGAAGGATGGGAGCAGAAGGATGCGGATCGCGTCGTTGTCGCTAGAATGGAAAGTAAGTGTGCTTTTTCTGGGTTCGGTTTCGATTTTCGTTCTTTTGGGGTTCGCGTTCTGTTGTAGGATTCGGTCCTCGTTCTGCCTTGGATTTGCTAGAGAACCCTGAACTGAATACTGATGAACCATACAGCATACACCTCCAACCGTCGTCTCCTCTCACTCCCAGATTCAGGCGGGAGACTCATGTATGCGTATAAAGATTTGCAAGAGGTTGCTGGATTGACTGGCCGGTGAGTGGCCTGTCTATATCCATTGTACGTCGACGGATCTCATTCTGGAATAACAAACCTTCGAGCTCAAAGACATCGACGTAGGCGTTCCTGATTATCTCTTTGCGTCTACACCGCCCCAGCTTGATTTTCCTCACGTAAACCCTCCTCCCATCTCATTACCAACACACCACAAAACCTCTCACAAATTCAGACCTCTGGCTCATCGCAGACTCAGACCTCGTACCCACCCGAAACACAGACACAAACGCGGACCCAACCACCCTCTCACCATCCTAGGGTATAGCACGGGTGTGGGACACACCGCGGGTACGGGGTACGGTGTAGAGATCTGGTACCCGTGGCCACACCGTACCCGTTAGCACGGTATACGGGTATGTTCACGGGTACGCGCTATCTCCGAGTCTACTCCGCGGTGTTATATTTTGCAAGGGATTCACCACTTACGATCCTTATTTTTCGGAGGTCATTGACTGCAACAGCGACCCAATGCTTCGATCCTATTTCTCGCTGCTTCAGTATGCCTAAAGTTGGTGTTCTTCCGCCCCGGCGACACATTACTGGTACTGATTACAACTCAGTGATTCGACAGTATAAAGTGAGGTATTGTAGAGTCGAAAATTATTCAGTAGTACTCAATTTTCGTCATGTCTACTGACTCGGACTCGTTTGCTGAGTCTACCTCGACGCACTCATCTGTATCATCGTCTCTACGGTCCGTGGCGGGTACGATAAAGGCTAACGTCGTCAAGCGTATCAAGCTTATCCTTCCTCATATGGAAAGGGCCAAAGCAACCCCCTCCGAGTTGCCCTCCACCATTCTGGAAGTGATCGACGTCGATGAAGATGTTGACGTTGCTCTAGTTAGTACCGGCTTGAATGCGGACAACAGTCCTGCCGCCGAACAGGACGACGAGACTAATTTAAGTAAGTGAAGTGGCCTACATATGCATGGACCTTGATTGATGTGTGTGCAACTCATAGATGCGCTCAAGAAAACCTTGCCTAGTTCTCCACCCTGGCCTGAAGCTCGAGTATTTCCGACTACAGAGATGGGACGGTGAATGGATCGAAGGTGCCGAAAATCTCGTGCGAGAAGAATACATAGATCATTACAAAGATCAGGTCTCACCTTCGACTGCACATGTCTCGGTAGAAGACAAGACACAACAACGTCCCGATGACTTCGATGACATATCTCTTGGCACATCATCTCTAGTAGACGAGCTCGACGACTACCTGCGGCAACCAGTGGAGAATACCAAAGACCCGCTGCAGTGGTGGGTGCATAATCAAAAGTCGTATCCAAATCTGCACCGGATGGCACTTGATTATCTTAGCATCCCTGGTAAGTCGTGCACATCACCTCTCACTAGTATCACAACTTACGCATTGCACACCATTCATGATAGCTACCTCAACTGCAGTCGAACGAGTGTTTTCGCAAGGCCGGCACCTTCTACACTTCACTCGAAACCGCTTGTCTCCGTCATCGACCCGTGCATTCCTCTGTCTTGGCTCGTGGCTCCGTTGTGATCTGGCAGCGCCTGAGGATCTCATTAGGATCGTAAAGTCTCTGAAGAAAAGGAAACGAGAGAATGAGGGCGTCGTGTGAGGGTATTAGACCTATGTAGTGTTATTTCTTGTATGTGTACCCGCGGGTAAATGCAACACCGCGGGTAAGCTTCCATACCGCGGGTTAGCACGGGTAACACCGTACCCGTACCCGTACCCGTACGGGTACGGTGTTGAACGTTGATCTTCCGACCCGCAGGTATACCCGTGCTATACCCTAACCTCGATCGACTCTGAATGAAGTAATTGTCAAAGCGTGCTCAAACCCTTGCCATTTCACTACTCTCCCGTAGGCAGATCACCGAACAGAAAGATCCAAGATAGTCGTTCCTTCTACATCTGGCAGCATTTGACACTCGTACTATCACAATAATTCTGGGTTTTACAGAGTTCCTTGGTGAGTGGCACTGGATCGTACCAGACGCACTGGAAGATTGATAACCACGATGTTCAGTCGTCATTTACTCGCAATGCACGCCTGCCTGCGGATCTCAGAGATTGTGAAAGCCATATTCGCTGAAGTAACACAAGTCACGGAGAACGGCGGCGTCCAACCATCATGGATAACTCTGTACTACCTGGCGTTGACGTGTCGAGCTTTCCGAGAACCAGCGCTAGACGCGCTGTGGGCGCACGTACCATCATCAGAAGTGCTTGCTATGTGGTTGCCTTAGGACGCTCGTTCTCAACCCGTCAAAGCGTCCTTGGAGAATGCCGCCGAGTTCAGCACGTCCTCCGAAATGGCTGCAGCAAGCAGGGTGGTGAGTTTGGTGGTATGCTCCCCTTTTGAACGTGGTTCATGGTATATCAATTCCAGAGGCTTCTCAGACCCTTGGTCGATGATGATTGGACGACTTTCCAAAAGTATGCGCGCCGCGTGCGCTCGCTCACTTTCGAAACATATGATCCGTTCTGTCCTGGGCTGCATGATAGCGCTGCGCTTGCTCTTCTAGATTCTCATGTTTTGCCGTCCCCACTGTTTCCCCTGATCCAAGAGCTGAACTGGTATGACCAGCGTGATGAACTTTTCCCTTGTCTGCAGCGCTGCATTTCCACGACCATTACTCGACTAGTCATTCATTCGCAGTGTTGGTCATCACCAATGGCCGATCTCGTGGCAGGTCTGGGCAAGGCTTGCCCTAAAATCAAAAAATTTCGTTGTTCAATGCCGCCCGCTAGTGAATGCGTTATGCTTTCTGACCTTGTCACTTGCTGGGGTGATTTGGAGATCTTGACGACGGCCGCGAACGCACGGACATTGCAGCATCTAACGTCTCTAAAGCGGCTGAGGGAGCTGGAGATACTCGTGCCAGAAGGTCACCACTTGGATCTGGCATCCACATCCAGCATCATATTTTCGTTGCACAGGTTCAGCATGATCACTTCAAGTATCGAATCACTTCTCCCTTTTTTGGCGGTCTTGCAAATTTTCACAAAGAGCGTACAGCTGAAGATCGAAGGTCACACGCCAAACACAGTTGATCTTGACCACCTTCTTTCTCCACTCGCAGAGCATTTCAAACCCAATGTTTTAGTTTCGTTGCATATTTGGTTGCCCCGCCCCATTGACTCCCCTAACAACTACTTACTAGTGCCTGCTTCCGTCCTCCAAATGCTACGGGCCTTCACAGGACTCACCGAGCTCGATCTCGGTTCAATGAATATCTTTCTCACCGACGACGAAGTTCTAGACCTCGTTTCTGCTTGGCCACAGATGGAACGTCTTTACCTTGGCACGAGCTGGGACTTGGGAGTTACTCGCGTGGGCGTGACATTTCACGGGCTTGCAGGTGTCCTTGAGCGCTGTCCAAATCTGCGCTCCCTAGGGGTCAACCTAGATACCTCGACCCTGCATGACTTGCCTGTCTATGTCGATCACCGATACATTGGCATCACCAGTAAGAAAATCACTACCCTGAGGGTTGGGTGTGCGGAATGCCACGATGTCGAGGCCACTGGAAACCTGCTAGCTGCGATGTGTCCCAACTTGCGCCAAATTCGTCGCGCATGTTCCGTAGATTTTTGGTACCACGCGATGAACTGGGACAAGGTCGAAGGTTTCATCACTCAAAGGAGAATGGGACAACCGCAGTAGACCAATGGTAAGTGCGCTTTATAGCTACGCAGGTGTATTCTCACATGTTATAGTGTAACCAGTTTGTGATGCAGAGAATTGGTGCTACTTGAGCGAACGAGGTGTTTTTTTTTTGGTGCAAGACGACTGCCAGTGATTCTGTATATTTATGTTTTGACTTTCGGTGATTTTGTCACTAAGTTCTTGAGATTACTCTCCATAGTACTTTTGTTAATGCGATTGAGGATAAAAACGACAATTGGAACAGACTTCACATGTTGAGACAATAACCCGTTATGCTGGAGTCGAAAGGGTCCATTGAATAAATTCCGTGTCCCGGTAGAAGTCAGCGACATGGAACTTTACTCCGGGTCCCATGCTTGCTGTCCGAAATTCACTGATATGTGGACAGGTGAGGAGCAGCACTGAATCTGCAGCAAACCATGACACGTCTACGCGCGCAACCGATAAACGGAGAGGCGCAATAACATACTTGATACCGAGGCGGCTTACATTCTTTAGATGATATAAGAGTGAGACTCAGAGAGTAGACTTCGGATGCAGAGATGATTTCAGGATTACGGAGAGTACACAGTCACTGGGAATAAATTAGTATGAGAGAGTGGCGTATGTTGTGTGCCTAGTATAACTTTAAGTGAGTGGCGGAAGCGGTACGATATTTGTTGGGATCATCAAGATCGTGGTCTTAGTGACCGTCGAGCGACAAAGGCATAGCCTTTCTTACACTATCTCCAATTGCATCTTCATCATATAGTCGACCATAGCCCCCGCCCACACCAAGAAGCCAAACCAACCGTTGTTGAGGAGACTAGCATTGCAACTCTCCTTATTATCGAAATCAATCCTAGTGAGGAGTCGGACAAGGTGAAGGGCCCCAAGGGCCACGCCGACGAAAAACGGAAAACCATGTCCGTTGAGGATTCCGGCGTACGCCACCAAAGCACAAGCGACGAGGGAAAACATCATAAGAATAGGTCGGAGCCGGTCTCCGAAAACTATTGTGGTCGAATGAAGGCCATTTTTGATGTCTTCATCTCTATCCTAGTTATTTTTGGTTCAGCCGGCGGGCACGGAAGAAAGAGGATCGATTTACTTGGCGGGCGTAGGCAGTATCATACTCGATTGTCCAGCATGCACCCCCGATGTATAGAGGGATGTATACACGCCAGTCAACTGCTCCAGCAACAGCAGATGCTCCTAAGAGTGCCCCCCAATTAAAGCACAGGGCTATTCGGTAACATTAGGAACTGCGATCAAGGAGGTTGACAGCAACTTACCAAGCACAGCTTGTGGCCAGTCAGTCACCCGCTTCATGGCAGGATACATCGCGACCACACCCAGGGAAGAGAGTCCGAGAACCGTGCTAAAGAGGGTGTGAGAAACGATACAGATACAACAATGATCAACGGTGTGTGAGATGGCAGACCTATATTCATTCAACTGCATGAACAGCCAGATGCCAAGGGCCAACTGTGGAATAAGGAAGATGAACGCCTGGAACCTCGTGAGGTCACCCGCGGCCAAGGGTCGCGTGCGTGTTCGTGCTTCAAGTGAGGGCGTCACAAGCAGTTGCCGATCAATTAAACAAAACTCACAAGTAGCAGCGTCGATGTTTTTGTCCCACATGTCATTGATCACACACCCAGCGGAGCGGAACACTGAGGAGGCTACAAGGAAGAATCCGACATAAGTCCACGCCGTCGCGATCGGCGCCCTGAGCGCGTAGCAGGCCATGGTGACCGACCATGCTAGGTCGTTCGAGTCAACTACCAAACGAAGAACCATCGCAAAGATATACTCACCGCATGGATAGAACAGTAAAAGTGTTCCAGCGGGCTTGTGAGCTCGTATGAGATAAAAGTAAGGACGTATAGTGGGAGGAACATAGTCCAGCCAAGTTTTGGTCAGAGCCCGGTGATTCTGAAGGTGCTGCTTGATCTTTACCGATGTGTCTTCCATGGAGAGAGAATGAGCAGATTGAAACATAGATGGAATGTCAGGTTTTATACACAAGTATTTCCGCGTGCCGCACGACTGAGGACAACCAATCGATCACCACAGCCTATCGAAAGTTAGAAGGGTATGGATCAAAACTCACTAGTGGCATCCGTTGCTTTTGCTATCGTATGTACACTGCGGAGCTGTGGGGCGCATCACATGGATACGCGTGCTAGCTATGTTGAGGAATCGTGATGTAGATCTCGTATGTCCACACACCTTGCACCGGTGATTCTTGGCCCGCGGGTTTCTGAGTTGTGATTCCCATAAAGGAGAAATTTGGAGATTGTATCTGACAGAAAACATTTGATTGTAAGCTGATACCAATGGATGTATGTGTGCTGCCTCGGGAGTCGGCGGCACTATCCTCAGTTACACTCGAGCAATGTAACTCACAGAAAAACAGTGCACGAACTTCAATCTAGAATGCAAGCAAGATACAATAGCTGTCAAGAAGCGAAAAAACTTATGGTGTAGCAGACAAGCTGAGTATCGCAGTATGCGCAAGCAGTGCCAAGCACTAGCCTACTACTTACTAGCCTCGACTCCGTGACTTGGATATCATGATGATTTAGGGCAAATTCAGGGCACAGAGACATGTACTTATACGACTCAACTTGATCTATCGTTATTCCTGTTGTCCATCATCCCGTAACCTGTTGTGAGGATTTGAATTTCTCGCAAATGTAATACGGTGAGAGGGCGCAAGAAAAGGATTCCAGGAACATATTGGGAGCGCAGAGATTAAGGCGCCGAGCGCCGACTTGTTGGGTGTCTGATATGACAACTGATGGCATCTGATCATTAATGGTCCAGTGCCAATCTGTGTTTGAACTCGTCTTGAGAGACAACTTCAGAGCGATACTTTTGGGATAGTTCAGGGACACTGTCGCCTAAGTACCTCTCCACCAATGAGAGCGCGCGCTTATGGCTGAAGAAAGTTTCAAATGTGAACGTGAACTAGGCCGTCTCTCAGATTGGCAGGCACTGGGCGGACCTCGTGTAGTACTAGTTCAAGTCTTCCTTTAGTACTAGTTGAGCGGGAGTTTGCAGGTTTAGACGAGTTATATTGTGTCCGCCACGATCCGTCATATTCCTTCTTTCAAGGTCTGACTTGGGGAAACTAGAAGACCCTCGTGCTAGCAAACAACATGCAGACAGCCAACTCAAAAGTCAATCTTCGTTGTTACACATTTCACGATATTAATATGATGATCAATGAGCTATTCCGTATTCTCTACACTACTGCTTACAAAGTTGTGTGTCAGCATCTTAGCCTCGTTGCTGGGTTCATCGCACTCGGTTTCTTGTGCACGTCGAGCCTGCCTGTGTCTTCTGCATCGTCAGTTTCACTGGTTCCCAACCACCCCGCTATCCCCGTATCCAACCGGATACCATTCAGATGCACCAAGTCCCAGCGCGGGGCGGATTGATCATGGAGGTTGGACGCTTTTGTGTGGATGACGGGCATTGGAAACCAGAATATCTGAAGAGGAGAGGCAAAGGCTGTTTGTGGAGACGCGCGTTTCAGAACTCAAATGGGCAAGGCACATCAATACTGTGAAATGTGCAGGCGTTCTGTTGCGCATGGCGGACATTGCGTGCTGAATTTCAGCTTTGCAGGTTTTGCCAGACACCTTTGAGTCACGTGCGGTAAGATGCCAAGTCCGAGCCCTGCGCCCTTGTCTGAAGCCTTCCTCGACCATTCCTTGAAGACCCTCAGGCTTAGCGCTAGCAAACAACATGCAGACAATCAACTCACAATTTAATCTCTCACCGGTCTCGGATATCATTAGCGCACTACAGAATATCGTAAGTTTGATAGCCACTTGTGTATGAGAAGACATAACCATTCGCTTTCAGCTACGCTCGCAAGCAATCGTACGTCTACTATGTGGAAGTATCAGATGTGATATCGACGATCCCCAGATGCCAGACCTTGAAACCCCATACTCTTGAGCCAGAGTTCCCAGTACCAACTACTCTGCCATCGAGCTCAGAGAATGGGGCATCGGCGCCATCGTCGCCGAACGCCAGCAGCAGCTGGATGCCGTTGTGGGCGAGATCTCAGGCCTGGAAAAAGTCATGGAGAAGTGTCCAAAATCTTTCACCATCAGCTCGTCGAGCAGAAGGACAGGATTATCCAGTCCTTGGATCTGCACAAGAGACTCAAATTGACTCTCTGGTGCTTGCCAACCGAAGTCCTATCTCACATTTTCGTTTACTGTCTCCCAGAAGTCAAGTACTTGTCGCCCGCATCAAAGCTGGCCCCCATGCTGCTTGACTAGAATATGCCGACGATGGAGGGAGGTTGCTGTGAACATGCCGAGTTTCTGGTGCATGCTCAGGACTGTGGAAGTCAACCACAGAGACTGGCAGCGGCAAGCCTTCTGCTATGACTCATGGCTCAAGCGGTCACAAGGACATCCGCTCTCGTTAGTACTCCTGTGCCACCCAGGTGACTCGCGCATGTCACGAAACCTTCTTCATCCTTACTTCAATCAAATCACATCTCTCTACATCCATTTTTCCCGAGGAGCGGACCAACCTGAACTTTCGTTATAAGACCTCCCTGCGCTTCGGGAGCAACCGTCATCACAATTATGATACATGGACAATCTATTGCACAATATATCTCGCGATCTTATCTTCTTTCACCCCGTATGGGCCCACCTGACGCATGTCGAGATCAAGTTAGATCAACAAAATGCATTCCTCCACTTGCTCCAGCTAGGTCCCAATCTCTCCTCATTGTCGATTCACATGCCCTACGGTTCCTCCCTAATACAAGCCTTCAAGCTAGTCACGCACAACTCGCTTCAATCCTTGCGCATCACTCTCACTGATAACCTACAGATGAGATACCAAATGCCTCACCTGTTTAATACTCTCTCGCTTCCCAATTTACGTGTACTTGAAGCTTGCGGTTTTCACACATGGCCTCATGAGGAGTTGAAAACATTCTTGGCACGGTCAAATTGTCCCCTGGAGAGCCTGATTTTCGGCGCTTCGGAAGGGATGACGACAGATCAGTGGCGAGCAGAATACATTCCCCTTATTCCTTCCCTTCGAGTCGAAGTACTAGTAGGAGTGGATTCCATGCATCATGGTTGACTTATAAGTATACTTGCGGTACGAATGGCTTCACGGACTTGTATCAGCTATCTTACTGCGCAGATATCTTTCACGACTGCGGGACCATTCTCGAGCTCTATGATACTTCAAGCTCTCCTACTACCGTAGTACCGTGGGAGTAGCGGATATCGATAAGTAAATAATCTCCTCCGGAGTCCGAGCGACCTCCGAGTCGAACCTGGTTCGTCGCGTTAGCAAACAATATGCAGGCAGCCAAAGCGATGACAGCCAACTCAAATTTCTCCTCAGTTCCGGACATTATTGCTGCACTGCAGAACATCGTAAGTGCCCAGTTTTATAACCACTCGTGTCCTGCATACAATGATGTTCATTCACTTTAGCTCGCACATTCACAAGTGACTGTATGTCCCTAATTCTGATATATGGATCAGATAGTTATTTTATTGATGATGAGTCTAGATTCCAGATCTTGAAACCCCATACTCCAAGTACCCCAATACCAATAAGTCCACCACTCACAGAGGCCCGAACCTCATCAGCGCTCTCATCAGCCGAGCGCCAGCAGCAGTTAGATGCAGGTTTTGCACGAGATCTCAGGGCCTGGAAACTGTGATGGATTCTATAAAGAATCTCCATCAGCAGCTCGTCGAAAAGAAGGACAAGATCACGCAGTCCATGGATTTGCACAAAGGACTCGTATCGAGTCTATGGTGCTTGCCAACTGAAGTCCTATCCCAAATCTTTGACCACTGTCTCCGGGAAGACATCTCCGAGCTGTATCCAGATACTCTAGAAGCTCCCGTGCTGCTGACCGAAGTATGCCGACGATGGAGGGAGGTCGCTGTGGGTATGCCCAGTTTATGGTGCAGGTTGTATGTGGAAGTCGACAACAATGATTGGCAGCGGGCAGCCTTTTGCTACGACTTATGGCTCCAGCGATCGCGAGGATGTCCGCTCTCGTTAGAACTTATGTGCTGCGCGAATGACTCGCCCAAGCTACGAAGCCTTCTTCAGCCTTACATGAATCAAGTCACGTCTCTCAGTATCCGTTTTTCCCAAGACGCGGACCATGCTGAACTCGTGTTAAAAGACTTTCCAGTACTCCAGGATTTGACCATCCTAGTAAGGGTTAATCTTGACATATCATTCATCGCACAACCTATCTCGCAACTGCCGTCCACTGTGCGCACTCTCAATCTCATCGGGCCGTTCTTCGACATCGAACGCTTATCTTCTTTCAATCCCGTATGGGCCCACCTGACAAATATCGAGATCATCATACGTTATCCGAACGCATTCCTCTACTTGCTTCAGCAATGTCCCAACCTCTCCTCGTTAAAGGTTTGCACATTATTCGACAAAATACCAACCCAAGAGCCATTGATACACAAGCAACTTCAATCCTTAGACATCAATCTTAGCTCTTCGTCTCCAGGCAACCTATTAGATGCTCTATCATTCCCCAAGTTACGGGTACTTAAAGTCGGTCATAAAGGAGCATGGCCTCACGAGGAGTTCAAGGCATTCTTGACACGGTCAAAGTGTCCCCTCGAGAGCCTGGTTTTAAAAATGATGGTCACAGAGCAGCAGCGTGCGGAATATGTTGACCTTATTCCTTCCCTTGAGGTAGATCCCAGATGTACATACTTTGCATCACACTGAGTCGTTACACGTAACATTTCGCGAAATAATGATATTGGACTGTAACAAGCACTGCATGTCGATACGGCACTACCCAGGGCAGGTTTTGCAATGATAATTCCAAGTCGATCGTGTATCAATCATACATGTTCAAACGTTTGCGCTTTATGAGAGACCCTAAGTGACCAGCCAGGAAGGAATCGTTCGAATGACTGTCTTTGTCGTGGCGTATGCAGCTTAGCATGACTGAATACCTCCCAGATGTGGTTGATGTGGATATGTTTTGAGCGACTCATGCACGCCAACGGGTTAAGCAAGACCCCGCTGATATGTTAGCTGGGCACGTTTCGAGCCCGGCGAGTCGTGATAATGGAGGCACACAGGGGAAGTTGGGGTACCATAGTACAACTGCGAATGGATACCTATTGGGATAGTGCGACGAGCCTAAGTCGAATCTTGAAGTCTGAGGCGGGGTGAGCGACAACAAAAATAGATGTGTTATGATTTGCTTGAGGTCCTTCTTCCATCTCACCGGCGGGATCACCTTCATCCGGGCCCCAGTATGAGACTCCCCTGCATTACCTTTACTCTCAAGGCCTGCATCATCGACATCTGACAAGCTGTCCTGTCCACCCCACCCGCCCATGTCGTCAAAGAGGGGAAGAAGTGCAAGGGAGCCTGCACGAAGAGTTTCTCCAGCCGCGCGATCAGTTGTGTGCGGAACGAGCGGCAGGAAAGGTAACAGCGCGGGTGATGGTAGCGGGGAATAATATATGTTGGGACTAGCAAGAATACAGACCCGTAATCATCATCTTCAGCCACGGTACTGTGTGCACTCTCAGCGTTGTGCTCATCCCTCTTTAGCACGTGGATTACGGGCCTGCCGGCGTCTTCTGCAACATCATGCATGAGCTCTCTCAGCTATCAAACCGGATACCATTCAGACGCACCGAGTCCCATCGCGTCAGATCGATCGTCTTGCGGCGCGCACGCGTGAGGCATCCGACTTGGTATACATATATAAAAAATGGAGTTGATGTGCTGCCTGTTTCTGCGTGGATTGTCGTCTTCGTTGGCTTGATGTGTTATGCGGAGTCGTTTTCCAGAGGGCAAGCTTTTGAGACCCGACATGAGCCTCAGCTGGTGGCTGCAAACTCGAATGAGTTGGCCGTGGTCGAGTTACAACTCGGCGGGAATCTGGAGATAGCTATATTCGAGAGACCGGTAGGTCAGTCCCAGCGGCTACGTCTCGGGACGTAGCCCGATTGTGATGGGGCACATAGCTCGTTACCGTTGTAAAGATGGGCCAGCTGCGCTCGAATCGATATATGATAGTAGTGAAGTCAAAGTAAAGTTGTGAGTAAAATCAGTAAGGCTCAGCCAGGTTCGGTAGCTTTTAGATCATCGGATGACCTCCAGTGGGGGTTTCGGAATGTAAGTTTGAAAACAGGACCTGTGTATTGAATTCGTGGTCATCATCGTCAGCCTCGTTGCCAAGTTAGGGTTCATTAACGTTCATTCTCACCATCGTACTCGTCGCTCTCGGACTGCACCATCAGCCTCAATCTCAACCGCACCCGCTACTTTACCACTTTAGCATCCAAGTTGGCAACCACTGATGGTACCGAGTCCGGACGCGTCAGATTGATCGTCCGGCGGCGTGGAGCAGGTTTGACGCATTTTTTTGTGTGCCGGGTATTGTAACTTACTAAGTAAGACAGAGATGTGCAGGTGTTTTCTTATCATGGTTCTTAGTTTCGGTGGAGTCGGGTCGTCATTGCGTTACAGCAGCCGTAGAATTATTATTTACTAGTCTTTTCATTCTTCTTCATCAACATCTTCCTCGAACGTTCCAACCGTTAACATGCAGACGGCTACCAATCTTTCCCCGCCATCGGATATCATTCGTGCGCTGCAAAATATCGTAAGTGCCCAGTTAATGATTGTATTTGCGAACAATAATTAATTGCTTTAGCTCGTGTATTCACAAGCAATTGTAAGTCTGGTGGCTGATCATATATCCGATGCTATATGGACATTAGCAGATGCCAGATCTCGAAACCCCGTACTCCCCAGTCAAATTCCCCAGTACCAACCGCTCTACCATCGAGCCCGAGCTTAAAGGGCAGAGCATCAGTGCCATCATCGCCGAACGCCGGCAGCAGTTGGATGCAGTTGTGGGAGAGATCTTAGGCCTGGAAACAGTCATGGAGGGTATCAAAAAACTTCACCAGCAACTCGTCGATCAAAAGGATAGGATCATCCAGTCCCTGGATCTGCACAAGAGATTCGGATCGGCTCTCTGGCGCTTGCCAACCGAAGTTCTATCCCACATTTTCGTCTTCTGTCTCCCAGAAGTCAAGTACTTGTCGCCCGCATCAAAGTTGGCCCCCATGCTGCTGACCAGAATATGCCGACGATGGAGGGAGGTTGCTGTGGGCATGCCGAGTTTGTGGTGTATGCTCAGGACTGTGGAAGTCGACCACGGAGACTGGCAGCGGCAAGCCTTCTGCTATGACTCATGGCTCAAGCGATCACGAGGACGTCCGCTCTCGTTAGCACTCAAGTGCGTCGCAAATGACACGACTGACCTGCGAAGCCTTCTTCAGCCTTACATCAATCAAATTTCGTCTCTCTCGATCTATTTTTCCCGAGAAGCGGATCAACCTCATCTTTTCTTAAACGACCTTCCAGAACTTCAGGAGCTAACCATTATCACGCTACACGGGCCAGCTATTTCACACATTTCACAATGCATCTCGCAGCTGCCGTTCACTCTGATCAGTCTCAAGTTCATATGGCTGTTGTTCGACATCAAGCTCTTATCTTCTTTCACTCCCGTATGGGCCCACCTGACGCATGTCAAGATCACGGTAGATCAACCAAATGCATTCCACCACTTGCTCCAGCTAGGTCCTAACCTCTCCTCATTGACGATTCAAATACCCTACGGTTCCTACCAAACACAGGCTTTCGAGCCAATCACACACACCAAACTTCAATCCCTGCGCATCACTCTCACTGATGGCCCGGATATGAGACGCCAATTACCTGACCTGTTGGATGCTCTCTCACTCCCTAGTTTACGCGCACTTGAAGTTTGGCGTACTCGGAGATGGGCTCATAAGCAGTTCAAGGCATTCTTGGAACGGTCAAAGTGTCCCCTGAAGAGCTTGATTTTCGGCACTGAAGAGATGACGACAGATGAGCAGCGCGCGGAATACCTTGCCCTCATTCCTTCCCTCCGAGTTGATGTAGTAGTGACTCATTCCACTTATATAAGACTTGGTTGTTACACATTTCGAGATGTGATGATGAACGGCTTCACAGATTTGTATCAGCTATCTTAGATATTTTCACGGCTGTTACAGCACCATCCTCTATGATAGATGTCATCATTCCAAGTTTTGCGCTTATTTTATTTTCAGCTTCCATCGATCGGTTCTGGCAGAAGAACTTGAAGACAAAGGTCGCTCTAGTTTTTGCCCGATCTTGCCTCGCTCACGCACACTCATCAGAAGCACTAACACTTTGCTTTGGAGTCAACCTGTTGCTGCCTTGCAGATCCAATCAAGTGAGGGTTGACTCTACGTCAAGTGGATGGTTGGGAACGCTGTCTTAACTGCCATTGATCTTTACTATATTGGTGACCCCGATCTTATTCATCCCAAGAAGTTCTTATGGTATATCCATCGAGTTATACGATCCCAGTTGGTAACGAGGCTGCACGCGACTGGGGCATGATCTAACTTTGCTATCTGAACGACAATATAAAGAGAAGATGATGTGAGTTGAGGTGGAGCCTGTACGTGGCATCGACGAATCAATTCTGCGGAAGCAAGCCGGTGAAGCGTATGTCTATTTCAAATAGCATTTGGGAAGAAGTGTTTAACAGCTCACAAATCTCTACATAACTTCAGTCCTCACTAACGCCTAGAGACCCACGTGGTCATGTTTCGAAGCTAAGGTTTCCCAAACGCGCACCAGTCAAGACCAGCCCAATGATGGTCCTTGGAATGGTGCGATCAAGTGCGCTGATGGACCGGCGAATATAGAGGAAGTGTACTGGCAGCGACTTGCCTTAGGTGCGTGACCGTGTAACCATGCTCCACGTCTTCCCTAAATCAGGCTGACAAGGTCCCCATGAAGGCTTATAAGGACATGTTGCGAGGTTAATTTTGGCTTTTGTTCCTTGGTGTCCTTGATTACAATGCCCAGCTTTACCCTGCCTTATGTGCCGCATTACGTTGCGGCACCTCCTACGAAGGAAACCTGTCTGTGCAACTTGAGTCTTCTGCTCAATTCCGAACACTGACATGCGCATTGATAGTGGAGTATGCTGACCTTGCAATCATCGACATTTCGAAGGCCGCCACTGAAGAAGGTCGCGCAGCCCTCACACTTGAATTAAGGGAGGCTCTCCTCAGCCACGGGTTCTTCTATGTCGTGAATCATGGGTATTCGCAAGCCCAAGTGAGGCCATTTTCTCATACCATGCAGTTTTTTTAATCGCATCTCGACTCAGACAGCTCGTATGTTTGACATTGCGGACGTACCCTTTTCTGCCGTCACTGATGGCGAGAAGCAAAATTATGTTTCAACCAGAAAAGAAACTGGGTCAATCGAAGGATATATATTACTCCAGTACCCTGTACGTAGCAATCGTGCCTCATACAACACACGAGTGTTTGATCAATTGACTTCAGGATATCGATGGTGCGGTACGCGACCAGCTTAGCCAATACTGCAGTGAGCAGAATGCGTTCATTTTTCATTGACTTGCCTTACATCATTCTAGTTCATCGCGATGTGACCAAGCGAAGACACCCAGAAGCCCTTCATCCGCTCCTCCCAGAGATCCAGGAGTTCAGCAAGCACAACCACTTCAACGTGTTGCATCCTATCCTAAGGTAATTTATACCCCAGTATGCTCAGGATAATTCTCTAATAATGTTTCTGTTTCTCAGGCTTATTGCACGAAGCCTAGAGCTACCCGAAGACACACTGGTGAACATGCATGACTATGACGCCGTCAGCGAGACAGCTGGTACATATTTTTCAAACATTTCGTGGCGTTTCTGACTTATCGATCAGTCAGGTTCATCAAGTAGTAAGTACCTCCCTTGAATTTCTACTCGCCACAAGTTCATGTAGTTTAGCTATCCACGAACAAAGGAAGAAGAAACAAAAACGAAGAACGTTTGGCTGAAGGGACACACGGGTCAGTAATTAACTCACGAAGCAACAAAAACCTGTCCTTACAGTGTCATTACACCAAGACTTTGGGAGCATTACGATTCTATGGAGTCAACCTGTCGCTGCACTGCAAATTCAGACCCGTGAAGGCGAATGGCGTTGGATCCGTCATATGGAAAATGCGCTTGTAGGCTGCCACGTTCTATCTCTCAACCGATGACATGATAATGAGGGCGTTACTAACTTACAGGTCGTCAACGTAGGCGATGCAATGGACTTCCTTTCTGGCGGGTACTACAAGGGCACGATCCACCGCGTTGTCCAGCCCCCAGTGGACCAGCAGAACCATACTCGCCTTGGAGTATTCTACTTCTCCATGGCTAACGACGATGTCAAGTTGATGCCGATGGTTGAAAGCCCAGTCTTGCAGAGAGTGGGAATCCAGAGACGTTGCGACGATAGCCAGGCACCGACGATGGAACAATGGGGGAAAGCGAGGACAATGGCTTATGGCTTTTCAAAACTGGAGAGTGGCAAGGAGAAGGGCGTAGAAGAAGAGATCATCAACGGGGTGGTAGTCAAGCATTACAACTGAAGCTTTTTTGACAAGGTATAATTGTACTGGCTGTCTCACCATCTTGGGGCGACGAATATCTCCTCGGCGAGAATATTGATGCTATACACAACGCAGGTCCAGTGTGAGAAGGCTAGTATTAACACGAGGATGTCGCCCGAGCCGCTACGGAAGCGTGGTTGGATGTCAATAGTATACGTCTACCGGGAAAACACCACAAGGATGGGAATATCATTAAGGTGGAGGCAGCAGAAGTCCTGAAGCACTCACGTTTTGAGTAGCAAAATCAACTATAACATCAAGTACTAAACTATTCTGTGAAGCTCCGCACAGTAACACCATCCCTAGAGTTCCATCGTACGCACTGCCAATTACGCTAGCTCACGAGGACAATACATGAGGAAAGAAGAAATTCCAGTCCGATGTACATCAGTAGTGAATCAGAAGATATGATGTGCCAAACCACAAGTGCAACATGAATAATAAAGTGAAGTGCTAATCTACGTAAGTGACACGGGATGGTATGAATTTACCAACAAGTAGATAGATATATGATGAGACGAACAAATAAATTACAAATGATTCTTTCACCAGGAGAAGATCGAGCGAGCCGTTGTACAAGCAAGTCTTTCATTGCAATGTGTACTCTCCCCTAGAAGGGAGACCCAAAAGGTCCTGTGGTCGCGTCTTCATGATCACGGAACGGTCATCCAAGGATGTGCACTCCAACTTCCCAGCAAGCCAGCCAATGCATCATGGGCGCCAGATATAACCTGCAATCGATCTTGCATGAACAAGGTTACGCGAAGAACAATAGTACTATATAAACCTTGCTGATAGAATTGCTGAATTGCTTCTGCCGACAAGGGAGCACCTCCAACGGTACATCGACCATATCTTTAGTGACTGCGAATATGGAGCCGTCTCCTTCGGCCAACCTTCCTTAAGCTTCAGGTCGTATATGACCAAAGGCGCATTCCGGAAGTGAATTCGGTAATTCTTCTTCTACTTTTTGTTTGAGTGAGAGAAAAGAAGGCAGCTCGTGGACTTGATCCCCGTCGACGACCAGAACATCAAGAAATACGCGGATAACATTCAGTGTAACGTCCATTCCTTTAGGAAGTACTATACGAGCGAACACCGTACCGCTAGCAAGGAAACCGCTGCCAACAGAGGTGGGTTTAACCTAGGGATCAGCAAAACTGTCGTTATTGCTTAGCATTAACAAATTAAGAGATAAATAGCTATACTCACGCTTCATGAACAACTTAGTTTATATACCTAATCTGCATTTGTCTCCAACCGTGACCGCACCTTTTTCGCTGACCCGCCTGATACAACCACACTACTATGGATATGGTTTTGAACAACGCATGCATACCAACTGGTGTAAGCAAGACGCCACTGGCGAAGGTGACGGTCGAGGAAAAGTCCTCGGATCATTGTTAATCTTGCTACGACTGCGCAGCGAGAATTCGATAATGCGAATTCGAGGGCAAAATGAAATACTAAATAGAGTCCGACAGGTACGGATCAATATGATAATGGTGACGATAAGGGAGAGTAGACTTCGGAGGCGAATGGTCGGACCGTCGGCTTGCTGTCTTGGACAGTATATAGTCACAGGGAGTGAATCTAAAACGGGTCTACCAAGGTACATAGCATAGGTTTCATGGACGAGAGTGGAAAGGCGTAGTGTGTCTAGCATAGGCAAGTGACGGGATCGGTACAGCATTAAGACGGTGGTCTTGGCAGGCGTCGAGCGACAAGGCGTAGCCTTTCTTACAGTATATCTAACTGCATCTTCAAAAGATAGTCGGTCATAGCTCCCGCCCAAACCCAGAACCCAAACCAAGCATTGTTGAGGAGACTAGCATTGCAACTCTCCTTGTTGTTGAAGTCAATCCTGGCGATGAGTCGGAGAAGGTGAAGTGCCCCAAGGGCCACACCAATGAAATATGGGAAGCCATGTCCATTGAGGATTCCGGCGTACGCCACCAGAGAACAGGCGACGAAAGAGAACATCAAGAGAATAGGCCGGATCCTGTCTCCAAAAACAATCGTGGTCGAGTGATTGCCGTTTTTGAGGTCGTCATCCATGTCCTGGTTTTCGTTAGTTCAGCTGACAAGCGCAAAACGGAAGAACGATTCACTTGACGGGCGTAAGAAGTATCATACTCGATTGTCCAGCATGCAGCACCGACATATAGAGGTATATATACCTTCCACTCAACTGCTCCAGCAACAGCAGCTGCCCCCAAGAGTGCTCCCCAGTTGAAGCACATGGCTATTCAATAAAATTAGTGACCAGATCACGGAGTGAGGTTGGTAGCAACTTACCAAGCACAGCTTGTGGCCAGTCGGTTACCCGCTTCATGGCAGGATACAAGACGACCAAACCAAGGGAAGAGAGCCCAAGAATCGTGCTGAAGAGGAGAGTGAGGAATGATACAGATAGAGAAATAATAATAAATGCGAGATGACAGACCTGTATGCATTCAACTGCATGAACAGCCAGACACCGAGGGCCAACTGCGGAATAAGGAAGATGAACGCTTGGGATCTCGTGAGATCACCCGCTGCCAAGGGTCGGGTGCGTGTTCGTGCTTCAAGTGAAGGTGTCAGAAGGAGTCGCCGATTAACTGGACGGTGGACAACTCACAAACAGCAGCGTCAATGTTCTTGTCCCACATATCGTTTATCACACACCCAGCGGAGCGAAACACGAGGGAGGCTAGAAGGAAAAATCCAACATAGGTCCACGCCGTCGCGATCGGCACACTGAGCGCGTAGCAGGTCATGGTGACCGACCATGCTAGGTCATTCAAGTGAGCAAGAAGAAATTAGTTGCCAAGACATACTCACCGCATGGATAGAATAGCAAAAGTGTTCCAGCGGGTCTGTCAGCTCGTACTAGATACAAGTAAGGACGTATGTTGGAAGGAAAATAGTCCACCCAAGTTCCAGCCGGAGTCGGATGATTCTGAAGCTGCTGCTTGGTGATTGCCGATTTGCCCTCCATGGAGAATATAGGTAGAGTTGAGCGCAGATTTAATGAGGGGTTTTATACACGGGTAATAGATTCCGCATGTACATCACCACAGCCTGTCGGGAGTTAGAAGGGTATGTATTGAAACTCACCAGGGCTTTCAATTTGTATGTACACCGAAGGTACAGTCAAGGTACTACAGGGAAGTAATACAATCACCACAGCCTGTGGGGGTCACGTATTACTGCAGTCCAGGTACAATGGATTGATGTACCTCACCATGCGTTGATTATACGTTACCGGAGACGGATTGAATGTCTTTGCTGAATATACGCTAATTAAATTACCATTTATGGTGAGCAATCGTGATGCAGTACTAGATCTCGTCCACACATTTGCTTCTTGGCCTATGAGCTTCTAAACCATGGCCCCTATTATTAGTGAAGTAGACCAGACCTGATATAGTCAATAGGACACAAATGGAGATCGTAATCTGAAAGAAAACTTTAATTTTGAGCTGATATCAATAGATGCATGTGTGCCGTCCCTGCGGCACAATCCTCGGTTAAATTAGAGTTATGTAACTCACAGAAACGGTAAGTTCAGCCCAGAGCCTAATGACTAGCAAAGTGCTAGCTACAGTGAGTGAAAAAGGTGTGAGTGCTGTACAATGAGACATGAGTAAGGCGTCAGTATCTGGATGACCTCAGAAGGTAACATTGATTAAGAAGAGAAATCAAACGTTGTCGAGCCGAGTATCTACGACTGCATGTAGTCGATCATAGCTCCCGCCCAAACCCAGAAGTCAAACCAAACTTTGACTAGCATTGCAGCTCACCTTATATTCGAAGTCAATCCTGGCAAGGAATCGGACAAGGTGAAGTGCCCCAAGGGCCACGCCAATAGCCGCGTCCATTGAAGACCCCGGCGTACGCCACCAAAGAACAAGCGACGAAGGAGGGCATCAAAAAAATAGGTCGGATCCCGTCTCCAAAAATAATTGTGGTCGAGTGGAGGCCTTTTCGATGTCTTCATTAGTCTGTCCTAGTTATTTTCGTTCAGCCGACGAGCGCGAAACGAAAGAAGATTCACTCACTGACAGGCGTAAATAGTCTCGCTCTCGATTATCCATGTATCGGCATTCGGCGAAGTCAAACATCGACTCGGATAGTAAAATTGAGCGAAAAATTAGCACGAAGGTAAACGACCTGCGGATGTCACACAAGCAGAACCCTCGTGCGTGTAGTATGTAGCCAAACTCGGAGGTTTTGAAGCACGACACCACCCTGTAGAAACCAGTACTGCTACGACTCTAGAAAAGGGATGACAAGTTGGAATCCTGCATGGAGTGAGGAGATAGGCGCGAGTGAACGCGAGATATCGAAGAAGGTTTTTTTGTATTTTTTTTTGTATCCAGTTTATTGTCACTGAGGGCAAGGCCTATGTTAGACGCAGTGCGAGATACTCTATTTTATCGTACGACCCCCAACCCGTAAGCCAATGTCCTATGGCACATTTGAAAAACCCCCGCGCACTTTTAATTTTAATACCTTCACTCCGACTGCCCACACTAGTCAATTCAAACCCCGTCCGATTGGTTAAGCGAGTCCCTTGAAATCTCCCAATACACCGATGTTAATCTCATTTTTCCTCTCTTCGCGTGACCCTGTTCTCCTTCTTACGTAATTATGGTGCCATTTGTGTGAAAACACAGCGTGATTTATCGGAGATGCATGCGGTTACCTTGAAGAATGTTGATATGACAGCTATTTTCATATCGATAGACCAGAATCTGGAAAACTCATTTAGCCGCTTTTGTTTGTTGTTGGAGCGACACCAAACAGAGGCGCGCACGCTAGCTACTTTTATGAATCTTTAACGTAACTTGGGGCTTGTGTGGCACTGCGGGGCAGTGACGAGACCCTGGAATCGTACCGCACGCACTGACCTGCGACCAGCCGCACATGGTGCACCGTGGTTATTACCAACTGCAGGTGACCTTGTCAAGCAAACGAAGCCCTCGCCGTGCAAGACACTGCAATGTTGTCAAAGGTAAGTTTTGCTCATCATCAAATGGGCTCCACTTAGTTTCTGCAACCCTGGCATTCTAGCGAGATCGTCGTCTCTTCGTCTCCGTCGAAAACAGTGGTTTTTGGATCATCTGAGAATGTTGATCCATTGCGCAAATATATTTTACATACATGCTTGTGAGTCAATCCATGCCTATGTAGTGTTCGTTTGATAGTGGCAAGAGACACCTCAATATCCCTCACCTCCTGTAGAGCACTTTGTAGTTCAGATAGAAAGATGTCAGGAGTGCGCCCGACACATGAAATAAGGTACTGTCACAGTTAAGTATTGAATTCAAAATACTTTTGTGCCTTCCCTTACTGCAACGTCCTGTGCTGTAAGTAGACGAGGACGACCAATTTCCGGAGGTTTTCGAACGACAGAGCCTGTGAGTTGTGAGAGCCGAAGAACTCGATTGACTGTTCGATGACTGTATCCTGTCACCTGCGCGATGGCCTTCGATGTCATGCCATGTGTGGACATAACAACCCACTGCTGCTTCGCAGCATCTGGTATATGTCGCCGGTTTCTGTGCATGATGATGATGGTCGGCAGTCGTTGTACTAGTATTCCACAAGCAAGTTATAAAAGTAGCTAGCGTGCGCGCCTCTGTTTGGTGTCACTCCAACAACAAACAAAAGCGGCTAAATGAGTTTTCCAGATTCTGGTCTATCGATATGAAAATAGCTGGAAAGCGGCACGTCGCATAGAGAAAGGCGTTTGCCCGCTTAGTAAGCACTTGTTTGCGCATCGAGGCGGATACGAGCAAGGTTCAAGTAGCACTAGTACTACTAGTAGGAGGACACACGAAACTCACTCGCTCCGCGCGTTCACACTGTCAAACCTTATCAGCAATTTGAAGGTGGTGTTGGGAATTCAGACTAATCAAAAGTTCGACTCATTATTCCCGGGTTTGGAAAGGCCAACTTCAAGGGACTCGTCACGGTTCGGTTCAAGTTGAATGCAGGCCCAAGTCGCTACTAGCCACAGCAACAAGCCAGGCGGAGGAGCACCAACGAGTCGGATCTGCACTGCAACCAGGCGCGTAAAGAACTACCTCCAGGACATTAATAAAAGCCGTGCTCCACCATAACGATGGCACAGGTACGTCATCTACCCTCATTTACTGCGCATGCGTTGCCGCTCCTCTCTTCGGATCGCGCCTTTGATCTAGGTTGCCTACGCCAAGATTATTAGCTGTGTAGTACTGGTAATAGACGAAACTCAATCACCAGGAGTCGCCCGAGATTTCAAACGTTGCCGGTAAGGTAATAAACTCGTGACCAGTCACCTTACACAACGCTCAACACTTGATTGCAGGGGTGTCAGAAACACCAGTTATACATACCGTAGAATGACTCACTGCCTGGTCTCAACAAATTTCCACAAATAACCATTCAAGCGCTGTGACACCCTCACCTCCTACAACCTCGACTGATTTTCCTGAAAACACTGGACTGTAACTGCATTTTGACAAGCTTATCAGATGGACTCGTAACGAGCCTGAAAGCCCTGGCTTGGGCTTGGGCTTAACTTCATATCGATAGACCAGGATTCAAATTGTTCGCTTAAGCGCTTCTATTTGTCCTTGGAGCGGTACCAAACAGCAGCGCGCCTCTTCATGCTATCATTTTGGGAGTACTGCAACGCCCAAATGTGACAGGAATCAGGACCAAGCCATCGAACTGTCAGCCGCTTGCTTCGGTTCTCGCAACTATCATTCAATGTTGAGCACAACCGAACTCAGAAATATTGCAACGTCATATATTTTCCGGAGAGTTTGCTTGTTTTTTCCAGCGCTTGGCAGTTGGGACGGTTTATCACTGAGAGCGCCCAAAAAGCACATCCCGCATTGCCGCTCTGACAGAACTTTCTAGCTCCACAATTAAACAGGATCACAGAGGCGTTTGGAGGAATATTTCAAATCCCGATCTATCGATATCAATTCGAAGTTAGCTGTACAACCTTAAAGAGCTCAGGCCTGATGCCAGGCTTACGGCTCAGCGTAAGTATTCGCATGTATTATTAGGCTGCAATTTCGGCAGGTTAATCAGCCACCACACTGTGACTATATAGTAACTGTTTACGCTGTCATTATGATGATTGTTCAACCTGGCACAAAAACCACAGTATCGCCCTCAATTTCTGGAGACCGAGAAAGTTCGGAAGCGTACTTAACAACTGGTGACACCCATACTGTTACAGAGCAAGCAACACGCACACCGTCAACTCAAAAGCCCATTCCCCCTTAGTCTTATTTTCGGTGCACTCCAGAACATTGTAAGTACACAGTTTTGCAGACACTCGCATTTGAATACAATAATAGACATTCGCTTCAGCTCCCACGGTTACAACTTACAAGTGAGCGTTTGTCACTTCTGTATAATTCATCGGATGCCGTTTATTGATATGATGCCTAGATGCCAGACCTCGCAACCTCTCCGTACTCACAAGCTTGTTTCCCCAATATCAACTACTCTGCCATCGAGCTCAAAGACCAGAGTATCGTCACCGAACACCAGCAGCAGCTGGATGCAGTTTTGCACGAGATCTCAGTCCTGGAAACCGTGATGGACAGTACGAAAAATCTTCATCAGCAACTTGTCGAAAAGAAGGATAAGATCACCCAGTCGATGAATTTGCACAAGAAACGTGTATCGACTTTTCGGCGCCTGCCAATTGAACTCTTATGCCAAATTTTTGTTCACTGTCTCCCGGAAAGCAATCACCTATCGCCCGCATCAAATCTGGCCCCCATGCTGTTGACCAGAATATGCCGGCGATGGAGGGAGGTTGCTGTGGGCATACCCAATTTGTGGAGCAGCCTGCGGTTGGAAGTCGGTCGCAGAGACTGGCAGCGGAAAGCTCTCTGCTATGACTTGTGGCTCAAGCGGTCCCGAGGAACTCCGCTCTCGTTAGCACTCCAGTGCTACGGAAATAACTCAACCAAGTTGCGAAGCCTTCTTCAACCTTACTCTAGTCAAATCTCATCTTTCTCCATTTATTTTATCTACGACGTCGACAAACCTCAACTTGTGTTAACAGATCTTCCAAAACTTCAGGAGCTGACCGTGGTCACGCATGATCGTTCTACTACTCCAGCTATTGCGCACTCTATCTCGCAACTGCCGTCTACTCTGCGCAGTCTCAGGGTAATAGGGCCCTTGTTCGACCTCGAACTCTTATCCTACTTTAATCCCATATGGGCGAACTTGACGCATGTCGAGATCGCCACGCGTCATCCGAATGTATTCCTCCACTTGCTCCATCTATGTCCCGACCTCTCTTCGTTGACTATCCGCGCAGCATTCAACCAAATACAGGCATTAGAGCCATTCACGCACACCAAACTTCAATCCTTACGCATCAATTATGACTCTACGGACACAAAACTTTTATCGCACCTGTTCAATACTCTCTCACTCCCCAATTTACGAGTGCTCGAAGCTTGCTGTGTGCAACCATGGCCTCATGAGGAATTGAAGGCACTTTTGGCACGGTCAAATTGTCCCTTGGAGAGTCTGATTTTCGGCGCTGGAGTGGTATTGGCGAATGAGCAGCGAGCGGAATACGTTGTTCTTGTTCCTTCCCTCGAAGTAATAGCGGATCCCAAGCATCTTGATTGCTTTGCGTACTAAAACTTGGTCGCTACATATTTCGCAAAATTATGATATCGGGCTTCATGCGCACGCTACTTTGTATGCTATACGCTACTATCGGCCTCGTAGAAATTGAATATCTCTGTTCACAGCTCTAAGTGAGTTAATCACTGTTGAAAACTTGTGTATTTTCGTCTGCGACTGTTATCATTTTAGTATCCCTTACGGTAAGTATTAATTCCGTGTCTACGGGGACAAGTGATTGTATCTGTTGTACCGTCACCTCTTTTCCGTTCAAACGCTCTTTCACGCTATTTAATTTCCGCTTCCCGAGGGGGTTCCCAGATCACCGTGTTGGAAAAATCTGAATTGAATCATCAGGACGTCCTGGTCATGACTCATCGGGTCCTTGAAAACTGACAAAATTCTGGCGAGGGTTCTTGCTTGGTTCTTGCCTGTTCTTGCCCCTTGCGGAAAAGAAAAATACAAGGGTGAATGCACTAGTACTGTTGAGTAGTCTCCCCTAGACAGACCATAGATGAATCGTTCCTTCTTTAAGTTCTGATGTACTACCGTGACTAGCGACTTGGACGTTCAGTAAGAAAGGTGCGGAAGATGCCGAGAGCCACCTTCCCGCTTGACTTGAACTTGCAATGAATAGGTAAAACGATGGCCTTCCACTTGTTTGCGACATGTCGAGGGAGGATTTCAAGTGGAAGTCTGCGTGCTCTTGTTCATTACCGACTCGCATCTACCGTGTCCCAGTACCCTTTCCCGCACCACCCACAACCAACTCCGCACCAAATATTCCACCTCTCCCATAGTGCATCTCAAGCTGACATCAAGTCAAGATGTTTGTATACTCGCTCATACCTACACTAATTTCTGATCGAAATAACGTCTGATCGACGTCCCCAGATTATGAACTTGTCCGAGAACACCACCCCGATTCTGCCCACGCGCAAGGTATCCCAGCTTCAGAGCGACACTCCCGTTTTCAAGCAATCACAGCCGCATACGAGTCTCTCACTGGTAAATCTCGCTCACAGGTTGGTTCAGGGCTCCACAGTAATCCGTCCGATTTCGATATGTATGAAGAGTTGAGACGGAGGAGACGCGCGCACCGCAGGAGTGCGGGGATGGACTTTGACCACGACCATCCGTTTGGCTTCCCGAGTGGAACGCCTGGGAGGGAATGGACTGCTGAGGCCAGATGAGAGATGGAAGGACTGGTCTATAATATTCGTGGGCACTGCGGTATGTATTTTCCTTTTTTCATGGCTCTTTTATTTAATCATTCCATGAAGTGTTTCATCATTGGCATTGCTCCTATATTTCTCAGTCATAGTTCCGATAAGCGCCACATGAGTGCGGTCCAGAACCTTGCTCAAGCTCGCAGTGAAGCTCAGGAGTACGGGATGGAGCGGCGAAGGGAGATTAGACGGCGCGTGCGAGAATACCAGTTGGAGCAAGAGGAGCGTGATGCACGATGCAGCTGTGACCGCAAAGCTGAGAGAAGATGAAGAAGTCACGGGTTGCTGTCGCGAGCATTGAACATTGATGGAGGCTGTATTTCTACTCTCTATTCTTCATTATCTGTCATTCACATCGATGCTTGTAGATACCTGCCTGCTTATGGTCAAGGAGCATTCCAGCTCTGTGGAAATCCTGTATTATGGTATGAGTGCCGAAGCACCTCGAGAGTTGGTTGCGGAGAATGACTGCACGTCGGGTAAACGAGCGGAAACCTCATGGTGCGAAAGGATCTTGAGGGACTACAGGTTATGTGGGTAAGGGTAGCCATTGTGTATCCAGTGCTGATAGGGGGGCAGGAATTGCCTGAGGCTGCCTGAAGGGACGCTCGGAAGTCAGATCTCAGATCTCAGATATGACCTAGTAGAAGACGGATGGAAACCGATAACAACGAGGCACATTTTCCTATGCTGTGTACTAATGCGTAGTCGGGATCCGCAATATATCCCCACCGATCAAGCAGGCTAGAGTGATGTGTTCCCCATTCGATTCCGAAATAGATCGGCTCTCTATCTAGCGAAAACCATGTCACGATTACAATGTCGTGATTTAGTAAAGGTTGGACCCCACAAACTCTATGATCTCATTTGTACTAACATGCCTTCGTTGTCGAACTACTCGCCCTCATCTCCATCTGCTTACCGCCTACGCGTTCGAAACCTGGTTCTACCCCTTCCTATGTCGCCCGCCATTTTTTTCACTCATTGGTTCCACCCTCAACGACACCTTTGCCCCAACGTCTCTGCTCCGTCCTCTACGCCTGCTTCATCACACCCCTCGCCTACCGCCACTTATCCAGCGTCGTCCAATTTCCCTATCACTTCCTTGCAAGATCCTCGTGGCCACTCCCGCGCCTCGCTATCTTACCTTCTCTCTTTCCATGGTCCACGCAGTGCTTACTGACCCTCATGCGCGTCGTCGCACCGACGCTGGCCCGTGAAGACTCCCACGTGGAAATTTGGGATGGTCTAGAGCAATGCTGGGAGGACTTCGAGTCTCTCCGCCGTGGGGCAGGTTGCATTGGCACTGTGGGCGGCCTTCCATTGCGGTCAGCGTATCAAGATTGGCGCCAGACCCCCTTGATGACGCGTTCCTAGGCAGCCAACACAGGCGCCACATCCCCAACGCAGTCGTTGACGTGTACTCTTCCGCTGGCGCCTACGTCTCCCGTAACATTGGCTCCGGCGGTGCCGCATCCTCGAACTCGAACTTCTATTAGGGACTCTCAAAGTTGGGGGGCACACACTTCGCCCACGCCTATGACCCCTTCACACACAACGCGCCCTACCTAAAATGTAGTTTGCACATTACAGTTATCAACGGGTCCTTGAGACACCATCACTCCTGATACAAACACATCTCCTGCATTCACAACACACTTCATAGCCTCAAAAATACTTCCACATGGATAATTGACCTTGCCTCTCACATGGTATCAAAATTTTTATGAACTTAATCAGGGAAATTGCTTTTGAGATGTGTATTTTCACGCCCCGAAGTGTTATTCTGAAATTTATAATCCATCTTATTCAACATTATTCAACAATAAACTGCTTTATCATGCATAAAACAATCAAAGTATATTAACAAGTATCTAAGCTCTCCAGAACATGTAAAATAGCTGGAAAACATCATGAATTACATGTGTGGTGTAGAAAACAGTGTTGGCTAGTGTCACGAGCTTAGATGAGTGAACCATTTTGCTATAGTTGGATAAGCGAAGATTAGCTAAGCAGTCACGTGTCTCAAGGAACACTAATGGGCAAAAAAGAGGTCTCCTCACTGTTTTGGATGTTGTGCTCGAGTGGTTGGATATTTTTCTCTAAAAATTCAGATCTGGAGTGTTGAGGTAGACTACTTGTCAGGAAAAATATGACAGAGTTGTTATCATGTGTTGTATAGGTGTAGTACATAAATTTTCAATTTCGTGTCTCAAGTACCCATTGATAACTGTACCTAATATTAGTGGGAGTCAAACTTGGCGATTCATGCCTCAATTCTGACTCCGATTTTCGACACGATTCTTCAACCTGAATCGACCATGAATCGATCATAAGGTTGACTACCCCTGATTCTCATCACTGATTCAACTCGTTTCTCGAACGATTCTCATTGACTGCACTTAAATAATCAATATGTAGATAAGTATGCAATGAAATGCAAAATAGGTACCAACTACTATCTACATCATGGCTTCGGTACACCCCATGTCAGCAACGTGCCCAATGGCTGTTGCTGAGACTTTCTCCGATACAAGAAGATCCTGCCAGCATTTAGCCCAGTGTCGATGGGCTCGTCAGACCAAACAGCAAATTAATGACTTTGCATTCAACACATCTGACAACCTCGTTACTGAATCCACTCTCTCCAAGTCATCTGAGTCACCTACTACCACCAGTACTACTGATTCCACCTTACAGGTATCTGAATCTGATGAGTCCTCAAGCTCCTACTTCTCAGATACCTCGGAATGCACTACCTTCTCGGATCACAAGTCCACTGACAGTGATGCAGATGCTGATTCTGAATTTTCAGAAGACAGTTCTGTGTCAAGTTTTGACTCGGAAGAGGAAACTGATGGGGAACCAGTCACCACACACCATCAGGGACAAGTAGCACACCACGTACGACACACCCTACAAGATATCTTTGCGCATTGTTATGATGCACTGCGAAATGTTCAATTATTCCTAAGCCTCATGAGCTGAATGTGAGTCGTTCAAATGGTGAGCTCACCGTTTTAACCTATTTTTTATCTTCATGTGCCAGGCTTCTTTCTGCTTTGGTGTGCCTTTGTCCCGCAACACTTCAAACTGGCTTTTATAGTCCTCATGGTAAGAAAACAGTTTCTCGCATAGAACCCAATGCCAGTGAGTTTTTGGGACACCTTGATTTCTTGGATTTGAGCCAGGAACTGGAAACAAGCCTTGTTTGATATCCTTGTCTTCAGTGATCTCAGTGAGCATCTGAAAGGTGAGTTCTTCGGTCCACCTGCATAGTACAGACATAGTCAGAATATGCTGATTGACACTACTAGAATCCACGCACTCAATTTTGGGTGGCTCGAGGCTCACAGCATCACCATCCTCTTCTCTCGTGCTATTTTCATGACCCTTCAACCCTCTCTTACTACTGGTCTCGGTGATCTTCAAGTTCTTCTTGCCTTCACTAGTGGATTTTGTAGGTGTGTTTTACTTGCTTTTGCCATGAGAGCTGGGATATCAGTGACAGGAGTCGTTGTTCATTTTTAGTTTCATGATTTTCATCATATGTTTTTGATCACTATGTATTTAATTCATACACAAAATCCAAATCTAGACATATCAGCGGTGAAACAAGGTGAAACGAATCATTGAAGCAGCTCTGGAGCCGCTTCAACAATTCAGGGTGATTCACAATTCTGAACGATTCTGATGCTCAAAAATCGACATCAGAATCGCCGTCCGAATCAGTGCGTGAATCGCCAAGTTTGACTTCCTCTATTGAACATGTGAACATAAACACTAAATATTTTACACTTTGTTGTTGTTGTTGTTGTGCTTTGTGATTGGCATATTCCCAAGTAAGGTGTAAACTACCAGCTTTTGCCATTGGGGATCATCCCCAGTCAGAACTTGGTCTGGTTGGACAAGTATGAATCTATGATAGCCTTAGTTACAAATTCGTAATCATGGACAATCAGTGTCAATCTGAAAACTGGACAAACACATATCATATCTCATACCTCATCTTCATGATCTCACAAATTTGTACATCTGGCTTGCACATTTGCACTTGTGAGCCTTGCCATGGCACAGCATAATGCAGGAAAATAATACAAAGTCTGTTGTGCTGTTTTCCTGCTCTATGCTGTGTTCGTCTCTGTTCCCCAATGGTCTTCCCTACAATGCCCAGAGCTTCAAAGTCTCTCAGAGAGTACTACTGCAACTGTCTATGCTGGTGCCATGGAGTCCGCAAGAAAGTGTCTTCCAAGACCTACTCCAGACATACTCCCCACCGTGCTCTGGTGCCAGGAGCCACACTTTAGTCAAGACTTTCAAGCATTTTTAATAGGGCTGTCTTCTGACGAGTTGCAACCTGGGAAATATGGCCAGTTGCAGTGCTCAATTAGTGACCTCTGTGTCAGGACGCCATTGTCAGGGAGAAGACTCCGAGTCTGAGCTGCAGGAATTGGCCAGTCCATCTCAGATAGTAGTGAGTTTTTCCATCCTTTCACAATATACAAAGATTAATGTAATGTACTAGGAAAATAAAGTTGACTTGGGACTTGGAGAGTTTTTGATGGTCTTGATGAATGTTAAGGTCGTGCTCAAGGGAGAGGTTACTCAAAGGGCTTCGGCTTCAGCTCATGCGCTGCGCCCCTTACCTGAGTACATACCCTTTAATTTCCTGGGCGACAGAGGGGAAGTCCGACAGAAGTCCGGGGAGTTCTGGAGGACTTAGTGTCGGTGGAGTTCGGTGGAACTCTGGAAGGTTTATGCAGGGGACAGAGTAAGGCTACTACGGAAGTCCGGAGTAGAAACAGAACAGAGTTTAGACTACCCTAAGGTAGAGCCGGAGAAATAGTCCTAAGGTTTAACCCCTAAGACTCGGAGGTGGACAAGAGATGAGACTCAAGTCCGGAGATTGCAGGGATGAGCAGAACTAAGATGATATTCGAACTGAGGAGTTCCAGGAGTATTACAGGGGTTTATATACTGTAGGTATCATGTAAGTAAATCAGTCAGCAAAGGTAAGAGCTATGTACGAAGCATGTGGAAAGTCTATTACTAAGTGTAACGGATCAAAACAGTGAAGTCGGAAATGAAGTAGGAATGGACAGATCAATAAGCATAGCAGAAAGGACATAACCGGTGACTGGAGCAATAGCTAATCTAAAAGGAGTTAGGGGTGAGTATGGAGATGAAGGCAGGAGCGCTGGGCGGAATAGCAGGACTGGAGAACCTGGACTTTAATGGGGTAGATCTGGAATTCTGGATCCGGAGGTACAGGGATATGACAATGAACCAGACCATGATGACCCACCCCATAATCCATTGCACTCGTGTGCACCATCACCGAACCACATTGAAGATGCTATGTCAGATCCTCTTGATGCTGATGAAGAAGTTCTCCATGAAATCAACACCAATATTACACTGGAAGACCTCAAAAAATCTATGGACTATATTCAAGCACTCTGTGCAGCCTCACTTAATGATCCAGGTGCTGGCCTAACTGGTGATAGCCTCAAACATCTCTGCAATCCACCTACACACCTGGCTAGCATTGATGACAATGCTCTCGTGACTGTGATTGAGCTCTATTTCAATCTGAGCCATGCAGACCACAACTACGAGCAGGCTACCAAATCTGCTGCCAGACACTTGCAGGAAGGCCAGGAATTTCCCTCATTGTACAAGATCAAAAAATTGTATCTGAGCTCAGTGGTATTCATCTGGTTGAGCACCACACATGCATCAACAGTTGCATGGCTTTCACTGGCCCTAACTCCAACCTTGTTGAATGCGCTATCTGCAGTGAGCCATGTTATGATCCCATCAAGTTCGCAAACAGCCAAGGCAAAGAGAAAGTTCCTCACTTGGTTACAACATCATTTCCACTTGGGCCACAGTAGCAAATGCAATTTTTTTTTTGACAAGCTTCATGAGCACTGGTGCCAAACAATTCTATAGTGACTTCCTTGACGGTGAAGCCTATCATGAGGCTGTACATGATGGAAGGATTGGAAATGATGATATTGTAGTCATGATGTCCATTGATGGCGCTCAACTGTACCAGAGCAAGCAGTCGGACTGTTGGCTTTACATCTGGGTTGTTTATGAGCGCTCTCCAGACAACTGCTACAAGCAATGATGTGTCCTCCCTGGAGGGATTATCCCTGGTCCCAATAAGCCAAAAAATGTTGACTCTTTCCTGTTTCCTGGTTTCCACCATCCTGCCACAATCCAGAAGGAAGGACTTGTTATTTGGAACACTTGTCAGCACCAATCCTATCACTCCTATCTGTTTCTTGCCTTGGGTACTGCTGATGGACCTGGGCTTGTCTATCTCAATGGTCTTGTGGGCCATCATGGCAAGCATGGGTGCCATCTTTTCTGCTCCTGTGTAAGTTGTCACAAACTAGGTGGTACCCATTATTATCCAGCACTATTGAAACCAGACAACTTCATACAAGCTGGCTCTGATCATGCTGATCAATGTGTGGAGGACCTAACACTATGTTCGCATGAAGACTATATCCAAAAACTTAACATTGTCTTGGGATCTGTTAATGAGTCACAGTACTGAAAGAACCGTCTTGCAACTGGCATCTCCAAACCAAGTATATTCTTGGGCTTTTCACCACAGCACACACTCAGTGTTCCATTTTGCTTCAGATCAGACATAATGCACCTCATGTCCCTTAATATTCCAGATCTCCTTATTCCTCTCTGGCACAGGAACATTTGAATGCGACAAGAAAGATAACCAGTCCACCTGGGGTTGGGCTGTTTTGAAGGACAATGTATGGATTGAGCATGGTAAAACAGTTGCTGCCACACATCATCATCTTCCAGGTTCATTTGATCATCCACCATGAAACCCTGCCAAGAAAATCTCAAGTGGATATAAGGCCTGGGAGTATGATGTGTGTCAAATTCCCTGTGCTTCGTCTCTGTGCAGGCAATTGGAAAGCTTACCAAATTGGCATTGATAACTACTGCCAATGGCCTGGTAGACCCAAGTCTCTCAACCCTGCAGGTGCATCTATGGAGGTCAAAAAGGAAGACTCAGAGATTAAATGGGAGAACACTCCCATCCTCACTCTTTCCACCAAACAAATGCAGAAGTCTCTTCCAGAATAGCCTCTGAAGAAGCAGAAGACAGCCCCTGCTACCCTGGGCTCATCCTCCTCCCTCATTGCGGTGGGGACCACTTTTGACACTCACACAAGTCACACTGTCGCAGCTGTTGGAATGGCTATAGATGTGCTTTGTGTCACTGGTGGGGACATCACTGATTCAGGCCCCTTTGGAGGCATGGCTGCTGTGACTCAGACTGGCACTGGCAATCTTGAACTGAGCAACAAAAGAGTCATCGGACCTAACTCAGAGTTAGTATCTCATGCTGTCATTGACCCCCTTGCAGATCTGCACCTGAGTCTCAACTTGAGTAGTGTTGTCTCTGGACTATCAGAGCCATCTCATGCAATGGCACCCAAACCATCCTCATCCTGTCACCCAAACCCTTCCTCCAGCATTGATACTAGCCATCACATTGGAAATGACACCAATGACCCAGGTCCAATTGCCATGGCAGATGGAGGTAGTAGTGCAGCTGAGATGGGAAAGGGTACTAGTATTATGTGTCCTAACAAAACCAGCACTACAGCAAGGTATGTGAACCATACAAGGGCCTGCCTGCATTATCTTCCACCAGTATACAGGAATTTGTGTGCACTAAACTTGTGTGCAGACATGAAGCAGAAAAAACAGAGAGCTTTTGTGAAGGATTTTGAGACATACTAGAATGACCTCGTCAAGAACCCTACACAGTATCAAGTATGTCCACCATTCATTTCATATCTTTGTGTTTATTCAATGATGCACCTACAGTTCTGGAAAGATCAATCCACTGCTGCCAGCAGTACCAAACCCAAGACCGACTAAATTTGACATTGGTAACCACAGCATTTTCATTCGTTTTCCTTATCATATTGTGGATTCTCTACATGATAGTTTTTATACTATAGCACATGTCGGACCACTGTATCTCTTGCCAGCGCATTCATATCATTCTGTACACTTATGCATCATATTGTCTCCCTACCAGCACCATCCAAACTGCTCTACTTTCGCTGAAAATTGCTTTTGAACATGTTCATTTCCATTAGATTCATCAATATCATCAGTCTGCATCAATCGAAGGCAATCATTGTGTGTTTCAATGGACCCAGATTAACTTAGATGGTTCATACTCATAGTTTGCACAGGTTTGCACAGCAGTCTTGATTATAGGATGGTGCATTGTTTCCTATCTATGCTAGTCATTGTATTTGACTTCCCATGACTGTTATAGATCTGCTCAGACCAAGTTCTGACTGGGGATCATCCTTGTACTAGATGTCCACTAGAGTTTGCACATTTTTGGGAAAACATCTATAACTCTACCACACATTCACATAAAAATATAATTTTTTGACAGATAGATAGCCTGACATCAAAAGTACAAGGCCCACTAGTTTTTTCTTTCAAAATTGACATGTTGAGCCCAGCAGAGTCTTGCCATGCAGAAAAGTGCAGTTTTCCCTAGAGTGATGCAAGTAGCGATGGACAGAGGGCTGTGAGAGACAAATGAAAGACTCAGTCTGAGTGGAAAAGACTCTAGTATTATTATATGTACCTGTGAGAGACAAATGAAAGACTACGTTAAATGTTAGTGACTGTTGAGTACGATAACGAGCGCAAGTATCTTACCTCAGTCTGAGTGGAAAAGACTGAGGTAGAATGAAGTGGGTGTGAGGACTATATACCTGTCCATGTTAGCGATGATGTAAATGATAAGCATGCTATTGTACATGTGTGCAGTAAGTGAGTGTAAAGATAAAAGAATGAATGTTAATAGCGAGACTTGCAGATTACGTCGAAATATCCAACATAGAGTTCACACCTGGCTTACCTGACAAGTAAGCCTTATTGAACTTGGTGATTACATGCCTCACCAAGTTTAATTAGTAGGAACCTTCGGTATTCCGTTGGATCTCTGAATCCCACATCTGCATTGTCAGAAACTAGGTAGAGTCATCCTAACTTGTAATGGCTAACTCTAGCTTCACTATTTAAACCCATTAATTCTTGCTGATGAGCTTCAAACGAAATCCCCCCTCTTCCTCTTTAATGAGTAGGGGACATTCAAGAATTTCTCTCTTGCAGCAACAACCATCAACATGTCTTACACTGAATGTCCCACCAGTTGGTTGTTGCCCCCACCCCTCGGAGCTCGCTTCGCTCGCTCCTCAGGGGGGGGGGGGGGGGCTCCTCCCTGGATCTATGAAAACTCCAACACCAGTATTAAATATTGCCCTAAAGGCCCTTTTCATCTTGCAGTCTCTACCACCCTACCAACTAAATAGAGTAAATACTGCTTGGCTATACTCTCTGCCCTTTTCCATTGTCCAGTACTTTCTGTTACCTCCCCGACTTATCTGAACCTTGTCAAGGGTGGCTTCCCACACCCCTTTCTCCTTACTTCCACACTGCTGACATTGTAGGATGATACAGTCAACCATCGCCAATAATCCAAGTGGATTGATACTGTCCTAGGTGCTGTCCTAGCCCTTCAATGTGCCCACACTTCTGCAACTACCCTCTTGATCATGTCTTATCATTGTCTGTGTCCACATGCTGCCCTCCTCAGTCTTGCCCCTCACTGTTCCACCTAGATCTTGTCCTGCAATCATCCCTGTCTGCATGCTGTCCTCAAGCACTTTACTAGGTGCTATTTTAGCCCTCCAATGCACCCACACTCTCATTGTTCCACCTGGACCTTGACATCATCCTTGCCTGCACTTGCTGTCCCCATTCTCACCCCACTCAACTCACACTATCCATCATGTCTCATGGGATGAGGTCTTTCAGGCTGAAAGGCCTCTCAAAATCTGTTATCTTGCACCATTTTAGAGGGTGGGATCACCAATCACATGTGCTAATGGCTGGCAAGCAAACTGAGTGCCTTGAGGCAGCAGAAGTAGCAAGCCGCCAGACTCAGTTCCAAGGTATCTAGCATGTTTCCTTATTTTTTATTATTGCTGTACCAATATTTTCCCATAGAGATGCCAGCTGAGGACCATGAGATGGTCAAGAACATGATAGCCAACTATGGTATGGATGTTGACCCACTACCATATACAGCCCCCCCAGGAGATAAGGGGTTGGAGATGAGTCATGCAGGAGGAGAACAAGAAAATGTTTTCTGTATTTGATGAATTGGGCATCTTTATTGCAGCATGTCATCATTGCTTCATTCTTCTAGCTTGCAACACAATCTGAAGTGGTGAATTGTAAGTCCATTTTTTCTCAACTGAGTTTCATTTACTTTATCAACAAGCTCCTTGCTGTCTGTGGCAAGAATGGTGCTTGCACTTATGATATTGGGTGCACATTTACAAAGACACTAAGCAATAGTTCTCTAGGGCCATGAGCCCACCAGCTTGGATTTCGTCTTGTGGTTGGGGCCTTTCATGGCCACACTCATGATTGGAAATGTCAGCTTAACTGGCATCCAATGTATATTCCAGGAACTGGACACAGCAAAGGAGAGGGATGTGAGCATATATTTTTGGCATCAAATGCACTTGCTTGTGGCACCTGACATGCAAGCATGTTCCACTGGCATCAAAAAATCAAGCAACACTTTTCATTTTGGAATAAAGATAAATATGCCACTCTCAGTAAGATTTTTCTTCCACCACTGTACCTCAATGATGATGCTAATACTTCTTAGGTAACTTTCTGTGGAACCATTATCAAGAAGCCCTAAAATCAATTCAGACCCTCGCTGTTGAGCTATCTGCCATCAAAGCTGAGCTGGATATCACTGATGATGACTTCCCTCGTTACCTTCACCAAGAACATGTTTATCTTGATAGCTTGAAGCAGCCACCTGTGAGAGATCAGACTCATATATGCTATGTTGAGGCACTTGATGAACTAACAGAATGAAGGTCAGTACTACAAGTTATATGTCACTATGTAAATATCTCTGACATTGGAAAACTCAGGACTGATTTGGACTCAGCATGCATAGCTGCCAATACCTCCCTTACTTACCCAAGTGTGGATTCATGTTGATTCCTCATATGCAAAATCACAGCATGCTGAAGTTAGGGAATAGCACGGGTAAACCCCAGGGTATGAGTAGTGCTACCCTCACCCATACCCCATGATATACCCATACCTGTGAGGTGGGTCTAGGTTTTTGGTGGGTATCAGGGTATCACCCACTGAGGGTATACCCATGGGTTACTGTCAATTACCATAACACTATGAGACATGAACAAATGTAGTAGCTACTTGATAATAATTCGATCCCACCTATCCTCCAGTTCCTGCTCCTCATCACCCTCCAGATCAGCAAGCATGCTTACAGACATTATGTCCTTGGTCTTGATGAGGTTCAAGCAGCTCCAAAAGCTGAGGCATAAGAGTGTGCGAGTCAATTGCACATTCAAGCAAGAACAGACATGTGAGAGAATGAGCTGTCTATGGTTGAAAAGTTGTTTAATGTCAACTGAGGTAGCTTTCAAAAGTTAGACATCAGTTTTACCAAAAAAAAAAAAAGGTCTGGGTGTACCAGGAATAGTCAGATAATCTAATGCCATGTGGGAGAGTTGAGGAAAGGCTGTGTGGTGCCCATGCCACCATATGAGGGAATCATCAATGTGTTCCATATTGGTGTTGAGATAATGGTCGAGTTCATCACCAAGGTCAGTTGGTTTTGGAGGTGTAAGTGCAGGTATGTTGTTGAAGATGTTGTCCTATCGTTATAATTAGCTTACAAGTTAAGTTATACAATTTAATAACTTGCCATGGTGCATTGTTGAGAAGATTCAATCAAGTTCCCTTCATCAGTGTTGGAGTTGGCATCTGGTGCAACTAAGTACAAGTGTCTAAACTCATCCCTCACAAGTACCTCAGCAGTCTGAATCCAGTCGTCCTCCCACCCCACCTTCTTGAAATACACAAGTTTATGATGTGGCATTAATCTATTGCTGACAACAGAAGAATCACTTGATGAGTGAGTCATGTTGAATATGCAATCAAGGATGAGGATATTGAGAACTCCAAGGCTGGAAATACACCAGGTCATTCATGATGGATGGGAACTTCAAAGTGGGACACCTGCATCCTATCAACCCAGATGATGAAGTATGGCTGTCCAATGAATTTGGATTCATGGTTGGAAAGGAAAGGTACTAGAAGCATCTTGCAGTAGCTACTGATACTTTGGAAAGGTCGAGCTATCAATTAAGCAAATGCAGCTCGGCACAAGCTGGAGTCCACCAGGATCTGGGGGGTGGTCTGTGCCCGACACTGGTTGCTTTGTTCCACACTCAATCATGGATTTTCAGAAAGGAGAAAGGTCAGTAGAAATCACCATTCCATGGCCTGGAAGTAACCATGAATTGATTTCAGACAAATGAACATGGATTATGCCCTGTGCAAGGCTGTGGCATACAACTTGAAAGGCATCACCAGGGCTGTCACCTTCTATGACATCAACTGTCAATACAACGAGCATCTTCGCACTCAAGTGAATCGAGGTCCGTTCTTGACAATGGTTCCAGAGCTGACCATTGTTCCTGGAATTGGGCTTTGGCATGTGTATGGACATCAGGGCAGCTGCTATGTGAGATATGCATTGAACTTCATCGAAGGAATTAGTCGCATTGATGGAGAGATCATGGAGACCCTTTTGGCCCCCCTTAACCTTATATCTCATTCCACTCAGGGAATGTCTTCACCACATAGGAAAGAATGTCTCAATTTTCAAATGAATGATTCCAATTGCTGCAAGATGATTCACATGAAAAGGACTCTTTGCTGGAAATTCAAGGGGGTGAAGTGTGGGATTGCCAAAAGTGGGAAGGCATTTGATAGACTCAATGAGGTGGCACCCGAAAGCTCAAAGACATTGTGGTTGGTGAGTGAGAGGGTCGTGCAGTCCAACAGAATACATGATCCCACTGTGATGGACATATGTGAGATCAATATCTGGAAGGGTGAGATCATTCTATGAGCAAGAAGGAGATTGAGCTCAGATTACTAGAGGAGAATCATGCTCGTCATGCATCACCTTCCCACCAATCAGTTGCAACATGGATATCAATGCGGTTGGCGATTGAAGAGGCTCAGATTGCATTGCTCCTCAAGGTTTGAAGACTCGGACAAAGACCTACCGAGACACAGAGATTAGACATTGCCCAGCAATGTGATCGGGTGCAGGGACAGATTGATGGATTCACTCAGTCCACTCACGTGCATTTTGGAGATGGATTCGATGGTAATGAAGATCCAGAACTTGAATTGTGCAATTCTTGATGATCTCGATGATGATCCAGATGAGTTCACTGAGACTCTCAATACCTACCCAAATACCCCCGAACTCACCATCATCCCATTGCCATCCAATGTCGGGCTGGACCAACTCAAACACTGCTTAGCAGAGGATCTGATTCCATTAGAGATGTCACTTCATGAAGGACAGGCCAATGATGCCCTTCACAATCTCCAAATTCACCTGTGCAACAAGGCGGTCCTTTTCTGAACCACCATTAGGCAGGCGAAGTCCCAAGCTCTGAAGACTCGGGCATGGTCCCAGGTGATGTTGGTGGAGCAGGCCATGTCTCTGAATGCCAGTATATACAACAGGACACAGAAGCAAATTATGAAACTTGGTCTGGGGCAACACCAGCTTCAGAAATACCAACCTCTGCTCTGGGAACAGCTCAAAATCAGCACTGCAGTCGGTGATCCAAATGCCCGAGGTCAGCAGAATGAGTCCCTTGCCTGGTTCTGGTCTCTCAACATCAATCTATCAGGGCTGAGTGAGTTGTGGAATGATGAATGTGAGTTCAGGCATCCTTTCCAAATGTGAGGATGATCTGATCTAACTGATATGAAGTTTACTGAGTTCATTGGCTTCAGGCGAAGGCCCTGAGGGATCAATGGATTGAAGAACTTATGGTGGTGGAACTGGAGATGGACTGGACATGCAACTTCTTCTTGCACAAAGCAGCCCATGAACATCCAGTATTGAGAACCAAGTACTGAATCTCAAACATTGAATACTTTGGATCAGGTTGTGAGCATCGAATATCGAGCACCGAGCACCACATGCCAAGTCAGTCCTGGGTCCCGACCACCCATAACCAACCACTCAGGCCTCAGTACCGAGCACTGAGTAACATATTCCAATGTCCAGTATCACTGAGTTAATATCTGCATTCCTAGCTCATCGGTCTAAACAATTGATAGTTCTATTGGCCCATCCATCTATACAATCGACATTCCATCGGCCCATCCATCTATACAATCTACAGGTCAATTGGCCCATCTGTCTATATAATGTACAGTCCCATTGGCCCATCTATCTATACAATCTACAGGTCAATTGGCCCATCTGTCTATTTAATGTACAGTCCCATCAGCCCATCCATCTATACAATTTACAGTTCCATCGGCCCATCCATCTATACAATATACAGGTCGATTGGCCCATCCATCTATAAAATTGACAGTTCCATCGGCCCATCTGTCTATACAATCTACAGGTTGATCGGCCCATCCGTCTATAAAATTGACAGTTCCATTGGCCCATCCACCTATGCAATCAACAGTTCTATCAGCCCACTAGTCTATATCATTCAAATATCTTGGCCCTCCCATCTCTATCAAATCCCTTACACATTGAGTATTATATACACATTGGCCCACCCATCAACATCAAGGATATTATGACATCAGCCCATGGTCCACTGGCCCATTTAATATGGGATATTATGTACCTCAGTTGGCCCATCTAAGACAGAGTTATACACTGAATGGGCTCAACTCCCTTAGTGCAAAGAACCCTCTTCTCTTGAGACAACACTCTTGAGTTGAACTCCGTCCTCTTGGATTGAATCCTTGAGAATCTTCTAATCGACTCTATGCAAGTAAGGATCTCAATCCTTACTCAGACTGAGCACAGGCAAAGCTCCTTGCTGGGCTAGCGCTGAGAGCCACACTATGAACACCCCTTGCTGGGTTTAGTGCCGCCAGATCTCACCTGAGAGGTTTCGCATAACACTAACTAGGTAAGCGTCTATGTGACTCGAGTCATAAGGACTCAGAGATAAGAGTTACCAGTCCAACAGTAAGGGTCCAGGGTATCTATGCAATAAGAGAGAAGCACACAGCTTCTATGTTTCAAGGGGTGACCACAGTTGTGATAAGTGATAGGTTTTATTGGTGTATTGGTAGGGGTGATAAGGGAGAAGTGCGCAGCTTCTCTGATCCTGGTCTAGAGCTGTCAAGCTCCAACAGCTGTTATGCTGTGCTGCACAGTTTAGCTACATGTCAGTGGTCATGTGTCATTGATGACATATGTCACATGTCATGATGCAGTTGTGACAGCAACATTTGGTGGAGGCAATAGGGGTCTTGAGTCCATGCTTGGATGGAGAAGCGGAGGGGTCGGGGCTTGGCTTCAGCTCTTGCCCTGCACCCTTAGCCGAGTATGTGCCCCAAATTTGGAGTGGGACCGACAATGTCCAATGATAGGACAGGTGGTCTGCTTTGGTCCACTTTGTGGGTTGGGAGGTGAAGGCTACTAGCAGCAGACCAACTAGAAGCAGGGCGAGTGAAGCAGGGGAAGTGAGTTGAGGCAGAAAGGAGTAAGGGGATTGGTTGATTGGGCAGAGAGGTAAGAGTGAAGACTTAGAGCACGTCTCTAAGTTGGAGCAGAGGATTGGAGGTGACGACAAGATAAACTTGTGTCCAGAGAGAGTAAAATCCTATGGAGAATTCCCACTAGTAGAAACTGCGGGAAGATAAGTAATATTAAGACTGAGGAAAGTAGCTAAGTACATGATATGTCTTATATACTTCTAAGTAAGGAGGCAGTGATCAGTAGTCCATAGCATAAGGCTATGTGCTGAATATACAATTGGTAAGTATTACTACAGAGAAAACATAAGTCGGAGTGGATATCAATATGTATGCAACAGATCAGTAATTGAGCAGTTATAGGAATTGCTGGTGATCCAGGAAGTAAGTGTTATGTACTGAAGGGGAAATTATATACCTAAATGGGGAAAGAGGTTCCAGTTGAATGGAGCCTATATGGAAGGTGACCAATGAGGTGGTCAAGTGGAGGCACAGGAGCAGATGTGGAGGCTGACTGGATCAAGCGGAGACAGGCAGAGCAGATAAGGGGGAAAGGCAGAAGGGGTATAGGGTCAGGCAGAGCAGATATCAATATGTTGGAGTGGTCAGATCTGGTATATGACACAGTCTTAATATTACTTGTCTTCCCTCCATTTATACTGGTGGGAATTCTCTGTAGGACTTTGCTCAATCTGGACACAAGTCTTACCTTGTTGTCACCTCCGCTCCAACTTAGAGCTGTGCTCTAAGTTAAACTATTCTTACTTCCCTCTGCACCATAAACCAATCCCCTTATCCCTTTCCACTCTGACTTACTTCCTCCGCTGTAGGGAGTATCCCTACGCTAGGCTTGTATCCACCACTTTTCTGATGCATCAGGCGTCCATCCAATGTCCATTTGGCACTTATCCATTCCATCCAATACCCATCCGCTTCGTGGATGACAAGCGGATACCTTTGGATCTCCCCCTATAGCTTGCGCATCCGTCCTGTCCACGTCCATTCTACCTCATTGGTATGTACTCACACGCATTTCCTTGTTACTGACTGAACACAGACATATCCTCTCACACTCTACTATTTTACGGATAGCTTATGGCACAGTCTAGACTTGCTAAGGTAGACTTCAAACACTTTCTGTAAATGTCACGTGATAAACTGTGATACAGCGTGACAAACGAGTGCGAGCTCATAGGAAACCTATCTGAAGCATTTAGAGGAAAACGGAAACAGAGGCATGGTAGAGGACTGCTTTCTCTACAATGCCTTCGTCGTAGAATTGTCATAAATATCGTAGTAAACAAGTAGATGTCTATTTCCTATGTGTACTATACAGAAAGATGCCGAAAGTGCACCGCAAACGATATCCAAAGTCCGTCTGCGTGCCGTGAGGTGCCGTGCAGTTAGCGCCAACCTCCCAAACACCCAGATGCCTAAATGCTCTCGACAGGTGCAAACGGCCCTCATGAACCTTGGGCGCTGGGCAAAGAAAACAAAGATTTCAGCTGAGAAGGAGAATATTAGTGTGAGCAGTATTTCACTCACTCGTCGTGACAGTGTACAATGCTCATTGCCGTCTTTCAGATTCCTACAGTTGCTACAGTATCACCTGGCTCTGTAGCTTTAGTTCATGATTATCTTACCAATCATCATGCTCATTCTCCACTCTCGAACTTGGGTGCAGCTGCCATAAACCATGCCGAATGTGCTACAGCGGAGGAAGTCACTTGTCCAAGTCAATTGTCCACAGACATTGAATTGTCTGTGTTGCATGCTGACTTGAAGGAATCAGCAGACTTTGGGGTACTGGAGTCAGAAGAAACCTTGGATTCAGACTCGGAGACTCTTCCGAGTCATTTTGACTGGACATCAAACAGTGGGGAAGTGGATGATGAACCTGGTGGGATAGAGGGTTACGAGACCTTGGACGGCACACTCAAAGACGGTGCGGCACTTTCTAACTCGGAAATTACCTGTCAGCGCTCTGACTCTGCACCCCCCCAATCTCCCCTCCTCAGCTTCTCGGGAATATGATGTTCCTTGGCATTCAATTGATGCCTGAACACCACCCGGTCTTGACGAAGCACGTCTTGCATTAAATGACCTGAAAAAGTTGCTTCACCCGACTCGCAATAGTGGGCATGGATATAAACCATCTGGACTCACCTCTCTTCTTGAGAAACGGTTGATGTGGATGGAGTATTTCCTGCGCGCATATGTAAGCGGCACGCCATGGTCGAGTGCAGCGCTTCAGACGGCGAAATTTGTAGGGAAGGGGACTCACATGTCTCGGACAGTGCGGCAGTGGTCAAAAACCTATATTCTGGACCGCGGGAATTTACCGTTGTCAAAGTGCAGTGGAGACTGGACGAAATCTCGGATCAATGATGAAGATTTGAAGGAGGAACTGCTCACGCACCTTCAGTCGCTTGGCAAATATGTCACTGCCATTGCGGTCGTCAATTATCTTGCACGGCCAGATGTACAACAGCGATATCAGTTGTCGAAGACTATTTCATTGGTGACGGCTCAGCACTGGATGGAGAACTGTGGCTTTCGATGGACCACGGCAAAAAATGGCCAATATATTGATGGCCATGAGCGCGAGGATGTCGTGAATTATCGGCAGAACAAATTTCTGCCAGTGTGGTATTCAGTTGACCCGAACACTCGAAAGTGGTCATCAGTAGATGTCAGCAAGCTTGAGGAGGGGCAGGCGACAACAGGAAGACGCACTGTGGTCTGGTTTCATGATGAATCCACATTCTATGCACATGACCGTCGTCAGAAAAGATGGGTGCACAAAGATGAAAAAAGCACACTGCTGCCGAAGGGGGAAGGACTATCTCTCATGGTGGCTGATTTTGTTTCTGCGGATTATGGCTGGCTACGATCGCATGATGGGAAGGAATCAGCGCGCATCCTTTTCCACGCGGGTAAAGCATGGGATGGCTATTTCGCGAATGATGAAATCATTCGGCATGCCGAGAAAGCCATGTCAATACTGGAAAGAGATTACACTGGTGAAGACCATGTCTTTGTTTTCGATAATGCCACCACGCACCTTAAACGTGCCGACGACGCACTATCTGCTCGTCAGATGCCCAAGTCTTGCAAGGACTGGGGAGTAAATACTGCAGTCCGTGATGCACAAGGACGACCAATCCGTGGCACTGATGGGAAGGTTGTCATGCAGAAGATCCACGTCGCTGATGGATTCCATAATGGAGTACCACAGGCATTTTATTGGCCAGATGGGCATCAAAACGCCGGCATGTTCAAAGGGATGGCAACCATTTTGATGGAGCGCAGTTTTGATGTCAGCAAATTAAAGGCCCAGTGTAGAAATTTCGAGTGCACAGCTGGGGAAACCAGCTGTTGTTGTCGACGTATCCTCTACTGTCAGCCGGATTTTGCAAACATCAAGTCTCGGTTGGAGACTACCTGTGAGGCCAGGCAGTTTTGGGTAATCTTTCTTCCAAAATTCCACTGTGAATTGAATTTCATTGAACAATGTTGGGGCTATGCAAAGCGGCTCTATCGAACCTATCCATTGTCATCAAAGGATAGTGATTTAGAACACAATGTGATCAAAGCACTTGATGCTGTCCCTCTCATCAGTATGCGCAAGTGAGTTAACTGCAATCAATGAGAATCCCCCCTGATTCCTTTTCTCAGATTTGCAATCTGATCTAGTTGTTTCATTGATGCTTATCACAAAGGCCTAAACGGGAGACAAGCAGCTTGGGCAGCAAAGAAGTACCGAGGACACCGTGTTCTTCCCTCCTTGATCCTTGATGAACTTGATGCAGCAAAGGTAATATAATTAAAGGCCTTATAGGTATTGACATATAATGCATATACTATACACAAATTACTTACTGTCATCATTCTAATCATACTAATACTTACTACTCCTGTTCCATGATATCGATGCATTTTTGGGGCCAAGTTGATACTCCGACTGGTAGTTTACGGTCAAATGTGGCCAGGTCACACCCCAGTCACAGCACGTGATGTTTACAGAAAGTGCTTGAAGTCTACCTTACCTATACCATGTGTTCCTTGAAAATACTTACTTCATGTAACTTCCTCCCACTTTTCCTGCACCTTACCAGAAAATCGCTTTGACTTATACCCACTATCCATCCAACCTTTGATGAACTTCCTTCGACTTTGATTCACATCCTGTCCGATCTGCAAGTATCATCCACTCCATCCGACGAATCTGTACGTTTCGCATCCTATCCGTTTCATCCGCTTTTGCGGATCCTTCATCCTATAGGGTCGCTTTAGACAGAGACTAGTATTTCCCCAGTAGCAATCCCCTTAAGGGTCGAACGTGCTTGTTTCCAAGCGAGGCAGCAGGCAGCAAAGACCCAACTGTGTAGTGGATCAGATTCTCGCTACTGCACTTGTTGTTCACACACTGCTCCATCCGCTCTGCTTCTAGTCGGCCCACCGCTAGTAAGCCTTGACCTCCCAACCCTCAAAGCAGACCAAAGCGGTCTACTCATCCTATCGTCAGACAATGTCAGTCCTGCTCTAAATTCAGGGCATGTACTTGGCTAAGGGCACAGTGCAAGAGCTGAAGCCAAGCCCTGACCCCCCACTTCTCCATCCAAGCACAGTACCTAGCAGTATATTAAGACTTCCTCTTAGTTAAAGTATACTGATAAGAAATAACCCCTATCCTGCTTCTGATATCATGTCTAAATCTTCTGCCTCAGATATTCCCAATCCTCCCTTGAAGCTGAGGACAGACAGTAGACTTACCAATGAAGAGCATAAGTGCCGCCACGATCACAGGCTTTGCTTCTTCTGCAGTATGACTGGTCACTTTGTCAAGAAGTGCACCAAGTCTACCTCCTATGCAGTCCACTCAACTGCTATCACTCCTAAAGCCAAACAGGAGGCCTCTACTGAGGCAAAAAATAGGCTGTGATCCTCCCATCTCTGCATGGGAGGAGGGTCGCATTGGCTCTGCCTGTGCACAGGAGTTCCACCTCAATGCTGCTGCTCTCTTGAATCCGGCTTCTCTTAGACCTTTTATTTCTCTTTCCGACTACTCCGACATTTCTGCTTTTCCTGCTCTCTTAGATTGCAGTTCTTCTCATTGTTTTATAGAAACTATTTTTATTAGAAAACATAAAACCCTATGTACACCATTCCTCTGCTTCCACTTCATTTGTTTGATGGTACTTCGAATGCTACTATTACTGAAGCAGTAGATTTACTTATCTGTTTTCCCTCCAGTGAGGTCACCTCTGACATGTTCTACATAACTCCTTTGGATTCATCTTGTTTTATTGTTTTAGGATATAGCTGGCTCACCTGACACAATCCATTGATTGACTGGGTTTTGGGCAGCATACAGTTCCAACCAACATCTCGTGGAATGCCATTCCCCCCAACCTTGCCTTCTCCCCCTCCACCTGATAATACCCCTCCTAACATTTCCTTGATAAATGCAGTCACCTTTTGTCAGGCCTGCAAATTAGAAGGATCAGTACAGTTCAGCATTTACCTCCGCCCCCAGGCTACCATGTCATTATAATGCATTAATTAATGATAATTACAAGACTGATGTAATGCATTAACTATTGTAACTATCAGTACACCAAACCTGTAACCTAGGTTACCTTTCATTAAATTCTCCAAGACAGAATATAATCCTAGCTAATCCTAACTAACCACTAACCACTAACTACTAACCACTAACTCTCTAACCTCTAACTCACCAACAAACCTACTAACCTTCTAACCCTCTAACATCTAACCTCCAATCCTCTAACCAAAATTAATAATGATCACAAAGTATTAAAAGTAAATTAAAAGTAAATTAAAAGTAATGCATCATTGGCATTACAATTGTTAATGCATTACCTGTGTCTTGTAATTACAATAAATAATGCATTATTCCCACAGGGTGAGGTGCCGCCCCACCAGTGTCAGCCTCTGCTCTGCTACTCTATCATTGGAGCCAGTCAATTTGGCTGGCGTCCCCTCTGACTATCATGAGTTTGTGGATATTTTCGATAAAGGCAAGGCCAGCAAACTTCCTCTACATTGTCCCTATGATCTCAAGATCAATTTTGAGGATGGAGCTGCCCTGCCTATCAGCACCATCTATTCCCTCTCCCCAGTTGAGCTTGAAGCTCTTCACAAATTCTTAGATGAGAATATTATGACTGGTCTCCTCTGCTCCTCATCCTCCCCCCATGGGGCACTGGTCCTATTTGTCAAGAAAAAAGACAACTCCCTCCACCTCTGCGTCGATTTCCAAGGACTCAATAATATCACTAAGAAAGACCACTATCCACTCCCGCGCTCATTGCTGACCTCCTATATCCCCCCAGTTGGGCCAAGGTCTATACCAAAAAGTGACCTCCAATCAGCTTACCACCTCATCCACATCACTGATGGAGACAAGTGGAAGACCGCCTTTCGGATGCGCTACAGTTCATATGAATGGTTGGTGATGCTGGAGGGACTAACCAATGCTCTGGCAGCTTTCCAGTGCTTCATTAATAGCAGTTTTCACAGATATGCTTGATATCTGTGTTATAGTATATCTGGATGATATCCTCATCTACTCCTCCAACCTGGCCTCTCATAAGGAACATGTCTGTGAAGTCCTCCGGCAGCTCTGACAGCACTTGCTGTACACCAAACCAGAAAAATGCCAATTCCACTCTGACTCAGTAGAATACCTGGGTTACCTCCTGTCTCCGACCAGCCTTGCCATGTTGCCCAAAAAAATCCAAGCCATCTCCAACTGGCTAGAACCACAGAAAGTTAAGGACATTCAATCCTTCCTAGGGTTCACTAATTTTTACTGCTGGTTTATTTTCAATTACTCCAACATTGTGGTTCCACTCACCCACCTCACCTGCACAGACACTCTGTGGAATTTTTCTGAAGAATGCCACCACTCCTTTGAGTCCCTTAAAAATCCTTCACCTCCACCCCAATCCTCATGCACTGGATGCCCAACATGCCAATAGCCATTGAGACTAATGCCTCTGACTACACCATCACAGGTGTTTTGTCCATTGTATGTCCCAACCAGGAGCTCTGCCCAGTAGCTCTTTACTCTCACACTTTGTCAGCATTGGAACTTAATTATGATACTCATGATAAAGAACTCCTAGTCATTTATGAAGTGTTCCACTCCTGGCGGCACTACCTAGAAGGCTCTGCCAATCCCATCAATGTGGTGACCAACCATAAAAATCTTGAGTATTTTGCTACTACCAAACTCCTCTCCTGCTGCCAAGCCTGGTTGGAATACCTCCATCAGTTCAACCTTGTCATCTGCTTCCACCCCAGCAAACTCAGAGCAAAACCTGACTCCCTCACCAGACATTGGGACATCTACCCCGAAGAGGGGGATAAGGACTACAGCTCAAGTAAATCCTCATAATTTCCGCCCTGTGTTCACTAATGAACAGCTCACTTTGTCCCTACAAGCCTCATCTTTAGAAGTACCAGTATTATGTCCTGTGATACTAATGGACATTGAGCAGTTCTGACAGGATATTCTCTCCACCCTTCCCTCCAACCCCATCGCTTCCCTCCATCTACCCACTCCCGCTAGCCCCCACTGGGCAGTATACCAGGCGGGTTTCCTCTGCTGCGACGACTGCATCTATGTCCTAGATATTAATGACCTCCACCTCCGTGTACTCTGCAATATGCATGACCACTCCCTGTCAGGCCATTTTGGGCAAAATTGGACATTAGATCTCATCCATTGGGAATATACCTGGCTGGGTATCTGTTATGACCAGCGTTCACTGAATGGCAAAGACTAATACACAACCACTAGGACTTGGTCACAGATGATGAATAATCAAAGATAGGATTGAGCAGTGAACATCTAAGGAGTACTTACACTGACTAACCTACTTATATACATAACATTGAAGCAGATATATCTGAGTATGAAAGAAATCAGCCAATAAGAAAAGAGTTGTACTAATACTGTGGATGACTGAGCATGACATCATGATATATAAGCGATGAGTCAGACAGTGACTAAATAGAACCCCAAGATCCAACCGGTACTTCTCTTGGAAGCGAGATTGCTCTAGCCTGTGGATTAGGGGAACCAATCAGAGAAACAACAGGTGATATGTGAAGAGGTGAAGTTATGACAGGAAGCGAAGTCACGTGACCTGGTTCAGTAACTAGGAGTAGCCGGAGGAAAACCAAGAAATGAAAAGTGATTTGTATTTGGAATTCAGTGACAGTATCCGCACATATGTCAAAGACTGCATTAAATCCTGCACCACATGTGCCCACACCAAAGTCCCCCAACACAAACCATATGGTCTACTCAAACAGCTCCCTATTCCAAAGAGACCATGGGATTCCATATCCATGGATTTTATCAAACAACTCCCACCCTCCACTGGCTGAGCTGGAACTTGGGAGTGTTGTACTATCCATAGTCAAGGCAGGGCTCATAACCTCTTGAGGTTATGCTACAGGTGGAACTGAATGCAGGAGCTAGAAAGATAAATCTTCAGTCTATTGGACTCTGTAAGTGAAAACTATGTACCTAGAAAGATAACTAATAGTATGTTAGTACAGTGAGTATCTAGAACGAATGAATACTCACATCTCAGTCTATTGGACTGAGATGTTCATCTGTCGCTATCTATCCTTTATACTATGCAGTATGTACTGCTAATTGTATTCTACTGAGTCTGTATGTACTTGTGGACACTTACTAATGAGTCCATGGTCCAGATTAATAATGTTTGTACAATGTTTACTAACTACATCACCAAAATTTCCCAGTTCAGAGATGGCAAGCTAAGGTCACATCAGCCCTTAGAAGGTCTCTAAGGTTTTGCAGGTGTATCAGGTCACAGGGTCCACTTATCTGGTCATCTGTAGGTTTGTTTTTCCAGCTAATGTATTGCTCAACTGGCAGTACTTCCTCAGCTGCTAACCAGTTATCACACTAATATCTCATGCTAAGCAGTTGTCACATTGTTATCACAATGGTATGTCATGCTAAATGGATGTCAATTTGCTATCATAATACACGGATCATAGGTACCAATGGAGCAAGGTAAAATGGTAAAAATGTCACAGTCGGAGCAAAGGAGGTCTGATGGTACCACAGTTGTATGAAACAAGTTGAAAGATGTGAATGCGAGAAGACAGAAAGCACCGTGAAAGTGTTGACATGATCCTTGAGGAGACTCAAAAGCACTGCAAAAATGTTATAAGTGAGGAGAATGAAGACATAGCAAATGCATGAAAGCAACATATAGCATTGAATGTGAATGAAATGCAATGTGGAATGACATAGGAGGCAACCCTAAATATGAGAATCATGTCAGTTAGCACGGTATAAACAGAGCAAGCTCTAGGGTATAGCACAGGTATACCCGCAGGTCAGAAGATCGACACCCCATACCTGTCAACACCATATCCATGCTAACCTGCGGTATGAAAGCTTACCCACGGTTACAAATTAGCAGTCAAAGACTTATCCTTCAAATCTTGGAAGCAGCAGACACCTCTGACAGATAACTTGCACTTGCATGCTCCACGAGGGAAGAAATGCGCTAGACAGCCATTGTGATACTGGACAGTGACAGCATCAAGCTTGAAAAATAAATAGACTGCCAAACACCAGGTTTTCTTAAGTGCATCTATGAGTTGCACACATCAATCAAGGTCCATGTATATGTAGGCCACTTCACTCACTTAAATCAGTCTTGTTGTCCTGTTCAGTGGCAGGACTGTTGTCTGCATTCAAGCCAGTACTAACTAGAGCAACATCATCTTCATCAATGTCAATCACTTCCAGAATGGTGGAGGGCAACTCAGAGGGGGTTGCTTTGGCCCTTTCCATATGAGGAAGGATAAGCTTGATACACTTGACAATGTTAGCCTTTATTGTACCCACCACAGACTGCAGAGACTGATGATACAGATGAGTGTGTTGAGGTAGACTCAGCAAATGAGTCCAAGTCAGTAGACATGATGAAAATTAAGTACTACTGAAAATTTTTTGACTCTACAATACCTCACTTTATACTGTCAAATCACTGAGTTGTAATCAGTACCAGTAATGTGTTGCCTGAGGCGGAAGAACACCAACTTTAGGCATACTGAAGCAGTGAGAAATAGGATCAAAGCATTGGGTCACTGTTTCACCTGAATAAAGGATGTGATTTGGCCATAAAGTGCAATAAATGTGATCCATACCAGGTGGGACTGGAGCTGGTCAAACAGTTTCTAGACTTCAAATCAAGCTTAATTCATACTGATCTGATGAGCATCGGTGTAATGTTTTAGGTTGGGGGGACCTCAACAGTTCTGTTTGGTGGGGCTAAGCAGAGATCCAGTAGTAAGTGAAAAAGAGCAAAAGCAGTGTGCATATACCCACCTTCTGTGAGTAAGTTCATGAGCTTTTATGAAGTTATTGATGGACCATTGAGCATGACAAAGATTTGAAATCTGCCTGTGATCATATGAGTATGTAGTAACAGGCGGAAAATTAAATCTCCCAAACAATGATATATTTCCACACAGGCATAAATACAGTTGCACTGCATACAGAAATGCAGTGATTAATGAGGATGGACTCATACCTGAACATTTATCTTGGACTGGCAAGATGAAAAAGGCTGCATTTATGGGGACTCATAGGACAGAGGTTGTCAGAGAAAATAATGGTAGGAAGAGAAGTGACGGTTGCGGAAGAACAAAGTGTCAAAGTGTTCAACCAAAGGACACCAAATAATGGACTTGAAGACCCAAATTTCATCCAAGGCTAAATCTACTATCGTGAGTCACGGTCATTCCGAGACAAAGTTTGCGAGTATTCCATAGCAGGTCCAGATGTCGCGACAAAGTGATTCCGAGGGAGAAGGTTATGGCACACTTTAACTAATGACCACTTTATTATGGGATAGCGAAGGTGAATATCATGAAGATAATGTCATAGCAGACCTAGGTGACCATTAGCTACTCGCTGTCAGGTTCCCATACACCTTACAACTGTATTAGCATGGCATAGTATGCACGATTGCTTATGACCGTGACGTGGCATGTCAGAGAAGCATTGTGACGCGGCAGCAACCCAAATCAGGCAATGTCTGATTTGAAGACTTTGGTGATGTACAATGGCTGCGCTCGGACTTGTTCATTTCCGAGTCGCAACTCAACATAGACTAGAATCATTTTCTCGTTTCCGCAGTGAGTCTGACCTACTTACACAAATTCGGCGAAAAATGCCTTACCAACGCAACTGTGAACTCCCCTATTTCAATTTGTTTACTAGTTCACTGATGTTGGTCGTTGATTACGTGCAACGCGCGAAACTGATGGTAACGAATGGCCACGTATAAAACCCGTTATTCCATCCCCGCATTCAAATCTACCTACTCTCTCCATGAAGGACAAATCAGTAACAATTGAGCAACACCTTCAGAGTCATCCGGCTCAGACCACAACTTGGGTGGAATACCTTCCTTCCAACATACGTCCTTACTTTTATCTGGCACGAGCTCACAGGCCCGCTGCCAGCGGAACACTTTTGCTGTTCTATCCATGCGGTGAGCATATCCTCGGTTGTGATGAAGTTCTTTTTTCGGTTGTTCACTTGAATGACCTAGCATGGTCGGTCACCATGACCTGCTACGCACTCAGTGCGCCGATCACGACGGTATGGACCTATCTTGGATTTTTCCTTGTAGCCTCCCAATTGTTCTGCGCCGCTGGGTGTGTGATCGACGACATGTATGACAAAGACATTGACGCTGCTACTTGTAAGTTTTCGGTTAATCGGCGACTCCGAGTCCTTCTGACGCCTTCAATTGAAGCACGAACACGCGCCAGACCCTTGGCTGCGGGTGATCTCTCGATGTTTCAAGCTTTCATCTTCCTTATTCTGCACTTGGCTCTTGGCATCTGGGTGTTGATGCAATTAAACGAATACAGGTTTGTCATCTCAATATTTTTTGATTATTTCACTATTTGTATCGTTCCTCGCACCTTTCTTCAGCTTGGTTCTTGGACTGTCTTCCCTGGGTTTACTTGTATTGTATCCTGCCACGAAGCGGGTAACCAACTGGCCGCAAGCTGTGCTTGGTAAGTTGCTCTTAATATCCATTATCGCGGCTAGTACTAATGTTACTGAATAGGCATGTGCTTCAGCTGGGGAGCACTCTTGGGAACAGCTTCTGTCGCTGGAGCAGTTGACTGGCATGTGTATATGCCTTTATACATGGGGGGTGTATGCTGGACAATCGTGTACGATACTTCTTACGCCTGCCAAGTGAATCAATACTCTTTCATTCCGCGCTCGCCGGCTGAACCAACAAAAACTAGGACAGAGACGAAGATATCATAAATGGCGTCCACTCGACCACGATTATCTTTGGAGACCATATCAGATCTATTCTCTTTATGTTCACCTTCGTCGCTTGTTCTTTGGTATCGTACGCCGGGATCCTCAATGGACATGGCTTCCCATATTTCATTGGTGTGGCCGTCGGGGCATTTCACCTTGTCCGACTCCTCGCCAGGATTGACTTCGAAAATAAGGAGAGTTGTGATGCTAGTCTCTCCAGCAACGCTTGGTTTGGCTTCTGGGTCTGGTTGGGAGCTATGACCGACTATGTCTTAAAGTCGTAGATGCTAGACTCGATAACTTTTAATTTCCCTCCCTAAATACCTTTTTACCTTCCGAGATTATCTCTTGCTCATGCCATGATCGTCGTACAAACCCTGACTCCCACTTTCTCTTTTAACCTGTAGCCGTCACACTTTGCTAGTCATTAATCAGGCATATGAACCTGAAGAGTATGTCAAGAGTAAGACTCGAGAGAAGGGCCTAGCTGTGCTGGTAGGAACCTTGTTTACCGGTTTGAGTGTGTAGCACACTGCACGAAATTCCGTCGGAAGAGTTCACACCCCTTCCTATTGTAAACCATATCTAGTAGCTACGTGGCTTCTATCATCTGGTTATCGGGCATAAATGCCCTCTGATTGGAGCCACCACTCGATTATTCTCGTGAGTGGTACTAATTGACAAGCCTTAAGTTTCAGTGAACGTCAATGTAACCACAGACGACTGATTACTACTTCAATTCAACCATGCACCAACGTGAATTGGATCAGGGTTCCGCTGGATCACTATCGAAAGCAGAATAGAAGAAACAAATCATTCCTGGTCCATAGCATCGCCATCAGGCTGAGCACTCTTCCACCATGGCACAGGCCCGAGTCCCTGCTCTGAAATGGAGCACTGCAGTGAAAATAATTAGTTAGTGAACACGGTCCTTGCCTGCAAGCTCACGATGATGCTATACGGCGCGCGCCGAGCCTCTCGTTTTACTGTGACGCCCTCTGAGGCTTTCGGCGGACCAGGTTCGTCGTCATAAAACTCGTCAGCCTCAACGCGGACCCGTACTACTTCCCCTTGGTCGATATACATTCGATCTGTCGTTGCAGATTCCAGAAGCTCATGCGGGGTTGTTGCTTCTGAGTCCGGTAGCCAGAAATGAGCTCGTTCATTTGGGTCACTGTAGGCAACTGTGAGTAGCTTTGGAAAGGATGGTGCGCCACAAGACATACAAGGCCGATGGTTGAGGTAGATACGCTAGAGGTACATATATATCGTCAAAAAATCCTAGGCTCACTGGTACAATTAGTATTCATAAGAGAGGGTAATGGACGTGCATACATCGAATGCCGTCTTCGTCTGATGACTTCACTTTAGCAAGGACCACCTCAGACGCGAACGGTCGAAAAACGACCATTCTGAATCTCGCTGTTCATTACTATTATAAGCGGTAGCCCAAGGAAGGACTGAAAATTCGAGCATGCACCTTTATACCATAAACACCCATCTCCGTAACGTACTTTGCCTTCACCCGCTTCTACCAGATCAAACGCGCAAATGCACAGCCCTACGTCGTGGAGGACTCTATTGGCATACTTTTTGTTTATTTCAGAAATAAGAGCTTGTGCTGGAGGCACACCAAAGTTCGCCTGGCAGGATTGCAATGGTATCCTAGTCACAAGTCAATGTCATGTAGCACCAGTTTAGAGAAACGCTCACTTTTAAGATTGATAACACAAACATATCTTTAGTGGCTGCCTATATCTAAAGGTCCTTCTAGAGTGAACGACCTTGCATTTCCAAGCCAGATTCGAGATGATGTGATGGAAAGAGTCATAGTCGATTAGTGTTTCATGAAAACCAGGTAATCTAATCATTATTTTTAATTATCACGTGACTTGTCCTGAAAAAAAATAGCGTTGGCTTTCCTTGTTGCTTGTTTCCCGTTCATCCCTGTCTTTTGGATACCTATTAGAAGTCAGCGGACTTGGTTCGTTGGAACGATAATATACCCCAGATTCATACAGTGGCCTGCACCCTAACTACGACAAACCCAACTGCCTCTTGCCAACAAAATAATGGCAGCACTTCGTAGCAGGAGGGTGAGCTAACATTTCATATTTGTACGATATATTTTCCTTGCACGCCCTGTATGATGTGTTAGTTTGGGTGGAATGTGTGGTGCGACCGTCACGAGTCCGAAAACCATACTTTCGTAGGAGCCTGGAGGCTTCTGCAGCACTCAAGTGATCTGCCGTGGAATTTGGTCGGACCGGGCACATTCTACAGGATTAGTATATTTGGGGTCCCTAACACATCCGATCAAGTCTTGAGGGGTCTCGCGATTCAGTGACATATACCGCGATGAAGCATTGTGTAAATGCTTGATCATCAATGGTTTGCCTAGGGGAGACCAAAGCAGTCCTATCCTTGTGCTCGAATCAACCATGACCATTCGAGTCATGTTATTATCAAGATTCAAGAAGGAACGACAGTTTCCCTTCTGATTGACTGACTCATGCTGACTAAAGTCATGTGCGTTGGCAGGTGCGTTTATCTATAAAAGCCGCCATGTCCTTCATTCACCATCTGTTGGCCCAAAGCCCACTTTCGGGTTGAGTAACTGCACTTGTAAGCCGGAGGCAGCATGGCTACTTATCCCTATGTCATCGTAAACGCATTCACGCGTACGGCCTTCGGGGGTAACCCAGCTGTTATCGTTGCTCTCCCACCAGGCTTTCTTTCTCAGTCCCAAACATTCAGCGAAGAAACCATGATAGGAATCAGTCTCACATTTGCGCAGCCCATCTGCGTCTTTCTGTCGCTATCCCAAAACGACTCCACCCTCCTTGACGTCCGATTCTATACTGGCCCCCACGCACCACTTATCTGTGGACACGGGATGTTCGCTGCAGTGAAGGCACTATGTACAAATGCACTGCCATCCCTTGGTCAATGGGGTCCCGAAGTAAAGCTCAGCACGAAGGCTGGTACGATTATTTCTGCATTCAGCGTCGCAGAGACCGTTTCCGATGAAGAAAAGTATGAAATTGCGCTTCCCGCCACTCCAGTTGTTGCCCTTCTGAATGCAGAGACGGCAAGGATTGCAAGTGTAGTCAGCGAGGCCGCCGGCAGGGATATACAGGTGGAGTATGCCGCCAAAGGCGAGGGCGAGATGGGCAATTACTTGATGATTGTCGTCGGTCCAAATGAAAACATAGGCGACATGAAACTAGATACTGATGTGCTGGTATGGATACAATTTCACATCAGTACAGACCCTGTTCTAATGTGCATGGCCAGCGCAAAACTTCTTACGGTATCAATATCATCACACACATTACGCCTGAGGCGGATCAAGTCTTCGTCTCGCGTATGTTTGCACCTGCATACGGTCTCCCTGAAGACCATGTCTGTGGAAGCGCACACACGTTGCTCGTACCTTACTGGGCGACTCGACTCGGAAGGAGGAATCGGGAGGAGATGTACGTTCGTCAGGTGAGCCCGCGCGGAGGAGAGTTGTGGGTAGCTTGGGATCAGGACAAAGATCTTGTCAGGCTCAAGGGCTACGCGAAACCTTTTGGAAGAGGTGAATTAACCGTCTGAGGACTTGTCGGATGGGTCATTACCTTTGTTGAAATTTGTAACCATCCGCCATGGGTGGGCAGGCCGTGACGTGTCTCGTCTATATGTCGTTACTCTGGGCCAGTACTATTCCACACTTGTTGTACAACAGACTCGAGATACTACATGCACTGCAGTGTTACAATATACTATCTACAATTTTCCCTTCATCCCTGTATCAAGTTCACATTCAATGATGGCAGAGTGATCTCGCAGCGGGTAAACGTTCGTGATGCGGAGTCCGCACCCCCCAACAAGTGTCTCCCACTCACGCTGTTCAATCTTGAGCAATACACAGTTAAAATTTGTGCTACACGTACCAAAGACCTCTCGCAACCGTTCATCATGCTCAGCATGTGCATCGAGTAAGCGGCTACTAGCTTAGATGCTGAACCAAAGTGCGATGGAATACTGTAGTCACGGCGTTTGGCGTCGCTATGCATCAAGAACGATTCGACGCTCGGTGTAGCAGTCGCATCTACGTTCGGGATATTTACCATGTCGATGAGGAGTATCTTGGACTGTAAAACGTGTTAGACACACCACATAAATCTGCTAATTTGGCTATATACCTTAGGACCCAGTGCACGAGCTACATGACCCAGTATCGTCGCCTGTCGGAGTCAAAGTCAGCTATGCCACTGAAGTAGGATGCACAATAATGACCGCTTCTTTGTCTGGCCAATCATGCCTTTGGTGCAGGACTGGTGTGAGTAAAAGAATGAGTGAGACGAACGAATACTGACATTATGTGACGCAAGATAAAGCTATACTCATTTCCGATCCGTTGCTGAGGCTGGAACAAGTTGTGTGCTTCCACATTGAGTACACCACTTTCAATGTCACGGGGGCGGCGTTCTTCCATAATCGAACTTGTCAGTGCGACCACATTCTCCATGTCCTGTACGATTGCTCGGAAGGAAGGATGCCTGCCACGATTGAGAGACCTCGGGAAGGGGAATATATATGCCAACTTACGCATCTAGGATGGCCGAAACTAGGCCGCCCTCTCCCCCTCCACAATCAACGATGACGGGTGTTTCCAGCTGTTCCCATGGGTAGTCCGCCACGATGGTTGGCGTAGACATGTCGCCCGCAACCTAGAACAGCGATCAGCGCTCTGTAACTCTCTCACATAATTACTGACTTGAAGATGATTCGCAATTGGAATGAGGACCTCTGGATTTTTCACAATCCAGGAGAATGCCATCAACGGAGTCTTGAACGCGATCTGAAAAGCAGTCTGCTCTGGAGAATGCGAAAATTTCCAATCAGATTCCGCCACCCAATGCGGTATGGTTTCAATCATTGACATAAACCCAGGCATACTACTCGATATTTAGCTTTGGCGAGCGCTCATACAATGCAAACGTACGAAAACGCCATTCTCCGACCCGCGTGACCTTCAATGAAAGTGCGCGCGCATCTGTTCAAAGCGAATGAGGAATCGCTGGTCTCCCTGACCCAACCGTTGGCTGCACAGCAGCGGAGAATGGGAACGAGTTTCTGAGAATCAAGTTCAAATTTCAAGGCCAGTTCAGTGACCGGGACGCCTTGGGAAGGGTTTGGCACGCCAGACAGGTAGTCGATGATACCGGTCTTGATCAGGGTATCGGTAGAGGCAACGCCATATCCGGAGTACCTGTCTTCCATGCGCCTATCCAAAGGCGACTGGATAAGGTTCTTGAGCTCTCCCTAGAAGAAACACTTAGACGAATAAAACCAGGGCTCGGTAGTAACCAACCAGGCATGCTGAAGGATGGTTCAGGTTGTGGATTGTTGCGTGTAAATCATAACACGTACCTAGAGAGAGGCGGCGAGCTTCAAACAACGCCGTACTGGGTAAGTAGGTTGTTGGGTCGTCCAATGGGTGTTCTACTGGGCTGTGTTGGCTCAGAGGAGGAAGGTGGGAATTGTCCAACTCCTTGCGAAATGTATCCAGTGCGAAGTTCAAACATGCTTGGAGACGATCAAGCTCTGCATGGGCCATGGTGCAGTTTGCTGGGAAGAAACAACGCGGTTTCTGCTGTTATCACTTCCCGCAGCACTTAGTATTTAAATCCCAACACGGACCAGAGTAATAACTCACAGTGTAACGTAACAATGTAACAAAAGACCTCGAAAACGAGGTGATACTTATGAGAACATCCCCACTCGGATCGAGGTTTCAGCTTGGCATTAGTATTGGCTTGCAAGAGCCGTCGCGGGGGCTGTTGAGGGCTATCACCGAGTACTGTATAGAGTGCATTCGCAATCGCCTTCCCACCTGCGAAGGTTGTGCAACAAATGTGCAAGCGAGTCCGCCGAGAGTTGGTTCGGAGACCGATTGGATGACGTACAATATGTAACTCGCATCCACTATCGGTAAAAACACTTTTTTTCCCACCACCAAAAACTGGCTTGCCACAGCTTGGTCCCCTCTGTACAGCTCTGTACAGAGCGTACACAGGACATTGTAGTTGCTGATTAGTAGCAGTGTCAACACTTAGTATAGTGAATTATCTTCTCATGTAGTTTTAAAACACTTCCTAAACCTCGTCATTCATAACCCCTAACCCCCTAAAATTTATCTAAACCTTATTATGTAGAGATGTATAATTAATTGATTCCATTTTTGAGTGAGATATGATTATATTCAAGAGAAATCCTAACAAAGGCTAACATACTACATATACTCTATGTAAATGGTTAGGAAAAGGATTAGGAATGTTGAGGATTAGGACTGCTGAGCATTTTTTTTTATTAGGAGTATCGGCGCTGCGCCCCCACATGACCGTTTAGATTATGCCACCGGCACCTTCCACTCTCTACTGTGTTATTATATTTACGCAAACCTTCCATCGCGGACATCGTTTGATTCAAGCACTTTGGATAGTGTGTGAATTATCACACCCTGGATCGTGTTAATGACGTATCCGGAGAAACAGGGACACTGACCACCATGATGGTACTATCCCTTCCGGTGCAATCGGCACCCCACGGAAGTCGGCAGTCACGCTTTTTTTGCCAGGGTTTCGTGTGACGGAATGTGACTAACGGTGACCAATTGTAACGAAAGTATCACGTTTTTCGCGCTAAAATGTGTGACCTGCCGACTTCTGTATTCTTCCTCGTTTCTTTTTACATGGGTTAGGTCAGTCAGGACTTGGGATATATTCTGCCTCATTTCTTTTTACATAGGTTAGGTGTTGTTTAGATCTTGGTTAGTGTGTGGTTGGTTTGAAACCCCGCTTTCGGCGGGGTCGGTTGAACCTCCCTTCTGTGGGGTGCCGATTGTACCGGAAGGGATAGTACTGCCACACAGAACTGTCGCGCACGTCGACGGTCGCGTATGTTTCCGATTGGCGCAGCTCGTCGCTGCGTAGTTGATGCCAGATGGCAGTAAGCGTTTACAAGAACCAACCCAATAACGGACAATAAACGATGGTCCAAAAGAGAAGCCCCCGTGTCGAATGCAGCACCTCCAGACTCCATCAGATTCGTAACTTCTCAGTACGTAGCTTTACTACTTCACCGCCATCACGAGCTACTAATCGAATCAATATGACGTATGATATGATACTTACAATACATACGCACGCCTTATCATAGTTCCTACGACGCCAACAACCAATCACGCTGATTCCGTTTAAACCAATAAGAAGTTAAGAGCAACACCATTCCAGTTATACTATTAACCCAGCCCACCTATCCCCATGTCATGGTCCCGCAGCTGTTATTATCGCTCTCCCACCGGGCTTCAAGCTTCCTTCCCAAGGGCCAAGACAATTCAGCAAAGAAACGAGGATAAGAATCAATCTTATGGAAACTTCACATGGTCCGACTGCGTCTTCTTGTAACTTCTTATTATCTCCGATTCCACCCTCGTTGATGTCCGGTACTATATTGGGAATTATGCACCACTCAGATCCGGAGACGCGGGATGTTCACTCAGGCGAAAGCGCTATGTATGGGGTCCTGGATTGAAGTTTCGCGCGAAGGCTGGAGCCCTTATTTCTACATGCACAATTGCGTTGCAGAAAGCGGGTCTGGACTCTGATGAGGAAAAGTACGCGATCCCGCCACTCCAGTTGTCAGGCCTCCAGAGGCGGAGACAGCCAGGATTAAAAAAAACATAATCAGCGAGGCCACCAGCAGGGATGTGCTGGTCACCAGTCCCGTAACATGGGTGACCTTCAATTGTGCCGTGAGTTTGCGCAGTATCATTCGCCTATACTGGAATAAATCTGAGGCATGAGGGTGGGGTTTAGCTTCATCCCCTAGCCTATCAGTATTGGCTTGCAAGAGCCGGCGGCGGCGGCTGCTGGGGGCCATAGCCTATCACCGATCAGTGCGCCTGCAGCATAATTCAGGGCCTATACATTTCTCCCTAAGATTAGACAGCAAGAAGTAAGTACTCTATCATTATACTCACACACACCTTACATCGTGTATCTAAGTGGAGAATAGTTGGCCATGTAAAATTTCGTACCCGGGATCGTGTTAACGATGTACCTGTAGGAGAGGGACACTGAGTACCATGTACATATTATCCACATAAAACTGTCGCGCACCTCGACGGTCATGTATGTCTTCGATTGGCGCAGCTCATCGCCGTGCATGTCAGATGACAGTACTCACAGGACCAATCCAGTCATGGGCAATAAACAATGATCCAAAAAAGAAGCCCCCAGTGGATGCAGCAGTCCATCATAACTCTTCTCGGTACTTTTACTATTTCACCATCATCACAAGTTATGTAGCGATGATACTGATCAACATACATGCCTCGTCAAAACGCAACCATAATGATAGGGATTGACCTCACGTTCACATAGCCCATCTGCGTCTTCTTGCTACTGGGGTCCTGGAGTGAAGTTTCGCACTTGAAGGCTAGAACCATCAATTTCTGCGTGCACCGCCGCAGAAAGTGGAGTGTAGGAAAAGTTCGAGATTGCACTTCCCACAACCCCAGCCGTCGTGCTTCCGGAGGTGGAGACGGAAAGAATTGGCATAATCAGGGAGGCTGCCGGCAGGGATGTACGGGTATTAGTATAAGTATTGCCAAAGGCAATGACAAGATGGACACTCACTTGGTGATCTTCGTCGGTCAAAATGAAAACATAGGTGACATGAAACTAGATATCAATGTCCTTGTAAGCACACAATTTTATATTAGTGTCGTGTTCTCAAACGTGCATGATTATTAGCGCAAGCTTACAATCAACATTATCACACATTACGCCTGATGTAGATCAAGTCTTCGCCTCGCGTACGTTTGCACCGTCAGATGGTATCCCTCAAGACCATATCTATGGAAACGCGAACATGCCGCTACCACACTGGCTCTGGAAGAAGGATTGGGTGGACATGTATGTTCGTCAGGTGAGCCCACATGGAAGAGAGTTAGGAGTGGGCCCTTTCCATATGAGGAAGGATAAGCTTGATACGCTTGACGACGTTAGCCTTTATCATACCCGCCACGGACCGTAGAGACGATGATACAGATGAGTGCGTCGAGGTAGACTCAGTAAACGAGTCCGAGTCAGTAGACATGACGAAAATTGAGTACTACTGAATAATTTTCGACTCTACAATACCTCACTTTATACTGTCGAATCACTGAGTTGTAATCAGTACCAGTAATGTGTCGCCGAGGCGGAAGAACACCAACTTTAGGCGTACTGAAGCAGCGAGAAATAGGATCGAAGCATTGGGTCGCTGTTGCAGTCAATGACTTCCGAAAAATAAGGATCGTAAGTGGTGAATCCCTTGCAAAATATAACACCGCGGAGTAGACTCGGAGATAGCGCGTACCCGTGAACATACCCGTATACCGTGCTAACGGGTACGGTGTGGCCACGGGTACCAGATCTCTACACCGTACCCGTACCCGTCGTACCCGTACCCGCCGTACCCGCGGTATGTCCCATACCCGTGCTATACCCTAGTTTCAAGGACCAGGACGAAGGTCTTGAAAGGGTGAATCTATCATTCGAGGCCCGTAACTAGACTGATGACCAGCCTGTATGAGCCTACCGATGACTTGCCCCATAGATCTCAGGTTGTTCGCTGCAGTCTAACCGTCTAACCCGTAACATCGGTTGCCTTTCAACTTTGCAACACGAGTTGGTACAATCATAAGATCATATTAGATCATATGTATTCGCCGAAACCTGGAACCAAAATTTAGCCCACATGGGAGAGTTCGTACTCACTCTCGTCGCATATGACCTTGAAGGTGAAGAGACAATTAAGTAGTCGATGTCCCGAAGATGGGAAAACTTTCAAGCGTCGGGGAGGGCGGCGAAGGTGCAGTGTAGTGCATCTAGTGATGGAAAAGTTCGGTTCAGTCCGGTTCACCAGGAAATTTGGTGAACGTTGAACCGGACGTCACGTTCGGTTCAGTGATTTTGCTGAACGCTGGACCGAACGTGCTCGAACGCGTTCAGTGCGTTCGGTTCACGTTCGGGAAAAGTCCGGTTCGAACCGCGGTTCAGGACCGAACTTTTCCATTACTAAGTGCATCATGTCTACTTGGGCTTAGTATGGATGATGGGAAGTGATGCAGACCCTTCAGTCATTTTTCATGTAGAACCCCTGCCCCGGATGTGCCAAAAGGTCGTAGAATCATGGCTAGCCAGTCCTCGGCCGGGGCATGTAGAATACTGTAGAGATACGACACTAGGTTCGTCACAGGTCACAGCCCTTAACGAATCGAATCTATTTAGTGTGACTGTCACACGAATTTTTGGTGGGACGAAGCTAATTTGTGACATATGGAAAAAAACATAGGTTGTGCGCTAATGGGACCAGAAATCATCATACATCGAATTTGCGATGCGTCTACGCTTTCCACGCCCATAATCAACCTTCGGAACACTGTTCGAGCCACTCTCCACATCTTCGGCAGTAATGTCACCCACATCATAGACTTCAGAGTGGTTTGAACACAGAAGTCTGCCATCTGCATCGATACGGCAGTCAGAACGGACACGTTCACCCCCGGAA